AGTTCGATACTCGCTCGCCGGATGCCCGTTTCTTTGTGGCTGTGGCGGAGGGAGTGGGGCTTGCCGAGCGCTTGCTACCACAGGAGGCATAGGCCGGGGCGATGCTCTGTGGGTGGGCTGTGGACTCGAACAAAAGCGAAGAGGCGCGCGTTGGGGGTGTAGGAGGTCTGAGCGCTTCTGGGAAGGAGTCGAAGAGCTGGTGTGTGGGTACGCAGAGCTGCTCCGACTCCGCAGCGGCGTCGGGGGACATGCGCATCTTGAGCATCTTTGTGGGTGGGATGGGGGAGTCCGCGGCGGTATCTGAGTGCGGCGGGGTGGGGAGGTTGTAGTAACCATAGGCGAAGGTCTCCGTCGTTGGAGAGAAAAGGGGGTGGTCCCACTGGCTGTCGCCGTTCATGGATACGGGGGAGAGGAGGGGCGCGTCGTGAGCAATGATCTGGGACATGGGGATGGAGAGGTTGAGCTTTGACATTTTGAGGGGGAGGGGGAGGGCAGCTTTAAGAGGACGGAGGAGCAGTGGAGATTCTAGGGAAAAGGAAAGAAGCAACTGGATCAACTTTTTTTGAACGCCCTTCCTCTCCCGGACTTATATCGCACCTATCCCCGAACAGCAACAAAACCAAACCAGCTCAGTTCGGCTCGCCCCTGCACGCCCCTCTGCACCGCCGTCATTCATGCTCACTCACACCTGCGCACAGACCACCCACCACCCCACCCGTCGCCCGCTCGTCGTTGCGTCGCTGGACGCGCGTCCGAGAACGCCCCGAGGAAAGGTACTGCGTGTCACCAAATACGGGGCGGGGGAGTACACGGGCCCTCTCGATCGAGAAGCCGCGCGCAATCGCTGTGGGCAATTGTCGGAGGTTGCATTCCTCTCCCCCACCCCCGCATCTCCCCCTTCTCTATTCTAATCCGATCGGTCCGTGTCTATTTCCCCCTCCTCTTCTCCTCCACGCGACTTTACCATCTCTCTCTACCGAGGTACCTCCGTCTGCTCATCCATCCTCAACTTTGCACCCCTCTCCATGGCCCTCGTGAGCCCTCTACGGAAGTTCCACTGCGCTTTTGTCCACTTCTCATCTACGACTACGGTCCCTCTCCCGTTTCTGCCACATCACGAGGCTTTCAGGCGGTAATTTGGGTGTTGAGATGCTTTCATCTCCACTCTGCAGTGCATGCTCAGCCGGAACACACCACCTCTTCTAATTGGTGTGGAACAATCGCCATTCGAACCCACCCACCTCTCTCAAAGGCCCCCGGAACGATTAAATCACCCTCCATTCTCCATAATGAATGTGGCGCTCTGGGCAAAGCGGAAGAGCGGAGGCAAATCTCGCCGTACCCCACACCTTAATTAAATCATTAGGCGCCCGTCCATCCCGTAACCGCCCTTCCAAACAACCCCCAGCTCTTCTCACTCGATCGACCGAAAGCAGCGTGCAGGTATCAATACTCCCAGACACCCCCACACGCCTTTTTAACCTTCAAAGCTTCACCTCAAACCATCGAATATCAGTACCACAATGCCAGCACATCATCACCGCAACGTCGGTCGAAACGTACGTCCCTTCCAAGTCCTTGCATTTCCTCCTTACATCCACTTAAACACTCCTCTAGAGTAAATTTAGTGCTATAGGAGTTTGGAGGCCCAGTGATCACCGACATACGTCGCATATGACGCTTCACCATGCGACTTCTCTACTCGTATGATCAACCCGTCGAGCCGAAGCCGTACTTCGACCGTTTTACAAGGTCTCAAGCATCTCTGGACGCTGTTCTCCGGTCAAGCCCCTAACAGCTCGCTGGTTCGATGCATATATGTGCCTTGTCATCCATATGCCCGCAACCAACGTCCAGAACGCGCCGGTATCTATCGAGCGCTAATTTTACGACGCCTTTGACCCGGTCCTTCTCAGCTGCTACTCCATTTTGTGCGCAGTCGCGTTGTGGACACCGATATATCTCAACCCGACTTAGTTTTGGCACTCTACCTCCTCCAAGAGTTTTCATCTCACCCTCACAATCGATTTTCGCAGAAATCCAAAATTCCAGAAAACTCAACAAACCACCGCTTCAAGCTACACTATTTTTACCCAACACCTTCCGCTCCGAACCCGCCCAATCGCACCTCTTCCCTCTTCCTCTTCCTCTCTCCTGTGCCTTCACGCCAAGCCCATCGCTATCTCTACTACTCATCCCGGCCCTTTCCTCCTTCACCCATTCACGACTCGCGAGAGTACCCGGAACGCTCTCCGGGGCGCACACCCGGGTAGGCTACTCAGCCCAGCACACTCAGCCCATCGATTCGACTCCACAGCAGAAGGGAGTGAAGCTCCTGATATGTCGTGCTTGCCCGACCTCTCTTCCTTGATCTCTTGCGGTTCTTCTCTGTGTTTGAGTGGTCTGGGCGGGACAAGACGAAAGATGCGATGCATAGCCATGGACTGGGGCATGTGCGTCGCATCGAGGTTACAGTGGGCCGAGTGCCCATGTACATGTACATGTGTTTAGACCGCAGGCACGGGGGAAGGTGGGTCGATGCTCGGGTTCACGCGTTGTGAATCGAGAATCAGGAGTCGAGCGTCGAGTCAGGAACGTCGCAAGTATGGAAGGCGAAGACGAAGGCACAGCGTCGCTGACAAGAATTCGAAGCAGCTGCCTCGACGTCTCCAATTCCGTTCAACCGCTACGCGACTCTGACGTCGCGTCAAGCGTCAACCACCAACCGTCGATCGTGGATCGTGGATCGTCGACCCAACGTTAATCACTGCCTCGAGGCTCGATTCAGGCTCGAACCTGGGAACACTGAACGGTTAATTTGAACAATGCGTGGTTAATTTGCATAACGCGTGGTGGTCCAGCTCGCTCGCTCGCTTCCTTGCGTTCGAGGTCTTCTCTTTCATCGTTGCAGAATAAGGAGACTCGAGAGGAGGCGTGTGCGAGAACGACAGAGACGTCGACAAAGACACAGAGCCCCACCGCGCAGTCCGCCGGGCTGGCCGATTCCCATCATGGCAGCGCTCAACTTCCTGTTCAAATTCAACGTGCTGGTCGAGTTGAAGTCCAACTCGGTCGTCCAAGGAAAGGCGCACTGGGAGCACCAGCTTTCCGAATAGCATACTAGCGTCTATAACTATTCAATATTCAACACCGAGGACCGAGCTGCTTCCCCACAATTTCAACTCGACTTAATTCCCCAGACGGAACGCTCGGAATACCAGGATACTGAACACTTAACGACGCGCCTCATGACTTGCGTCGGCCATGCCTGCACCACGCGTCCGGAAAGTTAAACGCCCAAGCGACGCAGGCGCAGGAAAGCTAGCCTATCGTGCTCATCTCGAGTTCGTTCCCTCATCTCATCTCATCTATGAATGACCTCATAACCAGATAGAGGCCTACCGGTGTATCTATTGTACAAGCTTTCAGTATTGAGAAAGCTTGTACAGTCGACTACGGTTCAAAGTCCGGAACCTGAAAGTTGGCCTCGCGTCCCACGCGAGGATTCAATCGATGCGCACGTTTTCTGTCTCTTTGTTTATTTCACTGTTTCTCCTCCTTCTGTTTCTCTCGCTAGATATCCTGCTCCCATGATACCAATGGTTCCGCTGCATTCCGCGTTCATTCCGGCTCGCTCGGTCGTTGAGCCTGTTGCCTACCAATGGTGCCCGTTACCACTTCTTGCACATTCAAGGCTGACGCCTGGCTTTCATTTCACCGGTACACATGTTAGGATTTTAGCTTTCGAACTCGGACTTCTACCAGTAACGGTCGTCGGTGGGTGGACCGGCTGCCGGGTCGATGCTTCATCGCCGACCGGGCCTCAAGGCGTCATCTAGCGAGTACTCATAGGTACTTATGAGAGGATAGCTGAAGGTTACGAGTACAGGCAAGGCCTCTACAACCTTCGCTCGTCTATCAAGCTTCAGCATTAAATTCAATCTGTGTTGGCCGGATTGCAGGAAAGGTGCGCGATGACGTTATTTGAAGGGTTAAGCTCGCGAGAAGCGTCCCAACGTCCCAAGGTCGGGCCGATCCAATTTATTGAGTTCGTGTTCACATTCATGTTCATCGACATTGAGGTCAAGACCTCCGCGGAATGTCGAAGTTAATGGAAAGAAGGAGATTAATAGCGATTTCCTAGATTCCGTTAGCCCAGGAACCGCCCACTCCTCGGTGCTGGGCCCGTCAGTATCGCACGCTTTTCTGGACCTTCGTATGTACATGCCTATTGCCTGCCCATCGTACATATCCGGCGATTCTCTTATACCTGAGCGGTCTATATATCCATTTTCTCTTTCTTTTTTCTGCTTTCTTTCTACTTTCGGCATGGCCCTTCAGCTTCATCCGTCACGACATCAGGCGTCCTCCGTCAGATATCGAGCGTCAGCCTATCCTACGACTGAATGATAATGATGATCCATCAATGACATCAACACAAAGGGACGCCACTCTCCTTGAAGCTTCAAGTTTGGGTGAGCATGAAACGCAAGCCAGGCTGAGCGGTTCGCTTGATATCATATGTCGGGATCCGGACTTCAGCTTCAGCGCTGAGCGCTCAGAGCTGGCCTCTAGCGATCGAGACTTGGCGTTGTCTTCTCCCAAACTGCGGCCCGCATCCTGAGGTATTCTCCCGACCTCACCGCAAGTACTGATGCCCAACGTGATATCGATAGCTTGGAGTAGGATATACATACACGAGGCCTTCCAGTCCTCCCGGAACGCCTCTTCCGCACATGACTCATGAAGATACTTTTGGATGGCGGGCTCGTGTGGACGATGGGTGGTAAACATAGCCTGAGGACGGCTTGATCTCGAAGGCGAAAGAATAAAGGACACACCGGCGTTGATCTCCGAAGGATCAAAGAGGAGTGAAGATATTTCTGAACACAGAATGAATGGGATATGTCCCTTTGGTGTGGATTCACTTGCTTTCTGGCCTTGTCTCCTGTGCCGTCAGGCATACGGCACGAGCGCTAATTTTACATCTCATCTTATCTTATCTGGTAGTCATGCGGCAAGATAACGAAAATTACCCCTGTCGCGTTGGAAGGTCTTCAAAATTTGTTGACATTTCACTGGCATTCTACCATCTAAAATAAACCTGAGGTATAGCATACCGATGCTCCTTATCGAAGAGCGATCATATGAGCTCGGATGGATGTGTGGCCGCCGACGCTGCACATGGAACGATGACGAGAAACTGTCCAAGGCACCCAGCATCTCTCGATGCACCCCGAGCCTGTTTTCTATCTCCTCATGCTTGCATATAATCTGTTCTTCGGCCGCAAAGGGTGCCTGATAGTTTTCAATGCCTTGTTTTTTCCCCCCGAAATATCGTCTCTCTATCACCCTCGAGTGTCCAACTTCGAACGAGCGTCTGACAGCCAGACTGATCCCAATTGTTGGGAGATGGAGGCATGTACCCCACACCAGATTGCACGACATTAGGCTATGCCAGTATCAAATAATTACGAACCCCACCGGCACCCCAAGTCGGACTCGATGTGGATTTACCACACGGAACTGCCAAACACGACTTCATTTCCGGGGTAATGCACACTGTTCCGCTCTGGGAAGCGTCCCGCCTTGTCTTGCATTGCATCGAAGGGTCGTAAATCACGGGTGTACAAGCAATGCACTCGTATGTATGCTGCAGTGCCTGTCTAATAACAGGCGCCCAGAAGGCACTGTTCGTGGTACTTCAGACCGAACCGTGCTGCAATTGAGTCGAAGGTGGGCATGGAGGTTCGTTCTATTCTCACAATCAGTGCGCTGTACGGAGCTGCGGGTCGCTATAGAGCAGCCTGAGGGTCATCACGGTTCCCGGTGACCATCCAAAGTGAACAAAGAAAAGACATGTCGGGTTCATGAGCCAGTGACGCGGCGACGAGGGCTAAATTCGCTGTTGGATGCATACCTGGGGTTGACCAACGGGATCATCAGAGCATAGCCAATGTCCGAAGATAGAGATAACCAATAACAAAACTTGAAGCGAAAAAAGTAAGACCGAGTTGATTAGTCGAAGGTGAATAAAATAAGAGTTTCGAAATGTCGTGGAGAAAATTATTTTCGACTTTATTTATTGGTATCCCTCCTGTGTCAGATCGACAGCGACTCAGTCACCGGTTTACAGGATGTTGGAGGCGCCGGATGGAAGTCCTGCAGTGCTGCTCTGCGATGGAGTGCAGAATGAACCCGACCTGCCTTCTTCTATCATCTTCTGACGGACTGTGGGGTGGGTAATTGGACAGAGCTTGTGATACATGAAAGAGGAGTATACCGAGAAGCTTCTTCGATATGATGTCATAGAGCAAAGTAAGCTTTAGGCAGTATTTCGGATATGCCTCGAGGGTGCTTTGGTTCTCGGGGGCTAAGGGACAATATTGGAGGAATCACATTGACAATGAATAGACCTCTTGAAGAAGAGGCGATGCAGCAGAGGAGACGCACAGATGTCCAGGAATGTCTTCATGCAAGGAACTGAAAGGACTGACAGTTCTCGGATAGATTACCTTCCAGTGAGGCTCGACCGGATAGACAGAACTCACCGAGGATCGCAATGGCAGACCTCTCAGTACGCAACAGACTGCAAACGACAGTCAGCATCCGGTGAACGACAAGGTCAGTAATATGTCCAAGTTGCGCTGCATCAAGATGGTAGGTAGTCGGCGCATGCCACAGCGAAAACGGCAGCCTAGAACAACGCTTTTGGTGTGAGAAATCAACCAGTCAAGGTTCAAGTGTTCAGGATGTCGCAAAGGCCTAAAAAGACAGCGAAGACACAGACCGGCCAGGGTCGCGAAGCGCGCTGAAGACCTAACGATATGTAGAAGGAGAGATTTTGGGAGATTGTATTGGTGAGGATCGATGGGGCGGCCGACCTTGAAAGGTAGATGATAGAACGGATCTGCCAGTTTCAATGCATCGTTGGAGGTCCCAGGAGGAACTGCGGAGCCGAACATTTGGAGGTTTGATGTCGCCGTCGTGTCTTGGGTTCTCAGCTGTTCGTTGGCTTAGCCCCGGTGCCGATGAACCAAAGTGGAAGTTGGCACCTGCGTCCAGCCGAGCGAAAGCTAGAGGGGCGATCTTTCCCACGTTACGTTCTTGCTTCCACCACTTTCCATTGCTCGAAGTCGCGGCGCGCTCATCTCGAGAGCCGCCGACTTCTCGCAAACACTCGTTACTCGTCCTCCCCCCTTTTCAAACTCCTAGCATGACCAACAATCACGCTCATTTAGGCCTTAACCTTCCAGGCACCAGCCAGAATCATCGCAATACACAACAGACCAGACCGGCAGAACCCCCTCAACATCTCCCCACTCCTACACCAACGCAGAGTTCACCAGGGACGACTGCAGGGTCATCCTCCGCTCACACTATGCACCACGATTCCACTCAGAACCCGCCGGCGAACCGTATGGCACACAACGAGGATGCACAGCGACTCCGAGCCTTTCAAGAGGAGAATGCTCGATTAAGAGCAGAAGTCGAGGCTCTCCGCAATGCATCGAATCCCCGCGTCAACCCCGCCGAACAGCAGCACCCACAGCAACACCCACCTCCCCAAGTGATAGAAGCAGCATCCGATTTACGTGCCCCTCAGCAAGTCGAGGCCGGGGCAGCAGCAGCGGCAGCTACCATCAACCAAGCACCCACTCGCCAAGCCTTATACGAAGATGAGGCGACGGTGGCACGCATTCGCGAATCGCTGGCTGCCCGGAAGGAGGAGGAGGACGCCCGAAAGCCCCAATTGCCGGACATCATCCCGGGCTTCAAGGCAAATGCCCTTAACTTAGGTGAGTTTTATGCTCTCTTTCTTCGTCGTCGCAGCGTCCGCTACCCAGTAAAGCTGGGCCGTTCGCACAGAGCAATAGGCTCGCTTCGTTGCCACATCTATTCGGTGGCCCGTCGTCGTCTTGCTCGCAGACCCTTACTTTCGCGGAGGGCATGCTGAGGCCGTAACTCTGCTCGGGTACGGTGCATTGACACCATTCCACCCTCCTCGTTTTTATCGTGCCATTCATTTTCACTGATTGGCAGCTCGCTCACATGCCCACCTCTCGTAGCCGTCCCACCAAAAGTTGACAATGCCATTAAGGCATTTCAATATGTGCCCTACTCTGCTCTTACTACCTCCGCACGCCGCAAGGCAGCCCGAGGGGAAGAGGAGTTGGTGCCGAACGCGAATGGTGGTTGGACTATCAAGGGCCTCGATCGCAAAGGAGAGACGGAGCTCGGAGAATTGGAATGGCTAGCAGCTGCGAAAGCAGCGGAGGAGCGAACCCGACACCACCACGGCAATGCGAGAGCAGATGCCCTCGCTAGCCATCACCTCCTCGTAACTGACCTGGGCCGCCTACACGGCTGGGAAATTGCTCTCGAGTATGACAGGCAACAACGGGATCTATGGGCACGCTACCCTTCGCACGACATAAGCACACTTGACCGTGACGCTCTCACAATCATCGCAACCCAATACCTTGCACCAACGGCCACAAGGCAGTTACATCGTCGTCGAACCCAACGAAACGGCTGGCCGAAACAGCGTCAACACAGCCGACAACCCGTAAACGGCCCCGATTGTGCTTTCGATGCGGCTTTGCAGGACACATGCCAGCAGACTGCAAAGCCGAGTCCACATCAGCTGGTCAGCCCGTCGCACCGTTCTCCTCTGAGTCCTGCAGCAAGAACACTCTCCTCGCCCCCAACAACAAGCCCTTCTGCTTCAACTTTGCCAAGGACTCTTACTGCCCATTCAAAGAGAACTGCCGAAACTACCACGGCTGCAGCCTCTGTGGTGGATCGAGCCATGGAGCAGCTGCCTGCCGCGTCCGAGCCTGACCCACGAACTGTCTTTACCCCGATCGACGCATCAAAAGCAGAATCTATCTTACGTTCATTTAATCTCTACAATACCTGGCAGCATGTAATCTTTGGTCTCCGTAATGGTTTTGATGTGGGGATTCGGTCATTACCCACCCACACAATTTTATTTCGACAATCATGCATCCTCCCGCCTCAACCCAGAGTTCATAGCATCGTACATCGAGAGCGAACATGCAATTGGGCGCTACTCACGAGCATACTCACCAGAGGAGCTCGAGCAGCTAATTGGCCCCTTTCGCACATCACCCATTGGCTTAGTTCTCAAGCCCAACTCGTCAAAATACCGCATGATTCAGGACCTCTCCTTCCCACGCAACCATCCATCGATCCAATCCGTCAATGCTGGAATCGACTCGGACGAGTTCCCTACTTCTTGGGGGTCATTCGAGGCAGCCTCCGAGCTGATTCTCAACCTTCCGATAGGCTGCCGTGCGGCGACATTCGACATTTCGGCGGCTTATCGGCTCACCCCCATCCGACCCGACCAACAAAACGCACTCTGCATCCTTTGGGATGGAAAAGTCCGAGTCGACAGAGCAGTCATGTTTGGGATGGCGTCAAGTGCCGGAGTGTTCGGTTGCGTGGCAGACATGCTAGTCGATATCTACAAGGCAGCTGGATTCGGGCCATTAATCAAGTGGGTCGACGATTTCTTCGTGGTACAGCTACCAGGTGCGACATGGACAGAGGAAGACTTCACCGGCCTCACAGCAGCTATGGGGGTACCATGGAGTGCCGAGAAGATTCGTCCGCTCGCACAGACACAACGGTACATCGGGTTCGATTGGCACCTCCACACGAAGTCAGTCAGCCTACCAACCGAAAAGGTCACGAAGCTGAAAGACACCCTGCAGTGGTGGCTAACTCAGGGTGTCCGGGTGCTTGCCAGCGAAGCAGCAAGCCTCCATGGCAAGTTAATTCATATCTCCTCGATCTTCCGCCTCATCCGCCCTTTCCTACCGGCCCTAGCTCGCTTCGCCCAATCCTTCCGTTCACACCGGGCACGCCTGCGACCCCCGCCTTCTGTCACAGGCGACATTCGTTGGGTCCTCGATCTACTCAATATAACACCCAACGAAATACCGTTAATGCCACCCGAACCCACCGACATCGACTGGTGGGGCGATGCCAGTACCTCTTTTGGAATAGGAGTAACAGTGGGCTCATTATGGGCGGTGTGGCAGTGGAAAGAGGGCATCAAGATTGGCCCGAAACAGCGTTTCGACATCGCTTGGGCAGAGGCCGTAGCCGTCGAGCTTGCCCTTCGTCTCGCCTTGGAAGCAGGCTTGCTCCACCCAGGGCATTACCTTGTCAGGTCCGACAACTCAGGTGTAGTCGCAGTGCTGAATGCGGGACGAGCCCGGAACAGGGAAGTCAACGAAGTACTAAAGAGCATTTATGTGCTGCTAGCACGTCATGCCATCCATCTTTCGCTCATCCACATCTCAAGCCGAGCCAACGTCACAGACGCCTTGTCGAGGGGGGATATCCCAGCCTTCCTGACCGGGTTTCCAAAGGCCAAAATGAGGATGGTAGCACCACTTCCCCCACACCTTTCTGGCTTACTAACACCGTGTTAGCGTTCCCAATCCTTGTTCCCCCTGCATCCCATCCACCACTCATGGGGATTTTACAAGCCACCACTCCGACATTCCGTGCCTCCGCCCTTCGCCCCTCCGGCCGGCATGCAGAGCTGAGGAGAGGTTGTTCCGTTGGAAAGGTGTAAACACCCCACCACCATCGACAATTGACCATCCGACGATCAAACTCATAGCAGACATCGCATCGAGAGCATCACTACGAGACACCAAGAGCTACGGCTCGGGCTTACGCAAGTTCCATATATTTTGTGACACTTTCTCCATTCCAGAACACCAACGCCTACCAGCATCTTACGAACTCCTCCACTCATTCGCATTATGGGCAGTCACAGACCCAAATGCCCTAGACCCATCATTTTGCAGCAACATCGCCTTTGAACCAGTCTCAGTACCCACAATTCGGAAATACCTGTCTGCGATACGAGCATGGCACATTGCACAAGGATGGCCTGAACCCCTCTCGGAAAGTGACCAGGATCGGATAGATTGGTCCTTGCGGGGCCTCCAAAACATCTTTGGTAAACGCAGCCGACCTGTACGCCCACCAATTACCATTCCTATGCTACGAGCTCTCAAGCGGACCCTCAACCTCAATGATACCTTTGATGCCTGTGTGTGGGCGATGGCAGCATGTGCTTTCTGGGGTATGATGCGGTTCGGCGAGGTGTCAGTCAAATCCCGCAAAGATTTTAGTGGTGATAAACATCTTAAACGTCGAGACGCCTTCCTCGGGAGAGACCTGGATGGTCGCCGGTATGCTCGCCTTGACCTTCCTTCAGCCAAAACAGCAGCTGTTGGGGAAATTCAATCAGTATTTCTAGCAACACAATCGACATCCGACTTGTGCCCACTGGAGGCCTTGCATAACATGGCAAGAGTCACGCCCGCTACAGCAGATGACCCGCTGTTCTCCTGGAGGGACAAGTCAGGTAACATCCGGCCCATGGTCAGGGAAAGGGCATTGGAACGCATCAATGCCATACTCCAAGCCTGGGGATGGGGTACTACCTTCGGGCACTCCTTCCGAATAGGTGGAGCCTCTTTCTACCTCGCTCAGGGTGTCGACTCTGAACATGTCCGCCTCGCAGGCCGTTGGAAAACCACAGCTTATGAAGTTTACATTCGAGCATTCGAACTCATTACCAACCGCAGGATGGGCAACATGGATGTGCCCAATGTCCAAGCCTGATCCACCTCTCCTGTCGCTGTGCATAGTTGGGCTGGCGTCGCAATTGCGCCGCGGTTGTTTCCTCCTTCGTCGGTTTGTGGGTGAGCGGCCCAATTTGCTCCGTGTTCCGATCTGAGCTGACGCTCAGGCCCAGCCCAACCTATCAAGCTCGCACCTCGCTCTTCCTGCGACAGACGAGGCTGGATAGGCCAGGATCTTCTGGCCCTATTGAATGTTACAGTTGTGGGTCACTGGACGATCCATATCAATGATAGGTGACGATGGGAGTGGGATAGTACAGGATAGTACCTTGTAGTAAAATCCATAATATCATATGTGGTTGTCCGAACCATCGCTAGTTATACCAGACACGAGACAGCTCTTTTTAGTCGTGACAAGACTGAGACGACCGCGACAGGGAGTTGTCCAACAATCGAGTTTCCGACCGTCGACGCGGCTTAAGCGGCGCTTCCTCCGTGCTCCAAGTGTGGCTGAAAACTTATCGTTCCGATGGAGATAATTACTTTACAGCATCCCATTGCGTGCGGGGTAAAGTCGAGTTGTGTACGACGGTGGGCAACTTCATCATAGCTTGTCCACCTGACTGAAAATTCGCAAGGCACTCGTACGTTAAGTATGAGGCACAGGAAATATGGGGCGTTAATCAAAAAAAATTAGCGAAGACAGGGTGAATGACTGAAGACGGAGATGCAAGCCAGGGACATACCAGTCTGTCCACACTTGGGTTAGAAGGCAACGATGGGGACCCTAGAAAAAAGGACACATTCGACTGTTGCGGAGAAAGAACTTCGAAAGGAGCAGGGCAGGTAGGATAGTCATTCTGGTCATTTATTTGTCATGATATACACGTTCGTATTGAAAACTTTGCAAAGCCCTCACAGAGTATAGAAGAAACCTGGTTGACCCTCCAGCGGTTCCTGTCGCTTGCCCTCACGCATCTGGCGGTTAAGGCGAGTGAAATGTATTGTGGTAGCGCCGAGCAGGAACAGAAGCAAGCCCTGAGACCCCAGTGTAGCACCAAGGCCTGGAGCAGAGCAATCAGAGAGAATCACATTCAAGAACCTCTGAAAACGCACCTGGGATGTATCGTGGGTAGTCAACGGCTCGGAATACGGTCGTTGCGAGGATTCCTCCGATTGCACCAAGGGAAACGACCATAGCGGTTTGAACCGATCTTTTACTGTGCGACACCACGTTGTTGGAAGACTAGCCAACAACGGTCAGACAGAAGTTCCTGCGCAGCGGAAACCCAGGACTAACGTAAGCCAAGATAGTTGGGATCGCCCCCGAATTGCCGGCATTTGTCAGGAAAGCACCTAATGGAGAGTTAGTAAGACAGCACTCTTCCGCTGAAATCGCGCGACTTACCAAAGTACCTCACTTCATCTTGCTTCGCCCAAGCCAAGAGGCTAACACCCGTCAGGCAAACTACGACGCACAGTACGATGAATCCACTGCGATGTTTGTACCTGTCGGAGAGATACGCAACAAGCATAGTTGTAGGAATCTGAACGCCGGGTTAGAACGGGCCAAAAGAGAGTTGATTAGAGTATTATACTTACCGAAGGGCCATATGGTGGTGCACTCTATGACAACAGTGAGGAAGTGAATGTTAAATCAAAAGATGCTGGCATACCAGGAGTAGGGCAGCAGTTTGAGACCAACCCATTCCCCTGAGAATAATGGGGATGAAGAAAGATTGCGCATCTGGGATGAGAATGGGTGAAGATGAACAACACAGGAAATTCGCTGGCTTACAGGAGGGCATTGCCGCACACATGAACATGATACCTAGATAGCGCACTGGTTAACCATTGTTCGTGTAAGCATGCAACAATCTTAAATCTTACCGTACGCCCACAACGTCCAGTCGCGCAGATGCTTAAACACTATATGAGCGGTCAAAGGGTCAGGAATCGCGTCGCCACGGTCGTCGTCGATGCGCTTCAAGACAAGTTTCGTCTGCTCAGGCGTCAAGAAATTATTTTGGTCCGGGAACGCAGGAATATAGAGCCATGTAATGAGTCCCAAGAACAAGGTGATGAGACCTTCAATGATCTAGAAGGATGTGAACAAGATAAGCTTAGACTAGAAGGCAGGGCTTACGAAAATCCACCTCCACCCCTCAAGTCCACCCCGGCCCTTGAGCAGACTAAAGACATACGCAAGAATGGGACTCAGGCCTCCTGCGGTGACTGAGATCAAGTAAAACACTGCGAGGCTGAAAATCTCTTTGAAAACGAGATGAGAGTAAGTTCAGGTGGAAGAACGAACCGCTTGTGTACTTCGTGACGTTTATACCTTGACAAATATTAGTGACTGCATCGCGGCCCAATGTCCTCCGGCACATACCAGGCAGTGATAATCCAGAGGAGCGATGGGAAAAACGAAGCCTAAGCACCCACGTCGATCACTTTGAGTTTCTGTCCTAAACCTTTTCTCTCACCTCGAACACGCCTAATAGGACACGGCATAGAACCAGATAACCCCACGAGTATACGAATCCCATGCCAAGTTGGACAGCTCCCCATGACACGACGATGAATGTCAACCAGTTACGGACTCCAAATTTGCGCAAAACGAGATTCCCAGGCAGTTGGCTAGCGATGTGTTAGCGCGGAAGGCAGCGAGGGAAGATGGAGCGGACTCACAGGAGAATGTATGGGACAAAGTACATACAACTAATAATGCTGAAGCGGTCCCCTGTCATCAGTCCCTGATGCTCAAATTAGTGATAGGAAAAGCGAGGAGAGAAGTATGGGGCATACAAGGTCTACACCCATACCAGCAGTGTGAGCTGCTCCGAGGTTGATTCGGTCAATCAACGCAAAGGAGTAGACCATGGCGAGAACAGGGATTATTCGCCAATCCACGTAACGCCTATATGAACAAACTATGATTAGCAACGTCGTACTCGACAATATCGACAACCTTACATGGTCTTTCGCTCAAACTCGGCATCGTACTGCTCGTTCGACTCGAGTTTCAACGAGTCAACAGAGGACCCATCCTTCTCCGAAAGCTTGACATCCTTGTCGTCGCGCGTGGTCATCGTTGAGTCGTACTCGTTAGCGAAAGCAATTTGGAAAGGAGCAGAGAGGGTGGGAGACCAAGGAGAGGTTGGGACATTTTACAGGGTTTAAGTAGGCGAGGTGTCAATGGAAGCCAGGGAAGGGTAGAATTGAAACCATTTGGGCAGATCCTGAAGAAGGAAGGGTGACCCTGTGTCAGGGCTCATGCGGGTCCCGATGTTGATCAGACGCTTACCTACAACTCCAAATCTCTCCAAAGTCAAGGTTGTGGAAGGTGTAACCCAAGTATAGGTCTACCTAAAGCCTCCGAGTCTGTACGTCTCTTGCTGAATTTTTTCTTTCAGACCCAACCAAGAATAAAGACAACCTTCAGGCTGAGGTATCTTTTTTCAGGAGATCAACGTGTTGGGAGCGTTATTCTGGGCATCATTCGCGCGTTGGCGCCTCCGGATATTGACCTAAGTCCGCCTTGCGTCTTTCTCGAACTTTGATCATCCAAGATCATCGACCTGCGGACTGAACATGAGCGGGTGGGTCCAACGAGGTTGAATGGCTTTTCCAGACAAAGAAAAACAAACGGACAACAGACAGCTGGAGAGTGAAATTTCTGTATGAATGTGAGAAGAGAGCCTCGACAGGTCGCATTGACGCTCTTTCTGATGGCTCGCAAGCACGCTCCCCACGCAGCATATGGTCGAGGCCGACTCGCGATGTTGGAAGGACGCAGAAAATGTTCGTCCATGGTAGGTAGCGAAGCCTTCATGCAATTTGCAGAACTTCACTCCGGCCCGCTGACAAGGTATCTTGGTGAGAGAGAAAAAAGAGTGGGACGTAGCAATGTCTCGAACGCGCTACTGCATTGCACAGACCGCCCCGGTTTCTCGACTTGAAGTTGCATTTGCGCATAAGAACTAGATTCAGATTAAATGTCAAACAGATTGATCTTCCATAGAACTCGCAAGCGACCTCAAGCGCGTGGATCGCAAGTGCTTAAACCTCAACAAGATAGATTTCTCATTGTAACAAGATATCGATGAAAAGGAGATTATCGACGCAAACGTTGGGCGTTTGGCGTGCCCTGCACCATGGCCCAGCCCTGACTGAAGGGGATTAGAGGGTGTACATAAATCCCTCTTGGCCTTCCAGTGGCTCTGTCGCGGTCCCTTCAAGAATGGACTTGTTCTTGTACGAGAAGAACACTGTTGTTGTTTCCAGCAGGAACAACAAGAGGAACTGACAGCCGATTGTCGCATATATGCCGGGCATGTACCTTGGATAATCGACTTGCCGGAAAACGAGACTAGCGAAGATTCCTCCGATTCCGCCCAACGAAACGGTGACCGCTGTCGTTACAGCCCTTTTTGTGTGAGTAACAACGTTGTTTGAGGACTAAGCATTGCCGCGTTAACTGAGAACTGTCCAGGGGCCAGTATGAGGACTCACATATGCCAGAATTCCAATGACGCATCCTGAAGAACCCGCACTGGCGAGAAAGACGCCTAGAATCATGTGAACATCGCGACATTTTCTGAGAGAAACGGTATACCCGCATAGCGCCAGCCTGGACGAGGCGTAAATCCCATTAGGCACAATCCCGTCAATGTGATACAGGCCTGGATGGCAATTACCGCGGCCCGACGGCAATACTTGTCCGAAATCCACGAAAAGAGCATCGCGGTGAATGCCTGCGATATGCGAAATGAACGGAGTTGCAGAACGTCAAGGGAAAAAAATGACAGACTGTAAAGACATAAGGAGGTGCGCTCTGACGTTAGGGTGGTTGATCATCAGCACTTGATAAGCTTCTGGAATTTACGAAACCTCCTTACCAAGAGCATAGATTGGAGGGAGCTCCAGCCCATCGAGGATAGAATGATGGTCACGAACAAACTGGGTTAGGCGTCAAAGATGCGTAGATATCATGGTGACTAGAAATGCACCTGATGGCGTAGGCTGGCACCGTCGCGCACATATACATGAGGCCTACAGGTTCGACGGAAAGAAGATTAGCGCTGAAAGACAGAGATAGAGAGAGGCATACCAATCGCCCAGATCTTCCAATCCGATAAATGCCTGACCACTTTCTCAAATGTAAGGACATCAGGCACTGCGTCTCCGCGATCCTTTTCGACCCTCTGAAGGACTATGGATGTTTCTTCTTCGGTCAGGAAGTTGTTTTGGTCCGGGAAACCAGGCAGGAAGGCCCATGCAACGAAACCGAAACCAATCGTTATAGCGCCTTCAATGATCTAGACATTGCGAGTAGCCCTTGATGAGAGGTCCGCTCGACACGCAAAGAAGAGAGAGAGCTGCGCACAAATATCCAGGCCCATCCAGCAATTCCGTAAGTGCCATGCAGGAGCGACAGAGCAGCTGCGAAGACGGCACTAAATGCACCAAGGAAAATACCAACAAGATAGAACACGGCCAGCCTGTCCCCATAATTTAGCATCCCGTTCTGTCATCCGGATGCCAGGAATCACCATACCGTTTCTGTACTTCATGTCGTCTATACCTGCAGAGAATACGTAGAAGCAGGGTTGGCAAGCTGTCAACGGGGTGAACGGCCTCTAAACAGCTTACCAGGTTGAGATGATGTAAACCATAGCCGGGAAAAAGCCAGCCTGAATCGAGAGCGTTTAGTTTGAATTCTCGACGAAGCTATGCCAAACCTCAAAGGCTCCGAGCAACACTCGACAGAGTGCTAGATAACCCCAGCTTGGCACGAATCCCATGGCCAGCTGAACGGAACCCCAGGCGATAACGAGAGAAGCAAGCCAGTGGGTGCCTCCGAGTCTACGCAAGAATAAGTTGCTGGGGAGTTGGCTAGCCAGAGCAGGATGGCGTCAGCTGATAAGGTCCCCGCTCAATCCATCCCACCGTTACATACAATAGAATATATGGTACGAAAAAGATGGACGAGAGGATGCTGTAACGAGACCCTACGTTCAAATGCTGCGAAATCATAAAATAGGTTAGGTTATTCCCGTTACATCATGGATCTGATAACATACAAGATCATGGTTCATTCCGACCGCGCGAGCTAATCCAAGATTCGACCGGTCAATCAGTGAGAGTGCAGACAAGACCCCAAGGAGCGGTAATATTCTCCAATCCACTTTACGACTGTGGAAGAACCGCATGAGTGACCTAACTTGAGACTTGGATGCAAGATGAAGAGGTTACACTATTGCATTGACTCGGCGTTCAGATTCCTCTGTCTTAACTTGCGTTTCAATGTCGGACTTGGACGGCCCAACGTCGACAGTGTGGCAGACCGTAGTTCCAGAAACCGAGAGCGAGGGTGACGTAGCCATTGTTGCGAGTCTAAAGAACAGGAAAGTTGGCCGTAGAGCTACTGGCTAGGCCGCGAGCTGTCAAGAGGGACCAGATATCGTTAAGCTCTTATACTTTCGACCATGATCGATAATGGAAGGTTATGAGCTCGATAAAGGCAGCATAGAATTCGCGCAGAAGGCGACAAGACACCGATTAGAAGTAATCGGTCATCAACTGGGCGACAGGCTTATCACCGAAGAAGTCAATGTGCATAGGTGCTCCTCTGAGGGATTTTTACATCGTTTGAGTTTATGCAAGCTGAAGCAACACCGTGACGGTTTGGCTGTGCATTGTGATAGCAGAAATGCGAAAAACTGTGTTTGAGAAAGGTGAAAATTCGACGGAAATGCTGAAAAGTCAAAGAACGAACCTGCAAGTAACCACATGGACCAGAGCGAGACTCAGCAGTCACGAACCGGGAAGACGTGTATGCGGTTCGCTCTTTGCTCCACCGGAATACATCGTGCAGCAGCACCTGGCCAAAATGCCCGAATCCATCGCAGACTATAGACATCGATGGGTGCACTGCTCGATCGACATCCAACCACAAGGCCGACAAATCAAGCTCGAGTCGACACCTACTCCGCCACCACCGACGAAGCCAAAATAACTCGCCTCAATCAGCAATAAGGGACATTCATTTCATGCTCATTAATCAGTTCCCTAGACGAAATGAAGGTGAACAGGTCGTTGAAGCCTTTTTAATTGGAATCGCTAAGTCCTTGTTCGAAAAAATGACAGTGACTGCTCACCATGTATTCCGTATCTCACCCAGGCTGGCACGGCCAACCGGTGAATTGGATTCCTGTAAATCAACCGGGGTAGCTGACGAACGCAGAGTGCGACCTCAGCCACTGTCAGTCGGCTGATAAGAGTTGCGTGCTTCCGAATCCTAACGGCCTGTAGATGCATCAATTGACCGGCTCCGAACGGCCGAGGAACTGGTCGAAAAGAGGAAAGATATGCGATTTGTAGACAGGTGCTGAACCGATCCACTGCCTCGTTCATTTCCGCCGCCTTGTGGGTGCACTGATTCACAGTAGGCACGAAGTCGCACATAGTTTGACCATGTTGGTGTTGGTGTTGGTGGAAGGGCTCAAGCGAATGCGGAGAGGCTGTATGGTCTGCTGAAGTTCTGTGGGTGCTTGGTCGTTGACGTCTGTATGCATCCAAGAGCCCCTGTGCAGTGCGCCGCTGTCACCTGAGGTCTTGTGTTCTAACGACAAAGGGAGTCCTGTCGCCAAACCAGTAGTGATCTATCCGGAGTCGTTTCGCTCTGCTAGTGTTTACATGCACGGTTCAAATGACAGTGAAGCACTAGATCTTCAGGTAGAAGAAGTGAGAAATCTCCTAGCAGTCCAAATTGAAATAGAAAAACAAATATTGACACACCCTCCCTAAATCTAATTCCATGTACATTTTGCGTTCTATGAAACGGCCTCCTTCTTTGAACCACTGGCGGTGACCTCCCTTTCCCTTTCTTTCCCCTTATCTGGACTGGGATGTGCCGATGTATTGGCACCCTCGTCTTGATAAAGGCCATGTTCCTCGATGTAGTCCACAACCGAGTTGGGTAATAAATAGCGAACAGAGAGCCCTCTTCTTAAGAAAAGCCGGACCTTGTACCATGGTTAGATCGAGTGACCATTTTCGTGACCAGGCCATGCTCACTTTAGTAGACGATACATCGTTTTGGATAAGCTGGGAGATGAGGTGGATGTTGCTCCGCCAACGCGCCAGGGCATCAGTAGCTTGATCCATCGCCGTACCTGCGCGCTCTACAATGAAGCATCCGTATCGTCCCAGAATATGTTCGAGCTGAAACCCGAAACTTGAGTCATGACAAGATTGTAAAAATAAACGGGACCAACATCCGAGTATGCCCACACGCCGGGCTCACTCATGGTCCCAATAAGATCGGAACCTGCCAACAGCATGACGCGGACATTCCGATGCTCCCCGTCCTCGGTATGCACACCGCCCAGCACCGTGTTGATCTCATAGTCAAAGTGATCCAACACGATAGCAGTGCGCTGGTATGATTGGAATGCTTCCCATGAGTCGACCATCAGCCATGTGTTGGAATCCTCGGCGCCCATCGTGCACATATTCACCCTAGAGGTAAGTAAGCATCAGAAAAGCACACCATGTTGCAAGACGGAAGGGAGCGGGAAGGGAGGGCTCAAGGAAATAAGCGTCATAGGACTTCGGAAGAATGCCCGAAGCCGGAACCTCGGAAAGATAGTTTCTCAAGGGCTCGCCGGCGCAGCACAGGCGGTACAGATATGGTCGTCTGACAAAGCCAGATGGAAATGAGGAACCCACCGGTGGCGAGCACTGAGCAAACCAGGCTTCTTGTACATATCGCTCACAGGGCTGAGATAACCACCAACGATCTCGAAGTCGGTGTTTTGCCTGACATGGTCCTTGGCCATCTCAAACATGCGGAGATGGAGGTACGTGACTGGGCTGAACGATCCACACGCGACCAAGACTAGTGGGGTCTTATTTGGGTTGCGCAAGACTCTGGAGAGTCGGTGGTGGGGGAAGGTGTAGCCCGGGGGGTTGGTGAAGGACTCTGTGAGGTGGGCGGCCATGGGGGGACGGGGAGGGAAAGAGAGGGTGGTGGTGGTGGTCAGAAGGGAGGGGTAAGAAATTAGAAGGAGTAATGTACGAAACTGAAAAGCATATTCAGCTGAGCAATTATCAGCCCTCATGACGATGAAGCAATGCGTTCCCACGCCTCTCAGCCAATTAGCTCCCCTTCTGAATTCATTTCTGATAGTCCACTGGTCGCCGTCGCCCAGTGGGGAACCGTGTCGTCAGAAACCACTTCTCTCGCCCTCTTAGATCCCTCGTATGAAAGCCAATCCCGGCACAAACGTTCTGCCTTGCCAACAAAGTGAGATGAGTCATGTCAACGGGCGTCTACCCAATTAATCATAGCGGCCCTGTAAGGTCTGGGCCTATCTTATCAGGAATCAGATCATCTGACTTCAAGCAACCAATACAAACTCGTGAAGCACGCTTCATTGCAGCAACATTTCCTATTGGTCCTCAGACGAAGATATATTTTACCGGCACTACCTGCAGCACGAATTTAGACTACATAGCCACTGGGATGGGATAGCAGCTTTGCCAATATGTATGTAGGAACACCAAGCATACTCTGCGATAGTTTAAATTTCAGGAACTATCAAGAAAACCTTCTGGGCGCTAATCATACAAACGCTTTACTTAAATGATTCGTCGAAGCCTTGTGTCGGACTCGAAGCCGAGTGCAACTTGAAGTGTTCGTGGGAGAGCGGAGTTTAGAACCTCCGCCGATGCAGCGATGCCGTTAGCACCTGATGTCATCCACTACACACTTGATTTAGCTTATGAAGTGGCCCAAGTTTGTTACTGTCTATCACCTCATAGCCTGACGAAAATGCCAGCGAAGCGTCCATTAGCGGTTACACGTTCAAGATCATATTCCAGTTCGTCCGAACGCTCTCGAAAACGCTTTCGATCGAGTTCCCTAGCAGGATCATTGGACAACGACGACGGAAACTCTCCGCTTAAAGTATACATTGTACAGGCCAAAATTGATCAAGATGAGCTTCTGGAGCTGTTCAGTTTCGTTGAGAATCAAGGAAATGAAGAGCCCACAGGCTTCGAGCAGAGGCTTCAGCTAGAGTTGTGTAGCGACTTCAAGGACGCCAACATCATCATTACGAAAGTTCGAATGAGGAAGCGGCTGGAGAGGCATATCGACTGGGGCATCGCTGTTAGTCATGTTGCTTTTCTCGAAACCAATATAACGCTGGAAGCTTGTGTAGAAACAGAAAGCCATCGTAACGCCAGACTGGCTTCGGGAATCAGTGAAGCAAGGCCATCCAGTCGAATGCGGGGCCTACGCAGCTCTGGGTGAATTGCACGAGGAGACCGTCGAGCATTGTCCCGAGGCGGAAGCGCCATCAGACGACGCCAGTGCAACTATGGTCTCATCATCGCGTCCTCCATCGCCCATCGCATATAAGGTTTCCTCTGTGAAGCCAACCCACCCGCGCGTATTCAAGAACTGGAAGTCGCGCTACGCATGCGCGCGCGCTTCTCCTCTTGTATGCGTCAACCAGCAATTGGCCGAAGAGCTTGATGTCCTCCGTCGGTCTCGCGAGCTCGAAGGACTCCGGGTGAACGCGCTGAGCTACGAGCGTTCCGTTGCGGTATGCTTTCTTTGCATCTTCTGGACGACATGCGATTGATTCGTCTTGCAGATAATCAAATGCAAGTTCCTAAGACATTCCTTGTACTCGGAACCTCACGAAGGTGTGATGGTACAGCATATCCCGAACTAATAACGCGCGAAACGTTCGAGAGGGACATCGTCAAACTACCAGGTTTTGGCGATAAGACTCTTTCCAAGGTAGGGCCCTGGGCTCATTTCTCATTCTGCCTGACTGTCCTGATCTCGTTTGCAGATAAAAGAGTTCTTGGATGACGGTTTCATCGAGGAGTGCCGCAAGTCTATTGCAATACCTAACCTCTTCTTCCATATAACTGAACAAAATCCCCACAGAAACCACCCGCGAATCAGAACGGTTCCAGTCCCTCTCGACCTTCGCCTCAATCTACGGAATCGGCCCTGTCAAGGCACGCAAGCTATACGACCTTGGACTGCGCACTATTGAGGACCTCGAGAGGTACTACGACGTGCCAGCAGGCTTAACCGCCAACGATCTACCCGAGCTGCAAGAAACTGCTTTGCTCACTCCGAATGGGAACAGAATACCTCAGCCACTGATGTCCAGTGCGAAGGGAAAAGGAAAAGATGTGAAGCTCCCTGACATGTCCGTCAAGATCGCCCTCGTGTTGAGGGAGGATTTGACGACACCGATTCCTAGAGAAGAGGTGGAAGAGATGCACCGAGTTGTCATGAAGGTGCTGGAAGAGATCCAGCCCGGTTGCGTTAGTACGATTGTCGGCGGGTCAGTACATTCTCACTTTCGCATCCTGCTAAATAACCAAATGAGTGTTTTGAAACAGATACCGACGTGGAAAACCCCAAAGCAATGATGCGGATATCATTATCAGCCACTCTGACCTGAAGAGCGGAGCCGGATTGGTGAAAGGACTGTGCACCAAACTAACGCAGCGACTATATGCGAAAGGTATACACCGTTATGCCCCTCTGAGGTCGCCGTTTTCTAAAGCCACTGGGCACCAATGCAGGACTAGTTACTCATCTAATGCGTACGCTGCTTCTCGTTGCTTTCCTTGCCTCAAGATCAGCGGTACTGAGTTCATGCAGACCTGTCCGGGTTTCACGCCCACAATGCTCTCAAGACGGGGCACTGGGACTCGCTCGAGAAGGCCCTAACGGTCTTCGTCCTCCAGTCTAATGGCAAGCAGAGGCGCATTCACAGACGGCTAGATTTGATCTTTGCTGCTCCTGAAGCTTACTGGACGGCCGTGATTGGGTGGTGGGTTTGCCACTGCAATCCAGACTTTGTCACTGAGGATAACAGATGCTTGCACACAGGTCCGGCTCAAGGATGTTTGAAAGGGACCTGAGGCTGTGGGCCAAGCAGGAGAAGTGTGTGCATGTCATTGATTTCCTGCGGCAGTCCATCTAACTCACAATTTCTCCAGAGGGATGAAGTTCGATAGCTCTGGATTGTGAGTAGCAATGGTCTCCGTTTGGCATTGCCATCGTTGAAGTGGAAAGTAGGACGAGACGGCACGATTCTCGATTATACATCCCGCGGAGTGAGCAAGAGGTCTTCGATATTCTGAGTCTGGACTGGGTTGACCCAACGATGCGTAATGCTAACGCATGATCATTTTTTCATTCGATGCTGGTTGATGTTCCAAGTTTCAGTTTGACTGCGAGGGTGTATTTCTACGATTGTAAGTGACACCGCCAACGAGATTTGTATGTACTCGAGAATTGTATTTAACATTACCATATGATCAGAGTTCTTGCTTCAGTTGGCGAATGCAGGGATGCCTGTTATGGCCTTGCCCAAGATGAGGGTGTGAATGTCCTGGGTGAAAAAGATTAATGCATGGGGGCTTCGACAGAGCGCTTACACTTACGTATGTCCCTGAAAAGAGGAATGGGTTATGGCGCCTTAAGCATCTCCGCCATGCAGTGCGAGAATAAGGTTAAAGGCTCACCTTCGTACGTATTTGTCACTTGCAAATTCGCGACATGACGGCCTATGTGATACCTTCATGGCCGGCGCAGAGTCAGTCAGCTCAGGCAAAACCACCAGGGGAAATGGAAGGATGGTCCGACAACTTACTCGTCTGCGGATGCATTCCCACCAAGAATATCCAAGACGATACGGGCATGCTGCAGTGCTTTTCCACAGTTGTTGCGTTTGACCATGCTGATCATCTCTGGTGCAACCTTGCCCTCGTCCTTTAGTCTACCAACCTGCAAACTCGCTTGAAGGCCGAGTGCAACCTCAGTGTGGGCGTCAACAAGTTTCTTCTGCACTAGCTGGAAGGAGGCAAGAGGGCGATTGAATTGGTGTCGTTCAAGAGCGTATGCGCGTGTTCGTTCGATACAGTCCTCTAGAGCACCCATCACACCCCATGAAATGCCGAATCTGGGAGAATGTCACGAACCAACTACAGCACAGGTACAAGAGAGCATACCTGGCCGAGTTTAAGCAAGAGAAAGGTGAACCGAGGCCCTTCGACTTGGAAAGGAGTGCGTCGTGTGAGACCTTGACTGAATCCATGAAGATGGACCCTGTCACAGAAGCTCGCAGAGCAACCTTGTTCTTGATAGCAGGTGCAGTCAAGCCTTTCAAGCCCTATCAGGAGAGGCGCTGAGTCCAAATAACCACTCTCGGGCTTCACTCGATAACTACCTTGTCGAGGATGAACCCACGGACTTTGCTGTCCCATTTGCATCTTGCCCAAATGATGAAAACGTCGCTTCAAGAATCACTTGAGGAAACTTCCTCCGCAAGAATAGAGGGCGGAGAAGCTCACGCGAATGGGGCATTGGTAATCCACGTCTTGCTCCCGTTGAGAACGAAACCGCCATCTACTTCTTCGGCAGTTGTCTCCATGCCTGCAGGATCTGAACCGTGGTTCGGCTCCGTGAGGCCCTGAACAAAAAAAATAAGGCGCGCCGAAGGGTGTAGACGAAGAATTGCACATACAAACGCGCCGACAAGCTCGCCCTTTGCTATTTGAACGTCAACGTCGTGCAACTCATAAAACAACGGGAGTACGGACCGAGGCGAGGGAGATATTCTTCTTTCTGTGCTTCCGATCCAAATTCGTTAACGGGGTGCATGACCAACGAAGATTGGACGGAGGCAGTAGAACGGTATCCAGAGTCCACTCTAGACCGTGATCAGCGCGAGTGTCGCAAAGAAAAATCAAGTGCACACACCTCTCAATCTCCCGAGCGATGAGACCGTACGCAACATTGCTAACTCCAGCACAACCGTATCCTTGAATTGTCGGACCTAGCAATCCCAGCTTGCCCATCTCTGGAAGGATATCATGGTCGATTTCTAATTGTTTACCGAGTCAGAGCGGCGCAGCTATATATAAGTAAAGTCTGGACTCACCTTCTGTTCTCCAACCCTTCAGCACCCGGGGAAGTAGATTCTCCTGTTGAGCCATGCACATTTGAGCACCAGGTTCCAGACTGCAACAGAACAAACAAGACATCTCATACTTGACAATACTGGTGAGCAGTATCCCTAACATCTTTGTCAGTTAGTCGAGAGGTGAAATGAAGACCCATACGACTCACCTAATTGCGATCTCCTCCTCAGTTAGTAGCGACTCCAGGTTGAATGGATCCTATATCAGCTATAAGCAAGGGTCCAACGGTATTTGGCTGTCTCGCTTGCCTCCCAGTTGAATCTTGCGAAGCCTAGCGCAAGTTCAGAACCAACACGAAGAGTGCGTGCCTGTAAACATACCAGACGCGGCTCGGCGATCACATCGAGTCGCTGGTTGGCGTGAGAGGCATGAGCGAGCGAGACGCGACGATTGCAGACGAGACACAGACAACATTTCGGGTCAATGAAGTATGGAAGAAAGAAGTAGAAAGAGAGGTTCAATTTATGTGTGTGAGGAGACGGAAGTGGAGAAGATCCGGATATCCGTACTACTCCGTAGCCGGTTTTGTAAGTAAACCCATGTGACCGTGCGTGAAGGGGTCGACTCCAATGAAAAGTATCTCTGTCCCTCTCATTGCTTGCATACCAGTGGAGCCTCGACTAGTACCGCTTTCAACCACTGGTTGATGAAGAGATTATGTTGCAAAGCAAAAGTGCTTCCAATCATATTCCTTTCGATCATCATTCGACGCTACTAGAGACCTCGGTACCTGGCGTTCATCAAAGAAAAAAGTGGGCGATGGATAAAACAATGTGATGAAAGGTGTATTGTGAACTGTGGTTCATACTGTCGAGTGGGCATGCAAACATGTCATATTTTGCAACATACAATACGAAGAAACGGGAGGGCATGCAGGTACAGTGGAGCGCTTAAATGTTCGAAGGGTAGAGCATCTGGTAAGATAGGGAATGAGTTTACCACAGAACACATAAAGTATATGTGCACACACCACTCGGACACTGGCACCAAACGCGCGTGGGGGGAGGTTGCTTCGGAATTTCGACTTGACGACACCTGATGAACCGTGTGGTCTGGTTACTCGTCTGGGTTCCGTCAATAAACTGAATCCTCTTCAGCTCGTTGTAAGTCTACTTACCCCCAGATGACACGGATTTTTGAGCCTTGGATTTCCCGCTTCGCCTTGTACACATAGGCGATACGCTGCAGCAAACGTATGCCTAGAATCAGTATAATGTCCACAAGTAATCGCATCCAGTACACACCTTGCCCAGGTAGAATTGTGCATCCTCCTTGTTGGCGACACCCTCAATCTGTATCAGCGAAGTATTGGGGCGAGAGTTGCGCTTCGCGCGCTTGTGGCCGAGGACGCGGCCTTTGCTGTACAGTCTGCGGAATTCAAAAGCCTTGAATCAGAACTTCATTTTCCAGTCGAGTCGAAGCACGGGACGAGCAGAATGGCCTGAGAGGTGCGTCCACGGACTGTTCCACCAAACCGTCATCCAAAGTCCCAGCTTGCAATCCATCCCTTCCTCCCTCGCAAATCCGCCATTTGCCCTCCAGACGATTCCTACACCATTGTTGATGCGTAACTCACCTAGTCGAGCCCATTTTCAGTCTTGAGGGGCGTCGTTCAATCTTGAGGGGGTGCTTGTGTTGTCACCACAATCGTGAGCTGCCATCACGATGAGCCTCCGCGGCAAACAAGTGTAATCTCCGGGCCGGTATTTCCGTCAGTTTTGAAACTCCGCCATGAAGTTTAATTTTGCCGAGGCAAGTTCCAAAAATAATCCCGCCCTTGTTTGTTCATCGCAAAGTCTCCCCGCCTGCTTCATGCACGATCGCTCTCCTTCCTTGCCCTTGCCAACCCTCGTACCCTGGCTCCAGCTCATCGTGCGTCTCGTATTGTCCTCGCCCGTCCTCGCCCGTCCTCGCCCGGCCCTCGCCATTGTGTTACCGTCTTCCTGTGTCTCCCTCGCTGTCCTAACCTCGTCGCCATTCAACCCGCGATGGCCACCGTGGGCGTCGCCTGGTCGTAACCATCGTCTCGCCACCTCCGCCGCTCTTCATGCACCCTCGTTGCTGTCGCACATGTTGTTAAATAGATGAGGGGGTGTACGAGCAACGTGAAACCAGGCGAGGGGTCTTGGCGGGATGTGGGCTCGGGCAGGCTTTAGATGGGGCTACGGTGTTGGGCGTGCGGAAAGTGGGTCTCTTGGCGCTCCCCGCTCTTGCTTGTTTCTACACTGTCCTCGTCCTACAGCCCCGCTCACCCCGCTCTGCTCGCTGTTGTGTTGTCCTCCGGCCTATCTCTCCCTTGCCGTTGTTGCGATCACACTGCCCTGCCCATCGCCCTCGTGTTGCTCTCGTTCCTGCCTTCGTGCTGTCACCTCCACCACTGTGGCATCATCCTCCTCAAACGGCTGTATCATCCTCACCTCGCACCACCTCGTGCTTCTCAACGACTCGTGATGCCCAGCTGTGGACGACGGAGACAGTGGAGGAGGAGGGCGTCAATTTGGAGGCGGACCCTGCACCTGAAAAGGATTCGAGTGAGCCTCGCTGGTCGCAGAGCACACGCGCACTCCAGGTTGCTTTGTAGGCTTTCATTTTGTGTCGACATGTTCTATTGATTTGTATCTTTTTTACTGCTCAATAATATAATTTCTAGTTTCGCCATGGCATCGGCGTGCATCTATACTTGTGTGAAATATTATTTTGGCGATGGCGATGCCTGGACTCAAGAGATTTCGGGGCGGTGGCCTTTAGAACTTGGCTGCTCCTGCCTAGGTGGCCAAATAACAAACAAAGGCGGGGCGGGCTGACAAATGATTCCAGAATTCCGACTTCCTAATCAAAATTACAGCTGTTTCGGAAAACCTTGTCCATCACTTTTTTTATTTTTTTGGGCTGCGACCGGTCATGTGCTGATGGCTGCCATTTTGGGCTACGCATCAATGACGAGCTCCGTGAGCCGCGGGAGCATTGTTGAGCGATTCCCTGCCTCCTGGCCCAAATATCGTCATTTAAACTTTACAGATAGGGTTATTGTCGACGCCCAATGTTGCGTCTACCTGGTGGGGCTCGTCCCGTGGGCGTTCGGAGCCTGAACTTCCCACAGCGTGTTTCCGCGCCTGAGGAAGAGGTTGGGTGGCACGCTTGGACCCAAAAATATACTGTTTCACCTCAAATTTGGCACATGCTCTCAGAAGAGCTCCTCATCTATAACGCGCCCAGATTTCAAGTGCCAGGACGTCCCGTAGATGCTCAAATGGCCAGCTTGAATCTCTGTTGTCTAAATACGGTAGTGTTGATGGCTCCCACGAAAGCTCCCCAGGCTCACATGATGTCTCGCGGCTCAAAAAAAAAGAAGTTGTGATGGACAAGGTTTTCCGAAACAGCTGTAAGCTTCCTGGCGGAGATTGAACAACTTATTTCCGTCTGCTTTTCTGGGTGAGTGGCGAGTGGTCAATGTATTCCTCTGGCTCTCAAAGACAATCTCGAAGTATCGAATGTTCCGGATAGTGAAGTAATATACACAACACCAGTAAATACATTGGCCAGGCCCTTTGCTAAAACTCGCCGGCCCCAACAAATGACTCTCTCCTCACAGGCGAATGCGTTTTCGTGGGGCTCATCCTATCCACCACCGGGCCCAGCCTTGAGGATGATGGCGTCCTTGGCAACGAAGTGTCGCCGGCTCTCGGTGAACTCATCTGTATCGGCGTCCCGTTCGCAGCGTCGACGAGGGTAATGATGTCCTCAGCTTCCTCATCCTTGATATCCCGTTCCCAAAAGTTCTTCACCTTGGGCGCAGGAGTCTTCGGTGCTTCCGAGGTGGCGTCAGTAGCACCTGGAGAAGAAGATCGAGATCGTCTGAGAACAGCTTCCCATGCGCTAGCAATTGGTCCTGCGTTCTGGTTCTTGATGTTCGCCTCAACGACGAGTGCTTGGATCTCAGGTGAAAGTTCCTCAAGTGTCTTGGTGGCTTTTGCAGGTTCGAGCGGTTGCATTCGTGCAAGAGTCGGAACATGATATGGTTGTTTTGAGGATGTAGACTGGACGGATTGGAGAATGGTATGCAAAATGATAGAGGCTGCAAGACGCTGTGAGTAGGTAAATATAGTATCAGAATGAGGTACATTACCTTCACGGTCTGCAATGGCAATCGTCCCATAAATTCTTTCCCAAATGCTTCGCTCCAACGGCGTCAGTTTTCGTCCATCTGTACCGTCGTTACTCAATAGGCGGATAAATGTGGGTACAACTCGACTAAGAGCAACACTAAGGAACATGAAGACTTGGTGCAAGAAGAGGATGTGCTGGTAGGGCACTCGACTTGGGAAGAAAGTCTGTAGGATTGAGAAGGAGCTAAATGAGAGTGGGCTTGACGGTTTCGCAAGGGTGTTTTGAGGGGATGTCGAGAAGAAGTACCCCCGAGATGGCAGGATGTTTGATGACGTCGCTGGGAAAGGAGCGAGAATGAAAGAGAGTTCACCTGCTAAGAGAGCAGCGAAGAGGACATAACGCCACTGAGGACCCTTTCAGCATCAAATAAAAGATAGGAAACGATAACATACGAAAGAAACGACGCTAGGTTGGCCAATGGCAGACCAGAACAACAGAGCAATACCCGCAACAATATGATATCCAGACGACACCATCAACCCCTGGTGCAGAAATTCACGCGTCGTTTTGCAGGTCTGTCTCCATGAAACAGCCTCAGGCCCGAAACTGACGATTCCTCGTTAACACAGGTTGGAGAATAGGCAAGAATGGCACACACCGATCATATGCAAATCGAACCGTAGGATCCTTTAGTGCTTCGAACGCGTCCCTCACATACATGAACAACGCCTCTCCACCCTTCCCAACACCCGGCCTATCAGGGTGGAAGCGCTTCGCGAAAGCCCTGAACGCCAACTTCAACCCATTCTCGTCCACAGTAGGTGGGACGCCCAGGATCTCGTAGAAGTTGGGTGGCATTGAGCGCGCACTCTGCACGAGGGTGTACGTGAGATACCCGAGTATTACGACTGCGAACGTGATAGCATAATGTCTGCGGTGCTGGATGCTGCCTTGGGGCGGTGGTGTCACGACGCGGATGGGCGACTGGTAGTAGATGAAGTTCAGGAGGTGGCGAGTTGCGAAATCGGGAATGAATGTCCAGCCTACGAGGGAGGTCACTAGGTTGAAAGCCCCCATTACTTAGACCAGGAGTAGGATAACCGAAATACGGTTCGAGGAGCGCGACCTGCAAGGCTGGAAAGGCTGCGTGGTGGTTAGCTCGGCTTCAAATAAACAGAGAAGGGTGATCTCACACTGTAGCCTACGGCTGGCTTCCACGTATTGACAGAGAGCCTCTTCCAACTCCGAGAGTGTTTAGGGCTGCCGCAATAATCTTGGGAATGCAGTAAACTGTCAGGAACTGCCCACTTGCGTCGTCGGAGCGCGCCACTTAGTGGCAGTTGAAGGAACACTTACACAGTAACACAACGCGCTTGCGTGATCACAGATGGCAGCCGGCCCGGGATCCCGGTCAAATCTCAATAGGGAGACGCAGCGGTGCACCACAAGGGTAAGAATTCTCAATTCCTTCCTTTTTTGATTTCTTTTATTTCTTTTCATTCTTTTTATACCCAGTACTTTGAAAGGTAAATCCTTAGGGATCAGAGATTTTTCAGTGAGTAACGAGCTTGGAATTAAGATCATGTATAAATCTTCTACGTGGGCTAGCGAGGACCCAAAAAAATCTCTGCAGGATACCTGCACCTACCGACGGAACAACCTCCAAATCTTGCCCAAAATACCTGTCTCCTCTTCTGGTGGGGGTAGTTCCTCTGTCTCAGCTTTGCTTGCGAGCTCTGACCTCTTGGGTTGTTTGATCTGAGGCTTCGGTTGCTTCCTGCGCACTGGCGACGTCGACATTTGCAAGAGCTTCGCGGCGTTAAGCTGCTCCCTTAGCGCCTCTCTGGCGGACATTTCCTCGGGCGTCAGTGGAACTGGCTTCTTCGGGGCAGCTGTCTTGACTGGGGTGGGTGTTGGAGGAGACGGAGGAGCGGAGGATTTTGGTGCTGTTTTGACAGTTGGAGGTTCCGAAGGGTCTGAACGCCCCGGGGTCGAAGGTGCAGGGACAAAAGAGGGAAAAGGCCCTTTTGGAGCTGATTGTATCCAGTCTTTCTTGGAAGGAGCTCCTGTCTTTTCCAGGAGCCCAGCGAACACTGCCGAACCTGACAGACCGGAAGTCGGGGCTGCTGAGGTTCTCGTCGGTGCGGATGGCGCAGCTTTGATGTTAATGACACCAGGATTAGGAAGTCCAGTATAGTCTGCCGAGACCTGCAGCGCACTTCGCATATGCACCTGATCGAGGTCGGTCTGCCCAACGATCTCTGACAACGTTATTCGTCGTTTCGGGTCGATGGGCTCGAGTGGAGCGAAACCTCCCCAGCGTAGGAAGGCTTCCATTGTCCGTCGTGACGTGTTTTGATATATGTGGGATTGCCCACTGAGGTCCATGTAGTCCTTCTCTGCTCACGAAAGAAATGCTGACCTTCAGTTTCATCCTAGAACAGATATGTTGGACGTACCATCGCGATTTATCCGTGCCCCGATGTAGTTCTTCGCCTCCGCCGGGTCTTCCGGGAGGGTAGGGAATTCGTAGTTCTTGCCGTACTCCTCCGTCAGCGTTAGCGGTGTTATGTCCTCCAGCCCAATCTCATACGTCGACTTCGAGACGCCCGAAGTGCGCACAAAGAATTCTACTCCTTCCTCTGGTACGCGCTTCAACGAGTCAGGGTCCATGAAAACCACCCATGCAAAGAGCTGGTACTGTTCCACCATCTCAAAGTCCTGCCGAGTGCACAAACAACCTATTGAGCAACGTCAAGTTGCAATAAAAGAGTCTGAACACACTTTTAGAAAATGAACCTCTAGAATCCTCCCATACTTCCGCTCGACAGCCTGTATGAGCGCGTAGGCATCCGCAATATTCTTCACAGGTTTCCATGTGCGTATGTGTGCTGTACGGAGGTTGTGTCGGGGGTTGATTCGTTCAGCCCGTTCGGCACCGTTCCCAGTTCTCCTGAGCACTGGTGTAGGCTCCTTTTCCGGTGCAAGGGGAGGTGAGGTAGACGATGACGATTCGGGGCTTGACACGGCAGACTCGGAAGGAACAGTGGAAACCAGGCGCACACTGAAGTATTGAAGCAACACCGAGCGACAAGGTGCGGCGCGTCTAGACGCGCGCAGGGACTGCGAGAGGATCCTCCCTGACATTTAAGCGTCAGGAGACCGCAGAGGAGGCGTATAAAGGACAGAGGGACTTGGTGAGTGTTGACCAGGTTTTTTTGGCTTTCGGGTAACAGGGGTTAGGGTTCGGCTCGTCTCACGAGAGTGACTTCAATTTTTGAACCTCATTCTTATCATGGTACCAGAGCCTAAGGGTCGATTTTCTGCCTACAGACAAAGCTTGACCACCATCTCAGTGCGGACAGGAGCCCCTCTCCCTTCTCTCATTCTTTCATTCGGAATTCTACATGAACTTACCGCCATCGTACCACTCGTCGGATTCTTCTACGGTGCACGGGCGCTCGGGATAGGGGAACGCGTCGTCGCTGCCGTTATCGAGGACCGACAGACCGGGCGTGCAACGAACTCAGATGGGGTGATAGGTTCTCTACTGGATGATGCAAGGCCGAGCTGGGCAAAGCAGAAGATGAGGGCTTGGGTGGAAGAGGGCGATCGGTGGGCTATTCGGATTGGGAGACGCTACGGGGTGTTCGGATACGAGAAGCGGGAGCCTGGTGTCAAGGATGACGTGGAGGAGATGTCTAAGGTGTCGCTGTCGAGACATCTTGCAGGGGATGTGGCCAATGCAGTCTTCGCGTATGGTGCGACAAAGGTGAGATATTGGATGGGCTTGTCATGGATCCATCTAAGATTGCTGTTGTAGGCCTTACTCCCTTTGCGTCTAGGTGCCTCGATCTACCTGTCACCTATGTTTTCTAGAGGAATTATTGAACCTATACGAAAAACCATTCTGCAAACATTCCGTCGCTCTTGATGTTTACATATGGCCGTCCAAATTGCCAATGACCTCAGTCACACCATTTTTGTGAGCAGACCCAGGCTGTCGCTTCACTCTTCCCTCCAGATGATTGACCAACGACGTCAGATTTTTATTTATTATGCCCAATCCTACCTATCATCCTACCTGTCGTCCTACCTATCGACCTCGTCCCTCGTCGAAACCCTATTTTCCTTTGTTTGTCCCACTCCCCAGCCTTGACGAAATCTGATTCAGCACTTCGTCATTGACCACCACCATCAACTTAGCCCGCAGGACATGAATAACTGGATGGAGCCTGCTTGAATGACCAAGCACAAGCTCAAACTCAAGCGCACGCCTGAGGAAGAAGCACAACGTCGACTTCGGAAGGAGAGGAAGAAAGAGAAGAAACGAAAGAGAGAACAAGAGGGCACCTATGGGTCATCTAAACGCGTTCGCTCTGATGATCTAGGAGAAGGGCCATCGCGCAAGTGGGCCAGCAGCGACGAAGATGAAGTATCATCCAGCTCGCGTGTCAACAAACCTGATTACGACGCGATCCGGGCGGGGATAGAGGAAAGGGAATTCAGAGCAAAGATGTTTGATGCAATGGGTGATGACGAGAGGCTGGATTCACTAGAGGCTGGCTTCAACGACTACGCACACGTTCCTGACCGTTGGCGGACTTCAGGTTCCGGTCTGAGAAAAGACAGGACACATTATTATGATGGAGACGAGTATTCAAAGCTGGACCCGAGAAACATGGATGATGAAGAATATGCTGAGTGGATTAGGGTTGGGATGTATAGGTTCGTAATTTTCGGCCTTCTCTCGCTTGCGATGAATTATTATGAACATAAATTGATAGCATTAACACAGGAAAACTCATGCTGACGAGTACGCTGAGCAACAGCGTCAGAAGGCTGCTCGTGAGGCGAGGAAGGCCGAAGAGAAGGCGCGCAAAGCGGAGACGGCTCGCCTCGAGAAGATAGCGGAGGAAGAGTGCCAAATCAAGAAAACGGAGCGCGAACGTCACCGACTTGAACGTGCCAGAGAGAACTACAACATGCGTTGGGGCGCACTGTTGGGCACTGGTAGCGCTGCCGATGCTGTGCACCCGGTGCTCTCCTTTGACGACATTCCATGGCCGATCTTGGCTGCGCATGGCGGCAGACGACCTGACCACATGGGCGCGGGCAGTGGCGCGTCGTCATCTTCCTCGATCCGCGTCGAGCAACTGACAGCGGAGAACATTTCGTCATTCTTGTTGGAACGGGCTGTGAAGTCGGATTCTGCTGCTCCCGACTCACTAGGGGAAGGTGATATAAACGCTGAAACTGCGCCCAAGACGGAGCGAAAGGAAAAGCTGCGAGAAACATTTCTCCGATTTCACCCTGATAAATTTGAAGGGAGGTTCATGAAGAGGGTCAGAGAGGACGAGAGGGAGAAGGTGCGGGAAGCGATAGGACAGGTCAGCCGTGCTTTGAACTCACTGATGGGTGATGGTTGAGTAGTATATTGTGGACAAATTTCCAGTAGAGTACATACTGGTTAGAATGTGTCGTAGAGTTAGCAGTGTGAGTTTGTCCGATGGGCTTTTCCCTACAAACCTGTCGACTTGGCCGCCGCACATTTGCCACACGGGCAAATCCAATGCGGACACCGAACGCCGCGAGCTTCCCGGGGCCTACCTCTGCGAAAGTAGTGTACCACTATAGAATAGTGGTACACTACTTTCGCATCCTCATCCTCATTTCACCTAGCTACTCTTATATTTTATCCAAGCACACACGACTATTTTGTCTGCACAATACAGGCTAGGAGACGGAAGAAGAACAATTGCGGTGCTAGTGCCGGAAGATCGCAAAATTGCTGGAAGGGGAAGAGGAGAACAAAGTGTGACTGCCCCATTCTTTCTCCACCAACCACTCCGCCGTGCTCCCTGCTGGCCTCCTATTACTAGTGCCACCCCACTACATTCTTTCACGACCTTCTTTCTTGACTGCCACTACCATCTTGTACGCCCAGGGCCATCCTCCACATCACGTCATCGACATCTACCCGTATTGACACAGAATGGCATCTATTATTGACGGGAGTATCTTCGACGAGAGCTCAAGGACGCTGGCGCCCGCTGCAGTTGGTTCTCAGGTCGCGTTAATGAGCATAATCTCCGTAAGTGCACGTCTTGCGTTCCAGGGGACTCCCCTCTGAGACCTTGCGTTGCTTAGGTGGTCACCGTGCTGCTATTCAATTTCCTGCGGCCTAAAAACAAGGTATGTGCACTGGATATCTCGTAGAGCGGAAGAGCATTTCCCGTCAAACTGTATTGGGAATGTTTCTTTTCAGTTTAGACCGCTCTTCCTCTTCCTGAACACATCCATCAACTCTTGACGCTCCACCCTTTCCCAGATCATCTACGAACCCAAGGTTAAATACCATGAAGGCGACAAACCCCCTCCCCGCATATCCGACTCGTTGTTCGGCTGGCTTCCCCCACTAGTATACACGAAAGAACCAGAACTCCTCGACAAAATCGGCCTTGATGCGGTCGCCTTCCTGCGGTTCCTCCGTCTCTTGCGTTGGCTCTTCGCCGGCATTGCCTTACTCGCGTGCGGTGTCCTCATCCCTATCAACGTCGTCTACAACCTCAAGAATGTCAACACGAAGAGGCGCGATATTCTCAGCATGCTCACCATTCGCGATGTCCAGGGAGACTTCCTCTTCGCCCACGTTGCCGTCACGTACCTCATCACCTGCCTCATCGTCTTCTGCGTGAACATGCACTGGAAGGCCATGGTCAGGCTACGGCACACATGGTTTAGGTCCCCAGAATACCTCCAGTCTTTCTACGCCCGCACATTGCAAGTCCGACACGTGCCGAAGAAATTACAGAGTGACGAAGGTCTCAAGGCGATTTTCGAGTCTATCAACATGCCTTACCCTACGACGAGCGTGCATATCGGTCGCAAGGTCGGCAAACTGCCCGAGTTAATCGAGTATCACAACCAAACTGTGCGCGACTTCGAGGAAGTCCTTGTCAAGTATCTTAAGGGCGGGAAGATCAAGGCGAAGAGGCCTACTATTCGAATTGGAGGGACTTGCGGTTGTGGGGGTACCAGGAAGGACGCTATCGATTTCTATACGTGCGTTCCTTTCATTTCCAGCGCTGGCTTGAATTCACTGGTCTCCATGGCACAGAGCGAAACTGAAACGCACGGAGGCTGCCATTGAGGAGTATCGCAAGCAGATTGATACACGCAAGGCGGAAAACTTTGGTTTCGCGAGCATGGCTGCTGTCCCTTACGCCCACATTGTGGCACGGAAGATTGCAGGCAAACACCCCAAAGGTACCGACATTGACCTCGCCCCCAACCCCAAAGACATTGTAAGCCACGCTGCTTTCGCTGTTTCTGAAGTTTCTCACTGCCCTTGCCTACAGATCTGGAGCAACATGGACAATTCTGAGGCCGAGCTAGCCCGTAACAGATTGATTGGTGTTTTCTGGCTTGTCGGCGTCTGCTTCTTCAACACCGTTCCACTGTTCATCATCTCTATTCTTGCCAACTTGGACTCCATTCGGGTATACGTGCCTTTCCTGCAAAGCTGGTTTGATAAGTCGCCTCAATCGTTCGCGTTCCTGTCTGGTGTGCTGCCCCCAGCTATCTCCGGCCTGTTCGGTTTCTTTTTGCCTATCATCATGCGTTGGTTGTCGAAGGTCGGTGGTTTTCTTGACATTGCCTCGAGGCGTTATATCCTCATCAATTGTTTCGTGTTTACAGTTCATGGGTGCTTTGACACATTCCAAGCTGGATCGAGCGGTCGTGGCTCGGTACTTCGCCTTCTTGATCATTTCGCAGTTGATCATCTTCACCTTGATCGGTGTTATCTTCAGTACGTTGTTTCTTGCCCTGTGTGAATTCTCTGACTTAGACCGCCTCGAAACAAATAGACTCCGTACAACAAATTATCCTCCTAATTGGCAAGAGGGCCAGTTTCAAAGAGATCATTGACAATCTTCACGGTTCGTAACATTCAATTTTGTGGAACCAGGGCTGAACGGTCGACGGTATCTAGAGCTCCCCGATGTCATCAACCGCACGTACATCAACCAGGCATCGTACTGGCTCACTTTCTTCCCGTAAGTTTTTTCGCAGGAAAGTGGCTGATGAACCATTTTTGCTCACCTCTTTGTTTAGGCTCCGTGGTTTCCTTGTTGTTTTCGATCTTGCTCAAATCATCAATCTCGTCTGGTTGTCCTTCAAGACCCAGTAAGTGTTGCTTTGATTTGGATGCATTATACAACCTGATTATTGCTACTCCAGTGTTTTCGGTCGTACCCCTCGTGATATCCGGGAATGGACGCAACCGCCTGAGTTCCAGTATGCTATCTATTAGTGAGTTTCTTCGATCGATAACCGGTTTCGCGGTGCTGACCTATTTCTACAGTTCCAACGTCGTATGTTCACTTTCCAATTATATTCATAGCAGACTGCTCTACTATTCCATTTTAGTTGTTCATGGGTGCCGTAGGCCTTGTTTTTGCACCCCTTGCACCACTCGTCGTTTTGGCTGCTGCCATCGTTTTCTGGATGAGCTCGTGGGTATACAAGTACCAGCTTATGTTTGTCTTCGTGTCCAAGGTTGAGAGTGGAGGCGTGAGTTCATTTTCATTCCTTCATGCCTTCAAACTCATCCTGCTTGTAGCGCATCTGGAATGTCGTCATCAATCGCCTCCTAGTTTGTGTCGTGCTCATGCAACTGTTAATGATGCTCAGTATGCCCTTTCTTTTACTGTAGCCTTGCCTTGACCCTGACATCCTTTTTTTCTCAGCGATCGGCCTCCAATATCAGTTCAGGTCTTTGAAATGGTTATCTACCGTTCCGCCCATCTTGATCATTCTCGCCTTCAAACTCTATATCAACCGCGTCTACGTACCGGCGTTCAACTACTTCTCTCCTACCGAGGAAGAGATTAGACTTGCGAAGGTTCACTCAGAACGCGCAGACCACAAAGGCAACAGGCTCGAGAAGCGCTTTGGCCATCCGGCTCTACACGCCGAATTATTCACGCCGATGTTGCACAAGAAGATGATGCCGCTGCTGAGCGAGGTATACCACGGGAAGATCAATAACGACCATGCAAAATTGGACGAGTATGGTGGACAGCAGATGGAGGCACAGATTGTCCCGGGAGGTATCAAGATTGCTGCTATCGACCAGGTTTGTGTCCTCACTTACTGCCGGCTGATTATTTTTGTTGATCATGACAACAATTGCAGCGCGACCTCGAGTACGATCCTGTCATGTACCAGCGCGATCGTGGAGAGCTCGACTGGGACCAGCGATCAGTAGCTTCTACTGCTATTTTCAACGACCTCCCTTCCGACGCCCACCACTACCCTAATGCCTCATCAAAGACTCTGGTTGGCTACGAGAAATATCTTGCTCAAGGCTCAGGTTCGACTAATGGACATGAGATCGAGATGACACCCATTGATTCTATGCAAGAACCATTGCTTGATCCCCGGAGTATGGCCCATCATCAGCAGGGCTTTGCGTCGCAGCAATCGCTAACGCCGTCTCTCCCTCCTTCAATGTATCAACAATATAACGGCAGTACGAAGGAGGCATCCCTTTACAGACCTCAAGAACGATCGTATTCTCCCAGCCCAACATACGTCTCCACGGATAATTTGAACCAAGGCCGTTCGCCTGTTAGTCCGTATCCCAACGCCCCTGCTTCAGCAGACTCCCATGCATCGTACTTCCCACCACAACAGCAACATCAACGACAGGTCAGCGGCAATATGCTCGCTAGCACACAAAGATCGCAATCTCCGGGACCCTACAATGCTGTGGCACAATACCCTCCGCAACCACAGCAGCACGGACGACAGGCTAGTGGGAACATGCTCAACTCACCCCAGACGAGGACACCTTCCCCCGGCCCAAATCAGGCATACGGACAACAGCACTCAAGACAGGCTAGTGGCAACATGCTGGCTGGTACGGGAACACCATCTCCGGGCCCCTATCAGGCGTACGGCGGGAACCAGAGTCAGATGCTGCAGCAGCAACACGCTCGGCAAATGAGCGGAAACATGCTCTCGAATCGGACGCCGTCGCCAGGTCCATACCAGGCATATGCGCCACAGCAGCAACATGCAAGACAAGGAAGCGGGAACATGCTAGGTGGCTACTCGCCCACCTCTCCACCTGGAGCTGGACCACAGAACCCTCAACAACAGTCAGGACAACCAGCGAACTTCGCAGGCCGCGGTGCACATAGACCAGGATACTAACATTTAATTTGCGCTTTCATTTATGGATTTACTTGCATACGTACTCATTCATGCCTCTCCTTCCTTGTTAGTACTGGACATACTTACTTGATAGGGCCCTACCTCCGTCATTCTTGTGTATGGCAGACCTACCACTACCGTTTGCCCTGCTCCTAAGTTGGATTCTCACATTCGTGGCTCGTCTGCAGCTTCACTTCATCCAGGCACGCACCCTACATCATCTTACTGTCGCATGCACTCCATCCAAAATGACGGACCTACAACTTGTATTACAATGATATTGTAAGCACCTATAGAATCCTTAACTAATCACGGTTTCTCGACGGGAATTATGAGGTCGCCCATGTTTTCCAGACAACCAAGTGAACAGAGGGTATCGATTCAAGAAGAAATGGCTCTTGTGCATTTTGCACGAACGTTAACCGATGATGAGACTTGCTTTCAGGTCAGCTAAGTATTGATTCCTCATCCGCCGTGTAGCTCGCAAAGGACAAGCACTTCCGATAGAGGCGGACATTGTCAGCGTCAGTCTCTACACAAGGAAGTACTACAAGCAGCGGTCGTTCAGGGAAAGTGAAGTACTTCGATATGTTGCGAAACCATAAGCCAATGGGAGGAACTGTGGGTCGTCAGCTTGTCCTACGGAAAGTGACGGCTTCGAGCTGTAAGCCATCTGAAACGAGAACGTCGGGGAGGGTGGAATCGAGTGTAATGCTCCATCATGATAGGCCCGATTTAATTGGATGGTAGAGAGCATTTGGAAGCATCTGCTAACGATGGCCGGTACGAGACGGTTGCTGAGGTCCTGCGCTGAGAGGATGACACGGGTCAAAGGTGGGTTCAATAAAATGAATAAAATGGATATCCTGGGCGAGAGTGGTACCTTTCCTGTTCTCTCCACCCAGGTTGTATGTCTTCTATATTGGCCGGATAATCGACGGAGATGCGCAGAGAGGGCATGTCTCGTCATGCTTGGCAAATCTACTGGTATGCGTCGCTGGAAGTTAAATCTACTCTAGTTGAATATGAGAGGTCGAGGGCGTCGGCAGGTAAAGATACTTACATTTGGTCATACTCTGTTGGTGTCTTTACCAAATTCGTCATCGAAGGCTGGTTCGTCCCAGTGAGAAATGCGTTAAATAATTATTTCTTGTGCTCTACGAGCAATGTGCAATTCCGAGAGGATAGCACGAGCGGACTGGATCCGGACCAGACTGCGAAGGATGTTGTCCTCTCTGCCAATGGCTCTGAAACTCCAAAAGGCCTCGTTCCTGGTTGTTTCTCTTGCAGGCTTGATTTAGAGAGGATTCCTGGGGTTCTACCGTCAATTCGCTCGCGAAGACTCGAGTTGCACAACTTCCCTGGTATGAGATGACTACTACAACGAGTCGAGTTATCATCGATAGCAGCGATCTCACCCCAAATTCTTCAAATTGGGCACTGTAGTCGTTATCATCGCCGTGGACGAAGACATTTGCAGCGATCTTGATTTTGAACGCGGACATGAGTGGTGAAAGAACGTCTGACTTGACACCAATGCTCCTCAATGTGAGGTCTCTTCAACAAATAGATGGAGTGTAGTACAAATGGTATCACGCGCGAGATAATAGTAAGTCACTGACAAGTTTCCGAGCTATATGCCAGCTGACCATCCTGGAATGGCCAGCATCGCACAAGCCACTCCTTTTCTTCTGGCTCCGCCTCGTTGATCAACTTTTCCCGTAGTGCATCATGAGCTTCCTTTACGGCCTCGTACTTCTCCGACCTGACAAATCCATCAGGGTCAAGACCCAGCTGTTCATGAAGACTTTCACGCAAGCTCCACGGTTTGAGGAGACTTTCATATTCAGCCGCATGTCGCTCGCGTTCCACGTCAGGGAAATGGATAGGGCAAGGCACCACGGATGTCCCTTTTGAATGTGACCCAACAATGATGTCCCAAGTGTCACAGACGTCGATGAGGGCGTCACGTATCGCTGGCAAGCCCTCCGATATCCCGCGGGTGACGGCGCGAATAGGACGAATGGACAGCTCTCGCACCAAGGCTCGGTCAACAACATCCACCATCGCTGGATTGAGTTCTTTCATCTTCAGGTCGTAAGCCCTAGCCCTGAAGGCTGCCTTGAGTGCACGGTCTGCTGCCTTCTTTTGCTCTGGATTCAGGTCTTCGTACCCAGGCGCGAATGTAGGATTTGTGGAGCTTCCAGGAGTGTAGTCGACGTAAGGGCTGACAGAGTAATGTAGCACAGGGGATAGTGTCACTTGCATGAAGAATGGCCCGACAAGGGAGGATTGCCAGTCAATGACGCCTGTAATTTCGCATGGATCGCTTTCCGTGGCAAGGATATTGCCCTCGTGCATGTCTGGATGCCACAACGTGAATGGGGTCACAGCAGGAGTGAGGAAGGGTATCAGTTTGTCATAGTCGTCCAACAGGGCGAGATGCTCCGGTGACGTTGCATCGGATCTTTGCTTCAACCAAGCCCGCTCACAGGCAGAGAGGGCGCGCGCAAATGAGTGAATGTTAGGCCCTAGAATGAACTATTTCACAATCCCGACATCGCAGACAGAATTCCATAACTCACAAGGTCCTCTATCAATATCAAGCGCAGCTCGCCCGCCTCTCCAGAACTCCCTATACAGACTTGGACCAATACGGAAGCGCTCTGAGTTGGGAGTAGACGCGGCATCAGAAGAGTAGAGACTGCGGTCTTGCAAGAAAGGTGGCAGATCTTCCTTGAAGTAAATGCTTCCTATCTGCGAAAATCGCTGATCAATCATCAGTCGCTCGAACACGACAATCGTCGTGATTATGTCCATGGCCACTATGCCCTTGACCTCCGGGTCCCACCAGCGCGACCTGAGAGGCACCCCTGGGACCTTGTCGTAAATGATAAATTCTGCTCCAACAGGTGTGCTCTCTGCGCGAGAGCTCCACGCTCGGACATGAGGAACAGGCAGTTCAAGTTCTGTACGGACATATTCCATTGTCGCGACTTCGCTTGCTGTCATAAAGTGCTTGGGACCAGCAACAGGAAAGGGGATGCGAGCAATGAGCTCCCTATCATTATCGAAGCGAAGGAGGAATGCGCGGTTGAAAAGCCCTGTTGCCACAATGTCAAATTCAATGAAGAACGCGAAAAAAACCAGTCACTACCCTCGTCCAACTTCTCAAAAGATGTACACGAGCGTGCTTCCGCAGCTTCGACAGCGATGTCCGCTAGAGCGGAAATGTTGAATGGGACATATCGTGCGGCGAGTTCTAGTCCGAGGTCAGACGACGCATGAATGGGGAGCTGCAGCACGTACGTTGATCGTTGTTGTACAGCCAACGCCCTTTCGTGAATGAGAACAAGTTCTTCGGGTCTAGAAAACGTGAGAACACCTTTTGAAGTCAGACAGTGTGCAACATTACCCTTGATCTGCATGGAAAGCGAACGGCCAGAAGTAGTCCGAAATTTGAGAGGCGCTTTCTTTGCTAAACGCCACATATGGTGGCGTCAGTGCTGCTGGAGGTTCAACGCAGTACCAAGCACCTATGTACGATACGCCGGATGCCCAGACAAGCAACCACAAAGAGTCGGCCCGAAGTCTTCTGATCAAGCAGACATGTTTGTCAGTATTTGTTTTAGTGGATCCATGCTGATCTCGGGCTCCGTAAATCAATCCGCACCTGCTGGCGTCCTCATGTAAGAAGTGTGGATAGGGCTGGATAGGGTCCAGAAGTCTCCGAAGCACTTCATGTGAAAATTCGCACCCAACCGGTCCGGCGACACGCGCTACTTACATCTTCTCAAGTTGCTGGACACCCTTCCACCAGTGGGCGCTTCGAGTCATCTGTTTCGTTCTCGGAGGCTAAGTGTTGTGGAGTGATCACGTATTGTGGATGAATCCAGTCACCTGTGCTACTCTCAAAGGTCTTAGCGACATAGTGTCCTGGGCGCTTCGAGTTACAATCATATTCCTAAGGGCCAAGGAGTTTCACGTTGTGGGCGCTTCGAGTCACCTGTGCTACTTCCAAGGTGCTACGCATTGTTGACGTCCAGAGTTACTTGTTCCATTTACCAAGTGACACGCGGTACGGGCGCCCTAACTGTTGGCACTGAGTCACTTGTTCTATTCCACAGCTGCTTCCTGCTGTGGGCGCCCAACGTTGTGGACGCTTCAAGATTCTGCCGATTCCATGAATCTGACCTCTCCCTGTCCAGACGATAAGGACCAGGGAGTCTGGAAAAGACGGTAATCTCTTGGCAGACCTCCGAAGGAATAAAAAGGCAAGCCAGGAAACCGTCTTTTTTCCACACCAACACACTATCGCAAAGTGATAACTTGAAGGCAAGTGATCGCTCTGTCTGTGACGTTTGAACTGCCTTTCTCATCTTTTTATTAGATCATGTCTGGAATTACCAACACTGTCAAGAGAATTATCACAAAGAACAAGCATGCTTTGTGGACCGCCCTTGCCACGAATGGTCTGGGACAAGGCAACGGGCGCACAATTTATAAAACAAAGGATATCCGTGCCGATAAAGGTTATGTCGACAATCAGAACCCGAATGTCTATCATTGGGATTTACAGGTACGTATACATGCTGCACAACATATACACTGGAGGCTTATAACATATATAGATCAATAGGGAGACCGAGGACGCAACTCTTAAGAAAGCAATTGGGAAAAATTCAGGGACGCATAAGAAGTTAGGGAAATTTACATTTGATACTGAAAATCCACCTACCCAAGACGAGCTTGTAAATAATATCGTCAACGGTATTTAGGACTTGAGTTTAGTATACTCTGGACCACAATGTATGTATATCTTGTAATTGTTCTTCTCGTGTAGCAAATTGCCAGTTGGCGGTTTGGGCAGCTTCGCCATTCCGGTATCGATTCCGAATCCAAGGGGCTTCCTTTTGCAGAGCAGGGCGGGATGTGGCTTCAGAAAGGGATGCGGCGTTGTTGGGCGTATCGAAAGTGTATGACGGTCCGTTCTGGACAAAAATACACGATTGAAGTTTTTTTTATGAGAAACCCTAATTTAGGCCAGAGCCTGACCAAATCTGACCAAATCTGCCAGTTTCGTCCCGAGACTAGTGTTGCCGGGAGCCGAGTTCGAGTTAGCTCGAGCTGATGGAGTTTCAAGCTCCGACTGCCTCGAGCTGATGTGAACTCGAGCTGGCTTCGAGCTGGATTCCGAAAGGAGAAGGGCCATCAAGTCGCGCGTGAACTGGTAAGCGCCCCAGTAGGCGCCGCAGAGACGTAGATTACAGAGAGTACTAAACATGTGGAATGTAGAGCGAACAAATAAAATCATCCAAGGCTCGTTCCCGTCATCATTGCTCCATCCTTACCATTCCCAGGACTCGTTCGCATACCTGTGAAGTTCCTCAATCTTCCCCTCTGCAAGGAGGCTCTCAACGACGTCAACAGACATCTCAAAGACCGAGAGTTCCTCTTCAGAGGAGAAAAGATGGTCAGTGAAGCTCAACCTGTCATTCAGATAGATAAACTTCATTATCTGCAGCTGCTCCATGCAAAGGGGCGACAGATTGGGTCGTCTGGAAATGTCCGTCTCCTTGCTCGATGAGAAAATCCTCTCGCACTGAACGGACGAGGCTTGGGCAGGGAGGACATTGAGGGCGAGCTTCCAGAATGGTGGGAATTGTACTACCTGATTTGCCTGTAGATGGTGCGTCAGAATGCTCCTTTAATTTTATTTCCGAAACTTACCTGCCAGAATCGCAGAATATCCCCCAATTCGGGGCTGTCGATGGAGCAAAAAAAACGGGATACGTTGCGGACAGTAGAACTGGGGTTTCTGGATAGCACAAGTGTGGGATTGGGGATCCGGGCATCTCCCAGTGCAGTGAGATGTCTGTGGCGTCGAAGTCATGATGCCCTTTGAGTGATGAAACTTTCCTCGCTGCTTGGTCTTGCTCAATTTATGCCAGCGCTGAACCCCCTGTATTCACCAAAACACAGAAAAATAATCAAACAATCTCAAGCGTCTTGTATCGCGTTTAAATGCGCGCCGCGCCGCAACACGCGATTTGGGCCCTGAAGGAGCAAATAGGTCCAACCGGATGCGACTGGGACCTTGATACCGGGGATGTGGTGAGCAACTCCAATATACTGTCGTGATACTTTGGGATCCCAATGGTTTGCAAAGTCACCAAACGCACATGGATGAATAGATTACATTCAACTCAAGCCAAAGCTTGAATCTCACTCACTCAAGGCAAGAAGGCCGGTTAATAGCTACTTTTCTACTACAAGTGTACCTCTGGAGTCGATCTATTAGGCTATAATTTCTTTATGACATATGTCGAGCGCTAAGATTGACGCTCGACATCAACTCAGAGAAGATCCTGGGTGGGGACAATATATGGTGATTCCCATCAATTACCTCGGAGCTAACTCAGAGGCGAGTCGAGCTCCATCATCTCGAGCCCCCCAAAAGGGAATTCCCACGAGCCGAGCTCAGCTCGACTCCGAGCCAGCTTCAGCTCCCGGCAACACTACCCGAGACCGACGCTATCCTCCCGGATCCGCCATCTTCGCACCGTCTCTGCTCGATTCGGCCAGATCGACCCTCCCTTTTCTTATGACCCATCGTTCCGATACGGGAGGAATCTGGCCGCGCGGGACGACTCGGGACGATTCGTACGGATTCCTCCTCAATTCTTTTTTTAAGAAACATCTAGTGATTTTTTTCCCCTCGTGTGTGGTCAGATTCGTCCCGAATCCGACCGTTTGGGACCTTGCGATCTAAAAAAAAATTAGGGTTTTGGTCGGAATCGGTCGGAATCGGTCAGAATCAGGGCGATGTGTTGCAGATCGGGAGGGGTTTTGATTTTTTTTTGAGTGGCGAACGAAGCGGGTCTAATCGGTGTTTCCTGCGGATTGGGACCGTATTGGACGGATTCCGCCTGAACCTGACAGATTGGAGAGGGACTTATGAGGAAAAAACGTAAATATGTATTTTTGTCCAGTATGGCGCTGCATAAAAGTGGGTCTCTTTACGCTCCCTGCACTGCGGACGACACATTATTAATTGGGCGCGAATTGCTGCCAGGGCCGCGATTGGGCTCTCCCTCGGTAGATAGCACGATCTCTTATTTAACCCAAGGAAGGTCAAGAGCCATTTTTTGCCAGCAGATCCCTACACGTCTTGAGGCAAGTTTCGCCTGTGGTTTCGCCTGTGGATCAGTCTCTTGGACTGATCATTGGGTTTCGACTTATACATAATACCGCATTTTACATAACCTTCCAGTCACCAGACTGCAGCGTGTACTACAATGGACTGGACCCCTAGTCGTGAGCAGCGCTCCTCCTTCATCCGAATCCTCGCCCATATCGTCCCTTCCACCTGAGCCGTTAACCACGTCTTGGTATTATATATAGCACTCCTGGATAATCCGAACCACGGTCGGTCGCCTGCTAGTCCATATCCCATCGCCTCTGCTCCAGCAGACCCCCATGCATCGTGCTTCCCGCCACCAACATCAACAAGAGGCTAGTGTCAACATGCTGGCTGGTACGAGCTGGTACGTCGAGAACACTGTCTCTGGCCTTACCAGGCATATGGTGGGAACCAGATGCAGCAGCAACACGCGAGGCAAATGAGCGGCAACATGCTCTCGAGAGTCGAATAGAACATCATCACCATATACCAAGCATATGCACCATAGCAGCAACCGCAACAACATGGAAGATAGGGGAGCGGGAACATGCTAGCAGGCTACTCACCAACCTCTCCACGTGGAGCTGCTCAACAACAGCAAGGACAACCAACGAACTTCGCAGGCCGCGGTGCACATACTAAAACTTAATTTGTGCTTTCATTTAGGGATTTACTTGCAACGTACTCATTCATGCCTCTCCTTCCTTGTTAGTACTGGACATACTAAATTTTTTTAGATGGGTCCAAGCGGTGTAATCCCTCCGTCATTCTTGTGCATCACAGATCTATCCTTTGCCTACCACCATTTGCCGTGCTCTTCACTCTTGAGTTGGATTCTATGCGACAATAAGATGACATAGGGTGCAGATCTGGATGAAATGCAAATGCCGACCCTCCTCGCCGCGAACACCGCTCCTTCGCAACCACCCACAGCCTGTTCCTGACCACCTCCGTCTATCGTGGTCCCGGGTCATCGAAAGGCGCTGTCTCAATTGCTCACTGCCTCGCACTGCCTGGCAGTCGAACGCGACTCTGCCGTCTAAGCCGCAATGATGTGGAGAGTGAAACACATGCACTCTTCTTCTGCAGAGGGCGCGAGGACCTCGTAAATGCACGGTCGGCTTTCTTTGACACCGTTCGAGCATGGGACTCAGATATGGTGACACTGTTGGTGGAGATGGACCCAGAGGATTACGTCTGGCTACTGGTCCGAACTGACCAGGTGAACCCTGACCTGTCGAAGCTTGGATTCAAGGTTCTACGACGGTTTTCAAAACATGAACTCTATGTGCTTCCGCAGTATGTGCGCCCCCAACAGGGGTCCCGTTGATCATTCATGGACGAAGTTTACCAACTTCATGTTCCTAATACATTCTAATTGACACAATAAGCTATCAAGGTGTCTACACTTTACAATTATCACCGATTCCATGACTATCCTGCATGACGAGGAGTTCGCGTCAGCAGGTGGGAGAACCCACCCTGACCCCCATGTGGTTTTCGTCGTTTGTCCTACCTGTAACACCTCTTGGAAGGGCTCTGCAGGTCAGGGAAAGTCCGCTGGCAGTGATTAGGGGTAACGCAATGATGATGAATGAGGTGTTCGGGGTTACTCTGAGTAGTTGTTGCTTGTACCTCTACGTACCTACGAACCGGTCGTGCCCTCATTGGGACCTCCCCGGGAATTCTATCTTCTTTCCTTCCTTCCTTCCGACGAGCCACGAATGCAGCATCCATCCGAAATGACGGACATCCAACTTGTATTACACTGGTATTGTAAGCATCTAGAAAACTCTTAACTAATGACGGTTTCCCTATGAGAAATCGCCTGCATTATCTAGTTCAGTGAGAAGGGCTAAGAGGGAGAACTCGAGATTGAAGATCGTTGAAGCGAAAGCGCGATGAGTTATCAAAGCAGCTCGATTGAGCGGAGAGAGGGCATAATTCCATGGAGATGAACCAAATCTTCATGGGTCGAGACAAAGCCGTCGAACGTTATCTTTTCTAGATTGCACGAAGAACGCTCAACTAAGGATAAGACTTGTTCCTGTGGCCAGCTGCTCGCTCCTCTCGCAGGATGGGGTGTTGGCACAACCGCGAACCGCAAGTCGCGCAGTGCAGGAAGTACAAGGCAGCTGAGTACATCGCCCACGGCACTCCCTATAGAAGCGGATACTACCAGTGTCTCCAGAGAAGGAATTACTACAGACAGTGGCGATTTCGGTGCATTGCACGATTGCGCAAGGTGCAGTTGATAATATTTGAGTCTTGGGCACTTCCGAAGAACTTCAATGTGTTGTGAAAGTGTAAGCTGGGGGAAGGAGCAGTGGGTCAGCTTGTTCCACGGAAAAGCGACGTCTTCTGCTTGTACGCCATCTGAGACGAGATGTACGTCGCGAAGGCGAGGGAAACGGGTGGAATCGAGTGTGATGCTCGACACTGAGCACATGGGGCCGAATTGGATGTATGGAGGATTGGGAAGCGGTGGTTGATGATGGCCGGCATAAGACGTTCGCTGAGGTCGAGGCGGAGGCGGTACCACCGATCTTTCGTCGAGAGGATAAGACGGCTAACAGTGGAGTTGAACGTTGGTTCCATAAAATGAATAATGGATATCTCGAGCGAGAGTGGCACTTCTCCTGATCTATCCATCCAGGTTTTGATGTACGTCTTCCACATTGGCCGACGAATCGATAGTGACGCCCAGAGGCGGGGCGTATTCAGTGCTATTTCTCGCCATGTTTTGCAAATCTGGCAAAGTAGGAGGGGTGCGTCGCCGGAACGTGGGAGGATGAAGTCGTCGGCTGGTAGGCAGAAAAAGAATATCTCCGCCCACAACTCCGTTGGTATCTTCAGATTCGAGATCGAGCGCTGGTTGGCCCCGGATAATTCGTCGGTTCTTTCTTGTTCTCTGCGAGCATTGTGCGATTCGAGGACAGCTCGAGCAGAGTCAAGGTCCTGAATCAAGCTGTGAAGAGTATTCCCCCTCTCTTCAGTATCTGTAGCGAGTGCTTTGAGTTGGTTATGAATGGATGGGTGCTGGCTTCTAAAACCCAGGAGACTTCGAGTACGCCGCATGAAAGAAGGCTTGAGAAGTTGATCGCAGAGCTTGACTTTCTCTCTGTACTTTTCTTGCAGTGTTTGGTGCAAAGAGGATCCTTGAATTTCCAAGGCGTTGATCCGCTCCTGTAAGGACAAGAGTTCATCGTCGTGGGTATCTTTCCAGGCAGAAGATGACTGCTGTAGGTCAAATTATCGCCGTTAACTTGACTCAAGTTCGCGCCAACGCAGTCAACACAGATGGAACTCACGTCCTGGTTTGGGGTCACTCGCTGCATGGTCTCACCCCAAATTCTTCAAGAGGGGGACTGTAGCCGATGTCGTCGTCATATTTGAGGATATGTTAAGCACTTGGTCGTGATCTTGAGTGCGTAGTGGAGTTGGACCGGGAATGAGGGAGCTAAGTTGATCGATGCCAAGTCCGTTTCGAGACCCATGAGACTCGTGACCAACCTGAATAAAAGTCTACGACCCATGACTCGGATGACCTCAGCGCAAGCTTTGGCGTTTATTCCTTTCAGCTCCTCACCCGTATCATTCTTAAAGGCTTGCCCAGCTCGAGGTAGACCGTCTAAACTCGACTCGGGGCATATAGGAGGATTTACCGCACGCTGTGAAGAACTGCACTCGAGTCAGTACAACATCATCGCCTCATACCCTTGACCCTTGGCGATCTTGTCCCTCCACTGCGGTTGAACGTTGAAGCTCTGGACTGCGTTCACGAATTTTACTGTCATAAGAATTGATCTTTTCCCCCTTCGACTATTTAAGCCCCGAGAAGTCCAGAGCCAATTCTTCCCAACCCATCCTTACAAGCACTGATCTGGAGGTGCGTCTCGCCTGTGGTTTATGTGAATCTTTATCATTGATCATGGAATTCAGACACAAATATTCCGCCCTTGAGCCTCTGACTCGCGACATTCCAACATGTACTCAGATGGAAGGGACCCGGAGTTGACTATTGTCGTGAATCACGCCCCTCCTTCAGTCGAATTCTCACCTATATCGACTCTTCCACCTGAATTATTATCATCTATCTTCATCTTGGCTCGACCCCAGTCACGATTTCCCCCTGTCCTCCCTTTCGAAGTAGTGATCAGCCATGTATCAAGATACTGGAGAGAAGTCGCTTTGTCCACTCCGCAGTTATGGAACAAGATATACATCTATTCGTCCGCGTCCACCAAATGGATACGACCTTATCTTCGAAGATCAGGTTGCCACATTCCTCTGGATGTATACATCGACGTTTACAGAGCAGACCGGCCTCGTCTTCCAGGCGAAAACAGTAGTCGGAGATCGAACCAGTTGAAGGCTGCGACAATCCCTCTCCTCCTCCACTTCGACAGAATCCGCCGTGTCTCTATTCTTTGCCATCATGAATCCACCGCCCTAGCCCTCTTATCAGGGTTTGTCAACCCCATGCCTCGCCTCGAGTCGTTCAAGGTTAGATACGACTACATCTCTCCGACCGCCGACCAGAGGTCACATTTCTCCCTCTTCGGTGGGAGCTCGCCCCAGCTAGCATTCCTTGAGACAGATATGCCCAACATTCTCCCGGCCTCAATGATGCTCGACAAACTGACCACACTGTATCTCCACAACCTCTCACAAGGCGTCGGTTTCGATTTCCGGTCTTTCGCCCGCATCCTGACGTCCCCTCCCAACCTCCGCAACCTCTCGCTCAACGGGTCCATCAACTCTCACACCTGGCCCGTGCACCATGCATCGCCCAAATTCACGATGAAGAACCTGCAGGCGCTTCGCCTGCTCGACGACGGTCCAACGGCCATGCGAATGCTGTTGTCAGTCTCAGCTCCAAAGCTCGAGTCACTGTGGCTCGATTGCTCCTTCGACAGCTTCCAGGCCGTCTTCGACTCTCCTCAGTTCAACGGCAAGCCCAAGTTCCCTAACCTGCACTACCTGACGATCCAAACCGACAACCTCTTCCTCTCCGAGAGGTTCTCGAAGTTGTTCCCTACTATCACACATCTTCACCTTCCGTACCCCGATTTCTACCGCCATGTTCTTCACCTGGAGAACGCGCTTGTCGGCCGCTGGAGAGGAGTCCATACGCTAGTGTTGACGATGTACCGCGAGAGGAACGAACAGAGGCTGGTCGCGACTCTCTTGGGCCTCCTACCGATGCGTCGTAACTCTGGGCGCCCGCTCAAATCGTTGCTGGTTGACCAAGATCACCTCAAGGTGCTAAGGGCTCCGCCTCGCCTTTCTTCTCAGGTTGACCTTCAGCTTGTCAGTCCTGAGAATTATCAAGAAGTCTGGTGGAATTTAAATGAACACAGCCAGGCCGAGGACTAACAAATTTCTTTTTCTGGTCGTGTTGTATTTTCCTTCAATAAGGTTGTATTTGTATTTTGTTGAAAAATTTCCTTGACGTCAGGTTGGACGTTGCCAATCTGCGAACTTCTTTTCAAATTCCTCCTTGTCTATTGTTGAAGTTGTGGATGAAGGTTACTATTGTACAGTAGTAGGTAAACCGGGCTAGAGAAATATTACAATGTTAATACACTTACGACCGAAACGAAAACGACGATATATATGACTATGACTACAGGGGCTACAAGAGTTACCAGGGGATATGACCATCCAGATCTATCGATACAACTGGTTTAGAGGGCAAGAGGAGAAGGAGAAAGATGGAAAAAATCCCGTACTGATGTACTAAGGGGTCCGAGAGGATGAGGTGGTGATGATGATGATGCAAGAACGGAACTACTGTTCAAGAACCGCCAGAACCGCGCGCCAGCACCAGGAACAGGGGATTAACGGCAGAGAAGGATTATGGTACAGGGAGGCCAGTAGAACTGGCAGCGGATGAGGCGATTGGTACGGAGAGGGGTTGGCTAGAACGAGTGTGGGTGCGGCTGTGGGGAAAGCCACAACGAACTTGAAGCCGAGAGAACAGAGCAAATAATGATAAAAATCGAGTAAGGAGCGTGGGGGTTTTTGGAAACATTTTGCGTGTCGGATGGGAGTTGGTTGGTTGAGAGTTGGGATCGGACGTATGGAATAACGGATGGATTGAGGTTGGCAGAAAAGCGTTTAGGGCGTACGTGCTTCTTCAGGTGAACGATTGAGGGGTACGACGCGACGCGTGGGGTTTGGGGTGTCGCAAGAGCAGATGATGAATTTACATGCATTGCCATCGCAGGCAGAGGGGATCGGGTGAAGCTTCGCGGGCAACCTCCTTGGGCTGGGGCTGATATCATGAGCCGTTGATCGTCGGGAGATGAGGGACGAACGCTTACCGCAGCTTCCCGAGACTCGACATCAAGTGGGGGAGTGATGATAGGCGCCGCAGACGCGAGGACAGTCACTGGAGGTTGTTGTCAGTATCCAGCAGCGATAAAACCATAGAGATACTTACTGCAAGCAAGGATAAAAGTGGAGTAGAGTCGGAACTGCATATTGAGCGAGAGATTAAGCAGTGGAGTGGTTCAGGCTTATAAGATCGATGAGGACCACGATCCAAAAAAACACTACCGGAAGGAAACTGGTTGATGACTACCGTTCCGTGGTTTAGCGAGCTTGGATTTATACATGGTCGTCTGGGAAGTGGTGGGAGGCAAGGGACAAGGGGCTGCCGAATTGAGTAGAATTGTCACCGCCAACGGGGTTGCAGCGCATCCGGAGATCTCAAGAGCAGGCATACAAGGCTTCGGCAGAGAACCTCGGCGTCCTCAGGGTATCGTAAATCCTCACTGACGGAAGAAACACATTTCCTGAAGAAAACATCGGTCGGATACCCACAAATGTCCTGGAAAAGGGTCAAAGAATGACAAAGACTTCCGGAAGGGAAGGACTTGCGGGAAAATTGTGGGCATGGGGGTAATAAAGGTCATGAAGACCGGACAAGGGCGTACTTTGCAGCTTCCGCGATTGTGGTTCGCGTCCAAAAGCGGTGCGGGGACAAACGCCTGTCCAAATAAGGCAACGATGCCAAATCAGGATCCTTGTTCCCAGTTTGGTCTTCCTCTTATCCCATCCATCATCCAGAAATCCTTTTTCCCGTTGCCTGTCACTGAATTTCTGTATGGTCTTACCGACCGCCTTGACTTCTGACAAGACTCGCCTTTCACTATCTTGCCTCGTTGCAGTCGCTGGCCCACGGTACACCCCCGCCCTTTCCAAGGCGAATTGGCATCAAGACGAAGCATCTGAGCACTTATCTTCTTCATCGGATAAAGAGATTTTAGGGCACCCAATCCGAAAAAGTTGTATGACAGGTCCCCCTGTTGTGATCCCAGCAGATATTCGACGAGGAAACTTCCTCTTGGTCAGAAATAATTCCAACTGTAACACTCAAACAGCCACAATTCACAGCTGCTGATGCTTTGATGCCTGGGTCCTTGCTCCTGACTTTGAACCCTCTGTTCCTTGCTCGCCCTCTTCTCTTACCCTTGACGTCACGTACCACCGATATCAGATTTTGCATCAAGAAAGGGTCCCAAGTCATGACAAGGCGCCTATGAATGAAGCCTTGGGGATTGCTTGTCCTGCCTTGTAATCGCTACATCATCAGAGTTTATTTTCTGCACGATGATGGCTGGCTGTGCGACAGACTACGCAAAAGCAACCGGCAATGCATCTGTGTTCTCTTCTATATTTTGCTCACACAAACCCAAAGCCGAAGACACTACAAGAAACGCTCCCAAGCCGCCCACTTTGACACGATTCAAATTCTGTGTGTTCTTCTTGAGACACAAAGATGGCCTTGGGGTTGAAAACCTCTTTTGGCTTCTCCCGAACCACGCCCAACAGTGTAGTGTGGACTCACAGACCCCTTGGCTATTCCACCTTAGTCGGCCAGGCTGTCCACAGCGCGACTATCTCGACTCCTTTGTCGATTTACCTTGTCCCACAGATTTTTCGCCGTTTAAACAGTCGTACAAACTAACAACCTCTGAAGGAAAGCGCAAGGCAGCACAGTTCCCTCGGTACACGTTTCACCATAGCGCTGTGGGCCGAAAGTTCACAAATCGTGCAATCCGCTCCGTGCTTCTCCCTCAGGCCTCAGGGTGCTTCTGCCTCAGTGGGAACGTCACCTCTACGCCTCCTTGGTTTCTCCTTAGAAAGGCCCCCAGATCCCCAGCGCCTCCGAGAATAAACGCCTGCCCAAAGAAGGAAAGCTCAACGGCATGGACAGCGCATTGAAGCATGCCGCCACACGATATTTATAGCAAGCTTCTCTTGGTCTTCCTTCGGGAATCTGCGTGGCTGTTATTGATGATACTCCCTTGTTTTCCATCCGCCCTTCTACCGTACGAATTTATAGAACAGAGCCGCATGATGAAAGCGTGTCCACCTGTGCCGTTGATGAGCTCATCGCGAAATGACGACTATCCGCCAGGACCTGATTCCGCCTAATGCGCGCTCAGTGGGGTCACCCTGCACCCTGACTTTGATTAACTCTCGTACCTGCTGTCTGGACCTACACTGATGCAGTAGATAAGCTGAAAGGACAACAGGATCGCCATAAATTATTTGTGGACAGACTTCATGTACATCCAACTTGTCAACTTGGCATGTTCACCAACACCGACGCCCGGCTTTACTACCAGGACGTACGCCCATGTACAAGGACTCAGGCTAACCAGAGACAATAACAACAGTGTGCTAAGCCTGACAGTTACAGTCTGGGCGAGATAGCAGTAGCCCACTAGAATTTTATTTTCTTCGAGAATCTCACAAGACGTTGTCCGCAATACATGATCGTTATTCGAATGACAGGATGATTCAGACTATGCGTGCACGTACAGTGCCTTTCCAGGCGAGTATTATTAGCCCGAGGACGTCAAGGAGATGTGCTTGTGCAGTGAATAGACAGACACAGGCTTAAAGAAACACACCATATCAGCACAGTTAAATCTCAACGAAGTACTAATCACCTCTGCAATTCAGGGCCAATCTCTCAGAGGAGCCTAAGCGTGGCGCACACTTGGCCATACACAGGTAAACAGCTGCTTCGAGCAGAAGTATATTGTTCCTTTTGTACGCTCCTTTCCTAAGTCCCTTTCAAGCTCCCACTCAAGGCAATTTTGATTTCACAAGAAGTACCAACGTAAAATCAGAGGCATTGTGAATACCAGTCGTTCAAGACCTGGCATGTATAAGGTGATGCGCATGCCTTAGGACCATTGTATCCCTGTCCGCCACATTGGCCATAGCGCGTCTGTGTAGGGCCACTGGCGGTAGTTGTCGTCGTTGACGGAGGCGGAGGCGGCACTACGGTCACCGGCGGGAGGGTGGTTCCAGGTGTCGTCGGGACTGGTGGCGAATCGTTGAAGATCTCCAATGGAAACATGTCCGCCAGGTGCTGGTACCCGGCGACATTCGGATGCAAATAATCGCCCCCATGGTACTGCTGGGCCAACTGGCTAGGCGTCGACGGGTCCCTTAAGAACTTGTCAAAATCGATGACAGCATCGTACGTTCCACTTGTCAAGATCCAATTGTTGACCGTCTGCCTCGCCGCTTCGCGCGTGGGATCTGAATACCCCTGCTGGCTTGCCCCACCTGGAGCTGAGAACGCTGTGATCGTCGCACCGAAGACCTTCACACCTTTGGCCTTTGCGTCTGCCGCGATCTGCTCGAACGCGGCGATCAGCCGGTTCGCTATCTGAGTTTGGGTGTCTGAATTAGCTGCGCCGGTGCCAAGGTCGTTGACTCCCTCAAAGATCAAGATCCACTTTACGCCGGGCTGGTCGAGCGCATCGCGTTTGTAGCGGCTGAGGAGGCTGGGCCCAAGGCCGTCTGCGAGGACGCGGTTGCCCCCTGCTGCTTGGTTGCAGACGGCGATGTTGGTCAGACCATTCTTTTGCAGACGCGCCAGGAGGAGATCAGGCCAGCTGGGATGTCGTTAGTTCGCAACGAGGGCTTAGAAAGAAGCGCCAACTGACCGGTTATTCGCATCGTTGTCGCTTCCGCGACCATCGGTAATACTATCCCCTAGAACGATGAGACTACGGTAGTCGAGAGGGACCAGTGCCTCGACGGAACTGAGGAGGTACCTGTTCATAAATTTATTGCTGTGAATAAACCTTGCAAATGCTAAGGAGCTCCTATGACGTACCAATGCACAACACTGGTTCCACTAAGAGTCGTCGAAGTGGCATGGTTGCCTTGCTGCATCCAGCTCGTCGTTCGACTTCCAGGATGCCCGTCAATATTGTTGCCTGACTGTCCTTGCTGGAGGTACATCGTCACAGTGATCATCTGCTGGGGCTGTATTGGGAACGCAAGCTCGTCCGAAGTGATGGTCTTTCCCTGAGGGATCGTAACGGACGTAGCACCACCGTTGAACGTGATAGGTACAATTGGTGAAGCTAGGATGCCTGACACGCCTGCCCTTCCACCTATTGGCAACGCGACGTTGGCTAGTGTGATAGGGAGCTCGGAGCCACCGAATGTGTTCGAAAAAACGATCCGGATCTTCTCTGCTCCGACGGACATGTGGAGAGTTTGGCGGAGAGTCGTGTCTCTAAACACCGCATTTGAGCTCAACTAATAGAATTTTTAACTATTAAACAGAGACGAAAAGGATGAGGGAGGAACATACGAATGGTGCTGGTGGAAGGTTATTTGGCTCGACGAGCTGGGGCATATTCGTCCATGTGGGAATCCAATGGAGGTCTGCATGCTTCTTCGCTGGAATTGAGCTCGCCGTAACAGAAAACGCACTGAGGATGATGGTGAAGACCTTGATGGCGAACATCCTGGGGTGTTTTGCTACTCACGACGACCACAAAAGAGGGCAAATATTGGTCGAAGCATAGAGCTCGTCTTTTAATGTGCCCAGGGGTCCTCATGACCATGTCTATCCCGGAATTACACCGAAGTTCGTTGTGTCGATTATGACCGCTATTTTGGTAGTGCGCCGAAGCTTCGACTTCGGTGATTAGCCGTAAAAATATCTTGGAGAAGAGCGAGGATCTCGACATTATCGTAGAGGGGACTGGAAGGGCACCGAGAAGTCGTGGTTGAGGAAACCAGAAGCTGCTGCTGGACGGAGGATTGGATTCATCAGAAGGACAAGGACGATGGTTCTGCGGACCGGCATCCGCCAACTCGACCCCACGTGATTTACGTAAGTACTCGAAGTCGCTCGGCACGCTTCGCAAAATTTCGGCAGCTGCTCATTCGGCCTTTGCACACATCGACAGCAGACCTTTCGTCCCTTCCTCCGACGTGTCCTGCGACGGACTCGACCCCTGTTGGCGATCCTCCTCCTCCCATTTGGCGACTGACGGCTTTCGTCGTCCTTCCTTTGCGAACGGCTGCATAATATTTAGCAATTACCCTGGCCTACCGTGAACGAAATACAGCTCACGACCACGACCATGAACATGAACCCAATGACGAGCAACCTGCCCTGCCAGGCTCCCATATGGGCACCACATAAGGAGCCTCTCCCGCCAGGGCTTACCGAGGAGGATCGGCCGCTCTGGGAGCAGAATAAGCGCATGGAGAAGTATTTGGGTGCAGCAATGGAGTCATGTCCGGTCAAGGCAACACTAGCAGGTGGTGCAGGTGCGTTGGAGTTGACTTTTCATATGTCGCGCCTGACAATGTTTGTTGCCTTTTCACAAATTTCTCAACGCAGGTTTCGGACTCGGCGCGTTCTTCTCCCTTATGTCTGCGTCGTTCGCGTACGAGGATCCGTATCTCCGCGCACGTACGCAGGAAGGGATGAACACAACGCAAAAGGCTAGTCAAATCTTCAAGGAGATGGGAAGGGGAATGTGGTCGAGTGGGAAGAGTTTCGGGAAGATCGGGGCCCTGTTCGCCGGTATTGAATGTGTCATCGAGTCGGTGAGTGGGATGTTCGAAACTTTTGTCCACTTTCTATGCGTGTTGACATGTATCTCGACTAGTATCGCGCGAAGAATGACATTTATAACTCTGTCTCAGCAGGATTCGTGGCTGGCGGTATCTTGGCGCGTAACTCGGGGCCGAAAGCTTCCTTTACGGGTGGACTCGCGTTTGCTGCCTTCTCAGCGGCGATCGACATGCTGTTTCTACGGAGAGAAACGCCTGAGTGCGTCCTAGAACTTAAGATGTTCTCCTTTCGAACGACTGATATATATTTTTCTTTTCACAGGGAGGACTGAACAATTTCCCACACTCTCATATCCAACGATTACTCTGCACGTTTATCCCGCTAGATCTAACTTATACGCCGACCATCTACTGCAATGTACCTATATAATTGGAACAATCTCGCTGGCAAGACCTAATACACCCGAACCACTTCTCCAATTCGCTATGAATTTACCTTTAGCATCATCGCAAGGGCATGAAATATGCAATCGTTCCCGAAGATGGTTCCTAGTGAGCGCTTGTCACTTCTGGTATCTCCTATCGGTGAAATTAGAACGTCCAGTTACCGCAAGATTTCGTCTATCATGGTACAGATCGATAGGCGGGCAAGAATGTAGATTTATCTGCAATACTGATCGACACTACGTTTCAGGACATTCGCCTGCGGGGTATTCGTGAAATTCAGGGTAAAAAAAGTCAAGGCAAACGCAACCAAGATACGAGCAACGTTAATAATAGAAGGGAGAATAGCAGAAGAAGGGGGAAAACGACGGTACAACAACTTCAAAGCGCCGAAGTTCAGATCAGATGGCGTCCATCGAGAAGCAGAACGACGCTCTCTGACCACGTAAAGGAACCCTAAGTTATCGTCCGATGCTGTCCGCGGAGAACCCCGTCCAACGTGCGTGTTTACACGATCTCTAACCCTTACACCCTTGACGGCCTCCAAGATAAAGGTCCAAATGATCGAAATTAGAACGAGAGAGCAGCAAGGAAGGCCAGGGCAGGCACGACTGCATAAGCCCCGATAGTGACAGCGCGGTTGGCTGCTGAGGTAGCTGTGTTGCCTGTGGACGCAGGGGACGTCGCAGTGGCACTGGCTGTGCGCGATGCACTAGTGTGGGATGCACTGGCCGACGAGTTCGTGCCATTTAAGCGGAGTGCATTGCGCTAAAAAACGAAAGTCGCGTCAGCTCTTGTCCAACCACAAAGCCGCGTAATGCCACGTCCGCCGCCATCAAAGTCCAACCCACCTGAAAGCCGTCGAGAGTCTCCCAGCTCGACTGGTTGATGTTGATGCCGCCGACGCCTCCGAGCGCACAGGTGCTCGCGTCGAAGAACCAGATGGTCGTGTTGGGGTCTGTGATGGTGATTGGGAGCTCGGTGATGGCGGTGCCGTTCCCTGCGTCGCGGAAGCTCGAGTCGAAGCCGTTGATCGTCTCATTGGTTATGTGCGCGGGGATGCACGGCGAGGCGAAGGTGGACTGCGTCGCTGTGTGGTTACCACGGGTGACTGCGTTGAAAGGGTAGGGGTCAGTGTGAGATGGACGACCAGGAAGAAGGATATACAGACAATTGAAGAGCACGACGTCGCCCTCCTCGGCAACGACACTCTGTGGCTGGAAGACCGCGCCTGGATTTTCGGTGGTGTTACCGCCGACGGTGACGACCACGGTCTTCGCGTATGCAGACGCGACAAGAGCGGCTACCTGCACTCAGAATATTTCTTTTTCAGCACTTTTCTATGGCGTGTCGCAAGGAAGACACGCACGAGGATGAAGGTAGAGCGCATCTTGGGGTCCTGAGGAAGGGGAGGCGGTTGGAGCAAAGGAAGGGGGACGCAGGAACGACGTAAGTGCGCATTTTTAATGGTGGCCTGGTATTTCTACCTGCCTTCAGGAAGACAGGTGGTTCGCGTTGTTGACGATGCCAACAAAGCTTTGATTGGGCGGCCGGTGAGCGGATGATGCCTCGATGACATCACGCCTCTTCGTCTTTCCCACTTCCCGTTCGTCTGAGATGTCGAAATTTAGAGGCAGTCAACTGGAAGAGAACAAATTTCAAGAAAGACATCCTGGTAAGACATCTGGTCGTTGTTTCTTTTGTTTCTTGGTGCTTGCATACTGGCTGTCCACGTTTCTGATGCCTCAAAATTTAGCTTTCATTTATTGTCCGTTCTCTGGATGCTTGAGTGGCTTTCATTGATTTACATGCCACGAGGAGAATGGCCTCTTCAACTCCATTGGTGATATCGAAGCGGAAGTCGAGCAGCTGCCGCGTGATCCGCAGTGATACCCTTTCGGAGGGACGAACACGGCCTCCTGAAGGCGCAGATGTTGGAAGAAAGCAAAAAGAACTACAAGTAGACCCTCGATTACCTCGCGGTACTCCATCTTCTTGACCGATCTTGTTGAGGAGATTTTCTCTCATTGCGAGTTGGTGTCCACACATTGTGCCTAACCTTACCGGCGGGCGGTGTTCTAGCCAAAGTGACTTACTGGCCACTGATCCTTCATCTTCTTGAAATGGACCTTGAAGAACCAGTAACTTAGCAGAGTTTGTGGAGAAACGCGTTGCTCAGCTCATCGGCCTACATTGCATTCCCGCTTTTGGTAATCCCGCTTTTGAGTGGCGCGCTGATGGCGATTAGATGAACCATCATGGGCTTTTCCTTCCAGAGGTCATCGACTCGGGGAAACCTGCCTTAATGCAGTCTTCGGCCAACCGATCGAATGGACAGGCCTGATCAGGCTGTCACAGTCTCATGGTTAACATTTAAGCCAAAACATATGTGAGCGGTGCGTTATCAATGTCGTCAAATATCCGGGACACGTAGCCTGACACGGATAGGGGTAATTCATAGAATAGATACATAGTAGATTATTTTGTCGAAACTCTGTGGCGCTTTGTCCACCGTCTTCTCGAAATTCACCTAGCCGATGAACATCTGTTCCTAATTTGGGAATCGTCCTACCAAAAATGATTGCCGCCAAAAATCACCACGGGTTCAGTGCTCATGTGATCTTTCCCCAAAAAAGCCTTCGACAGGATGCCATTGTATAAGCCCCATCCGTCTCTGAACGCATCTTTCCTCCGAACGCCCACCACCTCCGAGTGTCACGTCTCGCCTTCGCCGCCATCGGACGTCCTTTGCAATCGCCGTGAGGTCGTCAAGGTCATTACTGCATCGCAAGCCTATATTGTCCATTCTTTGCACTCTACAAGTTCAGTGAACTCCTGTGGCGTTGGCCGCCTTTTCGTCTTGTCTTCCGCTCGTGAGTTCCTTTCCTCGGCCTTCGCTCCTCGTTGCTCGCTCGTGAGCTCGACGGAATTGACGAGCGGATTTCCCTGGAGTATAGTTGTATTTCACCTCCTGTGGACGCTTCGTAGACCGTGGAAGGAGGTTGGGCGAAACTGAGCGCATCGATTTTCAGTGGGGAGGGCCAGATGCAGAAAAACCCGCACGACCTGCGTGTTTTTTTACATAAGCGTCGCGCTCCTGGAGGTCTTGCTCTCTCCCTATGTTCTACGCACCCTCTCCAACTATGTAATCGGATGCAAGGTCTAAGCAGCCCGACGACGGGAGGATGAAATGTGAAATGCTTATATACTTGCTCTAGCCTCTACAAACTCTCAGGGGAAGTGACAAGAACGCGATCTAATGGAGTATATCACTAGGATAAGCCAAGTGCTACCAGGTGTTGATCATCGGCTGAAGTGTCCTTTGCGGTGTTGATGTGAGACGTTCGTGCACTACTCTAGCTGGTACAAGGGTTCTGGAGTTCATAAGAAATATGCAAGGGGATCATGAACGTTCAGAACAGAACTCCCCCGTCGAATTATTTTCAAGTTAGTAAGACCAATGAGGTCCTGCCGGTTTGAGCATCGACAAAGAGATCACACCTTCTGAAGCACGTCGAAATTCCAGAACCGTCAATTCCGCTGATGAATGACGTAGGGTGAGAAACCGTATGAAGATAACGGATGGTCAAATGGCTGGAAATTTGGCTGTGAGGTCCAGGAAGTTCGAGTCGGTTTTAACGGCTGCTTCGTAGCCGAGGGCAGTGGCGTATAGAAGACACATGGCCCCGGGCGCTTGAGCATAGCACTGAAGTAGGTTCTCGACGTGATCATGTCTGAGTCTCTGACCGTATAGATAGCCCTTGTACCGCATTCACGATGATCCGAAATGTGCCACCGAGCCAAATAAACCGCAGAGAACGGAGAGCATGAGATCCTCCAACCAAAAGCATACGAAACTGCGGGTGTTCAAACGTTCACGGTTCCAAGCTAGAACCTGCATACCCTGACGTCGACCTCGAGGCACCGCGTTCGACAAAGGATCCCAATCAATGGCATTATGTATGCCACAGGGTACATACGCCCTGACACGCGCGAAAGGACATGAATTTCGAAAACCTGTCATCGCATCCAATAGGCCCAGCTCCATGGTGAATAAATCTTTTCTCAGCGAAGACGTGCAAGGTACCGACCGCAATTGAACGATCTGAGCGTTGTAGTGGGGAGGAGATCAGATTTCGGACGATCGGGTATTGCCTTTATTTATAGATCCGCATTTCCAGTGACAAACGAAATCGGAACAAAATCGAGACCCTCTTTTTTTCCCTTGCCCACCTTCCGACGCCTTTCCGCTGATATTCAGCCTATTAACAAGCTCGAACACGCGCTCTGGGCCTCCTCTTCGTCCTTTCCCCCATAGATCCGAGGCTCTTCGAGTGTGAGTACCAAGATAAAGCCCCAGGGAGGCGATGCTGACATCATTGAAGCCCAGGCGTCACTCAAGCCCAGTCGAGGAAGCGCAGACAGGCCAGGAGGTCTACGAGGGCCTGGGCATCTTGCTGCATTCGCTTCGTTTCTCTTTCCATCCAGTTTCGTCAAATTCAGTCATCTGCTGCATTCGCCAAGTCCACGCCTTTTCCGTTCGGGGTTGTCTTCAATCACAGTTTCCATTGAGGGGCTCAGTACCGGGCACCATTGGGGTGGTTATTAGCTCGATCAGGTGCGTGTTTTTTCGGTCTTCCAAAAACATTTCACCGCTAACCTTGTTATCTGTTTCTGCTTTCCTCGTTGAACTGGGAATTCGGTGTTTTCACTCTCACCAGCGCTTACACTTGATGCCACATACTTAACGACATCACGACCTCTTCGTCTCCCTTGCTACCAAGAACCGCCAGTCAGGTCGATTTCACCTGTGACAACGATCCCTTCCCACCTCTATCAATCCTGCATCGAACCTGACTATCTATAAAAGCCCACCCTTCACCCCTGTAGTACCGCATAACCCCACCTACCCTACCACCCCCGAACCAGGCATCCGTTATCTTTACCGATGCCCCACCAACCTCTGAAATCAGACAAGAACAGTCTCTACATTCGTCTCACAGAATCTGCCGTCTTCCTTCGAACAGATGGCGCGCCTGGCACTCGACGCGCGAACCTTTCTTCTGCGGATAGAAGCGCGATGCTCCGCGGCCTGCTCGTGCTAGAATTGGTTAAGCCTACAAAAATAACGAGCATCGAAGTTGAGCTGTCTGCGATGACCTCTACTGCGTGGCCTGAAGGTGAGTCACCTTATCGAAGTCGAGAATGAGAATCGTGAATGTTGATCTTTCCCTGTGATTGTCATGTATGCCAGGTGTCGGCGCGCGTAGAATCGAAGTTACGGAAGAACACCACGCATTCCACGCCACAACGACGTACTTCAACGCTGGGAAGACCGCCAACCCAGCACGCCGAACAGCGTCCATTGGCCCCGGAGTGTCCTATGCTCATACTCTGCATCACCATCATCTCCACGGCGATTTCGGAGAGGACGAAGAGGAGGGAGAGTGGGAAGACCTCCTTGGAAGGACACATGGGCACCCGTCGCGCGCAGATGACGACGTTGTGGACGCCCCTAATGCTTCAGCGAACGTGAGCAGGAGCAACAGCGAGACAAATTCTCGTGCTACACGATCGCCACACTTGTCTCGAATATCCAGCTTATACCAACCGCTGCATTTCGGCCACCAGGCCACACCACCCTCTCCCGCCTATGCATCTTCTTTTAATTCCGTTCCTCTACCACCTTCTCCCGACATACGGCATCAACGGCGGATGAGCATGGATATCAGCCAGTTGAGAAGAATTCCAATGCATGAAGTCCATCATGTGGAGGAACTGGCGCCAATACCACCGTATTCTCCGCATCCTCTTTCACCAGGCAGCGGTGCGTCGACAGGAGGGCAAGACTCCAGTCCATCAGGTTCAAGTTCGAGCCTCGAAGTTCCGACAAATGCTGCCGCTCAGAGTTTGGAAGTTTTCCGCAATTCGTTGCAGACGACATTGCAGAATTTGCAGCCTCCGAGTAAGCTTGTTGATGTTACTTGCCTTCCTTTTCATTAAGTAACGCGATTTACCTTCCAGGTCGAACAAGCTCAGAATCGTCACTTCACCCCGATCGATCTGCTTCACGACCACCAAGCTTCGGAGAAGCTATACCAGAGGATGAAGCACTACATGAGCCCCCCGCGCTGAGCCCAAGTTCTGTTCAGCCAGAGCTATCGCCCATCCTCGGCCCCAGCACCATTACAGGGCCAACACCACGCCAGCAGTCCTCCGCACGTTCACGTACTCCCTCCATACATGATAACCGCGACTCCGGCTCTTACTCGCGTCCACAAACTGCGTCTCCTCCAGCGCGAGCACCCAACCCATCGACAGAGAGAGGAAGGAGGGGAAGTCGGTTCAGTTTCTCGGCCGTATCGAATATTTTTATGGACGCGGTCCGCACGACCTCTCCACGGACGAGTAAATTAGGGCAGTCACGCGAACGAGGAAGGGAACCCTCTGCTGATGGGAGTCCGCGTGGTGCTGGTGGGAGTCGAAGTGCGAGGGGGCGAGCTGGTGCCAGCCAGCAGAGAGGCAGAACGATGGAGAGAGGTCTGGCAAGTCCTCTAGAGATGGACATTGAAGCAGAGGAGGCGGATGCGGAGAGCTCACGGGTGAGGGAGCCGAAGGAACGTGGGAGAGGGATTGGGAAGATATTGAAAGATTGGGAGAAGGAACACCTACACCATAAAGAGGGCTGGAAGGAATTTAAGAAAGGTCCTTTTTTAACCTTCTCGTCTCAGTTCGCAATTCTCAACTTGATCCTTTAGGGACCTATTCTTACCCAATATCCTTCAGCATACCTAGCAATGCCCCACCAACAATGTTCTGCGATTTCGGCTCAGTCTCTTGGCGACTCAAGGCCACCGTACATCGACCTGGGGTGTTGAAGTCGAAGCTGACCGCTGCCCGCGACGTTGTCATCATTGCTTGCCCCACGGAAGAGGATACTGAGGATACTGAGAACATTATCGTGGAGAGGCACTGGGACCAACAGCTCCAATACCTGATATCCATCTCAGGCCGGAGCTTTCATATCGGTGGAACAGTGCCCGTGTCGTTCACTCTCATGCCCCTGACGAAGGTTAAAATCCATCGAATATCTGTGTTGCTAGAAGGTAAGCCGAGTATATCCACCCTTTCTTGGGTCTTACGCTGGTTCTGCAGAACGAGTCGATTATTATACCAACATGCGGCGCATCGCTCGCTCGGATCCTCCTACTCGCTTCACATTGCTCTCAATAAGAGGCGAAGGGAAAGGAGCTGACCCAATTCTGCCTCTTGAATCCGACGATGTCGAAGTCCTACGCAATTCGCCCTTATTCCAGATCATCAACCAGGAAGACGACCTAGGCGAGATAGCATCGAACTTGATGGGTCCTGGCCCTTGGTCCTTCCACCGCGATCTGAAGCTTCCGAGTTCCTGTGATATACTCAAATTCACGAACCGAAATAGGCGGAGCAATATCCTTGTTACACACTTGCTCAAGCTGATCATGAGAGTTGAGCGGGGAGACGATTTGTACGTCGACAAGTCAGGTAGAAGGAAGATGTTTGATATCGTGGTGCAGACGCCAGTCCTCATCCTGTCGGTGCGTATCTTTGGGGCATTGCTCGATAGCACACAGGAGACTGATATGTTATTTTCTACGCTTTAGTGTCGCTGCAATCCTGAATGGACGTCACTGCCACGTTACTCAGAGGCATTTGACGACCCGACCAACTTCATCCCAAGCTGTCCTTGCCAGGTTACTCGTGAGCAAGGAGACATTGGCTTCCGGAGTGCCCTCGAACGGGTGACTTCAAGACACTCCTCCGACTCCGCTGCCTCCGCGGCAGAGACGAGCCCCATCCACCCCAATTCGATGCGTTCGCTCAGGCAGTTGAGCTTCAGCGAGGCCATCGTCCGCTCCAGCAACCTATTCGAACGCCTGATATCAGGCCAGGAGAGCGAGACTGGAGAAGCGCCTCCTGCGTACGATATCGTATCGCCCAGGCCACACGTCACGGTTTCGCCAGGTGTTGCTGTTCTTTAGACAGCTTCTTGCCCGTTTCTTCCAACTCGGCACACGATTTATTGTTATTTCCTTATTTCGGCGGGATTTTACTTGGATATGACCTTGAATTCATTCATGACATGATGACAGATATGATTCTTTATACATGTTCTCATATAATTCGAGGTGTAATGTTGGTGTAATAAGCATGTAGTCAATTGTATTTCTCTTTGTCACTTCTTGCCGTATCCAAAGACTAGCTATGGACGAGATCATGATGATTGACCCTGCTCGTCTGTGTGGTCTGAAAATAGCTTCCCAAAAAAAACTGTCCCTACTGCAACCCTCCTGCATAAGCGGAGTCTTCTCGTTGCCATTCCCATTTCTTTCCCCCCCAATGTTATGTAACTGGTTCAGTATTTTTACTATAGAGTACTGTCTATTTCATCTGATTTCATCGCTTCAGGCAAATCGAGGGCAAACACCAAAATATAGTCGGCCGTTCTTCTGATCTACCCGATTCTTTCTTGTTCTTCAATATTCTGAATTCTTCCCTGAAACTTGTGTCGTTGATCTTTCATCAATGTAACTCATTGTGCTCAGAGGACACCACATCGTTGAATCAAGCGATCTGATATGGGAAGTATAGAGGGTAGCACATCTCTGGCGCATATTCCTAGAACCGAGAGCGTTGCTCTGTTGGACCTTCTGGTCTTCGAAGCCGAATCACTTGCCATGTTTCATCCAGCATTCCAGTTTCAACGTCAAGAACGGCGGTGGTGGCAGGTGCCCCATATCGTTGAACATATCCTTCCTACAGGACTTGCGTCTTGGGTACATCCATAATGTAGGCACTTATTCCATTCAATCCCTTCTGCCCCAATACTTTGGATTGAATAAGCCGGCGGAATTGCCACGAATGATGAAGCTCTATTTTCAGGACATGAATCCACCAAGGCGCTGTGGTATTAATGGATCCACATCATATCCTGAACCGTGATGATTGTTGGCAAAGGAAAGGATAAAGGACTGGACTTGCAGATGTGAAGCTTTAGTAAGAGCCCCGTACTTCGAAGTTCGCGCGATTGCCCTGGTGAAGGGTGGAGGGCGACCAAACACGCCTCATCGAAATGCAACAGCGAAGGCAGGAGCAGCGACAGTCTTCATCTGCCGTTAGTAGCTTTTCTGGGTTTTGTCATCTGTCAAGAAATTAACATCTGGGAAATACAGAGTGACAATAAAAGCTACAAATTACGCCGACTGGACAGCTTTCTCTCGCGGGTTACCAAGCCAGGATACTTCCGTTCGGCGAGCCCGAAGAAATTAACTGAAGACCTCGACCAAGCATGCCTCGACGAGCAGGCACGTCTAATCAAGCAGCGAATCGCCGAATTTGAACACAAAAGAAAGGACTTGGCAGTGTTGGAGGTTATCGAGTCCACGATGAAGGAACAGTCAGTGCCGATATGGGAAAGATTTGGATTTTGGAGCCGGGCCAGATTCGCCATCCCAACACCGTTCAGCTGCATCCGCACTCGCAAAAGCAAGCGTATCCTTGAAGACTATCAAGGCCTCGAACGAGCTGCAGCTACATCTTCCAATTTACCGACCGGCGCCTTGGATATAGGGAAAATCGCCGCAAAAAAGCTAATGCTGCAAAACGAGCAACGTATCCAATGGTCCAAGAACCTGCAGGCCAAAGTCAGAGGAGCGATGAGTCTGCGCAGGAAGCTTCACGCACCTGTGTACGCGATCTCGCAGGAACTTTGGGGATATATATTTCTGTTCTGCCTCTCAAATCAAGGTCGAGGGGACAAGAAAGCAGGAGATGAATACGTCGAGCCCGACCGCAACTCTGCTCCACTCCTCTTTTGCAGCGTCTGCCACACTTGGCGCATCGCAGCGATACGCACACACGCTCTATGGGCATCGTTGGTCATCCGCTTGCATGGCCAGTCCGAGACACGCAGGGTCTTCATCCAGACATGGATCAGACGTGCTGGCAACCTACCGCTGGCCTTGCATATAATCTGGGAACCGACAGGCTCACTAGAATGTTATGACACCATTTTGGAGGATGTGAGAAGCCTGGCAAGAAGGTGGAAAAGCCTGAAGCTGTCCATCTTGAAGGGCCTTCTATGGCAATTGCACAGCTTTCCGAGCAGGGCCAGAAATTTATTGGAGGGCAGGATGACGAGGCTCGAGAGGTTGACGGTGGATACATACGTGTCCTTCGCCGGAGACGTCAAAACAATACAGAAGAAGGCGCCCAAGCTCAGAGTGCTGGTGTTAGGGAATTCCGACGTCGACCCGATGGATATCGTTCTGGCGCCATGGTCAAAGTTAGCGGTATTTCGATCATGTTTTCCTCTGGGGATGTCGCAGGCACATGCAGTTTTCAAGTATTGCCCCAACTTGGAAGAGTGCGAAATCGCGGTTATGGCCTGTCCTGTCCTTGATAGACCACGGGCAATGCTCCGGATGCCATACCTGAAGAAATTGACAATTAATGAGACGACCATGGACGTCCTGAATACCTTATTTCTATTTCTGCAGCTGCCTGAACTGGAGGAGCTCAATCTGAATGCGGAAAGTTCGTGGGTGTCAGTGGGTAGGACTCAATGGTCTGCTGGGGAGTTGCTTTTCATGGTCCATCGATCGGTGGAGGATGGCGAGATAAAGATGAAGTCCTTGCGGATGAGGGATATAGCATGCCGTGACCACGTAGTGGAGAGCATTCGACGCACGATACCCGGGCTGGTAACTCTTGATATGGATTTTCGGGAGGTAGAGGTGTTGGAGCAGTGTTGGACAAAAACTCTGAGGATTGGGAGTACCAACTATGGGCGGGAAAGCACGGTCCTGCCATGATAAGAATACTAAAGACATTTTAGGAGATGGATTAGTTATGTAACGTTAACGTACTTTTTGCACGCACCCTTTGTGTTGATAATATGAGCTTGACTGGAGTGTGTAGACTCAAAGCTCTAGGAATGTCAAGCATAGAATAAACGAAAAGACGCGGAGAACCCAAAAGACAGTGCTTACGTCCTGGAAACGGAACTCTTTGCCAGGTCCTTCCTTCCTTGCAACTAATTGGAGGTCCCTAAATGGCTCTAAATAGTCTGGATGACGTTACTCTGTAATTTCTGACGCTGGAGAAACACTCCGTTAGCTACAAAAGCATTAAAATCTTGCAGGGATGAACAAAACCTCCGTTAGATCTGCCTGGAGCAGTAGATGCATCTATCGATGGCATCCTTGAGACACGTCCCAAAACTATCAGGATCAAGTGATTCTGGGGTCCATGTCGACCAGTTTCCCGCAGACAACAGATTGAACAGCCATCGAACAGTATCTCGTCGTGTGGATGGATATTTAGAACAGCTTGAGGGCTTTTCTTTGTGAATTGTGAGTAGAAAGGAGTCATGGGGAAATACGGAACCGTCCTGGGATCGGAGTGGCTGGGGTCTCCGTGGGAGTTTTTTTGTGTATTTCCTGCTTTCCTTCTTGTCCTTGTCCATCGTCCTTACCAACAGGACAGACACTATCTGTGCCGGCTCGCTACCTCCAGCGTCCGTTGCCTTTTCATTTTCATCTCTTCCAGCTGCATCATCGCCTGCTGGCAGGTCTTTTTGACGACCGACCCACGCGCGACAAAGTTCAACACAAAAAGCCTCAAAAACTTCAGCTCTTTCTTTGCCCAATTCGTGAGCGTTTTCCTCATTGTTCTCCCCGCCGTATGGGCTTCTAGATTGACCTCAAACCTTAGAATGAGCAAGTCTTCAACGACAACAGCACCAAAGAATCCGACTCCGCTCCCAGCAAAGTCAGCTTGGTCAAGGGGACCCCCGCAGACGACAGCGCCTTCTCCACGCTCTCAGTCTCCCGCACCGTCCACGCCTGTTACCCAAACACATTCACGTCGCCCAAGTACCCTCGGTCAAGGTGTTCCTGTAAAAGATGGCGTCACCATCCCACGAAACAACGTAGGCTCCGTCAAGCAAGGTTAGTCATCGTTCTGCTGGCATTTGCTTGACAATTGACGCCCATTCATGCTCACCAGCCTCAGCGGTGACCTTTGGATCAATAGATGACGCTTCAGCGCCAATATCCTCGTCACCTGCTCCTGCCCCAGCTATCAAGTCCGAGGGCGTAAAGTCCTTTGGAACTGTGCCTGCTGCAGCTACCGGCCATGTCAATGGTAAGGCGTCCATATCGTCAAGAACCTCGGTGGTTTCGGCCTCATCGTCGACAGCCACGGCGGCCACACAGTCCAAGCCTAAAATTGACATCAAGAAGATGTTCCAGAACCCTTCATCAGCTCCATCCTCCAACCCCCCGTCCGACTCTTCGTCGCCGTCGATGCGCAACACCAATCTCCCATCTCAACAAGCATCTTCCTCCTCGCATCCTCCGCCTTCACAGCTAGGCTCTCATTCGTTCACACCTTTCGTCCCCAGTGGCCAGATGCGGCCGCAGCAACACGGTGGTCCTAATGGCGCACCTCCTAGATCCCCCTCTTACCCTCGACAAATGCCGAATGGTGTAGGCCAACGTCCGCAAGGTGGACAAACTAGTGGACCGCCTGCTGGCCTATCAAGTCCTCGGCTTGGGCCACATCCTCAGCCTTCCTCAATGCAACCTCCAACTCAAATGCAACCTCACATGCAACCTCAAATGCACCCTCCAATGGGTATGCCGTGGCCTGGTTACTACGTGAGTGTCTTCGAGAGATAACTTCCTTTAACGGGTCTGTCTCCGAAATTGTCTCTTTTAGTGGCTAACTCCCATCACAGTACCCCGACCAACAACCTTATGTCTATGCCCCATGGTACCCCTCTATGCCTATGCAACCTCCCCACCAACAACCTCCTCATGGTGGCATGCCCATGTCACCGAGAAATCCACCTGCCAACCTGCAAGCGCCGGGGACTCCGACAATGTCGCATGCCCTACCCAATCCAGTACACGCCCCACATCCGCCCCCGTCAATGTCGCACCCCACGACGTCAATCGGCGGTCTCACGTCACCACCACCCACACCTTCATCCTCATCGATACCACCAAATCGTCTGAACGCCGCTTCGAGTACGTTTGTTCCTCGAACAACGAAGGTTACTCTCAAGAAGGAAGACGGTACCGAGGTTAATTTGGAGAATTTAAAGCAAACGACACCCGCGCAGTCGACCACCACTCCTGCAACGCCATCTGCATATAGACAAGGCAGTCCTGGGACGCCGAACCGGAGACCGGCTAGCATACGGATAGAGTCGGAAGACCAACGGAAGCAACGTCTCGCAGAGGAGGAGGCTAAGGAGAAGGAGAAGGCGAGATCTAAGGCTGAGGCTGAGGAAAAGGTCAGAAAGGAGAAGGAAGAGGCTGAGCGCAAGGTCAAGGAGGCCGAAGAGAGGAAGCGAAGGGAAGAGGAAGCCGAGAAGGAGCGTATTCGAAAGGAGGAAGAGGAGAAGAAGGAGAAGGAGCGTCTGAAGAAGGAGGAAGAGGAACGGTTACGCAAAGAGGCTGAAGAACGGGAGGCCAAGCGCATTAGGGAGCAGGAGGAGCGCAAACGGAGGGAGGAGGAAGAGGCGGAAGCCAAGCGCATTGCAGAGGAGAAGGCGAAGAAGGACGAGGAGGAGCGGTTGAGGCAGGAGAAGGAGAAGGCGCGGTTGGAGCAAGAGCGGCTAGCCAAAGAGGCTGAAGAGCAGAAACTACGCCTCGAACAAGAAGAGGCAGCGAAGAAGGCTCAAGCTGCTGCTGAAGCCTCAGCCACCGACGGCAAGACAATGACGGAACCAGAGGAAGGCGAGCTCGTGGAAAGCAAGGATGCCGCACAGCCCGCGGTTTCAGATGCGAAGGAGAAGGCCAAGGAGGCTCTTCGTATAAACACCAGTGCGGTTTCGCCGACGGTCGACAGAAGACGCCCTGGCCCTCTTGACCTCACTGACGCAAAGAGGAGCAACGTCGCCGCACCACCTCAGAGTGCTCTTGCTACTGCCCGTATTATTTCTGACATCAACGCCGTTGCATATCCTGAGGGTGTCAGTAGCCCTCGTCCTGAACTCAATGAGAATGCAAAAGAGGGTAAATTCCGGTGGGTTCAACGATTTTCTCCAGACACTGCAAACTTCTTATCTTGTATCCTGTATTATGAAGGTATGATCGCGAATTCCTCCTGCAGTTCATGTCGATCTGCAAGGAGAAGCCTGCTATGCTTCCTCCTCTCGACGCCATTGGTCTTGAGCCTGTTGATCAATCATCCCTCGGTCTTACTCGCACTGGCTCTGGTCGTCACCGCCAAAGTTCCGCTATGCTTCCTCCATCCCGGCAAGCCTCGATCGGTCTTGGGCTCTCTCCCAGTACGTTGGGCAAGAGCGCTACCAGCTCTTTCAACGGTATGGGTAACTTCGTCATTGGCGCCAGCAAGCTCAGTAGCGAGGATCGATTCGCAGCAAGTGCCCGTGCAGCTTCTGTTAGTGGCCCTGCTGGTATGCCGTTCAATCGCCCGATTGGTATGACGAGGACTGCGAGCCAGGGCGGGGCAGGCGTGGATCACAAGCGCACTCGTAGCAAGCGTGGAGAGAAGAGACCTACTACCGACAAGGCTCCGACTCAGCAAGGCGGCTCTGGCTTCAGCAACTATCAGCACCAGCAGCAAGCTAACCTCGAGCCTGTCGCCCCTCTTCAAGTCTCCGCTAACCGTTGGGATAGGAAGTCCATTATGGTCGAGGGAGACTCGCCTGAGATGGTCGATCGTAAGGTCAAGGGCCTGCTCAACAAGTTGACCATGGAGAAATTCGACTCGATTTCTGATCAGATCATCGCATGGGCCAACAAGTCCGAGAAGGAAAAGGATGGACGGACGCTCATCCAGGTTATCCGACTTGTTTTCGAGAAGGCTACTGACGAGGCGACCTGGTCAGAAATGTATGCGCGTCTATGCAGGAAGATGATGGAGCAAATCAGCCCCAAGGTGCAAGATGACGGTATCAAGAACAACGAGGGCAAACCCATTGCCGGTGGCCAGCTCTTCCGCAAGTACCTTCTCAACCGGTGCCAGGAGGACTTCGAGCGTGGTTGGGTGAACAAGGAGGCTACCGCCGCCGCCGCCGCCTCGAAGGCCCTCGAAGACGAGGCCATCAAGGCTGCGAACGACAAGACGAAGGACGACGGCAAGGAAGAGGTTGCTCTATACTCTGACGAGTATTATGCCGCACAGAAGGCCAAGCGACAGGGTCTCGGTCTGATCAAGTTCATCGGTGAATTGTTCAAGCTTCAGATGCTGACGGAGCGTATCATGCACGAGTGTGTAAAGAAGCTGCTCGGCAATGTGGATAATCCTGAGGAGGAGGAGATCGAATCCCTCTGCAAGCTCCTTGCGACCGTTGGCTCCCTTCTGGATACCGCTAAGGCCCGCGCTCATCTCGACGTCTATTTCTCGAGGATGAAGGAGCTCACGAAGAGCCCTAATGTCTCTTCGCGTATGCAGTTTATGTTGCAGGTTGGTCGTTCTCTTTTCCACAAGGTTAGTGTGATATGCTAAACCCTCTCCCTATCTCAGGACTTGATTGAACTTCGTGAGCGCAAATGGGTAACTCGAACAGCCGTCGCCGCTCCGGCAACGATTGCGCAGATTCATGAAGCCGTAAGTCTCTTTCTAGAACAGACCGACCGACGAAATTTCTAACTCAAGGGTTGTAGGCTGCCAAAGAGAAGGTCGCTCAGGAGAAGGAGGCTTATGCACGACAAATCAGCATGTCTCGTGGCGGTTCAAGACGTGGGGGAGACCGTGGTGACTATCCTCAGGTTGGCCCTGACGGTTGGGCTGTTGCTGGCAGCTCAGCTCCTCGGCCACCACCGAAAGCGGGCGATCTTTCCAACTTCGGGAAGATCAGCAAGGCCGGGCCCCCTACAACATTCGGCCCAAGCAGCGTTTTCGCTGGCAAGAAGGGCGCCGAGAAGCGAGAATCTATCTCGCGAACGGCATCGAACTCGAATATGTTCTCGATGCTCAGCAGCCAGAGCGCTGAGACCTCGGAGCCTAAACGTAAGAGACCCTCAGACTTGTTATATATATCACACTAGGTGCTAATTCCTGGTTCTTTGATCATCAGCCGCTGAGCCTCAAAGGAAACGCCTGATCCTTCAACCTCGCTCGAAGCCCGTGGAACCATCCGAGGCGGCGGAGACCGCTTCACCTGCTCGCGAGTCTGAGGGTAGCAGTTCGGACGACGAGGCCCCTGCTGCTCCTGAGATGACTGAAGAGGCCGCGAAGAAGAAGATCGCGGAGGACTTGAAGGAGTTCTTTGGTGTCCGGAACCTGGACGAGGCCGAAGTGTACTTCACGGACCTTCCTGCGCAACACCACCACAAGCTCGTCGACAAGCTGGTATCAACGGCAGTCGAATCGAAGGAAGCCGACGCTAGGCTCGTCGCTGACTTCTTCACCCGTTCTGTCGAGAGGGAGCTATGCACCCCGCAGGCTTTCGAGGAAGGCTTTACTCCTATCGCGGAACTCATCGACGATATCGCCATTGATGCACCCAAGGCGTTCCAGCTATTCGCCACTATGCTCAAGGGTGCCAGTTTGGACGAGGCCCGACGGTCGAACATTGCATCCAAGTCGATGGACAGCGATAGACTTCTTGCCCTGCTACAGTAACTTACACTCATCATAATTTCTCGTCCCATCCGCTTTCGCATCTACTTTATTATCCGTTACCCACTTCCTTTCGTGCTACTACTACTACGCCTATACACTATTTCCCGACGTCATGTATGCCTTTCATCACCTCATCCTCCCGGCATTCCTCTCCTTTCCCTTCGTTGCATTGTTCGATTACCTGTATTGGCAGTCTAGGTGACATCTACACTAGTACTCCTTTCTGTGATTCTTTAGGACTTCCTTTCGCGTTTTCTGCGGCATGTACATAGGTCTTCCCAGAGCAGCGTTTGCATATACGTACGTACTTGTTTGCTTGAGAGAGCATGGTGAATTTTTGAAAGGGACCGGAGGAATCAATGACGTGAGATGTTCCGAGCTGGACAATGACGGCAGTTGCTAACATTAGAAATTCCGGCTAACGCCAGAAGTACCCCTTGGCACTCAATTGCCGCTGGCGCCGCTTTGAGTGGCCCGTCATGGAAAGCGAAAGCAACGGACCTTCGCGCTGTGGGCCACCTTGTATGCCAGAGCATGTGGGCAGATAATCTAGTGTGGCGTGCCAGCGAAGGGGTATATAAGGAACTGGACAGAAATCTATCTATTAATTCTCGGTGATCTGACCCGTCCATATCTCAAACGTTTGCGCCAAGGAATTGTTTTCAACAAGTGGTCCTTCGATTTTAGCTTTCTCCATTGGTCTCAGGCGTATATCAACCCCAGTCTACGGCTCTACTGCTCTTCCACGTTAACCCCCACCACGCCTGCCGGCGCCCTGCTGGCGCTCTTCCAGCCTATTTCGCACAACAATTGAAGCATTGCCTTGGCATGACTTCAGCCACCGAAACTAACACGGACCGAAAATCTCTCTGGCAAAAGATCGCGGACAACCTCAACTTTTATCGAGTCCATCTGCTATTTTTGTGAGTCGCTCGGGCGTCCTGTTTCAATTTACGCTGGGAGTAAAACGCTTATCACCGCGCCCCTTAACTCTTTCACCAGCACATTCACACCTCTTATCTTCTCTGTCATCTTCTACTTGAGCAATGGCCGATATCATATCAGCTATATCGACTCGTTGTTCAACTGCGTCAGCGCCATGACAGTCTGTGGATTGGCTACAATAAACCTCAGCTCGTTGACCGGCTTTCAGCAAGCCTTATTGTTTATACAAATGAGTCTGGGCAATCCGGTGTGTACAAATGGTCCTCTGGTTCGCTTCGATTTCTGAATGGCCTCTAGGTTATTGTCTCATGGGTGATGGTTCTTATTCGGAAGTGCGTTAGGTGTCTCGACTATTGACCTTGAATTTTATGAGCCCTCCTAGATACTTTTTCGCGAAGAGATTCGAGCACATTGTCCAGGCAATTGCGGCGGAAAAGGCGGCGAAGATGGTGGAACGTGCTGGAAAGGATAACAAACCATGGCCGCGTCGGATAAAGGCTTTCTTCACAGGAAAAAGTGTCAATGTTGTCGATGAGGAGCTGGCACGTACGGAGTCGCCGAAGAGCCACGGCAGCGTTATTCGCAAGTTGAGGCCAGACATGATCCGGCGTATGGACGACGCCCCGAAATTGATTAACCCCAGCGGCTGGGTAACGGAAGGCCGACCCCCTTCGCTGAAGCAGAAGATGTCTTTTGTCCATCCTCGTCTAGAAATCAAAACAGAAGAACCTGTTGCGAAGTCGATATCCAACCCTGCTCCCCATCTGCCTGCCCCTCCTGCCCCTCGAGTGCGGAGGAGCGTATCTGCCGACTTCACAACCCGCCGGTATGCTACATTTTGTTGTACATGTCATTGACTCATCATGCGTCTAGGAGAGGCCGACGTTTGTCAGACCCTGGGCACCCATCGAGGCCATCATCCCCTGTAATGACTGGTATGTTCTTGCTTCTCTCAGACAGCCTGTTCTAAAGTAATTTCTAGCCAAAATGCATCGTTTCGATACTGTCGCTGAGTTGACTCCTACCAGCAGTCCCAACGGCTCCCCGAAACGGTTCCCTCGTACCCAAACCGTGGAATTTGCTCCTGCCCCAAGACGAAGAGATCGAGTTCAACCTCGCGGCATTCCGGAGCATAGTCCACTTACCGAGGAACCTCAGCAACTTCTTTCTCCTCCGACGGAAATCCGTAAGGCCCTCTTCAGGGCGATGTCTCCACGCTGTTAATGTGGTTTCAATTTGTAGGCTCCATTCGCAGTCGCCGTCCGTCAGTTGGCCCACAGATGTCTGCGCGGACGCCTAGCCACTATAGTGGTTATCCAGAAAGGAGAAGCATGCACCGCGGCTACGGTGGTTTTCCGATGCCATGGGCTATCCTCAAATCGCTGTTCGGAAAATTATTCCCCAAAGCCCAGCAGAAGCTCGTTCGTACCATAACAATTCCTGCGACCGTGTCGATTACACCCAACGCTGTCGGCGCCGATGGCGACAAGAAACGTGTACCCTATATATCTTTCGACGCCACTGTTGGCCGAAATTCAACGTTCTATCTCCTGACAAGCGACCAGCTGGACGAGATCGGCGGTGTGGAATACAAAGCACTGAATCTACTTCTGTGGATTGTTGCCGTCGTATGTCAATTAATCTTTTTACCTTTCCGTTGCTGACATGCCCCTTGACAGTACCATGTCTTAATCCAGCTTATATCTTTCGTCATTTTGGCTCCTATCTTTTCTGCTCGGAAATACGCGGACGTCTTCACAGAGGAACAAGTTCGCCCTTTAAACAGTGTTTGGTCAGTCTTGTTGCCGAATATTGCCGACCACATCGTTGACGCTTCTACGTCCAGGTTCTCGGCCTTTCAAGTCGTTTCTTCCTATACCAACACCGGAATGTCCTTGGTCGACCAGTCAATGGTTCCCTTTCAAGATGCTAGAGGTGCCGTTCTTGTCATGATCTTTCTGATCTTGGCTGGCAATACGTCTTTCGTACGTTCGTCCTTGTTACACATTCCCTTAAAGAGGTCTCATTTAAGTTTCTATTCTAGCCAATTTTGTGGGCCTCCTTTTCGATTCGTCTGTTTTGGTATTCGCTCTTCTGATATTCTATTTGATTCATCCAGCCTACGCTTTTCGATGTGCGTCCCCACATCATGCCCAACATTTTTGTGGCCCCTTACTCTTTTACCATAGTTGGATTTTCAGCAAGGTTGTCAGAGGGAATAAATCGCACTTACTTGAAACTCTCCAGTTCTTGCTGGACCATCCACGTCGATGCTTCACACATCTCTTTCCTTCCCATCAAACGTGGTTTCTCCTTACTGTAGTGCTTGGACTAACGTAAGTTCCTTCATTTAGAGTTTGCTGTCCTGCTGCTCCAACCATCTCATTCTTTATAGATTGATCGACTGGTTCTTTTTCCTCATTCTGGACCTCAACAACCCCGCCTTCGCAAGCATTCCTACCAACATTCGTGTCCTGGACGGTTTCATGCAAGCTATCGCTGTGAGAGCTGCTGGTTTCGGAATTGTGTCTCTTTCAAGCCTCGCACCTGCTGTGAAAGTACTTTTTGTCATCATGATGTACATCAGTGTTTGTACGTCTGCCATACTTGACTCCGAGCTTTCTTTTGCTAACATAACACCATTATAGATCCTATTGCCATGAGGTGTGTGACTTCATTTGTAATTGTTACCTTGCGCGGCTGAACCAAAACCCAGCGTTCGTTCTACGAACGTCTACGAGGAACAATCTTTGGGTGTCTTCCCCAAGGATCTCGAAGATGATGAGGACTTCGTGCCCCACGGTTCCCGAATGACAGTTTGGAGTCGTTATCTGGCTATGCATGCGCGAAAACAGCTGGCTTTCGGTATGAACGCTATCGTGTATGACTTGTCCTTTGCTCATGCCCTGGCCGTTCTTAGATATGTGGTGGATAGCATTATCTTTATTTGTTATTTGTATTATCGAGGTAAGCATAAGTCAACCTCTCCTCGTTCGTCCTTACACTATCCTAGGAGAACAACCTTACCAACCCGCAATTCTTGTCGTGGTTCAATATCTTTAACATTAGTATGGCTTTCACCTTCTGTCCTTGTTTCTGACGCTTGACCTTTGTCTCTTTAGTCTTTGAGCTAGTTTCTGCGTACGGAACTGTTGGACTGAGTCTGGGCATTCCTGGGGTACGTTTCTATCAATCCAACATGGGCAGATAATAATTACTTAACCAGCAAAACTATTCGCTCTCCGGGGCCTTGCATCCTTTATCGAAGCTCATCATTTGCCTTGTCATGCTTCGAGGCCGCCACCGTGGTTTGCCTAACGCTATAGACCGGGCTATCATGCTTCCAACCGAGTTGGAGAAAAAGGACGAGGCTATCGCTGATGCCCGCAGCCAATTTTCTGCCGGTGGAGCAGAAACGCTCAACAACCAACCGTTCAGATATTCAGAAACGATGAACAGCCTCCACCCGTCGGAGTTACGGCAAAGGTCGCGTCGTTTTTCTCGAAGTTATGGAGACGAGGAGGCGAATTTCTTTTCTGGGAATGGAATCAAGTCAGAGATCAGCCCAGACGACCTTCGGGCACCCCTTCACGACAGCAAATCTCAATAACGAAACTCGGACTATCGCCCATGAAGCTTGTGACATGCAGACACCGCGAATGCCCTATCGTTTTACTATCTTGCTGGCATCCTCTCTGTTCTACTTTTTGGGCCCTTTCTTGAAGCGGTTTTTGGACACCCTAGATATTCTTGTACCATATCGACATCTCTATCTTACTATTTCGCTTTCATAGACATCACGACCTCCGCATTAACTTATTGGTAGTTACAGTAAACACAGATATAGAGTCTCTAACGGGACAGCATTGATATGACCATCTTGGGTGGGATTCTGGGAACAAGTCCACTGACATCATAGGTTCCGTTCTGACCACCACCACACCTCATAGAAAGCTAAACTCCACACCTACGACTGCTGCGCCGACGATATCGACTACCGATAAGGGTGTCAACCTATCGCTCTTCAGTCCAATGCTCCAAGGATACCAATGATAGCCTGCTTAGCCATGATTCGAAACGACTTCGGGACAACACACACCAAGGATCAAGAAATTTCGCCCCAAAAACATGCTCCTGTGATCTGCTGGCCATGTTTTGGCTTATCGACAGATAATATCCCCCGTTTCGTGCCTTGAGGATATCGGACGGCAAGTCATGCGTTATCCATGAGGCACCCTTCACAAACGGCCAGAAGACACGAGCCCCAAGATCGACGGTTCCGACCCGCGAAACTACAAAAGGCAGCGCTCGAGCGCAGTTGGAACCCAATCACCTTGCCCTACGCCCATCCAGTGTTGAATTTATCCCTCCATTCCCTTACTACAACCTAAGGATTTGTCCAACTCGCCATGCCATACGCGGTCCACGACACGCAGTTTATCGGTCAAGAGGTACGTATCGAGAACGCTGACTTGAAAGAGTATTATGATTTATTTCGATCTGCAGCACTACGATGCCAATTGCATGGATCTCTGCGACTTGTTGCAGACAATGAAGCTGGACCCTGCATATCATCAAGGAGTGAGTCCTTTTCGACGCTGCAATATTGTCACACAAGCTTACCCGTTGCACCTGGAGAAAGAAAACCGCCGAAAACTCTATCCTGGCCGTGCCTCCGCCGCTAGACATCCAAGACGAACTTATGGTGGAAGACATAACGCATCAGGTAGGCCCCTAAGCACATCTTGTTACCCCATCTTTTTCACACGTTATCACTTCCCAGTGCGACACAGCATCGGAAATCTCCAATCTAAGCTCAAGTCCACGACGCGAAGAGCTTTACGGCTGCGCGTACCTCCAAGCCATCCAGTCTCAACTCACTTCGGATGGGTACACGACCACAGGTGGAGAGTACCTGGACGCCATCTTCACACACCGGGAAATTCTCTACGCACATCCCGCCGCACACCAAGAATGCGCTCGTGCCTTTACTGACATCGCATATATGTTGGAGAAGAGGGCATGGAGAGCTGATCGCGAAGCTGATATCGAGGCTGTCACTGCATTCCGCCATGAAGCTTGGGTGATCGCAGCTACATTGTGAGTAGCCCTTTGATAACGTGTAAGGTTTACCTAAATTATGATACTCACTTGACGGATACTGCAGGGCCCCTGCACCTTCAAAGCCAAAGGATACCATTTCAAATAGCACTGGTAACCAATCTGGCTGTGTCTTCATGCCTGTGATGTGAATTCTTGCACGTTAGTTAGGCACTTGGTTTTTTGTTTAATCAACAATGGGTCATATTGTGGACTTCCAATATTCTCTTGATTCTAGTGGTTCATTCGTTGTTCGTACATACATACGATTTGCTTCGTCGTCTTCCGGTTCGGGGAACTGAAATGTTGACCCGTCATAAATTAACGGATCAATTTAACTGTTGAAATAAATGAGTCGGAGTGAAGGCTTCACTCTCTTGTCACTGAGCTCTCGTGTTTTTCGCTCCGCCGAACTCTGGGCCTGTTCACATCGCAACCCACCACTCTAAGTTATGAACGTTGAACATTAATTACGTTATTCATGTCATTACCAGTTCCATGTGAAGAGACAATAAGCGCACGGATTTTACATTGGCGAGAATACAAAAATTTGGCGGATAGAAAGGGACAAAACAATTCTAGAAAAATATATATATTCGGATGCAAGGTAAGAGGCTCTTCCAGGAGGCCCTGGATGAGGGGGTGCAAGCCAAAAGCATGTCGCATAGCCCCGTTCACGAGCAATCGTCCGTCGTGTGCAGGCCGCCATAGCTTCACCGGTTAGCATGCGATAGACTTTCCACTAGCATGTCGTACAGATTGAGTTTGGGCTTCTACCACTGAATCTGATGCTTGAAGGTGCTCATAATTGTCCAGATGTCCGCTTGATAGAGAGATAAATCCGAAGTTAACGTCAACACTTTGAGGCAATCCGCGAAGAATCTGGGTATGAAGAAAGAGAAGCCAAGAATGAGACAGATAACCAGGAGATCCATCCAATAGAAGAACCAAGTCTTGAAGCTTCCACCGATGCCAGGACGATTTGACTTCCCCTGCGAAACCGGAGGAGGAAAAAGCGCCAACAAATAGGCTTCTGTCATCTGAACTCTGAAGTTGCGACGATCGGCACGGCTCCAACCTTTGAGAGAAACAACTGTCGATCCCAAGACGACCGCAGGAACTTCTCTTTTCCGTGGTCTGTCCTTGTTATTGAGTAGAAGCTGCTGACAGGGACCAGTATTCGTCAAGATGGAAGGTCCATAATGCAGCAATGCCATCCAGTTGGATCGACCGTTTCTTATGTGTACCCGCTGAGCAGGGAGGGAAATGCTGAAGCAAATAGGATCTGCCTGATCCACGAGACAGATACCATCGAGAAACGCGTAGGAAAGGTTGGTCCATCCATTGAAGAGCTGGTTCCAGGTGCCGTACATCCCAACGAGATGCAATTCTGAGGACCTCCTCGTTTTCCATTCGAACCGCCGTGGGTTGAGCTGGAGAAAGAGGTCTAACCAAGACGCATTTATTGACCGTTTACTCGCCCTGCACAGCGTGTCTTCGAACAGTGCCCGACGTGTTTCTTCAAGCCGTGTATCCTTCAGGCAAGCGCCAGCAGTAAATCTGAAAGAAACTGTCTTGACGTTGCGGCATTCCAAGCGGATATTTGGGCAAAGGTGGCCTGATTGGATGGGGTCGTACCGTACCTCGAGGCTGCGAACGTGTTTTGCAAAAGGTTGGTAGCATAGAGGCGAGTAAGGACCGTGTGCTAGCCGATTGAAGGCGTCCTGGGAAGAAATGGTGATAGTATGGAGAATATAAGGAAGAGCGAGCATGCGGAGACGCTTGTTCACAAGTGTGATGTTCGTGGCGGGCTGGCTAACTGTCGCGAAAACCCGCAGAATCCTGCGAAGGGCCGAGTCCGGTAGATCAAGAAGAGAATGGCTCGCAGTTTGACATAGCCAGCCTTCGCCATTCCCAGCAGAAATCGATGTGCTATAAGACCTAAATTCTTATTCATGAGCGTGGACTCGCAACACCCGGAGGCAGGACTTGGGGGCTCACTTGTCGTCCATCTTCGAAAGGGGTGAGCGCTGAGGTAGCGCAAGGCGAGTTGAAATTGACAAGAGTCTGGAGGCCTGCTGCCTGGACTTTGGAAGCTGAGGCGCTGAAGGATGGACACGTCCGGCCGGAAGGTCGTGAAAGCTGAAAAGACGTGCTGAATATTGAAATGTGCACCTACATCAACAAACAAATTCAGGCTCGTCTACTGAATGACCCGGTGTTCGTGAGGATCTTGTCTAGGACAGAATATTGGCAGGAAATGACATTCGATTTACTAAATGAACATTAAAACGGGCTCCGATGCATCGCACAAAAAAATTCAAATACACCGAACAAAAAACCAATGACAAAAACCATTACTAGACACCGACACCGCATAGTATCACTGAGGTGCGGCCTGTGCCTTCAATCGAGGGTCTCTGGAACGATCGTAGTAAAAGGCTGTAGGTCGCGGCGGAGGCGGCACGAAGGTTCCAAGAGGGTATGGAGGATCAATTAGGTCACTCGTGGTGGCCGGTTGCCCGGGATATCTCGAGGCCATAGATGGGCTAAGACGACGTTTCGGGGCGTGACGGACGTCGCTCTCGTTCTCCACCCCAGCAATGCTTCCAGAAGCCCCCAGGGCAGTCTCCTGTTCCTCTTCTTCTCGCGGGCGCTTGCTGCTGCCGGCTGCAAGTAACGGGATGTCGTTCTCGGTCGTCGCCCATGGAGCAGAGCTTGTCATCGGGAGTGAAGATGCAGCTTGGGAGGCAGCGCCTACCACTCGTACGCGCCGAAATTGCCCACCCTTGCTTCCCTCGGCCCGCGGGTTGAAGATGTGCTTGTCTTGCAAGCTCCTCCTTCTGGACATTTACAACCATCAGTATCGATCGCACAATGAAGCAGACGATAACTTACATGGCTTCTTGCATATCTTCTTCTTTTCTTTGGGCTTTTCTGCAGCGAATAGTCAGATCACGTTATGAACATTGTTTAGAGACGACTTACTCATCTGCCGCGGCCTCAGCTACGTGCTGTTGGTCGATACGCGTAGAACTTGGTCTGCAAGCCGAAAATCAGTTGACAGACACTGAGTAGGCAGATTTGACATACTCGGACACCAAGACAGCCTTCCGCTTCCCATTCTTAACCTCCTGCCTCTCCTTGTACTTTCGAATATCGGGATCCTGCTGCTCAACCAACGCATCTGCCTCCTCCACGAAAACAGCGCCATCCTCTGTCGTCCCCTTCCTAACAATTGCTGCATGTTCGCCGAAAATCGCGTCTTCTTCCCATGCAAGGCCCTCCCTCGTATATAACCCAGCGAACTCCGTTGCGCGCTCGAGCTTCATCTCCTCATCGCTCTTCGTTTGCGAGAACTCCTCCATCTCTTTGAGCATCTTCTTTAGCCTCTCTATTATCCTCTGATTATCCTCTGTGCGTTGCTTGACTTCATCTCGCTCCGCTCGGGCTTCCTCCATAATTTCCTCGAGTGCTTCAGGCGGGCAAGGGGATCCTACTTCTGGCTCTGGGCTGCTTTGCGGGCTGGGGTTGTTCAAGTCCGGTTTCCGGGTATTCGGTTCGACGGACCCAGAATTTGAATGCGGCGATGCTGAGCTGGGGTTCGACGAAGAGCCGGAAGATCGTTGCGACAACGGTCCAGTGGCTGCGATAGCCTCTTCGCGGTGGGATGGAGTGGACAGCGATGATGCGTTTCCGTTTGGTGCAATGACAGCTGGAGCGGCATCTGCAGGTGATGAGGCTTCCCTCGTTCCTTTTCCCGCTAGCGGACTGAGGGTCGGCTCGCGACCAAAGGTTGGAGAAGAAGGCTTCTTGCCCCTTCCATTGCGAGAGATGTGTCGTGGACGTGGAGGCCTCTCTTGCAACAGCGGCTTCCTACAGTCGAGCAGCTACATCAGCATGGATCAACGAGAGAGGATGCAGCGAACGTACCCAGGACTGACGACTTCCTCCTTGACAGCACCAGCCGCTTCTATAATCTCATCTATAATCTCAGATTTTCTGGTCTTTGTGATCCGGTACCCTCGATTCTGTTGTCCCGGATGAGTTAAAAGTCGATTCCAGGTGTAGAAGAACACAAACCTTAGCCAGCAGCTTGAGCTTCGCTATCGTCAGGCGTTCGAGTGAGGCACGGGTCAGCGGTGTAGATGGCGCTGTGTGTTCTGTGGCCATTACAAAATTCAACGGAGGCAAGAATTCGGTATGATGTAGTGGTTTGGGTTGGGAAAGGACGCAGTTCTGATTCTAGAGCCAAGCGTTAGCTCATCCTGTCCGCTCGCTCGTAAAAGTTTCAAAAACGATGTACCTTGAGCCTCTTGTTGTGTCTGACGACGGGAGGAGAGAGCGAAGAGGGTGGTTGAGGGTGGTGGTTGGTGTTCAAGATGAAGAGCGTAATCAAGTCGAACTGAGGCCGCGTATTGTCGTGTTTTTATGGCCAGTTCGCCGGCCGGCCCTCCAGAAAGATAGATCACGTTTCCTGGAGCAGGGCCAATTGTGGCCAATCTGCAATGGAAATTTCTAGCAGGCGGGGCCAACATCGCTGATTTGAGGTGTGCCACTCCGCGTCTTCGCACCTCTCTGATTAGGCCTGCCATCTCCTGCGCTGTGCCGTATAAAACACCTCTCTATCTACTTCCTTCCTACCTAGAAAACAAGGACATCAGCCTTGTCCTACGTCCTTGTTTCTCCCAGCACTCACCAGCAGCCTGATCGCGGGGTATCCCAATTTAGATCTAAGATCAGCGGTCCACGCGGCCCGCGAACGTGAACAATGGCGGACTTGGGCTGGGCATTTGGCCCGTCTGCCTTGGCATTCGTTCTACGGGTGGCTTTCGCATTGTTTAACGAATACAACGTCGACTTCGTGTATAGGCTGACTCGGGGAAAGATGGAGTCCCGTTATCTGATTGAACTGCCAGATACCCTAACCCCCCTGTTCAGATCATTCAAGGCGAGTCAGACCCAATAATTTCGAGTAGCGGATATGGGCTTCGACCATAACCAACGAGTAGAGGGCTAGCTGAAGGACAGAAACAATCAGCATAATAGAAATAATAATAATAACACGCGATGATAGTAGAGAAAGAAAAGATAAAAGAAAGCGGTCGTTTAATTGCGGCCAGGCGAATCGATAAGAGACAGGCCACACAACAATCTTCAACGAGCTTGGGCCACCATCGACCGGAAAAAATCTTCAGGGACCATGTCTGACGAATTCGGAATTGTGGCCTTTAGCCAACTGTCCCCGTCGCCCTTTTCTTGCTATCCACCACGACCTCCACCAGCACGACAAGACAGTCGCGCACCAGCCATCCGCGAGTACACCATTTAGGAACTCACTCACCTTCCAGCACTTCCCATCCAACAGCTTATTCTTGATATTCGCTCCACGAGAGACAACGCCAAAATGCCTCGAACCGCGACAGAAAAGCAATCCCCAAAACCCTACGATCGCCCGACGTTGAAGGCGATGAAGCGTCCGGAGTTGCAAGCTTTGGCCAAGGTTCGTCCCCCGTTCTCATGAAGTAAAGGCGAGACACTCAGGCGTCGAATGTAGAAGGAGGGCATCAAAGCCAATATGAAGTCTGAGGAAATTATAGTTAGCCTTCTCATGAAACGAGAGATGCTCGAAAGCATCCTGCCGCCCCAGGAGGGGCAACCAGAAGATGCGAGGGCGGCGACGAACGGGATCCAGGACTCACAAACCCCTCATCGCACAGAGGATTCGTCTGTCGGCCGCGTACCCCAAAACGCCAACCTGCAAGTGCACGGAAGTATCCTTCATCCATTGGTGGAGGGACGACGGCCGCAGAATGACGCTCGAGTTGAACAACCGCCGAGCATCTCAACGTACGAGGGACCAGCTGTACAAGGCGGTAGGGGCGATCTTGATCTATTGGTTGGGGTGGCGGCCCAGCAGAGCACCTCTACAGTCGCTTCTGGACGGGTGTCTGTATTTCCTCCCCAAAGAGAACCGAGGACGCCACCTGGCTCATCGTATACCAGTGAGTCCCTTGACAAAATTCCACCACCAACGGTCGTGCTGATGAACTTTGCAGACGACCAGAGCTCTAAATACCGTATATCCACACCATCGCGGTTCCCTGCCCGCATTCCTGCATCTCCGAGTTCTTCAGCATCTCCGGACTCCCCAACGCAGGAACCCGGAAAAGTGGTCTCTGCGAAGATGATCAGGCAGTACCGTCGACAGTGGGCAACCCTAAGGAACAAGGCAGCGCCACTGAGGCAAGAAGTTGCGAATATTTGCAAACTTCTCGACTCGACCGAGGCAAAATTTGAAAGGCAGAAGGCTGAACTTGAAGACTTGCGCTGCATGAGGGAGGCGACGGAACATGTGCTCGAGCAGTTCAAGTACAACAGGCATCTCTATGACGGAACGGGCAACATGGAGGCGGGAGACGCGAAGGAATGGCAGGACGCATGCGCAGACTCCTGGAAGCCCAAGGCCCTCAAGATGCGCGAGGACCTCGACGCGGATTCGACAGCCGATGAGTTGGAAGATGAGGATGATGGAGTCGATGCGTACGGGTGGGACGTCGAGGATGATAGCGACGAAAGGCTCAGGCAAGGCCCAAGCCCCCATATTCCTTTAGAAGAACAAGAAGGCATCGAGGTAGGTAGGCCCTGGAATCTGTAGTGTAACCTTTGTGGTACTGAAAAGTGTTGTGTCCACTGTCAATCAACTTCATTCTGTTCGAGACTTGTACGACATACATGTGCATCGCCAAGACACGTCAGGCAACAATCACTGTCTGCAACTCCCTCTCCGTCCTCGTTGTTGGCTGTGAAGATGAACCCGCTCTTGCGTACATGGCGTACGCCACCACTGTCGTTTATAAAGGTCGTCTTCTCTCCGAGTCGTTGTCCATCAACGAAGCACGCGATCGGGTTCAAATGTTGTCGTCATTACACGACCCCTGCCAATAGTACCCCACACAAGGCAGGCACAACCCCGACAAAACCACCTACACCGAAGGTCGCGAAGGTGGTCCCCCTTCCTCACAGCCCTCCCCAAACACCTCCGCAAGCGCGACATGAGGCACATGAGGGTACTTCAGCACTAAGTGCCCCATATAATCCTCCAGGCGGAGGCCCCAACATCCCTGGCAGCGGAGGCTCTGTTTCCTTCACGGGAACACCTCTATTGGACGCGTTATTGACAACTGCTGTTGGTCTCGGGGCAGGTATAATCGCTTTCTTGCCTTAATGAAGGCTGATCTGTCGCTGACACGGCCGAACTCAGTCTTCGTTGGAGGGGTCCTCTACGTTAAGTGGTATAAGAAGAATGTTCTAGACAAAGTATGTGAAGCCCTCGAATATCCGGTCTGTTACTCTACTAAAGTCGCGTAAATTTAGATTGAGGCAGCCTTCTCACCCGGTTATGATCCCGCGCTGGAGTTGGCAAAACACCATACGACGAAGAAAGCGCCTGTAGACGACACATCCGTCGAGCCACTCTTCGAGGAAGAAGAACCATGGACGCAAACTCTGCGTCGCAAGGAACAGGATACGATTGACCATATTATTCACGGGCAGGAATCCGGGCATTACTTTATGTTGCTTGGTCCAAAGGCATGCATGCTTCATCTCATTCTTCTTTTAGAGAAAGTAATTTGACATGAACAGGGATCGGGAAAAGGTACTATGATATTTGAGGCAATGGCGTCCTGCAACGCCGATGGTGTGGCCATGTGCGACGCCCATCCGGACTTGGAAGTATTTCGACTTCGTCTTGGGAAAGCCCTCAACTATGAATTCAACGAAGATACGCAGACGGGCCTATTTCAAAGGAGAGATCCTCGCGAAGGTAATCCCCAAAATCCTTCGAATCTTACCGTTTCTGACGCAGATCAATCAGGCGGGCCTGCCTTGGACATTGAGCGAGGCAAGCACTCATCGTTACGAGGATTCTCGCAATATATTGAAACGCGGAATAACCAGCCATGAACAAGCTCGAGAAAGTAGCTCTCCGGTGTGCCCGCGTACGCGGGAAACCTCTGGTCTTGATAATCAACAATGTTCATTTCTTCCAAAACAACGACGACGGCAAGCATATGCTTCTTCAGCTCCAACAGAAGGCCGAGGCCTGGGCTGCCAGCGGCATCCTAACTATGGTTTTCAGCTCGTGAGTTTCCTGTTTCTTACTTTGCAATGTGCATCTCACGTTCCGAATCCACAGAGATGATTTCTGGCCGTTCCATGTCATGCGTAAGTAGTCGACGTCAAAACCCTGCTGAAACAAAAAAAAAATTACCAAACATGCAGGCCAGAGCGCCAGCCGTATGCACGTAAGCTCTCTCGCCGTCCAGTTAGCGGTTCCTAATCTGACAGATTGCTAGGTCATCTCAATTTATGACCTCGATCCTCGTGAATCAGCACGCGCCAGCAGGAGGATACGGCGCAGTGCAGGACGACCTGCTGCCGAACCTGAAGCAGCCAATGAAGCACTTTCGCTCATTGGTGGTCGGCTGTCGTATCTCAACAAGGTGGTTCTCGACGCGTCACTTCCCCTTGGCCCGCAGCTGAAAAAGATTCTGACAGGTTTCAAAAGCGAAAGATGTGGTACAAATGGCAAAGCATTTGCTCCAGGTCGAGACAGGGTGGTTACTGAGCCAGATCGGTGCGCATACATTCACTTTTTTTCCGGTCCAGTTAGCGAAAACTCCGAACCCCTTACTCTGGAACAGGTCTTATTCCGGACTGCGACGACGACGTCATGGATGAGGTGCAACGCTTCCTGCAATACTGAAAAAATCTAGTCGTCTGACCAAAAATCGGTATATTTATAGCAAAAATGGAGTTCGTGCTCTTGGCTCCTCCTTCGTGAGTTCGTGACGATGCGACGAGAACAAATCGCTGCGCTCGAGGAATCTGGAGGCTCCGAAGAAGACCTGCCCTTGCCGTCGATTTCCTGGGTGAGTCCTCAGTCAAAGGGGGACCCTTACATGGTCGTCTGACCTCTGGGTTCCAACGTTTGCACAGTACAAATGCCGTCAAATTATGACACGCGCTGATTTTATGGAAGGTCCGTTCTCTTACACGTCTCATCGGGTGCACAAATGGTCTCCGGCTCAATACAATTCATTCGTTTGTCCATCATGGCTGTCTTCGCAGAACTTGACAGGCTGAACATCATCTCCATCGACGTGCGTAATCTCCGCGTTTGTTTGACCCTCCTAGCACGATCCTTATGAGCGCCGATTTCATCTCTTTTCTTTTTTTCTTTCACAGATCCAACACAATGTTCGTCCTGACTCGAACCTCATCCTACATGCAGCGCAGCAAGTGACAGAGGAAGAGGGCTTCGACGAACTTCTCCAAAACGTCAGAGATAGGATCGACGAGATTGAGAGCCTGCACAGAACGCGCGAGTTGACTGTATGTTTCAGATTTCGGACTTTTCTGCACCAGGCTAACCCTCTGCCCCACCAGTTCAAGGACTTGGACAAAGGCGATATGGTGCGGCTTGCCGTCGATAAACGTGGCGAGGAACTCCTTGCAACAGTCGACGAAGACGACGATTCGTGACATTAACCATTCACAAGCGGGTCCGCTGCAGCAGACTGCTTTTCACGCTCATTCATTTAATTTTCGGTCTCTGCATACTGCAACTACGGACCGTCATTACCTCTTTCTAGGGCAGGGCCCTCCGTGTAGCCATACAGTACTTCCTTGTAATCTCTGAAAGTTATATCTTCTTCGCTTAGTTGATTTGCGGTTGATTCACAACGAAATGAGAGGGGGAGAAAAGAGATGCCCATGTTTTCTTTTTGACAGGGCATCCCAGCAAGCCAATAATTGTATTCTCCTCCCGCTCGTTCATCCACCTTCTGCAGATGGAACGACGCGACGTAATGTAGGTATACTAGAGCAGACAAGGCTATTTACGAGGCGGCCTTGAGACAAGAGAGAAAATGTAGCGATGTAAATAAAAAACCACAATATGGATGGAGGAAAAGGAAAGAAATATGCTTGTACATAACAAGTGTGGGCTATTGATACGAGTCTTTGATTTGAGGTGGAGGCATCCGCTTTTTAGCTGGACGAGAAAGGGGGATGGGTGACTGGTGACCCGGCGACTAGGAGAGAGTAGAGTACGCGATCGTTCGTCTAGGCAGCGATGGAGAGAGGCTTTGCTCCATCCTTTTTGCTCTCTGCCTCCTTGATGGCCTTCTCGGCTTCGTTCTTTTTCTCCTGGATTTCCTTCATTTGTTTTTCCAGCTTCTCCTTCATCGATGCGTTGGGATTGTTGAATGTCATGCTCTTGTGATGACTGGGCCCGCCCATGCTTCCCGTCTCCGGTGTCGGCACTGCCACCATCGGTCCTGACGGGTTCAAACCGCGGTGGAATGTACCCGGCAAAACGCGTCCTTCAGGATGCTGGAACGCACACTGCGCGCGGGTGCATGCCGTGCCGAAACGGCAAGGGGTGGCGAACTGGGACTGACGAGGAGGATGACTGAACGTGCATCCTGGACGTGTACAAGCAGCCCCAAATCGACAGGGCACCGGGGTATGCTGGACGTGTGGGGGTGGGGCAGACACAGCAGGTGTGGAATGCTCCGCTTTGAGCGAAAATTCGTAAGATACCACGGGGAAGAAGATCCGAGAAAACGAGGACATACCTTTAGGGTTCAAAACGGCCGGGCTAACATGAGCCTTGATGCAGTCCTTGTCCTTACAATCCTTTCCTTTCTCGCAAGGGTCATTGCTGAGGACAACACCGCTCTCTGCGGTGGCAACAGGCGAAGGATGGGAATAACGGCAATGGGCATTGGTACATTTGAGGCCAAATTTGCAAAGGGTGGGTGATTGAGGACGTTCTGGAAGAGCATAGGCAGGGGTTGGGGCAGCCACAATCGGTGTTGGAGCAGCAATGGGAACAGGGGTATCAACTGGAGGAGATGGGCAAGGAGCCTCTGTTTCTGTCGCTGAACTCGCAGGTTTGCCAGTAGGACCAACAGAGCTTCCAACTATCGAGCCACCTCTCCCTCTACCCGTTCCCCGTCCTCCCCTCGCACCACCTCTACCTCTACCAGCACCATTGACAGCATTATTGCCTTGCTGTTGAGGCATCCCGTTGTTCATGTTAGGAGGGAACATACCCATATCGGGTTGCATCCCTCCTTGCTGCATTGGGAACCCTGGCCCAGCAAACTGTCCAGTAGCAGGGTTGATGATTCCCATCGACGAGGCCATCTGCGCCATGAGCGCCATCTGGTTCATCATCATTTCCTGCAGCATCAACGGGTTGGCCATATTCGCAGCAGCCATCGCGTTTATGTCCATGCCCATCCCCGGGAAGCCTGGAGGCACCATCATGTTCATGTCGGGTGCATTGCTTACGATGTTGTCGATACGAGCTTGAATTTCGTCTCGCTGGAAGCCCTTCTGTCCACGCCCTGCAGGTCCTCCAACACGATCTAACAAACTACGGGGGTTATGCTGTTGTCCATTCGGTCCTTGCCCATCACGATACATCGCTCTTGGCCCAGTTGGCAGGTCCGTCCGTCTCGACTTGTTGGGGTGGCTGGGGGAAGGAGAACGGGCCGAAGCTGGTCGTTTTTGTGCAGAATTCGAGGTGGAGGGGAGGGCTTGCGATAGAGCGTGCTGGTAAACGCCGTTGCGTGGTGTATGCTGCGTCCGTGATGACTCAACAGGCGGTGGCACCTCGCGAGAGGGGCCAGGTTCGGGTTCGGTGGGTAGATCAGCCTTCGCAGGGGAGGATTGAGGAAGGGATTCGGAGTCGGTTGAGCCTTTTGCGGCTTCTTCGAAGAGCCATTCCGTGAAACTGGGGTCTGGGCGTAAAAGTCAGTACAATGCATACACCGAGCATTCTCCTCTAAAACATACTGAAGTCGCTCCCAATCACTGAGAATGGGTTTGGTCAATAAGATATGCATAGAAAGAATGAGCTCCAGACGTACAATCTTCGAGCTCACTCGTGATTTGAGCTGTTGTTGGATACCGTCAACACCCTTCCGCAAGAGCAGCCTTCCTCCCTACGCACCTGCCGTCTTGTTGTTGATAATCATAATGGTGATGTATTCAGCCATAACAGGATCTAGAAAGCCAGTCAACACCGAGTGCACTGAAAGACGCAAGAAAAAGCCGACCAGCGTCCGGGCTGTATCCTCGTTTTGTGAGTTCATCTTGAATGGATTGCTGTTGGATTTTATGAGCGCTCAATGAAATTTGACAGACTGTAATACATACCTGCAACGCAACTGCACGTTCCGTTCCAATAGTTAGACCGAAGGGCATGATATGGGCGTCTAAGGAGAAGTGATGACCAGGCCAACGGCAATTGTTGGCGACGACCAAAGCGCAAATTCAAGCTCCGTCAGTGGGCACAGCCAAACAAGGCTGATGACTCAGCATCACAAATCTCACGGTCAAGTTATGTTATCTTATCAACCTCTCATGGGCATTAATGGGGTAGTGGTAACCTGGGTCGTTGCCATTCGAGTATGAAAAGCTCGACCCGCCGGGGGTTCGATTCCCCCTTAATGCAGTTGTTTTGCTCTGGTGGACTTCACTTTTCGAGGCCTATGATTTTCCACTCCGAGAGGTCAGTGAATGCGGTGGTGCGCCACGCAGTTGTGGGTTCAAGAGCATCGCTTTGCTTGAGTCGGGCTCCTCTTCCCGCCTCCTTCTATCGTTTCATGTACGACGTCTACTGCGCAGATATCACGAAGCTTCGTCGGGGTGTTTGCAAGCCTCTCCTCCCGGAACTCCGCGTCGTCGCTTGCGGTAGGAGTACCCAGGTATAGTAGCCAGTGAAAAAGACCGTGCTCGGGACCTTGGTAGATCGCGATGATTTTTCTGACAAGTCACCTTTCTTCCATCTACAGTGCTATCTCTGAGAGGATTAGGAAGGAGGTGCTAAAACAAGAAGAGCTCGGCCTTTCATAAAAATTCTACTTACAATTCTTCACCTCAGCATCGAGTGTCGACCCTCCTTCGTCGATCAATTTGTCTCCGGAACGGAAAGGAACGGTAAACATATGGAATACTGGATCATGACGTGCGTTACTAGAGCGCTTGCTCTTACTCGGGAACATCATGGATACTTAGGGGGTCATCATCAGGAACGGCTTGGGCTCCCCTAACCATTAGGAATGCACGAACTACGCTCTTGGGTCTGCTATGCCTCATAGGCAAAGCTCTCCGGAGTCCGCATAAGTAGTCTAGTACGCTGGTCTACGGACATATCTGTCACGCGACCCACGAGATGGGGCAGTGCACTCTCACAGATCATCGATGCATCGATGACGGAATTTCCCCAGGAATTAATTCTTCCGATATCTATCCAAACGTTAACTCCACAACGGGCCCCTTCGATTCCGTCGTTCGAAACGTCTAGGGCGTCATCGTCAAAAAGAGGGCTCAATTAGCACTTACGCTGCGTCTTCGGGGCTGGGGCTGGGGCTGACAATGCACTCATAGGAAAAAACTTTCTCATACCTATACAGTAATGTAGTTTTATTTATACTTAGTCGACACGCAGTGCACTTTTCGCTCCCCTGTGCAATGTGTGGCGCAGCCTCCCACGAACAGGATCTATCGAGTTATGTATTTTGATGATGGGAACCTTGAGGAGTGGCAGGTTCCCGAGTCAATAATCAATGGGTATAGGGTGTCTATTAGATTATCTCCAGGTAGTGAAGGCGAACGGAAGCCATTTGAAATAAATACTGACCTAAAGCGAGGGAGAACGTTTGACGTCGTAAGGACGGGAAGGAACGCCCACTGCCGTGAGCACACCAGTCCTCCATGAGGGAGAAGTTGATAATAGGCATTCAGTTCATCCCATCCACCACCCCAGCACGTTCGCGACTTAATATTAGCCCGCACCCACGGGCGCCCTACTTTTACCTATGACTCACGATTACTCCCGGCCTTCCTGAGGTCCTCTAAAGTCCCCGCGCTTCCGATTAGCTTCTTAAGCGCCTAAGCGCCTAGCAAGCGCCCGTCCCCAATCTTCGATCGATCGAGGCGCCCTCGCGAGCCTTTGGATCCAGATCATGATCGAGCGTTGGTGAGATTCGTCCTCGGTGTACAGATGACGAATGACGACGGTGTTCCTGTCTACACGGACTCGGGGAGATCGTCTGGGGGAGCTCGGGCTGTCGTCATCTATTGATGGTGCACCGAGGCCCCGATAGAGGTGGTGTCGCCGTGACGGTCCCCGATAAGCCCACTCCGACGAGGCCATGGTCGCTATTGCCCGTGGAGATGTCGCTGGGCTGCTGTCGCCGTAATAATGAACGCTACAGCACCACACCGCGGTCCGTTTCCTTGGCTTATTAACGCTGAGCGATCGCCGTCGTCCGCCGCTCATGAGCCTACAAGAAGCTAGATAAATATAATACTGCATAAGAGAAGGTAATAGAGCGTCATGATGTAAGGCGCCCGAGCCTAAGCCTTGCATACATATTTCTGTTGCCTGCTGGCTGTACGCGCGGCGGGGTCTCAACAGCCATCTCCAGTTCTGACGGCTTCTTGGGCGCGGGCGCGACCTGAACAGATCAAGCGCACGCGTACGGAATAGGTTTATAGTAACGCTGATCATGATTAAATATACAGCCTCGAGCGCGTCGTTCGTCGCTCGATGCGCAGATAATAGAAAACAGATAAACAGATTCGATAGATAGACAGATGGCGAGATCACCAACGGTTCAAAGTAGAACGCTCAATTATTCCTCCGAGGCGTCCCTGCATAACCACTAGTGGAAACTCAATTAAATCCCTCTACCACATTTCAAGTATTCCGAATTCCCGCTGGCGAGCGAACCTCGATGAACGGCCCACATGACCCGCCTCGAGGCTTTACAGCCGTCCATTGCCAACCTCGGTTCTTCAATTCCAAATCACAAATCACAAAACAATTAAATAATGGTCCGATTTTCCTCCCTCCCTTCCTTTCACACCCCGTCTCGAACAAGAACGTCTCTTTCCCCGCCCACGACCACGATGCATGATGATCATCAGGGGGGATGTAAAAAGGGCACTTACTACCCTGATCAATACCCCGGTCCTCTGGGGAAGCACCTCAAGCCCTCCAGGCGGTATATACATATGGTATGCAGGCAGGCTGAGGCTTCTTCGAGTCCGGTCGGGCACGCTGGCCGATCGTTTAGAAGCCTGTCTAGGACGAGAGCCTGGAAGAATTTGTTCTGAGCGACGTACGGGAACGTGTTCGGGATGTACGTGCGGAGTTGGCGTTGCATGGAAGAAGAGAAAGGCATCAGACCTGGGGATCCGGGAGAAGGGGCTGGGTAATGCCCTATGTAGCAGGTAAAGCAAGTAAGGTAAGCGAGCAAGGTGATCATGAAGGGCAGGGACAAGGCCCAAGGCCCATGAAGACAAGAAAGGATTTACTTACTTATGGGTTAAACCCGTCCCGGCGACGTCTGAATGAATGAACAAATGAAATGAAAGTAACAAGGCAAGGCAAGGCAAGGCGACGCGAGGCATTATTACAAGGAGGTTAGCCTTTTTTCATTATGTCGTATGTCCCTTCTTCCTTTCCCTTAAGGCCTTCCCTTCATCCCTTCCTTTCGAATTCTGTATAGAAGCTTAAGACAGTGGAATAGAATAAGAACAAAGGTCATTGAAAAGGCCTATCACACCATGACACCACGACACCTTCAAAGCCTCCGAACTCCGAACGTGGCCATGGGGAACTGACACTTTGACAATGTCGGGCAGGCAGGACATCGCACAATGCCATTGCCAGGCTATCGCGCGCACAATGACACGAACACGAGCGCGAGCGCGACTTCGAACACGAGCCGTCTCGCGAACTTCGCAATCACCCGCCCCATCGCTATGTAGCCGCCAACGCATCGTCCGACCCGTCAGAGCGCAATCTTCCCTTGTTTGAAAGATGTGAATGGTCGCGTCGCAAAGTGTGTGCGATTCGAACTTCGAACACCCCGCGGAAACATGAATGATCGCTATTCCTCACCACAAAATTTCCCTTGGCAAGGAAACCAAGGCGGTGAATTCGAGGAGTACTGGATCCGATAGCAGCGTCGCGGTCGCGTCTTGTCTTGTTCTGTTCTGTTCTATAATCTATAATCTTCCTGCAACCATTGGATGCAAGTAACCCTGTTGTCGTCCTGTAACCTGTTGTGCTGGCATCAGCCTGAGGCGCGTTGCACCAGAAGCCTACCCTACCCTACCGCCTAAGAAAATGATGTCGTACTTACGTTCATCGTCTCATCGTCATCGTCAATTTTCCGCCAGCCCCGAGCCAGCTTACCTGTCCGCCATCTTTGATAGCCACGGCATGGCCCAACGTAGCGTAGCGTTGCGCAGGGCCAGTATCCTGCGTCGGCTTGCTCTCAGGCCTCGAGGCTCGCGTCTACACACTCACAAGTTACGATGACTGGCAGACGCCGTCTGTGCTCGTCGTCGTCCGGATCCTCCAAAGAAAGAATCCAGGCTTGGGGATGTCGGCGTTCCCAGAGCGATCAAGCTCAAGGATGGACTCGGGCTCCTGCTTCAAGTTGACGCGAACCCCCAGGTGACGCGTTTGTTCCAAGTTCCAAGTATCTTTCCCTGGGATTTCCCAGCTGCCCAACTTCCAAGCTGCCCAGCCCGCAAGCCGCTGCTAGTACGGACCGGAGACGAGAAGAAGATCACAAAAAAGATCAAAAAGCGTAAATAAATAAAAGAGAAAAGAGAGGAAAAACGTGTTTTGGACGTTTCTAATCAGAACGATGATGTCCTCCGGAAAGCATCTAGTCTATCATGATGCATGATGGGTAGATAAGTGGGTCTGGGACGCGTGCCCGGCACGTTGAAGGAGAAGGGTGTTCGGAGATGCCGGGTCCGGTGTCTCTTTCGCTCCATTAGTTTTAGTTAGCCTGTGTACAAAAGAGCGAAGCTGGATGCTCAAGTTTGTTCTCGCTCAATAGGATAGATGGGTTGTCAAATGTTTTTATTAGTGTTTTACAAATTCTTTTTGCGTATGTAATATGATGTACAGAGTTGGTTGTTCGTCGTCAATGCAATAAAATGCCTGTGCAAGGGAAGGAAGATGCAAGTTGTACTTAGTAGTCAATTAATAAAGATAAGCTGCAATGATCAAGAACCCATGCCATGGAGGGGGAAAAGGGGAAGGAGGATGCAAAAAGATATAATGTGAATATATGGCATGCCGATGCTATGAGATGAGGCAAAAGGGAAAGATGCGGGTATTGGTATGATACAATGAAGGGTGTGATTGACCGTGGAACCGAGAGACATATCTTGATTGCGAGACGAGAGAGAGGAAAAGGAAACGCGGAAGGAATGACAATAGTTGGCATGCGGAGCAAAAGAAAAAGGGCGTCCATAATGAAGCATGGGTTACCAACCGGACGGAATGGCAAAGGCAAACATCTTCCCCTTGAGCGGATGGGTGAGGTGGACGCCGTCGACGGGGCCAAAGTCGGGGGAGACGTCGATCCCGCGGATTTTGGCGTTGGGATCTGGGCCGCCGACGGGGGTTGCAGGTGACGCGGAGGACGTGGGCGATGTGGTGTTGGAGTAGCTGGCAGAGGGTGTGTCGGGCGTATGTGGCGACCCCCAGCCGCCCTTGGTTGGGGTGGCAGGGGCGCCGCCCGCAGTTTTGACGGCAACCGGCGGGGCCTTGCTCGTAAAGCCGGGGACCGGACTGGTGGTCGACGACTTTTCGTCGAACGGGGTGTTGGACGTGGACGCAGCGGCGCGCGCAGCGCGTTTTGATACAAAAACAACCGGGTAATGGGGGTACGTGGAGCGTGTTTCGCGAAAGTCGCGCTTGACGGCAGTTTCAAAGTTGGAGAGGATGGGGTCGTCGACGGTGAGCTCCCAGTCGAGGTAGTTGCACATCTCGCGCTCCATCTGGTTGATCTCCCTTAGGGTGAACATGCCCTGGGCGACGATGCACCAGGATTTGTTGGAGTAGGTGTCGTCGCACATGACTTTGGAGGAGATCATGTAGGCGGAGATGAAGAGACGGTGGCCGGAGGAGCCGCGGGCGGAGGGGAAGCGGGCTTTCAAGCGCTGGAGGAGGACGAGGGCAGCAAAGGTGACAGCGTTGTGCAGCTTCGTGCGGTGCAGTGCGTATGCGATGAAGTAGGGGAGTTTGGCGTGGGCGTGAGTGGACGACGGGGGGTAGTCGGGGCACGCGAAGAGATGGGTGATGAACCGAGCGGCCAGGCGTGCGAGGGTTTCATGGCCGTGGTAGGGGTCTGTTTTCTGGGAGGACATCTGGGGTGGCGCAGCCTGTGGGGATGAGCACGAAGCAACGAGGCAGGGGTTATGTACTGACTTGGGGAACGGCGAATTGGCGCCTGGGAGCACCTGAGCCTGTGTGTTGCGTGCTGGCCATTATTTGATGGAGGGAACAGAAGGTGAGTGCGGAGGAGAGCACGCCAGGCCCGGTTATATAAAAAAGAGCTCAAATGACACGAGGGGCTGCCTTCCCCATTGGCCCCTCTCAAGGCGAAAAAACTTTTTGTCTCCCTTCCCGATATGGACACCCCCCTTTGGGCACCGCCTGTCTGTCCCAACTCTACACGCGCACTTACCAAACACGCCGGCCCTGCCCCCTCTTCTTCTCCCCGGCGCGTGGGTCCGTCCAGCACAGCACACCCACAACCGCAGGAGCGTCAAGGCGCACACCTATACTCATACTCTTACGAGTCTGAAAATGAACATTCCCCGATGATCCTGGAATATCCCCCGCCGCCGCCGCACAGCTTTGATGAGGTGCCGCCGGCCGCGATGCTACAATCCAACTCTGATTTCTCTGACTCCCCCATTGCAATCGCTTTTCGGCCGACCTCGTCCACCCCTAACCCGCTAATCACCCTCGCCCCTCCGCTCACCTCCTTACGCCAAACCACTCCATACCCCCCGTCTGCCCACCACGCACACCATCATCCACATCACCTTACCTGATACCATATCAACGCCTGATCTCCCTGCAATATACTCGTGTTCCAACTCACCAACCCTTCAACGTTCATCTTCATCTTCAAGTTCTTGCACTTTTCACCACCCACGAGAACCAGAATCCGCCCCCTGCTTTTTCTCATGAAAGGAACCCCCTCAACGAGGCTGCCCGTCACCGTCGCTCTTCTAGTCTGGGTCCCTTCACCATAACTATCCATCATCATCCACTCTAAGAACGCCTACCTGAGGGGCCTACATGCCCGATTCAAAGTTCCATTATTCCATTTCTCCAAGAATGATCATCCAGAAGAGATCAGCTTAAAGTACTGGTACCCCGCAGCACCCGGGGGGCGTGGTTGGTCCCACTCCTCACCGCGCGGCCTGCCCTGTGACGAGAATCATCGCTCCTCCAGGCTTCGTCAATCTTCAACGTCAGGCAGGGAAATCTAGCCACTTACTTTCCCCGTGGGATATCCTGAACACGCCTGCCTCCTTGGTTCTCGTGCACTGCTCAACCTTGTTCCTTGACAGTAGATGTCCTGTAATGATTCATGATTCAAAAATATGCCAAATGAAGCGACACGCTAATCCTGCGTGGCCTCTCGTTTCGACTAGGCTTCGAGGTAAGTTCAATTGGTTGTAAGCATCTACTGGTACCCACCCGTACCCCGCGGATATTGGATGTCGTGACATTATTCCTGTAGTCGGACGCGCAAGAGCTCCTGAATTATTCACCCCGAAACGCCTCGCCCGCCCGCAATTTACCTACTCTTCATACTCCCCAACATTTTGAAAATCAATCAACATTCCAACGCGTCGCAGAAAATTTCCCCCAAGTTCCAACTGCAACTGCCACACCGACTCCCGACTCCCGAGTCGGGGCTTGATGGGATATTTTCTTCTGCAAAACTTGAAAACATTCCATCCTAACTGACTGAGTGATGCTCCTCCTCCATTATCAATTTATCAAAATTATCACAAGTACATACGCACGCAGCGCAGCGCGTCGGGCTTGGCTCCCCTTGCCCTACTTCTTGAACTTCTCCGTCATAGGATCTCTACCGGTACCGGCCATAGCATTGGCATTTTTGCAACGGTTAGCATTAGCCTATCGGCACTGAGCGCTGACTACTGAGCGCGCGACCGCCGACAGCTCGGGCGGGTTCTGGAGACGCAGCAAGGGGAGGCGTTGCAATAGCATTTTCGCGCGATCTGGGGAACTTCGTGCACCCGCACCCGGCGTGCATCGCCACCCCTCTGTGCCCGATAACGATAGGGCTCCAATTTCCGTACTGGAATGGCAGTCTTCCCATTTTCGCATTTCTTCCCATTCCCATTTGCCTTGCGTTGCATAGGCAGATCACCTACTTGGTACCGACTACTGACTGACCGACTGTACCCATGCTCAAGCCCCCGTGACACGTCGACCTACTTCGAATCTTCGACTTCGATCCGCACGGCTAAGGACCAAAGTGGGCCATCTCAGCCCGAGAAGGTGGGCTGGGAGTAGTTCTGTCACCGCTCTGGGAAGCCCCATGAGACTGAGAGAGAGAGGCTGGGAGGCCGGGAGAAAGAGGCTATTCTTCGGGATCGGCGAAGGCACTCACCCGTTGGCGTGAACCCGTGGGCGTGGGGCCGCTCAGGTAAAGTACTACGGCAAGTACTTGATCAGGCTGTCCCGCTGAGTCTCTCCGGTGCGGTGATCACAATTGCCTATTCGTCGCGTGTCCATTCGTTAACTGACACTGGACATTGGACACAGGCTGGCTATCGGAGGTCAATTTCGGCCTTCATGATAAATGCGTACACGCTTCAAACTTGAAGCTGGCTCGAGCTCATCGGGAGCCTTTGAAGTCAACGATGAGTTGATCAAGGAACGGAACGGAGGGTGATATCGATTTGCGGTATAGAAAGGCATTCGAGGCCTTGTCGAATCGAATCGATAGACTCGGATTCGGACTCTTCGAGAATATTCGACTCGATGCGGTGTAAGTAGCCTCGTCAGCTGCAGCTCTAAATTTCGGACGGTACGGATCTCAAGGTGTTGGGGTAGTAGCTTATACTTCCTTAGCAAAGCCGTGTTGCTGGTAAGTTCTAGGATGTTCTCAGTGAAGAATCTGTGGCCTTCGGCGTCTACATGACGAAGGCCTTTAAGTTATCGATTGATCACTGCATTATCGAGCGTTATCTCGAAGTTTCCTTGGGCTCGAGTTTGATCATTAAATTGACGCTTCCGGTATGCGACAAGGCACGTACACCCAAGGAGAACGTGCTCCGGGGAGAGCTCCGGGGAGATTAAATGTGAGATTAGAATTTAGAACTAGGTCTCCTTGGGAGCTGGTGAAGATCAGGACCGTGACCCTGCCAGGCCTTTCTGGACGTTCCAAGTTCGTTGGATCCCACTGACCCCATGTCCGCGGAGGATAAGTAGGTGCTTCACTAGCAATCGATATAGAAAAGGAGCACCAAGGAACCGTTGGAATAGTGCGGCGTTAGATGTTTCGATGCAACGAGACGGTGAGAGCAATGGGAAATCGAGAATACGAGAATATTCCACTGAGCAAGTGCTTATTTCGCCGTCGTAGGACTTCGAAGGTCAACCGGTCATGTCGGGCCGGGGTTCAAATGAGGCTTTTTCGAAACCCCAGGGCGGGGTTAGGGTGGACCCAAGGTGGACCACCGTAAGTCGACGGCACCTCGTCTCATCTCGTCCGACCGTCCCACTGTACATGTCGACATCCTTCCCGGTACCCGACATCGATATCGACGCCCATCATTCACCTCACTATCCACCACATCTCTGGGCCGGAGTCGAAGACTCGAAGCTGGAAAACGAAAACTTATCGAAGGGACGCCCGAGCGGTCCTCAAAGATCGGACTTGGAAGACAGCGATAAACGGAGGCAGTTTTCGTGGTGTTCCATTACTCTACTCGTCATTCGGATCTCTGTCGGACATGTACTTTGACGCTGCAGGCAAAGACGGACGTCGGATGCATTGGACATGTCAAAACGCACGCACTGGGCTCACGCCACACTCACGCTCCTGCTCACGCTGAGAAGCTGGTTATCAACTTATCATTATTGTCATGGGATATGGCCGGCCACGCTCCCAGTCCGTTTTCGCCCATTTTACGTCTTTTGATGTGCTGCTTGCTCGACAACGCTGAGTCGACGACCTCCGTGGTACCGGTACGACCGTTATTGAGTGCTAAGTATCGAATGGAATGGCGACACGGTGGTGGGGTGAGCGATTTTCATTTTTCGGGTTTATCGCTATGCTCGAGTTTGAGAGGGCTGGCAGGCAGGCAGACTACTGACGTTATCTCTTGCGATATTACTCTGGACGAGGTCGAGGTGAGTACATTACACTCATCAAAGGATGCAAGCTAAACCTTGCGTACAGCGATCTAGCCGAGTCTGCTTCAAAAGAATGATATTGATCCTCGCACTTAACCACGATACAGTCATACTTACAGCCAGTATGCACCCACCTGTCTACCTCGCGTCCAGAGTCTCTTACGGGCGCCCTGGACGTCCTCCTCCTGGCAACACCTCGCCCTAAGTACCCAATATGCATGGACCGGGCATCCTTAATACTTATGCAATCATATCACCACGCTTTCATGATCACACAGTGGCACGCCAGACGCCAGCCAGCCTGCTGAGCGTCAATGATTGAGCCTGTCCAACAGTCTGCACTTAACCTAACTTCAAGTTCCAGGATTCCATTCGTTGATCGTTTCGTGATGCTATTGATGATGGATGATGGATGATAGCCACGCAGAAAGGCTAAGCCGGTATGTGTTGTTATTAAGGCCCTTCATGATACAGTTTCGACTGAGCTCCATTTGGGCGCTCAGTTGTAATCTAATCGCACGTACAGGCAGCGGATAGCGGGCAGTGACCGCACGGAATTGGAAGGGCGACCAGTCGAGGACCGACCGGATATCGATGAGTATGAAATGGGCGAATGTTGTTCGTTGAGGATGTTCATTTCCCCCCGCCAGAACAAACGGTCACATTCTCGACGTTATATATAACGGTCGCGAGTGCGACGAAACTCGAAACACCAATATTTAGGTACTCGAGCGCATATCATGTCGGACGCATTGTACTGGATATAGTGTAGCATGCCGTCGACTCATTGCTGTCATTATTCAATTTGTCGACTCTGAGGTTGTCAACCTGACATCGCGACTTGCCTTGTATGTGTATCTCAGTCCACCAAGCCCCCACCTCCAAACACCATACACACACTCTTCAGCCCCTCTAGCACTTGCAGCTCAAAACCCAAAACTTCGTCGGGCACCCCTGGGAATGCGGTTATTTCGGGGTCTCATTTAGGCTGCGCTTGAATATTCAACTGCTGATACTAGATAGGACGTACAGTCACCCCGAAGAGCGCCCACACAGCCCACCGACCAAACCCCGCCGCCTCCGCTCTTGAGCTCGCTGAAAATGTCCACGTTCAATAAATTTATTTAAGCGAACAACGCTCGCCCGCCCTTGCCTGTCCTTGTTCCTCAGCTCCGTTAAAACCCCGGTAACCCAGTAGGTTGGTAAGTAATAAGTGAGAGAGCGCCCGGGCCCAAAGTTGATGGCACGCGGCAGCCTCGTGGGCAGCAGTAGGCGCTCAGGCTTCTTTTTTGAGCTGCGCCACATGTTTACCGAAAACAGAAGGGTGAAAGGCCCGCGCGGGACGTGATGGTTCTTCGGGCCGTTTCTGATGCGCCCGCGCTCTGAAGTGAGTGTTCCGAGTCGTCCTCAACCAACGTTCGCCCTTGTTCTGTTGTTCTGTTTACGACTCCGACGACATCATGTCGCGTCCTTTCCATCATTATCGATTCATCCCTGAAGTTTTTCTTATTCAGTTGAAATTTTAGGAGAACTTGCGATGAGTACGGCATGGACCTGGTACGCATCAAATTTCCCGTCTCAAGTGCGTAGAATGAGTCATAAAGCGCCTTGGTTAGGCAGCATGCATGCATACGTATGCTTAGGAACATTCGGTCTCCATAACCGGCAGCTGGCTTTTGCCTCCTAATCCTCTTTCCTGAAAGAAATTTTCGTGTTATGGCGGAAGACGTACGTACCTTTCTCCCTTGCCCTTGCCGTCCTACGTTTTCTAAATTTGAACGTTTAGACGGGCCGCTCGTCATATGCGGCAGGCCAACTCGGTGGATCCGAGCTTCGAGTCCCATGTCATACAGTCTGTGTGGTACAGTCAGACCCCTCTTAACCCATACCCCCTCCGTGGATGGCCTGGGGTATGGGTTATTGGGTGTTATGGGTTATGGGGGGAGTACTAAAAATAGACCAGAAAAATAGACGGAAAATTGGGTAAATATCTGGGTAAAATAGTCCAGTTCTGTGTCACTAAAAGTGAGTTCAGACATCAGAATGTCAAAATCAGTCTTGACTGAGGCGAAATCACGCTCTCGAGCTCATCTATGTGGTTGTATCTGTCTAGTGAGTGTACGAGGGCCATTTTTGCGCAAACCAACACAGTTTAGAGGGTGTATGACCAGCCTGATCAATTTGCACCTTCACAAGTGTTCGCTATGGGTTACCAAATATGGAGCACTCATGTCTGATTTGTAAGCGATTTGTCGCTCTCACGCCTCTTTAAGACTCCATTCATCAGTTTTCGGCAGCTTTTGGGTGAAATCAAGGGCATTCCCATCAAACTGGGAGAGTCGCAACGAAATGATGTCCTGTAAGTGGCACCAAATATGGCCTGATGGCCGGTAAAACCTATGGGTTTTGCCTGAGAAGGGGTATGGGTTATTACGGACCTATGGGTTATGGGGTGCAAATCCCCGCCCAAGTTGGTGGACTGAAAATCCTATGGGTTATAAGGGGTTATGGGTTATCAGGAGTATGGGTTAAGAGGGGTCCGACTGTAGTAGGATTGCTAAACATCCGATGGTAGGGGATGGGAGGTAGGCATCTATTATACGAGTCGACGTATTAGGAGGCAGAGAACTCACCGTACTGACGCCGTGTTATTTGCATAGACCAAGTTGAAGACAAGATTTCGCAAGGACAGATTTCTACCCCGCTCCTCTGAAACGCTGCTTGCGCGTTGCCGCGAGTCTACTGTTACAGAGCCATGTCTAAATATGAAAGCAAGGACTTGACATCGAGTGAAGAGGTTCCCGAGTGAGCGCGTTCTCAGCGCGACCACTAATTTACGCATGAGAAGATCATCCTGGGTAGTAATTGGGCGCAACCTGTTATAAACCTAGAAAAAAAGATAGATAATCTTGCCTCGTATAGCACCTCTGTACCAGTATTATATCACCAGCGCGAGATGCGTACGTACGTTGTAGCACAGCGCAACCGTGCCTCCCACGTTCTCCCATCCCTTCCAACTTTCTGCGCGCGACAAGTCTCCCGCCTGATCATCTGCGTCCGCGATGGCTGTGCCCCATCCGTGGCGCATTGCCGACGACCCCGACGAGGCCCAAGGCACCCGCAGCAACAGAAGTCGGCATGCCTCAGACGTAGCCTGCGTCATAGGCACCTTCTGCGGATCGCCCATCCTTGAGCTTCTCCAAGTCCTTGGCAAATACAGCCTCAGGGTAGAGTATTCTAGCACCCAGAAGGCCCGTGCTATCGCGAGCGTCAGGATGCTGATGTAGCGTAGAGGCCATCCGTGCCCGAGCTAGCGCCACGGGTAACCTACACCGCTGATGGTAGAGGCGCAGCAAGTAAGACTGAGCACGAGTTATGTTGTATTCTTGTGTCGACGATCGTCGGCAGGAGGCTCAAAATAGAACACTTCTTTATCTGATAAAGTTCTTGATCTAAGCGAGCTTCGATCTTTCTCTCTGAGTCTGAGCGCTGCATACGTCGATCCTTTGAAACGCTTGATACTCTAGGTTTTGAGAGAGTAGAAACAGAAACTTCCTTGAGAGTCGTGCAATCTTTCTTTGTTGTCCATCCTCGAAGCAGTTCATCATTCATTTTCTGGATCTCTCGAAGTACGATCGAAGCACAAGATTGACAAGCGCTCGTCTTGAGCTTATGGCAAGTCAAGTGATGGCGGGGATCATCAAGTTTGTAATACTCTTGATCGCGCGGAGCTAGCTGCTCAACTCACTCTCTCTTATTTTGTACTTATGCTCGTCGTTTCCGAGAAAAGAAAAGCCAAGAAATTTCGAGAATAAACCGGAGACAACTTGTGAGGTCATCTTGATTCATGAACTGGAAACCGACAAATCAGACTCCCAGCTTGTAGCCCGGAGAATATTCTGTAAATTAGAAGAAAAAGTAATCCTTCTCGTCTTATCACGTCTTGCAAAGCGTGTGTTCCCCGAGTCAGACGAAATAAACAGTGTGGCGTCGCACAGGCCCGAATCAGGTTTGTGGGTACCACCTTAGACTCATCGACAAGCGCGATGCTGCTGCCAATGATTTCTACTTACGGTCAGAAAAACCCGAGTCCAAGCGCGATGCAACGCCACCCATAAACCCGTTTCAACAAGAGAAAGCCACCCTGCCTCCGTTTGCGTCGCGTATGCCAAATTTCCGCCACTGGAAGCCGTTCAACAAAGCAAAGTTACTAGCTTCTGCGCTTATGAGCATTGGATAGCATGCTGGCTGACTCGGGGAAAGGAGTCAATTGTCGAGGTTTTCTCAGAACAATGTGAAAGGTGTCTATTGTCCGTCAAGTTGGTATTCCTGAGAACGCGAGAACTGCTAGACGACATTATTCTTTCTAGTAGCAGAGCGATGCACACTTTCACTCAGATACAAAGGAATTGTTCATTGTGACGTTACCTTGTCTGATCCCTTTGTTTTTTCTCGGGGAGCATTTTACCTGTTGTGAGAGTTGTTATATCAAGAATATTTCCTTTTTAGATCGGCTGCACAGCCTCCCAACAGTAACTCCCTCCACTCCGCAGTGGTAATCTCCGCACTTGAAAGTAATTTCGCACCTAGTCCGAAACCCGAGAATGGACTTACACAGACCTAAAAGACCTTGCGTTTAAAGGTTCCTGACATGCGTTGCTTTGAGCGCGCCACTCCACGCGCTGATTTCACTGCCAGACTCCAAGACTTCATTGACCTCCCCATTAAGTTCCATTCCCTTCCGTACGTCTCCCCCTTTCTTGACTGGAGTCACTCCATCCGAAGGCGTTCGTGTGAAGGAAAAAAGAAAACTGACATCGCCAGTACTCGGGAACGTGAGGCTGTGCAGTCACAAAGCAAAGACTCGTGATAGCGGCGCACCTTTCTAAGGAATTGCTGATGAACCGACCATTCAGCGGACCTAGAGACTCGGCTGATTTAAAGTTAGCTAAGACCTGTCATCGGCGCGGTGTCCACCTGTTTTCTCCTCTAATCTGAGGAAAAATACCCTGCATCACCGGCATATGCACCTTTGGGGCAACTCCCGTGTTGCGGGGGGCACTTCGCCATCCAAGAACAATGCGCCCTGCAGCTATATAACGAAGTAAACCGCGAGCAAGAAGGGAAGCAGTCTAAAAGGGTTGTTTACTCATGCTCAATTTTCAGCGACAGGAAATCTTCCGGTCCATGTGGCGACTGGCGTCCAGCGCACATACTGACTGGATCAGAAACTGGAATGGAAGACTGTGATGTCCCTTTCACCGAGTCGTGGTGTCTAGTTCCTTCTACTCTAGAAAACTGGAGTGCGGATAGGCTGGCCGTGAATGTAAATAGCAGCCGCAGGGACGAGTAGGCCCGCAGCTAAAAAAGCCAAAAGTGATCCTGGGGTAGCGGTGAAGTCCGATTCTTTCCCCGCATTACAAAGGAGATGGTGGAAATAGTTCATCGGTTCAGGGGTTTGGGTCAGGAGGAAGATTACTTCGCCAATGCCTGAACAGATATCAAGGTCCAGACAGATGGCTGACGAGTATGCTGTTGGGAAACGGAAAAGATGTGTTCTGTGAGACGGGACACCATGATTTCGACTTTCCCGAAGCAACAATTTATGAGATTAATGAGCACGACTTGCCTCAGGCCCGTCTTGATGAAAACGTGATTTTACCAAGTTCTACGTGACTAGTGATTGTGAGTTTGAGATGCCTCCGCGTGAAGTTGTTGAACGGATCTCCATAGCCTTGACTTCTTGACCCGACAAACGCGCAGGCTAGGCGCTCCACATCTGCCGAAATGCATTCTAAATGTCAGAGTGAACGCGCAATCGTTTGAGAACCGCCGCTGCTGGAAAATGGACACGCGTACTTCATTAGTCAGTGAAAGTATGCGGAATTGACAGAGCCCCGAATGGTACGGGGTCCATCGAATATTCCCCATCAGTAGCATCCAAGAGGCTTCTGCAATTTCGTGACCAGCGACGAGACCAGATGCAAACGCCCAAAGGCCTAAAGGAGGAAACAATACCTCAGAAATACGAGGTTCCAGTCACCTTCCTTTCTTCGTCGAGATGCACAATCAACCCCCTTCCAGACCACTTCGGCAATGGGATACCATCAACAACTGAAGGTGAAAGGCCGCCAAAGAAAACATATCCTGGTATATATCGATCAACGAACCTGGCAGCGAAGGACCAGATTTCATTATTCAGTTCGTGTCGATCTGAAACGGGACTAACGATTTCACGGCAGTATCCGACATGCCTCTTCCACCATTGGCGGCTTTCATATTGTGCTCTTGCTGCAAGCGCCATTGATAAACAACGGCGTACTGCGAAAGGAGGACGGAAGTTGGTGGATTCGGCTTCAACTGTGGAACATCGTGTTTCTAGGACGCCATACATCCAGAGGATAAGAACATTCACCTGAACGAAGACATCAAAGAAGCTCCATAGCTCAACGTATTCTTTGAGTCTTTCATTGATGGCTTCCACGTCCACGACGCGTCCCATCTCGTTTTCTCCCAAACCCAGCTTTTCCCTTTCGTCCTTCCACACCCCATCCCAACGATTCAAAATCTCCTCCCGAGAGATTGGATGAAAGCCAACGAACCATCCCTCCAAAATGACGACATCGAGGCGAGGCGGTTGATTAATCACCACCCCTGTTCCATCCATGGGCAAGCGATCCCCCTCTCCATCGAACAGACTTTTATCGAATCTTGGCAGCTCAACGGGGTTGCTTCCATCTTTCAGAGCAGACAGTATTTTCAACCCAAGCGCAACATCGTGTGTCCCAGGCTGTCCACGCCCTTGCCACAAGACATTTTCGGGATGAGAGGCGGCAAGAGATCGCAATTGATCATGGGGAAGATAAAGATCATCGAGGGAGAGAACAGCAACGCGAAGGGAGTGTGGCGATGCTTCCAGATAGCTCTGAAGGCGAGAAGACGTATAAGATTTACCAGAGCCTTGAGGGCCCTGTATAGCGACGAACAAAGGTCTGTCGTGGGTAAGGTGCTGGAGGACGTGGTGGCCAATGAGTTCGAGGGCAGTCTGACTCATTTTGCTGCTGCGATGGTGTGGTCTGGAACGGAGGAATGGCGGGCCGGGACGGATTAATGCAGGGACAAATTCGGACTCCGCTTGAAACCTGGCAAAATTACACGTCCACAGGTCGCTGCGTGGTTAGGCAGTACGCTCATCGCCTGTTCCCCTAAAGACGACCATTCTCCGGCCTTCCCCACGTCTTTTACGCCTGTCATGATGAACGACACTGGCTCTGGCCTGGAGCCGTCTCCTGCGCAGAATATCGTCGCCCAGTACACCAAAGTTCAACGATCGTACCAACAAATTCTCGATAAATGGACTCCGTATATGCTCTATCGCTGGTTGGCAACGGCTGGGCTCTTAAGTGTGTTCTTCCTGCGAATTGTGTTGTCCCAAGGGGTGAGTTGTTCTCTTTGCTACGTTCAGCCTCTGCTGGACTATGAAAGTCCAACCTGTGCTCACACCTACGTCCGCAGTGGTATATTGGTCAGTCACCCCTCGTTCTGTAACTTGCTGACATTCAAACTTTTGTTCCCTGTTACTGCTTTCCCAGTCTGTTGTGAGTTCGATCCCTTGTTTCCTGTCTTATCTTTGAGATTGAACGATACCGATGGCACCTAGACGCCCATGCAATTTACCTCCTGAACTTGCTACTTGCATTCCTGCAACCGAAATTCGACCCATCGTTAGAGGATGATCTTATGGCGGACGAAATTGAAGAAGGGGGCGATCCCGTTAGCCCACTGCCGTCGCAGCGTGATGATGAGTTCAGGCCGTTTGTGAGGCGTCTCCCGGAATGGCAATTTTGGTGAGTTTCTGGTCCTTTCACAATTTATTGTCGAGCTAGACAACCTCTTTCATAGGCTCTCAGCTACCCGCGCCACTATAATTGCTCTCTTTTGCACCTTTTCGGAAGTGTTCGACGTACCTGTCTATTGGCCCATCCTCGTGGTGTATTTCTTCACCCTATTTGCCCTCACGATGCGTAGGCAAATCCAGTAAGTGTATTTTTAGGTTTCAGCATTGACAACAAACTGACTTCCTCCAGGCATATGATCAAATACAAGTATATTCCCTTCGATATTGGCCGTAAGGCCAGATACGGTAGTGCTAAGTAGATCTTTTAATGGATATGTACGTTTAGGCTATGATTCTAGGGACGGACTTCTGCTAGAGGGCTCATATACCATAATTTGGAACGGCTTGCTACTGGTTCTCTTATCTTTATTTAGTAGACTAGAATCGAGCCCTCCCTGAACACACAAGTCGTCGTCAACGCTGTTGCATTCATCCTGCCTTAAAGAAGTCGAATTCGCCTGCAACGTGCATGTGAGCCACGGCTCACCTACCCAAACTGATCGACTTGACTTGATGTTGCAGGTCACCACTGATGTTCTAGATGGGCGCTTATTGGCGGGAATGGCCTAAAGGCTGCTTCCATGCCAGTCATGCTCAACGTGCGCGCCAAATTAGCCTTGGATGAATCTAAATGTGTCTTTGGTAATCGATAGCGATAATCTCATCCGCAACGAATTCTTCTGAGAGAAATTACACGTTGGTTCACCAAAGAAATAAGCGCTCGTGGAAGTCATCCACCTTCTGGAACATCACAATTTCTCCGGTGCCTCGGCGCTACCAAATGATCGGCGAATGAGTGTCCCCCGTCCTTCCAAGCTCGGAATAATTACTCATGAGACCGTCGATTGCACACCTGCCAGTCTTCGGGGGCAGAAAGGTGAACACCTGAGGTTGACATTACTCTATCTCCGCCTCTGCCAAATCCCCGAGTAGGGTAGAAAGGTCTTCACACTAATCCCCGGTGCAGATGTAATGTACGAGATGACGTCGACGTTTATTTGACTGCGCATACAATATGGTATAACTCTGAAAGGCTGTTCCTTTTCTTGGGTATCACGCAACCAGCTAGAAGACCTGTGGGACCGCGTCACGCTTGTAGTCTTCGGAATGACACCGTACATATATGATGGTCAGATTTCTTCTGTCTCGTCAGCCGTACCATCTCTGAAGTCTTTAAGATATATTTTGTTCTCATTTAGATGCAATTACGCGTGTGAGTGCGAACTTGACGAACATGTGTTCTGCTTTATGACTCGAGTAGGCATGTCTTGCCCACACCTGCTTGGGGAAATTTTGGGTATCAGCTCTGGTTTGTCGGACTCATATAGAAACAATCAAGGAGACGATAGAAGAGATCCTGGTCGACTCGTTTGGGACGATACTCGTCAGGGCGACAGTCATGGTGATTAGATATGGCTATGGGACAGCTCCGGCCAGAAGCAAGTTTGAGCCAACAAAAGTGAGGGAACAGGGTGGCTCATAACTCCAATACAAGACAGTGTGCTCGAGACGTTATCTATAGAGGACCCTGCTCCGCTCACTGGAGGCAGAGTTCCCGAGTCAACCTGTGGAGGTTTCCTCCTGAATAGATTGATTGTGGAAGAAGTACACAAGCTATGAAGAAGATCGATGTCCGAGACCCGCTCAGGTTCATGTCGCCCGGAACGTTCTTCAGGAGCCCAAACTCTAAGTCCGGAGACGTCTCTGTGCCCTCATCACATATCACATATGTCGAACAGGCAAAGCAACAGCGGCAGCGGGCGTTCTATGAAATTCGCGGGACCGCGCCATATTCGCCGAGACACGCACACATGACCGACCGAAATAGTTTTTGTTCGCGAAGTCCTGGGCCTATTTCCCGTGATGGCGGAGAATGCGGTGAGTGGCTGCATCACCTTGAGTGAGGGAACGTACTGAAAATTTGCTGCCCGAGACATGTCCAAGACCCTCACATGGAAGCCCAGGTGCCTTCGGAAGTCCTCAACCCAACAGGGCACGTTTTCTCGACCGGTAACTGGCTCCGTAGTTGTGTCCGGTGGGTGATCGGTAATAATTCGTACTTGCTCACACATACAAGACAAACAGTGAGTGCTACGGGCCTAGAATAACATGTCGCTGAGAGCGAACCCGCGCTATTACCTATCATTCAACCTTCTCGTGTCACAGTGTGTGCCAGGACAATTGTGCTTTGCAATACGTAGTAAGTCAGCAGGTCAGGCGGCTTGTCAAGCACACTCTTGGACTATCCGCAGTGAGAAGGCATTTGGCCATCCGGGCCCATCCCACCGTCACCGGTAGTTAGTGCCCAACGCCGGTATGCGAAGGAGAATTGGTCCAGGAAGATTTACTGCCATAAAGTTGGCTTGCTCGTAAAGGATGAGCGAAGATTTTAGAAGATCAAGAGCGTGGGCGTGGGCGCTTGATTTAGCGCTTCGATCTCCTCACTGGTCAGTGGATTACATAAGAAAATAGTAATAATGACATTCCCTCACAAACACGAAGTTCCCGAGTAGACGAAGAGTCCATTGCGCTGTTCGCGATTCGTACAAATGAAGGAGCAACCCTTCCTGATCAGACGTCGAAGTAAATTCTGTGTCCCTACTGGTCGCAGGGTAGGAAATTATTCGGGATACTTTCAGGGTACGCCGCGTGTTGATCAGTCTTCTCCAAGCTCGAATCCTATCCACGACGTCGGTGCGTTGAAGTGCGTTCTGCGTCTTGAGTAGACGAAGAGGGACCCTCATTCTCCTGTAACGCATGCGAGTGACCTCGGTGATGGTGTGGACGTGGGCCGGCACGAGGAGACTGCTGGCGTTGACTGGGGTGCCGAGGGGTTTTGGCAGGGGCCGCTTCAATAGTCCAAGTTCCGTGGCTCTGACTGAAGGAATGATTGTCCGCAGTCTGGTACGAAGGTGCACGCGATAGTAAAATCGGTCTATTATCGTGTCGCCAGTTCGCCTCTTCACCGGAAATTTGACTAGGACCGCCAAATTGATGGCCAACTCCAGTCCCTGGAGCCGAGAGTGGGTCACGGTGCGGTTCATTTCCGAAGGACGGTTGCAACGTGCCGCCTGTAGCCCTATACCCGCGATCCTTTAGCGGTGGAGGTGGGATCAGGTCGGATAAGTGGTCCGTCGATGACGTCGAGTTCACCGAGTCAAAATCGTAGTCGACTTCTTCACGATCGAGCCTGTACAGCATGGGGTCGTATTGGAGTTCATTCTAAAGAAATAAGAGCCGATTAGGGCCTCGGTCAGAGATGCTAAACACTAAATTGAATGGGGCACTGACCTCATTAACAGGCGTAAACGTAATCCCCTCGAGGACTTCTTCAGAGTCGACGTCTTCGCGTTTGGGGGACTTTTCTTCGATGCCGCGGGTCAAAATTCTCTGGTCTTGTTTCAACTTCCCTTTGTACATCCGCCGCAGCAAGGGTAGTGACTTGGCATGTACCATTGGGCAAAAAAGTTCTGTTTGGAGGCAAGGGTGCGCATAACGCTGTTCGAGCTTATTTCCACCCTGATCAGAATCCTCGGAGTGTATGATCGCTCGTGTGAGCTCCTCATGCCGTGGAGTGAAGTATTGAAAGTCGTCTGCGAATCTCTTCGTAAGGTAGTACTTGAAGAAGAGAGTGGCAGGAAATGGTGGGATACTGGCAAGAAATTGTAGTGTTCTGAATTGGTCCTGGAGACCGATCGCTATCGCGATGCGATTAGAGAAAGAGAACTACAAGAAAGGCCAACACATACTGAAAATCATCATGACTTGCATGAATGTGGCAGCGAAGATGATCCGATTGACAACAACATTCCATGACCTCTGTAGGGAGTGGAACGTAACTAGAAATGAGCTTTGACTATCCGAGCAGGAAGAAGAGCACCCACCCCTCCACTTTCGACACGCGTGGTAAACACAAACATTAACTGGTATTTGTAAACCCAAGAGCAAAGCCAAAATACGATGGCAGCAGCTAAAGACACCAAAGGTGTGAGTGGTGCAAATAATAACCCAGCTGCGCACATGAACAACTTGAACTTGCTTGAGACCATTCAATTAGAGGAATGAGATCGTGATGTAGCTTACAAAATTAGAGCTGTAGCAAGTAAGAAGTAAGAAATGAAACTTATACTCTGCTGAAAGAGACTTACTAATGAATGGAATACTTAAATGTCGGGGGTTTCGTTCGTTCTCGAAGCTCGCGAGGTGTCAGTCCAAACATACTATGATATCATTAGCCATTAAATCCATGGTAGTGCCAATAGAGTACGCGGACATACTTCATCTTGATATTGACCCATACAATACTGAACAATTGGGCGAGATCAAAGATGATGAGAAACCCACGCATGCTGCTTACGCAGACGTTTGCAATCAGCAGCAAGTCCCCTAGACCAGATAGAAACGCACGGAAACCACTTCAACCAGAAGGACGATTGCTCAACATATGTTCTCGTTATCCTTGCCGGAAGTTTATCCAGGTTCTCCAACACGACCTTCAGACTGACACTTTGACGTTCAACAGCATCTATAATTTCTACAACGGAGTCTAGAAGAAAATGAAAAGGTCAGACATAAATCAACCATCTCGCAAGCATGTGATAACTCACGAAAAATAACGCCAATGATAGTGAAAATGATCATTTGACTGATGATCGTGAATGCAAAGTACCGTGCAATGACAACGCGGTCCAAAGCAGAATGGGTGGTGGCGCCCATGTACTTCGACAACCAGCGCATGAGCTGGGGCAAAAAGTAGCTGAAGATGGCCGCGACGGCTGGAGGAACGATCCCAGATACGAGAGTGTATGTGGTAGCAGAAGACGCTACCCATGATTGCAGGAAGGGTATATATCCTGATTCCGCAAGCTGGAGGGGCGCATCAGTGGTTCGCACGCGAAGCAGGAAGCAGGGACAACGCACAGCAGTCAGGTTGGCCAAGGAGGCGATTGGAAAGAGGGGAACGAGGCTCAGTACACAAAATAAGAGCAATAACATAAAACCTGTTATCTTTCTGAATCTTCGACCTGCTTTGGAACGACCGAGATTCTTCCAAATCTACGGGACGGGACGTACATAGATCAAAAAATGGCAACAGCACGGTTTATAAGACTTACGATGTCTTTGGGGTGCGGGGCGAGTTTGAAAGTCAGCCCTTTCGGATGTTGGCCCTTGAGCTCGCGAGCGGCAGCATGGGCAGCAGGAATGGAGACAAAAGAAGCGAATCCGTAGTTCTCGGCCTCGCCATAGTCAAGTTGGGCTCGGTACTGTTGAACAGCTGCTTCAGAGTGCTTCAATTTTGACCTATTAGTATTCAAACGAGTTTAAGTCAGACCCCCAGGTATTGAAACGAGACTCACGTATAGAACTTAATTGCATCTCGTCTTCTTCCGCCGATTCCGCAACAACCACCAATCCTGATACCAGGCCTATGCCCTCCATCCTTCAGTTGCTTTGCGAGAACTCCTTCTAGTTCCTGGACCGTCTCGTTGTGTTCGTCGATCAGGTCAGGTAGAGCGCCAACTCGTCTGCCAATGTGAACTGACGTAACTCGATAGGGTAGTTTCATCCTTTCGAAAATCTTCCAAAGGCCTTCATCCGATCTGCTTCGACGAGGTATGTTGGTGATGCAAAGTGCTCTTGCATAGAAGGCAAATTGGTATTCAGGTGATGCAAACCAGTCGTTTCGCAGCCTATACATTGCGTGCCAGTGGTGGTGTATAAGCACCATGAGTAATAGGGTGATGAAATAGACCAATCCTATGTGCGCGTAGAGTCGAACGCCCTCGACGTCCCGAATTGTCATGGCGCTGAGGAGATCATATTGCTCTGGTTGTATGGAGAGGGTATAGAGGAAATCCAGTGGTATAAGCACTCCACATGCGACGATAGCAGTGAGGGTGAAGAGCCAGCGCATGAGATGGAGGAAGCGTAGGAAGGCTACAGCATCGAGACCGATCTTGCCCAACAATTCAGGTTCGTGGTTGTGGAGAAGTGGAGGAATCCAACCACAAAAAGACTCGGATATTCGGGGCGGGTCCTTGTCTGTTCCATGATACGTTACCTTGGGTTGGTATACAATCTATGGGTGTTTCAATTGTGACATGAAAGAGCGGCTTTCCGACCAGATCTACCTTATTATTGGGTCGTAGGACATTAAACGTTAGGATCGTCAGAATCTTTAGGCATAAAAGGTCAAACTCTGGTTGCTCGAGGACTCTAATCACAAAACTCACAGACAGAACTGTCATAACGGCCACTTGCGTCACTACCGCCCTTGGTTCCAGGCTCGAACTGGCATCGAAAAATCGTTGGATATCGTCTGGGTCAATCCGACGCGTCAAGGGCATTGCAGTCGTGTCAAATACGTAGTAGGATGAGAGGAGCTACTTTGCCAGTACTGCAAGAGCCATAGTGAGGCGGACGGACAAGGATGAGGGTCCTTAGGCCAACTGTTGAGAAGCCCATTAGGGCGAGAGCTGAGAGTCCGGTGCCGCGCCGTCTGTTCATCAGGAACACGTGCCGCCTTCCTGATCAAACATCGACGACGCTCGTCATCGACATCTTCCACCCGTCTCTCAGGTCAAATGGACTTCTTCTCTCAGACCTATGTCGCCCTTCGTGGACCTACGGGCGCGCCTCAGACTCCCGCGGACACCATAGCTCGTTTGAGTGACCGGCTGTCGCCAGCTACACTTCTTGCCGACAGGAGAGCAGCCGTATTGGCTCTCAAAGGACTTGCACGCGATTGCAAGCAGGACATCGGCGACAGAGCACTGAGTGGCCTTCTGGAAGTCCTATACAACGATGCAGAAGTTGATGCCGATATTGGCAAGGCCGTCCTCGAGACCTTGAACCAGTTGTGTGAGACGGAAGACGCGACGCCAGGCAGCAGAGAGCTGGGCTTCAGGCACACAGACGCCCTAGTCGTTTCGGATAAGACGACGCATTCCCTGTTCGCGCTACTCGGAGATACCAATTTCTATACACGCTTTGCAACTTTGCAATTTCTTACGACTCTTCTTCACAACCGGCGGCAAGCTATCCAAAAGTACTTCTTAACTGCTCCTGCAGGTCCAGGCAGTATAATCGCGGTGCTTGAAGACAAGAGAGAGATTATTAGAATTGGTGAGCACGTATTGAATGTGCAGGCCTTGAAAGCTGATGAGCAGTTCTTTAGAGGCAATTACCATGGTCCAAGGACTGATATCTCAGAGCCCTGATATTCAGAAAGTCCTCGCATTCGAGGGGGCATTTGAAAAGCTCTTCAACACTGTGACACAAGAGGGTGGTGTAGATGGAGGTGCAGTAGCTCAAGGTGCCCTCACTTGCGTTGATGGTCTCCTACGTTTCAACAGCTCGAATCAGGTATCTTCCCTCAATATGCTTATCCGGAAAGTGTTCTAACCACTTTTCCTGAAGAGTTACTTCCGCGAAACATCCCTACCCCCTGTGCTGTGTGCTCTCCTTCAATTTCCTGTCTCCTTGGATGTCCAACAAGCAGCACCACAAGAATTCGCCTTACAGTTCTGGGACGACCAAAAGACGGCTAATACGAGGCTCATAATCGGGATTATCGGAATGCTGGTTGCATCCAAAGGATACGGAGTCAGTTATATTCGATCAAACGGAGAACGAGAATTTATTGAATACCCCAGGTACAGGAAAATCCCCCTTTCACGAGATGTCTGGTTGAAATCGCCCTTGCCTCTAATGCTCCTACACCTCTTAAAACCCAAGTACGTCGTTTATTTGAGCTAATGTTTCTCTAATTTGTTTATCGTGTTTGACAGGCCCTCCGTCTGCTTCCTGCCAACATCAACTTTCCACTATCAGAAATATCCTTGACACCATACGTTCCAGTACCCGAAACCAATGGAGAGGAGTGGGACCGTCTGGAACTCGCATCAGCCCTTGATGCACTTGTTGAGCTTGCGATCCACGGAGAGTACAACGGTCTTGATGCTGGAAAACGGACGATGGAGAGCTTGGAGTTGCGGACTGCTGCCGCGACAGTGTTTGAGGTAAGGCTGAACCCTGCCGATTGTGGCCCATTTTGACCATATCTCTAGAACTTCGTTCGCAAAGACGACATCCGTCAGGCAATTGTACAAGCCATGCTACCAGCTCCTAATGCAGGTATGTTGTAATTTATTCTTTTTGTTTTTGCTTCAATTCATGCGCCTCTTCAGAGCCTGATCAACACCCCCGACCAACACCTTTGCTGCATGCCCTGGCATCGCCGCCGAACACGACCTCCACGCTAGATCCGGCAGAAGTGACTTCAACCCACCTAGCAACCCTCATGTTTTCCCACCTCCTACGCTGTTCTCCTCGAGCAAAAGCTTCCGCTTGCGAAGTCATGCCTGGTCCCCTCCAACCAACGACCCAATCCTCCAGTTTCTTCGTTCCGGCAGATGGCGGTCCACCGGAACCCGCAGCAGTAGAGCCTGAAGACGATGACGAACCGCAGACTCTTCTGCAAATTCTGACGGAGAACCTGTCTTTGGCTCTCTTGTCTAGATCACGCGCGAATAACTCGGATCGAGAGAAGAGGGAATGGGATCGATATGTCGTTGGTTACCTCTCGCTGCTATCGCAGTGGCTCTGGGAAGACCCAAAGTCTGTTCGAGGTTTCTTGGATGCTGGTGGATTAGGTGTTGTACGTCTGCAATTTGTAGCAGAGTCAAGCTTCAAACTGACTCTGCTTCTGCCATATAGCTAGTCGAACCAATTAACCAAACCTCAGAAGTCGACTCCATCGTTCCAGGTTTATGCGCCTTCCTACTTGGTGTATGCTATGAGTACAATCGGGAGCCTGGCGAGATCACAAGGTACTTATGTCTTGCAGGATCGCCGCAAGGGTATCTTCGATGGCTAAGCATCTGCGAATAGAGCTACGATACACCCAATCATCAACAGGCTGAGCGTCGACACCCTCGTTGGCCAAATGGCGGGGTTCCGTGAAGATGATCGCTTCAAGTCAGTGGCTCCAGATTCCATCGTTCTGCCATACCCTGCGGTACCAGGACACCCTTCTGGCGGCAAACATGGTCCCACTGAGGAGGCTGAAATCTGGTTCGATTGGGCTTTTGTTGATTTCTGGAAGTCAAATTACTGTATGTTTTCTTACGTCTTGGGATTAATTTTTTTCGATGCTTACATGCGTACAACCAGACACCGTGCAGCGGGGGTTCTCGACGGAACCAGATCAACTGTCCTCAACCTCTGGCCAAAGTGCTGAATCTGTCATGCTCATTGCCTCGTTGAGAGACGTGATACGCCAACAATCGAACGAGATCGAGACGCTGCAAAAGCAGCTGAAGGAAGCGGCCGTTGGTGCCTCCAAAGTGATTCTATGTCTCGTTTGTCTTCCGTCGGTTCTCCTTCTAACGCCGCTCTCTTTCCCAGCTGACTGAACTCCAGAACCAAGTCACGTCCCTACAGTCTCAACTGAAGACTTCAGAAGAGAAACGGAAGGACGTCGAAAAGGAGCAAGAGGACCTCTTGGTGCTCCTTGACGAAGTCACGAACAAGCGAAAGAAGGACAAGGCTCGTCTAAGAGAAGCTGGGCAAGAGGTGTCCGAGGACGAGGAAGACGATGACGAAGAAGATGAGTAAGCTTATCCGGTATTCTTCGCACTTCATATTGCTGTACAATACAAACTATGGAAGCGATACCAACTTTAAGAGGTGCTCCGTCTTCCTTACTTCTAGTCTGGAGCTAACGGTGTGCTTGGTTACTGGACTGGTATTTACAAACCTCAGTTAGCATTGAACTCTATCATCCCGCCATAGATTCCCGGTATTCAGAAGTTTCGTCCCGTGTCCTCTGTCCTCACAGGCCTATAGTGCTACAGCTGGGGTTTTCCCTTAGTACTGTTTGGGAGGTGGTGTCCTAGATCTGACTTTGGGCGACTTGGCTCCGTCACCTCACTGTCGTTGCAAAGCAAACTCCGAGTCCTGTATAATTTAAGGGTACATCGTTGAAAATGCATCGTTACCTAAGACTGAATCCTGGGTGAATCCTGGGTCTTTCGCCAGGATTGGTGCACACAACTGCCCCAAAGCCTTTGGCAAAAGGCCGGCTTGATTGCTCTCACCTTTCTGGAGCTTCTTCAGGTCGTTTCAAGGAAGATGTATATGTGCTGAATCAGGGATGATTCCTTTTTCCAAAAATTTCCCTAGATAACTCCTCAAGGCCTCACTATCAGTCCTCTCCCTGACCGGGTCAGGGTTTCATAGAAGGAACGCCGTACAACTTGAAGGAGAGTATTCCAGACGTAGATATATAGATTGTAAAACGAATCGAACCCCAGTGTGATGCAAGTTGATGTGGCAAAAAGATGTATGACGGAGTCGTCCATTTTTTGGAACAACCGCTTTTGGCTACCCGGTTGCCAAAATAGGACGCCATGACTCGATCTAATCGTGGAAAGACTTTTCGGAAGACCACTTTGAAGCTGATCGCCCAACTGACAAGTGAAGACCTCATCGATTTTCTTCTATTTGCAAGTGATAGAGCACGAAGATGAACGAAGAGCGCTCACACCGTAACAGGCTTCCGAACCTAGCCCAGCAATACCAAACTGCAACTTCCATCTCGCCCTTGCTAATCCTTTCCAACGCGGCCGTTTCGACGCCTCGTATTCTCTCCAGACACACTCAAGACCCTCAGAACAATCGATCCATTTCTACAGAATCGGACAAAGAGAACCTGTCCGTTGTTCCGCCAGTCCCGATAACTGCTCCAGTCCCCGTCTTGTATGCCTCCCTCGGCAAGGAGGCGCTGAAGTCTATATTGTCCATCGGTGATGAAGGTGCGAGTGCTTTGCATTTCCGATGGTTTGAGCTGGGGACGATGACTTGTCATTTAGGGACCGAGGAAGGGCATACGCTGGAGGAGTCGACGCCCCAAGCGCATATATTTACTGAAAACACCAACATCGTTCATAGCAGCGCCACCATTCAAACATCGTACGAAAGGTGTTTCATGGAGAATAATACTGAGACCCTTCAAGAGAAGGCCACTGTCATCGCCCGGCCTACTGCAGTGACACAGAGAACCCCGGTACCAACCAGGCAGCAAGGGACACCTATCGTCATTCGCCCTATCTCGCCTTCAACTCTTATGGCCTTGACCGATCCGTGCCTCATGGAATGGTGCACCTTGCCCATCAAAGAAGACGCCGAGACTGAAGCAGCATTTCGTGTTTCCGAGGAAGCGCTGTATCAACTTACTTTGGCGCAGGGTTTCTATGCTTGTAACTGGACCAACATGAAGCCCAGTGGCCCAAATCTTTGGGGTTATTGAAGTAGAATGTATGCGCGATTTTGGCTTGCTATAGACTCGAGTGTGATGCAGGCTGGACGAAATTCTGTACAAAAGACCTTTGGGGTGTTACCGAATTAGATTTGTAATTGAGATGAAAATTGAACACTATGTGACGGTGCAAGGAGAGAACAGAGAGGCAGCATTGCCGGTAAGGTTGACGTTTTGGCAACTGTATCGCGCCATGCCAGCTGGGTAACTGTCGAAGGGATACTGTTGGGCATGGTTGCTTCTGAAGATCTGAAAGCGTGCTTACGAGAGGCTAAAATCATTGACATTGATATTCGAGCAGCGACCGTCCGGAGAGCACAATAAAGACGCGACGACCGAGCGGGTCCCAGTGCCAGTAATACTGTAATTAAAGTGAACATAAGTGCCAAGAGGCACAAAAACACAATTTGACGTACTTATTGAACCAGATATCCTGAATATAGATATTAGACGGAAATTGAGCACAAGCGGTCGTGTTGGTCATGTAACACTGCATATGTATATCAAGTATGAATATGAAGACCAAAGTGCACAGGAAGAGAATGCATACCTGATCGATGACAACCGGGTTATCGACTGCTGTCTCGATGAAGTTTTGGAACGTGATATTTTTGACGGTGCCGCTGCCCACGTTCGGGCCTGCCCATGCTTTGACCCTCGCACCATTTTGAGCATTCGCCATCTTGATATTCCTGGATGGCCTGTAAGATAACTGAATACCTTTACAACGAAATGGCTTACTTGACGAACACATTTTCGACAATGTCATACACTCCAGGATATTGGCCAAGAGACCCAACTGATATACCACTGAGAAAGGTTATTGAATGAAAGAGTCTAAAAAGGTTGACAAAAAGCCTACTGAGATCCAGTGCAATCCAAATTTTCGACGCGGACATTTGTCGAATCTAAACCGGGGTTACAAATAGATGAGCTAATAATTGTGAAGACGAACTTGGTTTAAACGAGACGCAGTCGTCGTCGTTGTGGATAATCGAGTCCACGATGGTAACGTCGTTGCTTCGATATATGTCCCATCCGTCGCTGTTCCTCGGCATGTTGTTGGAGGTGGAAACGGCACTGATGCTGATATTCTTATAGATAACGTGTTCACCTTCGTTGACCTGGCCAAAGAAAATCAACACATCACTGAGTTCTGAGGACGCTTCGAGTACTGACAAGGTTGAACCACTCCGGACCGTTGATCATCTGGATGCTGTGAACCAGGGCATTTTTGGCTTGGTAGATGGTGAGGGTAATGGGGCGAAGGAGGGAAGTATTTGTGACGCTGTGGCGTATTCAATAGAGGACAGGAATGCAGGGAGATTAAGCGGACTGACTACGAATCCCACCACGCCTGTATTTCAAATCAGCAAAACTCTATGTCAATTAGAAGTATATGTACCTGACCAGCGCCGTCCAACGTTCCGCCGCCATCGAATAGGATGTTTTCCCCTCCCAAAAGCCAAAATGTCACTTGCGTTTGAAATGGAATGAAAAAAGCATTCTGAAAAAGATTTGAATGTCATGGAGCATTCTGTCAAATCATGTCGACGACACCCCGTACCCCAGTCCAATAAGGAATATCTGGATCGAATCTGATCTTTCCTTGCAATTTCTGAGTAATAGGTTAGGTTATGGTCATAAAGAAGCGCGATGGCGGCATACGATGTGTCTGTTCCTGAGGCCCGTCATATCCAACCGGGTTTGTATGATTATTGTGGTCGAAGCCGGAATTGTGACGACTGGGCATGCCCTGACAGCTCGTAGGAATTGGGGCGCATCATCACCACCACTCGCAGCCAGAGTACAGTGCACCCTCGCAGAAGGAAGGTCCGATCCCGTTGCTGCAACGGACGCGAAGAGAGGAACCAAAAACACGAACGGTGACAAGGGCAAGCGCATATCTACTGTGTTTCCCGACGCCTCCTCCTGGCCCGCACGTCTTATATCCTGGGAACAGCCTGGCGGACCGCTGCTCCTCTTCGTTATTGCAGAAGAGTCGGAGGCAAGTTCTCTGGCGGTCCGGGTGACGATTGAACCAGAGTCATGCTGTTTTGAAGCTAAAGATAGATCCTGGGGAAGGAAGGAACTCCTAGTAGGTACATCCTACGGCGACGCCAGGAATATCACCATCGCACCCGAACGTTGTTTATGGAGATATTAAGCCGATGGTGCTCCTGTAGATCGACGATGAGAACACGGTCTTCGCACACAGAAGATCTCAATGGTGGGCCGGGTTAGGCGCCACATGATATTTGAAGGACAGAGCATGTCGGGCGTCATCTTCGGAGTGGGCACCGAGCACACTGTGAGGTGCGGGAAAGCGCTAGCTAGTACTTAGAAAGTTTGGTGGGTCATGGAGATTCGAGGAAGGTTGCTCATGTTGAAGCGTGAGAAATTGTCCACTGATCCGTGCAGCGTCAGTCCGAAGAGACCTGGAATCACTTTCAGCGTTCTCCCTTTCATTGCGCAGCGTTCTCTGGACATTATTGTCATGGGAAGTCTTATATGTGTGCACAGCATCTTCAAGACGCTGAAATGAGCGAGAAGTCTATCTTGTTTCAACCCCTGTTGTCAAGACATGCCTTCACGACCGCAACACCAGTCCTCCGTCATTCACCTCGCAGAACGGTCATTGGGCGGGAAACCGGGGTTGTTCCCATTCACTGAAGGGGCCAGAACCTAGAGACCAAGTTAAAATTGCATCACTGCACACCGACGGTGGACGTGGATGTCTCACAACGCTACATCCACGAACGTCCACTAATCAGGTGTCCTCAAGTTCGTGCCCTTAGACTTCCTTTCTCCTGCCCTCCAACACGTTTTCGGACAGATCTGTGCTTTGTTTTTACATTCGCTGTTTTGCTGCGGAGGGCCTCAGTGGCTTTTCCTCTTTTCCCTTCTGCATTCATCAAGGCCTTGCCTCAACCTGCTTTTGTGCGATAAACTCACGACATGGGCGCTGTGGAAGTATCGACCTTGACGCAGTCGCCTGCGCTTCTTCCTGCTCTTTCATCACCATCTCAGGTGGCGGTGACGAAAGGTGTCTCTTTGCGAACACCTCCCAATTCGCCTCCGAAATTAAGTGGCAAGAAGACACCGGAGCAACCTAGGCTGAGGAGGCATAGACGATACTATATGCCAGACGGAAACGTTGTGATACAGGCGCGCCTTCCGTGAGATTATTCGTCTATTGAGTCTAATTCCACACATTCAATAGGTTGAACACACGCTATTTCGACTCGACCTTTCGGTCTTGCACGAAAATTCGCCCATTCTACGAAATCTTGTGCCACCTATCCAGAGTGGAAAGCTGCCCATTATCGGATACAACGACAGACGCCCGCTGGTCCTACGAGAAATTGCAGAGGCCGATTTCATCTGCCTTGTTTCATTATTATTTCCCAAGTGCGTATTTCATCTGCAGTGACACTTCCAGGAGAGCTTGCCCAACATCAAACCATAGAGAGTCAAACCCCCCGAAACAACCTGCCGTCGACGACATGCTCTCCGTCCTCAAGCTCGCCACCAGCTTCCAAATGGACAACATCCGCACGACCGCTATGAACCAACTGCATTCGCTTCCTATTGACCCTATTCGGAAGATCGCCATTTGGGAGGAATTCCACCTTGATCCCGACCTATTGCTCCCAGCATACGCCACGTTATGCCAACGTTCGGAGCCGCTCACGCTGTCTATGACCATGACCCTTGGTATCCGAAATTTCACGAAGGTAGCGGCATCAAGGGATTATTACCGACAGAGAGTGGGCTGCTGTGGGTGCCGGAAGAGCTTGAGCGTGGAAGAGAGTCAGGCCATCGCAGAGGAGATCGTCCAGATAGTCTTCGCGAAACGGGCCTCTACTGGGGAGAAGCCAAACCTCCTGTGTGAAGCAGATCTGTCAACTTCGTGTATGCCTTTACGTTGAAGGTCCACACCAGTTGTACGTGTGAAATATAAAGCAATACATACTGTGTGAAGGACGGTCTTTAAATATTCCTAAGCGTTGCTGGTACGACATAAATTAAATTACACAGGAGACCTCGAGATCGTGTTCAACCAACCGCCGAATCAGGCGGGACCAAACACTATCCTGGCCCAACAGGCGGTCCGAAAGGAAAAGGACTCAGAGTGATTGAGGACCTACTAACGTCAGCACACGGCTAAGCAGGAAGGCATTAAAATAATACAGGACTCCAATCGAGCGATGGAAAAAGAAACGGTGGTATAAGGGCACTCGAGCGCAACGAGGATCCAGAAACAAAGTGCTTAAAGAGCAGAAAGAGGCCAAGAGACACATTGGTGGTACATCAGGCCTCAGGTGCTGGGTGGTACTATTCTTTCCATTTGTTGATTAACGAGCAGTGGTCAGAGCGTAAGGACAGGCTCGAAACCTTGCAATGAAAGCAAAAAGCCAGTCCCGATGAGCCTTGACGTACTTCCAGTCTGAGTAGTGGCTAATTTCTCTGGGACAGAACATACATGGGCCTTCTCGACAAAGCGAGTAATGAAGGGGCGAGAGAGGAATATACCAGAAGGGGGCCCGGGGTCCATGTAGGCCACCTCGAATGAGAGACGACTGACGGACACGCCATTGCACCAACATCTGTCCCATCGGATCGGATCGGTTGACTTGGGGCCTTCTTCGGCTTTTCGAGGTGGGTTTTGTCAGTGATATCAGGTTGATGACAGTTGGTGGCAACATGGTTCTCCTGGTTAGCTATAAGATCGGCGTCTGGAGGATATATCCCATCTGTTGTACCGCTGGCAGGTGATGGAGGACACCTTCTCTCGTCGTTTCACGTCTTGAACAGTGGTAATGTCGTTCTCCGAGTCGGGGACCTCCCGAACCCGTGATGGTGCAAAGGTGATTACAACAGCTGGAAAATCATCCCGCCCTGGACGTCCACTCTTTTGCTTGAGGTTGGCATGCGAGGCACACAGGTCGAACAGAACAACACGATGGAGATTCTTGGTGTCTAATCCATACGTGCATGTGTCCGTGACTGCACCAATACAGTGCTGATCCATGCCTCGTCAATGAGAAGCCAGCGAACGAGGAGTCGGACTGCAGGTCCCTCTGCGAATTCGTTGAAGAGGTTGCGTCCTTTTGGCTGTGCCGCACGCGCGGTCTCTTCGTTTATAGGCAGAGCACGCAACCCACGAGTAGTTGCAACATTTGCCTCGAATAATACATGAGAAGCCCGTGGGTGGTTATAAAAATGACGGCCCACCTGTCGCTCCGCGAGAACCTTTGTTGTGACAATCAATACCCTAATCCCCTTTCCACCCCATGTCTGTGTTGCTTGTAATGGTGCATGCAGTACGGTAGTCCAGTCGCTATGACCAAGAGTAGGTCGCGCTCCTCCGAGTCTATAAGGTCAAGGCTGATGTAGTCGGACAACTTCGTGACTCGTCAATATCAACGGCGGTTCTTACATAACTGCAGATCCCCCTTAGTTTGCGACCAATCACCCTCTCTTCCTTATGCCACTAAAGGGTTACTGCATCGCTATTGTTGACTGTGATAATGGGAACAATATTGTCACTCTTTGGGAAGCAAAGTTTAGTGATGATGCCGCCGTCGCTGACTTGAAGGAGAGCTTAAACAGACTTCATATGCCTGGCCGCAAAGCTATCGCTCACTCAGTTGTTTATGTGAGTTTTGTTGAACTTCTATAGAATCCTGCTGAAGTTTGTGCCTAGTGTCACCCAATTGTGCGAGAAAGGGGCCACCTCCTCCCGAAAAGGCGTTTTGCCGACAAGGTTGTCATCGATGCGGCCTTCATGGAAGAATGCGTGATCGTGGACGATGCCCACGAGCTCTCTGATGTGAGAGATAAGTTGCGAGGACCATCCGAGGATTCAGTCTTCTTATTTGCTCTATGCAGTGAGTCTTTTCGCAATTCATTTGATATAGCTACTCAGTCGTTGGCAGGCATCATTAACACTGCTGGTACCCCTACCTTCTATCAGAGAGGAAGAGACCCAACCAAAAAGAGGTATGCCGCTCCATCGCTCATCAGTGCTGGCTGCTCACATCAAGCTTTCAGGCCGCGAATAGATTGCAGCTTCTATCAGGCGTCAAGCTCGTGCCCCGTCTGAGGACGCCAAGAACGATGCATTATGCAAGACGCAGAAGCCTTCACAAGACGAAGCAATTTATAACGGCCGTCCTCATACTGTTACCGGCCCCTCCATATCCATCTTTCATCCCATCTTCCAGACCTTTTCGCAACGTCTCTCAAAACCTTTCAAGAACACGGACTACGATCGCGAGGACTTTCGAACGGCCAATGAACTCTTACAAAAATCTGCCGCATATTATCCCGACGAAACACAACGCCAACTCGCTATTGAACCCCTCTTTGCTCACTTCCTTGGAGCCATGGTACTGGCACCCGCCACTCTGCACAGTGGCCAGCAAATGTTTAAACCTGATGGAGTTCTGCATGTCCAGTGCGGGCCATTCAAGACGCGTGAATCGGGACGAACGAAGATGTGTAGTGATATCAACGAGATCAACAACGGTGTCGGTCTAGGTGGTTGCGATCCGATGGAACAGGCTGAAAAAGATTACGTCTTGGTTTGCACTGCTCCCGAGGTAAGTAGATTGACCGTCAGTTTCAGCTTTTTACCCACTTGTTCCCAAAGCTCCAGCCTCTCCGTCGAGTGTCATGCATGCCGGCGTTTCTTATGGCCGTCACAGGACCTTCTGTATCCATTTCAGGCGCTGTCTATCTTGATGGTGCAGTGATTGGGCACTTTCTACTGGTACCACCTACTCCGTGCAAGAAAGTCCCTGCCGGCTACCCCTCGTATCGTGACCAACACATTGGGCAGCTTGTGCATACCTTCAGAGCTCTTAGGCGGTGCCTCGACGACCTTGACGTGTGCTATGGCCAGATGAAGCCGTCCGACTTCAGCAACTATGAGTTCCTTCCTGCGCCACACTTTAAGACATTCACACCTAAAAACTTTGAACCTGTGCAGCTTAGATACATTAAACGCCTAAACTCGCGTTTCATTCGCGACCCGCGGTCGATTTTCTTTGCGGAGGCCAGTGGCGGCTTTCTGCAGCCTACCAGATGTGTCGTCAAGTTTACTTCCCAGTATTGCAAGGAAGCGCACGAACTGATGTTCAACGAGGGCGTCGCCGCTCGATTGCTTCACTGCGGATGGGAGGACTCTGTCGGCATGTATGTTGTCATCACAGAGTTTCTCGAGGAGCCCAAACATGCTTCGCCGTCCCCTGAAGGGCTCGAAAGGCTTCGAAAGGCTTTGGAGACGTTTCACCGGAAGGGATTCGTTTTCGGCGACTTGCGGATGCCGAATATTATCCTCGATACCGACGGTCATCCACGCCTCATTGATTTCGAGTGGAGCGGCCGCGAAGGCGAAGTGCAGTACCCTGCCAATCTCAACACGGGCGCTGGATTTCCGGAGGGCGTGGACACCTGCGATTTCATCACGGCTGAGCATGATAGGGTCATGTTGAAAAAGTATGAAGAGTAGTTTCAGGGCGGGGAGTAGTTCACATCGGTTAGCATATGTACACACTGTAGGACGCCGATCCTCTAACGACTGCAAGGTTATTGGGCAAAATGTTTTGTGCATGTATGGCAGTCTATCTCAAGCTCGTCGTACCCGAGAAGTTAGCAACTCGAGGACGCCAGCTTTTCTGGGAGGTTCGGCAGGAGTAAGGTCTTCCTTCAGGAACCCGTTGACGTCCAAAAGTTCCCTGCTCGATGGTGTCGACCATCTCTCAACGTATTTCACTAGACTCCGTTCCAAACAACGCATCAGCATGCTCTCCTTCTCCCAAACACCAGTTGTCCAAATCGCAAGAGGGCCGGAAGGACCCATCAAAGGCTGAGGTTCCATATCCGACGTCGAAGACCGCTCTTGTTCGTCAACAGAACTTGCGAGACCTCTCCGCTTGCCGGACTGCATTCGTATCCGGTTGGCAAGAACGACGTCCGTAAAGACGCGGTCACCGACGACGATGAGCTCGTGGTCGTGTATTGGGTTAGGTAGCGAAGAGAAGTACGTTCGGATGGCCGTTATGCAGGAATAGGCGGGCTTGAACGACTTGTGGAACAGGACTGGGACACCAAGGTGGTACGTTACCGATTCCGACTGCATTTGCTGTTCAGTAAGAATTTACGAAAGGGATTTGAATCGACTCACCTGTATGCCTCCTGCATCGAGGTAGGTCCCAGCGGAGTTACTCACAATAAGCACGTTTCCTTCGCCGAACGTTTCTCGACATGATTTCCACGCATTCTACACACACCTCAATGTTAACCTTTTTCATTGAGTGAGAGAAACCGCACCTGCAGCTCGGGAACAAGGATATCTCTGTGAGGCAAAGTCTGGAAACAAAATGGACAATTTAGATAAATGTTTCTGAGCTTTATAAATAAGTATACGCACCAAACAGTTGTCTTTGTCGAAAACTGCACCTCTATATCCTGCTTTCTTTAGCGATGGAAAGTCAATCTGGCGGATGTCTTCCTGCGACATCATGGTTAGAATATTGGAGGATAAAAGCGCGTCATCGAGACACACCCTTTACCAACAATGATGGAATAACAAGCCTTGGGTATAACAGGAGCTGAAAAGGGACCAACAACCCAGGTATGTTCAGCGGCATAGTGGTCGAGTTGAAGGAGGTGGGCTTACATAACCTGCCTGAACTAAGTTGGACTTGCGGACCGGTTGCCGGCGTCTATGACCTTGAACATCATCCTCTGAAGACGAAGAGTCTGCTCTTCGACGTGAAGTTCTTCTATTCGCAAGTCCAGACCTTGTCCACATCGGAGGACCGCAGATTCCGCTGTCAATCTCATTCACTCTCGTTTCACTGGTACGACCTTCATTAATTTGTCACTCGCGACCCAAGGCAGCCACCAAGGACGCGAAGTCTATGAGATGCTGCCCACAGGTGCTTCGCAAATATTGGTCAGTATATTTCATCTCGCCCTGTCTCACTCGTACTCAAATTGTCTGAAGTGTGTACGTCGAGCGGGAGCAACACGCATAGAATTTCTTCTCCACTTTCAACGCATGATCTAGGAGTAGCATCGGCCGCGCTCAAAACATATATGTTTTTGGGACACCGAGGAGTCCAAGGCCTGTGGTTCAAAGATTGTGATTTGTAGCGACAAGAGCACCATGGAAGTCCATCCAGCGAGTGATTCACGAATTATGGCGGGTCAAGAGAAGGCTAAAATCCCCTACCTCACTCAGGCGAATGAGTTTGTCCGCAAAGGGACGACGCACTGAGGTAGTTCATCATTGGCTCCGTCCACACCTCGACAGTCAACGACGGCCATGAGACTATCCCTCGCCTAAGCACGGTAGAGTGCCTTTCGATATTCTTTGTGATCCATACTCAGACGTGCTAGTACCTTCAGACGCGCGAAATCGCGACCGGGAATGTTGTTGGATGTGCTGGAGCCTTGGAGGTTGTGCCTGTATCCCAAGTACGCCTGCCCCCCGCCCCGGTTCTAGACGTCCATGCCTACCTCGCTGATGTCCCATATACAACGTCCAAAGAGGCTAGAAGAGCCGTCACTTCATCGCAGAATGGCATCCGTGGAGACGCTGGCGTTGATATATCCGATCATGGCTTGACGTTGGACGATGAGTTTCCCGACGAATTTGAAGAGGGGCTTGTGCAGGAAGTATGTCTTCAATACAAAGGTGAGCCGCATTTCGTGGAATGATCTCATCGTGTATTGTTTACGTAGCAACTTCTGCTTAGGGTCTCCATTTCCACATCCTGTCTGTGCCTCGATGCTTTGTGGGCACATAATGTATTGAAGACCGCAGCCTCCATGTCCACTCTTAGGCCCACAAGTTCGGCCCTGCACTCTCACGGGATGCCTGACGTTGATGGCGTACAGCGGCCTTCCTTTCTGGAATTCGAAGTGCATCATCGAAGGGGTATAGCAGCCTATCATGCAGGTCCCTCTTCCCAGCTTCAGGGCGGTATTCATTTGCTGCTGAGCCGCTGAGCCAGGGTCCTATCATGCGATGAGTGATTCCCTCTCCGCTGGAATATCGTGCATAAAAGCCTAGCCTCCTGCAATCTCCCTAACTATAGCCGACCTCGGATGCCTCTCATCTTATCCTTCCTGCCCTTGGCTCTACTTGCTGCCCTCTACAAGATCTACCGGCGGCTCACTCGGACTTCCGTCTCGGACATCCCAGGTCCCGAACCAGAGTCGCTCGTGCTTGGTATGTGAATTGCTCCGCACTTCCTCTTGTTCTTCGATCTGAACGCCTGACAGGCAATCTACGGCAATTCTTCCAGTGTCAGGCAGGCGAGGTATGCCCTGTCGCATCCGATAGGTCATAATGTAAAACCCGACGTAGATTGACTTCAAGTGGCAAGAATTGTACGGTGATGTCGTCAGGTTCAAAGGACCATTTGGCGTGCGGCGGCTTGTTTCATTTTCAGCATATCGCACTGATGAACCTCCGTCTAGGAAGATCGTCTGCTTGTGTCGGACCCCAAGGCACTTCAGCATATCTATCAAACTTCGCGGTACGACTTCGCCAAGCAGGCAGAAAGGAGGGAGGTTTCTCGCCTGATCTCAGGGCGTGGGGTTCTCTGGGCGCACGGTTCGTATGGAGCTGAAAGGCGCGTTCGCATCCATTACTCATGTTCGTGATTGCCTTTTGGAAATAGGCCACGACCACCAAAGGCAAAGGAAGATCATGAATCCCGCCTTTGGACCGCGTGAAACGAAAGCGTTCGCCCCACTGTTCTCCGATGTTGCTTCGAAGGTTTCTTGCTCCTGACCTCCGTCTATAACTATTCGAGTCTGACAGAACGCTGTTTACAATTCTAGCTAGGAGGTAAATGGAAAGACTTCATATCTCAATCTCCAAACCAAGAGTCTGTTATTGACATGACGAAATGGATTGGACCAGCGACCCTGGATGCGATGGGAATCGGTACGTTGCATCATCCACTGTTGGTCATCTTGACACTTATATTTCTCATAGCTGCCTTTGATTATGAATTCGGTACTCTTGATAATTCCGACAACGAATTGGGCAATGTCTTTGCTAACATGTGGTTAGTTTCCAAAACCTTGCTAAAATTAAACCCTCCTCTCACAAGAAGCTCTTTAGCGTGGAGGTTTTTGGATCATTATCCGCGAAAGATATCCTTCGGCAAGCTCTGGCTGGGTATCTTCCCAAGGCTATCTTTCGATATATTGGAGACAACGCGCCGAATCATAGACTCGAACAGCTTCGAAAGGCATCCGCGGTGGCGACCAAAGTTGCGAAAGAGTTGATTGACGGGAAGGTAGAAGCCTTGGAAGTCGGGAAAGGGAAATCCGATGTTATGAGCTTGCTGGGTCAGTGCATGCCGGTTCTCCAGTTATCAAGACCGCCTGACCATTCTTGATGTCTACATGGCTTGCACATGGACGCCCACAGTCCAAGCCAATGTCTCTGAGGATGAGAGTACGCGCATGTCGGAGGAAGAGATGATAGCCCAAATGCGGTAACTTACGCTATCTGTCCCCTCGGCCCTGGCAAGGACTGACTCTTTATTGCCATTCATCTCCGCTCCATTTAGGACGTTCCTCTTAGCAGGCTATGAAACGACAGCGACGAGTCTATGCTGGGCCCTACTAGAAATTGCTCGCCATCAAGACGTTCAGACCAAGCTTCGTCATGAAATCCATCGCAAGGAACGCGAAATCCGGGAACGAGGAGATCGCGGGCTTAGTGCTAGCGATTTCGACACCATGCCGTATCTGACTGCGGTGATCAAGGTAGGTTTTCCACCTCAACTGCGGAACTTTAAGCACCTACATCCTGTATAGGAAAGTCTGCGGTTTCATCCGGCTTCACCCAGCACGTACCGCGAAACTATGAAAGAAGATGTCCTTCCGCTTCTGAAGCCTATCACAACTCTTTCTGGCAAGGTCATTACCGAATTGCCTGTACCGAAAGGTCTGAAGGTGGTCACGTCAATCAATGGTTACAATAGGTCCGTACACTTAGACTTTTTGATGCCCTCAAAATTAATGACATAGTCGCCCAGACACAAAGATGTCTTCGGCTCTGATTCCCATGTATATGATCCCGAACGTTGGCTAGTACCAGGCCGTATCGAAAAGACCGCATACGTCGGAGTCTACGGCAACTTGTGAGTTGTATTCGTCATCCTCTCTTGTTTTTTTGGCAGAAAATGCGTTTGATTATCATGGTTCTAACGCACATGATTTTTGCTTTAGGCTAAGCTTCGCCGGAGGTGTGCGGTAAGCGCCTCAACCCAGAGTACGCCTGAGAGCCTGCTATACTAATCCAATCGTTCCCGCCAGTTCCTGCATCGGATGGCGCTTTGCCGTCCTCGAACTTCAAACATTCATGTTTGAACTTGTCGGTAACTTCGAATTTACTCTGGCGCCCGCTGCGCTGAGGATCCGGCGAGAAAACGCTCTTGTCATGACCCCGACGGTTGAAGGAGAAATAGAAAGGGGGAATCAACTTCCCTTGGTTGTCCGAGTCGCCACAAGAGAGGACTGAGCGCCATTTCTCCCGCAACGGCCTTGCAATGTGTCTAACCTCTCAACCCTCTCTGTTCGATGATCTTGACTGTCGAATGTGTAACTATATTATACAAAAATCTGTTACAAATTATACATATTTCTCCATCCATAACGATTTCAGACGATTGCGACTACTATGATAATTGTTCTGTGCTGTCGAGAAGGAGAAGTTGTCCATGAAGATGATAGCGAGTATGTAGACGATGTCATAGAGCCTGGCCAATTGTGGATCGCTGCGATTCCATCCACTGATTCCACATTATTTGTCTCGGGTATTCTTGACCAATGGACGATGCGAATTGCACAACACGCCAGACATCTCGGAAGTTGCTTGCAAGCCCTAGACTGATCCTGACGACGCCCAATTCCCTACCCATATGGTCCTGGAAGTCGGCCAGAGTGACGCCAGGATAGAGCCGGCCCATCTCATCTTCAATCCCCAAAATGGCGGCTGCACCGCCGGGGTTGCACATACAGCCCGTACGAAGAGAGATATTCTTGCTCGACGCCGCATGTTCAATAAACGAATTGGGAATCATCTCTCCTGTCGGCTGTCGATGAATATCCAGGTGAGTCAAAAGGCCGCCGAAAGGTAGGGGGAAAATGGAGAAATACCACATACACTGAGGAATAGTAATGACATGATGGACCCCGTCTCGGCTGGCTCTCCTACAGAGCGGAGTCTTCTTGTCGGCACTTTTGAAAGAATTTGGACTACTGGCCGGCCTGTGGTGTCGTGACGAAGTTTTGACAGCGCTGACGTGAGGTACAGAAGCAGAGATGAAAGCCGAAGGGGCAGGAACGGCAGATAGGCGGAGAGAAAGCGGAGACCGTCTGTGATGGCTGGAAGCTGCAGATAATTGATTGTACCGTCCTGCGTGATAATTATCATCAGGACAGACAGATCAAGCCAGAAGAAATCGATCAAACTTACCTCGAACTGCTCATGCGGAAGGCGCGCGCGAGTAACGATATTTCCAGGAACTTGTACTACGTCAACGGTTCCTCCTGCGAACCACGGCCGTTTCAGCTGGGACAAGAAGTCCTTTTTCACGATCAAAGCCCCAACGCCCGTAGGGTATCCGAACATCTTGTAAAATGATACAGCCATGGCGTCGATGGGGTAGTCTGCAAGGCTGACCACAGACGTCGGTGCTAGTGCGGCGCCGTCCACTACGGTGTGATACCCGAGAGATGCAGCATGATGAGTTATAGACAGAGGGCTCTTGCTATTAGATATGTTCGATTGGGCGGTCAGAACGAATAGACTAGGCGCTAAATCACGGGATCGGGGCCGGTGCCGCTGTAAAACGTCCTGGTAGGTTCACAAAATTAAGAAGGCCCATCAGATAAAGCAGGACTTCAGAGGTAAATTTAGTACCTTTGCAGTGGGGATGTCGAATCCTCCATGGGCTGTGGAGGGTACGTAAACCGTTCTGGCACTCCTATAAGTCGCGAACTCCCGAATGCCGTGTACCTGCCCCGCATTGCCTGTAAGTTGAGTGACATAGAAGGAGGCAAGATTACGAACGCTATTATGAGAGTCGGCACCGATGACCAAGCTGCTGCCACCTGTGAAGGGGTACGCTTCCGCGATAAGTTTTAATGCTGCGCTTGCATTTGCCGTAAACACCACGGTGTATTCGGAGGACGCCCTAAAATGTGCAAGAACAGCTTGCCGTGCCTCGTCTGCACATTTTAATGACAGCTTTGAACTTGACACTCGGTCAGCAGAGGTACTAGATAAGAGGGAGAGCGCATATACCCACCTGTTACTGACAGAGTGCGTGTTTCCCAGAATACTGTGATTGAGGAAGTCCGTATGGACTCTGATCAAACTCTCTGGGTATAACGATCCGCCCATATAGTCAACGTAGGTCTCGCCCGCACGTTCCAGACGTGCAAAGTCGGTTCGGCGTAAGGTGTCCAGGATCCATGTGAGTCGATACTCTATAAAACGGGTGAGCTTATCATCATGGAAGAGTAGAAATGAATTAACCTGGATATTCTCGAAGGAAACCCTCAAAGGCGCCTTCTCCGTCGGACTCCAGGTCAGTGGCGATGGGACAATAGGCGACAGACGTGATAGGAGGAGTGGTTCGGTAGTGATCAACATACACAGACTTTTCGTCAGAGACGAGTTTGGAGGTCTCCTGTGGGGGATCGAGGCTTTCGCTTGAATCGGCGCAAGAGAGATGTATGCGGGTCAGAATCGCAGATCGCTTTCGTGAAAAGGGACGGGGTTTGGTGGCACCGGGGGCGGCAATGCAGGAATGGGAATGTGAGTTGCCCATGGCCGATGAAGAGAGAGTTCTCTCGGAGTATATCGCAGGTATCCGTCTTATATCTGGACAGAAACTGCGTTCCTGGCCAGTGACTGGTATTGCCTAGGCTTAAGGCATGATGAAGCTCGGACGAGCTCTGGCGGGGACGAAGAATGACAGGGAGATCTGACAGGCTCAAACAAAGAGCAACATGCTTCATCACACCACACCGCTTAGCAGTTTCAAGCCATTCGGGCCCAGGATCCTTCGCGTATCCCAGAAAACTATCTCGTAAATCCTGATTTGTAGTCGGGGTACAAAAGGATTTCCATCCATACTTTCCCCGGGCAGTCAAAAAGGGCTCGAAATGATATCTTGTCATTGTGACAGAACCATACACTCGAGTCCCCGCCGACGGCCACTGCATGCCTCTTTCGCGAACGCAGGTGCCCATGAGGCATACGGGGCGCAAAAATAGTCGGGCCCAGCGCTGACATCACTCTAAGAATTTGCCGCCGGTTTGACGGCTTCTAGATGTGAGGAAGCACGACAAGAAGAAGACTCGAAGGTCATTTAGAAGGCCAAAGTTAACGCAGCCTGCTAAACCGTCGAATTAGCAGTGCTTGAAGTGCCAGGATCACCGATGTGCAGTCAGATCAATGTCCAGCTCCATAGTCTCGGAATATTAATCTTGCAATACCGAGCCGCATAAGGAGGGGCGTTCAGAAGGATTCCCCGAATACAACAAAGGGTCTAGTCATTGGTGAACCGTCCTTATCCGTCGGAAGGTTGGCAGATTTGTGCTATGCCCGAATGACATCCAGATCTAACACCAGTGCGAATCGAGAGGGCCATAATGAATGGGATTACGGGTCATATGGCTTCGGTGTGGGTATGAATAGACATGTACAGCTGATGGTCGGATAGATCGATAGAAATCCGGCATCGGAAAGCAGAAGATACTGTCAATCATACCATGACAGAGACCCCCAGAAAATGCCCACAACACCTCGGACCAGTGATCATACGCGAGAGCCCCAAGAGAGAGTCGGCGCGCAGAGGAGTAATCCACATAAGGACGCACCGCTTCACATGGCTTCAAGCACAATCTACGCCTTTTGAAGCGAGTAGCCAAACCGATCGGATCCGAATTGTTTCTTGAGATGGCAGACGATTTCATCGATCAACGTGCTCTCTTGACTTGAAACTCGAGATTTCGTATTGTTATATTCGACACGTGAGGATACAGGACACGAGAAGTTGACGCGTTCCAGGAGGTGGCTGCGGTGAAGCGGAAGTGCTCAGATTGGCCTTCACAGCACCAAGAGCCGCTCACCACACTTGTTTTCCCCAAGATTTCGTTTGTGTACGGTTTGAATAGCGTCAAGAGAATGAGAGTCGGAATGTAAAGTTAAGCTAACTTGATTTGTTCGTTAACTTGGTCCTGGAATGCTGGAAATTAGGTGGAGCCAGTCAAGATAGGAAGTGGGCCCAACAGCGCTCAAAAGCACACGAACCTTAAACATAGCAGTTTACAGACAAACATCCATCCATTATTGTCATTCGGCAGAGGCAAGATAGGGGTGAAGGCGACCAGCTGCGCCTCTGGGTGCACTAGAGGAGAAGTTAAACAGAAGGAATTGTGGCTCTGTGACAAGGCTGTCTGTGGGTGGCAGCTGTTTGTTCGTGTTGTTGCCAGAGGCGCCCTCAAGTGTAGGCTCCGCCGACGGTACTCCGAGTGCCTTCGGCTCGGAACTGTATCTACGCATTTTGGACGGCCGGAATTCATGTTTTGATAAGAGGTACGAAGCGCCCGACTATGCACTTGACGTGTGTCAGGGGGATTAATATTGAAGTGATCTTCTCCTCATCGGAGCCGTCGGCTTAGGAATGAGGCAGTACGAGTTGATCACCCCCGCAATTATGGACCCTGGGGTGGCGCCAAAAATACGACAACGGTGAAATCAGGAAGCGCAATTTCATAGATCATTCTGATGGGCTTCAATAGCATTTAACTTCGCTTCATGTGGACCGTTAAAAATGAAGTAAAAGCTAGTTCAAACTTTTGCGGTGTTCTGCTTGAACCTACTATGTTTGCTTGAGCGGAATCGCCGCAGCTATCAGATGCCTCGGTACCACGTTTCTTCCATTTTTCTTCCAAGATAATGTCACCCATTTTGAGTTTGGATAGTGGAAAAGATTATCATGCGTCACAATTAAGCCAGGGCAGCCGACTGTTCCCTTTGAGGGAGGACTACAGCATGAGTTAGAGAGATGGTCTGCTCTGATATACGGAATGGAAAATATTGGGGTACATGCGAGCGTGCAGTCAGCCCGATAAGCCTAGGATCCGACAGTGGTCCAGACCGTCACTACTGCCTTGTAAACTTTTCCTCGGCTCCTGGAAACATCCTCTCTGTCTCTCTTGAAACACTCATATTGAAGTACCCACCGAATTTCCGAGATAAATTACACTAATTCGGACGATGAGCAAGGGTTCCTGGTTTCAAATGCACATTAACAATGCATAATATGGAGATGGATTGGGACCACGAAAGCATTGAATTTGCTCAGCAGATAAGAAAATCTTATAATTCATGGGCTAAAGCAACGTTCTGTGGACGATATTGAACAGTTTAGAAAGGGAAATGTGTTAGTCTGTTTTAGTTACCTAGAAAGTAGTGTGGCGTAGCCATGAGGTGGGAGCGGCCCGTCGTTCCGACTCCGATCGCGTTCCGTTCCGCGATAGTTGACTTCACCACATATTGGAACTGACGACAAGCCATATCGCCTTATTACCGCGCGGCGCACGCAAGTTCAGAGCAAGGAAATCCCCTGCCTGCAACGGAAATTCTCCGGACCGGGACAGCGGTCCGCCGCCACCGAGAAGCGAGCCTCGCGATCCGGTGAGCACTGCTGATTCGATGTCAAGGCCACTGTGACCGCCCTATAAAGCCCACAACCGCGAGAAGCACGATGAGCCCTATCCGTCTCTCCCAAGTCTCTATCGAACCAATTTGTCTTATTCGTAACATATTGTTAAAGCAGAATGTCGTTCGGCAAGACGATCACTCTCGCGGATGGCTCGAAGATCCCACAGATCGGATTGGGTACTTGGCTCTCGAAGCCAAAGGAGGTTGAGAATGCTGTGAGTGATTAATAGTTTGGGAATCGTGAATACAGTGAGGGCTGACGATGCATAAAGGTCGAAATTGCCGTGAGGAATGGATACCGCCACCTTGATCTCGCGATGGTGTACCAGAACCAAGATGAAGTCGGCGCAGCGCTGAAGAAGGTCATCCCGTCTGTCGTCAAGCGTGAGGACCTCTGGATCACCTCAAAGCTCTGGAACTCTGCACACCAGCCGGACGAGGTCGAGAAAGAGCTTGATGCGACCCTCGCACAGCTGGGTATTGACTATCTTGATTTGTATCGTGAGTTTGCTAGCTCGTGGGAGACGCAATGAGAAGAAAATTCACCGGGTATATTATTCCAGTCGTCCATTGGCCGATCGCTTTCGCCCCTGGTCGCGGACTCTTCCCTCCCCATCCCACGATCGAGGGCCAAGTTGAGATAGATAACAAGACGACTCTCGTTGATACATGGAAGGCCATGATCAAGCTCCCAAAATCAAAGGTAAGCAATTTCCGAAGGCCGAGGAGGCACGTCATTGATGACGGTTTTCGTAGGTCAAAGCAACTGGGGTGTCCAACTTCAGGATCGAGGATCTGAAGGGCATCATCGAAGCAACTGGCGTTGTTCCTGTGAGTGTTCAATTAAAAAGACGCAATGAGTGACAGTTAAAATTTGTTCGAAGATTGTTAACCAAATCGAAGCGCACCCTCTGCTTCCTCAAGACGATCTGGTCGCATATTGCAAAGAGAAGAACATCCATATCACAGCATACAGCCCTCTTGGAAACAACTGTAAGCCGAACCGTGAATAGAGCTTTAGGCCCGAACGTTAACTCTGAACGTTGGCAGTGGTTGGCAAGCCCAAATTGACGGACCACCCGGTTGTGAAAGAAGTCGCCGATAAATTGAACGCAACGCCAGCCCAAGTTCTCGTAGCTTGGGGTGCATACAGAGGGTACACCGTGATCCCGAAGAGTGTCCAGGAAGACCGCATCATCTCGAATTTCAAGCAAGTCGAGCTCAGCAAGGAGGACTACGAGAAAGTGTCCTCGGTCGTGGTTGGCAACCGCACTCGGTAAGCGTACATATCGAACGAAGATATTCAGAGCGCTAATGGGCCTGGTGCGACAGATTCAATATTCCATTGACGACTAACAAGCCTGTGTGGGACTTCAACCTCTTCGACGAGCCAGAGGAGCAAACGGCGACCAACAGGGTGAACATCGCGTAGACCTAAGCAAAACCGAGAAGAAATTCGTCAATTGTAATTTATGTAACCTTACCATCGGAATTCAGGAATGCTTTTATGGAGGCTAGAACTAAGGGTGCTGTAGCGGTATGCTGAACGGTATCAACGGCCTGAAGCAAGCTGAGGAAAGGCATTTGACCGAGGTTTAGGCGACTTCACGAACATGCAAACACAGACAAATGGTCCGTGCGCGCACTTCGAGTATAAAAGCGTCGCCTGAACGCCATTGCAACTCATACTTACCTTGATGGCATCGGCCCCTTCAAGTCCCGGGTCGGTGGGCCGTGGAGATCCTCCATAGCACGGCGACCTTGTCCTCAGGGGGTGTCTGCGGCTTGTATGGCCTTAGGGTCATGCACCGTCTTAATATTTTCCTGTCCCTCTTCGGCCACTCTGGCTGGGAGGGCTCTTCTTTTTTGTCTTTTTGTTGCGCTAACCCTAACCCTATTCTTTGGAAATTTAATATTAGATATGTAGATGTGATGCCCTTATCTGTTGAATATCCGTCAAAATATATCTTTCGTTGCAATAAAGAGAATACTTCTTGAAATCTCCATTTCATTGGACTTACATCATTTCAATTGCAACTCTAGGAGGGCATTTGGGTATTGGAAAGTGCGGCGGTCAAGTGCGGCGATCAGTGCAGCGGGCATTGCCGAGGCGGATGCCACGTGATGTTGAGGTAAGAATAGGGGCGGGCCGCGAGCAACAAGCCTGCAACAAGGGCAGGCTAAGGCTCACTCTCAACATTGTTTCCTTCCTGGCACTCTCAAGTCAGTCTTACTATAAGATTGTACATAAGGGCAAGGGTAATGACAGGTTATTTAAGCAAAATCCGCACCCTTACCCGTAGCAATCTCTACCCGCCCTCAAGGCACGTCTTTCGCAGATTCAAGGTTGAGGGTTAGGGAGGGTCTGCGGGTCGTCGCGCAAGTTGCCCAGGAAAGGCATCACGGAGCGTCGAATGACGCTGTGGTGAACATCTGCGGGGGTTTTTGGGACGACACCGGGATGAGGGAGTTGGGCATTTGGTAAGCATCTGGCCATGTAGCGGGGGGTGGAAGGAGGGGAGTGATGTTCACAGAGGGCTTGGTTCGTCTTTGTGGGTCGTGAATAGTGTGGTCGGGCTCATGAAACGGCGGGGTGTTAAGTCATGGCACGCGATCGAGGCAGCAACATTGAGTGTGGTGTTATGGCATGCGAGCAATGAATGGGGGGCAGCAGCGCGGGTGTCTTACCTGTCATCGGTCGTAATAGGGCGGGCACCATTAGGTGCTTGATTATCCTAGGCAGCGAACGTCGGTGTTGGTTGAAACACCACAAGAGCTTCAAGAACTTTAGAGATGGCAGGATCGAGCAGCGCAAGCTCACTCTGTGCTGGGAGATGCGGAGCGGGAGGGTTGAGGTGGTATTGGCATAGACAGTGCTAAGAAAGATGTTGAATGGCAAATCAGGGGTTGAAAGATATCAAGAGACACTCACATGGACGTAAGACTGCCCTAGAACAATACCCTTCGAGAAACTCTTCATACAGAGCCGCACCTGGCTGCACAAACAGTGGTGTAGGACATTGAGGATATCCAGGAGGGGATCCATCGCGAGCTAGCTAGGTGCCATGACGCCAAGGCGTGAATGAGTGAAAGGCGGGGTTACCTGTGATCATAGGAGTGTAATATAACTTGAAGGGGCAGCGGCATGGTGCATCGCACTGGCGAGAGAGCTCAGCGTTCGACGTTGAGAGTGTCACGCCAGTGCTCACGTGTGGTGACGGAAGTTGCCGCCGCACAGTGCGCCGGTCTCGTGCGCCGGTGTTCCCAATTCCCAAACTTTCTGAACTCTAGTCTAATAGACTAGTGGCAACGATCCACAATATGCATATGGATTCATTGCGGTATTTACTTCAGCTCACAGGTACCAAGCCTGCTGGGTTTTTCTCTGCTCTCTGCCAAGTTGTCCCAAGTCCACTCCAAGCTCTTCTCGAGCCCACGTAGCCCGGTCTGCCCCTCGTGACGCACTTCGGTGCACAATTTCTGAGTTGCCTTACAAAGATCAATATTGACTTAATAATTGTTATTATTCGCACGTAGCTAGACACTAAGTACATACACCTCGAGCAAGAAGGTAGGGGTTTGCCGTGCGATAGCAGATGAATTTTGAAAGAGAGGTAAAAAATATAAGTATCTAAGCATCAAGTCCATAGAAGGATTGGAAAACGATATTCGAAAGATGTCAGCTTTGAAGAGCTTCATAATGTACAACAAAACAATCCTACTAGATATTGGATATGTTTACTAGGGCGATAGATACGTAGATATCACAGACAGTGGACCCGAGAAGCAAGAAGAAAGTAGCTCAGTAACCGCAGGGTTTGAGGAGGGTGAGGAAGATGTACAGAGTTAGCGGGATGGACGGGTTGTCGGTTGTATCGAGGATGTAGGGTATGGCAAGCGATCAGGTGCGGGGATTGGGTGAGGTTGGTAGGTTATACATTTGCGTGGCGTGGCGAGGTCGTAAATAGCGGGGAGGGTATAGCGTAGAACACACAGCGCTAGATTTGAAAACACCGGCGAGCATAGCGGCGCAGCAGGAGACGGGAAGAAAGAAGCAGACGCAATGCGAAACCGCGAGTGAACCCCGCTTTTTGGGTCATACCATATGAATGCCCTCGTCTGATGGTGTGTAGTCCAGCAGGTCGATGGGCGACGTGAAGTTCATCACCTATGAAAAGAGAGACATAAAAGTGTCAGGGACCTGTCTTTGGAGGAGCAACATGCCAGCAGACGAAAAAAAAGAGAGAAAGACAGAAAGGAGAGAGCAACTCACGTATGGATGCAACTGCGACGACTCCCTCTCCCTCTCCCTCGACCGGTGGCCCTCCTCCGACGCCGGCACGCTCTGCTGTATCCTCCTCTGTATGATCGGGATCCCCAGCCCACCCCCATGCGCGAACTGCGAGTGCCGCGAATAGACAAATGGTCCGTCGGAGTACCGCCTCCGCTTCTTCACGCTCTCGCCCGCGACCGCCGTCCCTGTGCTCCCCGAGCCCAACGACAGGTCCCGTGTGGGCAGCGCCACTTGCACCTCCATCGGCTCCAACGGCGCTAACACCTCCACGGGGATGTGCGAGTGCAGCGAGCGCGGCGAGCGGTGGTTGCCCGGCATTGGGAAGGCTAGAGGAGAGGACGGCTCGGGGCGCTCCCATACCACGGTGTCGTCTGATCGCGCACCGGACGTTGGGCGCGAGACCGCCGTCTGCGCGCTGTCCTGGCGCTCTACGTGTGGATGTGGGCTAATTGGAGCCGCGCTGCCCCCATTGCCCCCGCCGCCGCCCGGGCCAGGCCCTCCAGGCCCGCCGTGTATTGGCGACACAAGGGTTTGGAACGGGATGGACGAGCGGTGCATTCCACTACTGTCAATGTCCGACTCGTACCCCGGCGAGATGTCGTATTCGCTCTCACTTTCTCGCCGCCGCCGTCCAGGCAGCGATTCTGCATGATACAAGGCATATTCGGGGTGTAGGTGGTCGTGGTCGTGATGGTGCGGTAGTGGCGAGGGCATAGGAGAAGGCGAGGGCGGCGGTAGGTCGTCTGGGTGTTGGTGATGAAGGTATTGTTGGTGCGGGAAGCGGAACGCGCTCATGCGCGCGCCATTGACAGAGACGGGGCTGACGGGCGTATACACCTTTGGCGTCGTTGGGTCGTGGTCCTGGTCATGCGTGTAGTAGTTTGGCAGTGGCGACGTCACTGTGGGCACCTTGCCCGAGTTCTGTGGCGAGACAATCTTGGCCTTGTACCCTGATTCCCGCGTGATCGACCGAGGGAAGAATATCTATGATGCAAGAGTAGATGATACGTTATAAAAAGGGACATGGAGGCCGAAGGGCAATAAAAAAGGACGACTCACGAGAAGGGTGATGGCAGAAGAGATGAAGCACCCCATCCCTCCCATCATCAAGAGAAAATCTGACAGCGAGCCTCAGCATTGCTGATAGATGAATTGAAGAAGCGCAAGCTTCACATACCCAAGGCGAATCTGTCCGCGGGCGTTGATAAGTACATTGATAAGAAAAACGGATCATCGAGGCTATTGAGTACTCACGGATCGGCGACGATGGGGTATGGAGGGTGGAGGGCATCGATGCCAATGATCAGGAGGGGGATCGTGAACAGGAAGCGGAACATGACACGAATGCGCTGTATTGGCGCCAAGTTTAGTGGCCAAAATTCTGATTAGCAAGACAAGGTTACTCACATTAAGGCTGTAAAATGTCGCTAGCCTCACTACAACATCAGGTTCCGCACCACCCTCTTTGACATGTTGGATGAATCCAGGGAATCGAGCAAGGACGTAGAGGAAGGAAACTGTCGTGGATGTACCAGCAGAAGATCCCGCCAAGAAGATCCATGCTTGAACCTAGGAGAGCGTCAAGGATAGCGATCAAGCGTTGGAGTTTGCGGCTTACGCGTTCAATCTCCCTTCTCGAGACCAGAGTAGTCAGGGGCATGCCTAGCACCGCAATGATGCTCCCTGGAATAGAGTTCAAAGTTGAGAACGGAAGAAGGGACGATTGAATGGAAGGTCGCACCAGTGTACCATATTCTAAATTCCCAACTGTGGAACCAATCTCGTTTTCCAGGACCCTGGTGCAAGAGGAACAACCAGAAGGAGAGCTCTGGCCAGTCTCCGTCAGCACGTCTCCAGCGCATATACGCAGCCAAAATCACCTTCAAGGTGTGTTACTCTGGGAGCGGCGATGGGTCAGGGAAAGATGGAACAGATAGGAGAAGGGGGACGCACAGTTCCAATGACCAGGCAATGCTCAGCACGAAATACAGCGGAAGCAACCAGCGCTTATGATCTGGATCCCAAAGAACCAATGGCCGAGGAATTACTGGAGAGATCATGAGACGATTGGAGAGGATGAAGGGGACTAAAACCAACCTGTGCCGCTGGGCGACATCCAGTAACCTGGACGGAAAACGAGATGAATAGGCGCCAAAAGAGCACAAATTTAGCGCTGCATACCCTCTTTGAATTTGAAAACGGTGAGAGAAACACTGAATATGACAAGAAGGGGAAGTGTGGCGACGTAAGAGTACCTGTTGGTAGCACATGAAGCGATGAGATGGAGCATGCGGGCATCCCCTCGGGTGTTCACATACGTCATTACGCGCTTGAAAGCGCCTGGTTGTCTTCCGGAGTCCCATTTCAAGCAATTGAAGCGGTCATAGGCCCAGAGATGGAGGAGCAGGAAGGTGAGGAACTGTTGTTTGACGATGAGCCTGATGCGGGGTGGGTGAGCGGGGACGGTTGGGAGCACGTACGATGCATGATAAGATTGCCCAGAGGAGGTAGGCGGTGGGGGAACCGTTGCTCATGAAGGCGTGGCGGGAGTGGGATGGGTGAGAGAGCCAGCCTGGTGAGGGACGAAGAGAGGCGCAATGGGGACGACGAGCAATGATTGAGAGTGCCCAGCGTCGGCCGTTGCCGCTCGCCCCGCACGTGCCATCCAAATCCGGCTTCCGATCGTGCTCGATCAATTGATCTCTCCTCTCCCGCTGCCCATCGTCGTCGCAAAGGTTCTCCCGTATCCACCCACCGCCCCGGCGCGGCACGTCCAATAAATAACTTCCCGACCAGCTGAGGTCGACGCGCAGAAGCCCAGCGAGAGGGAAGACCCGGAAGAGGGCCTAGCGGACTCACTCCATCACTGATTGACCGAACTCTATACATGTTACAAGTACTAAATCCATCACACTTTCAATGCCTTTGTCCCAAATTGCGCATTTGCTCGGTCGATAGTCCGACGAGCGACGGGGCCTCTTGCAATGTACTCGATTATCGGAAACGTGTTCGTCCAAATGACCATTCGTGCGGTCCATAAGGGAATTAGAAGGCGCGATCCTGGTATCCTAGACCTTGGCTTCTGTCATTTACGTTCTATTGGAAGCCCCCAAGTCGGTCTGTGGCGGACGAAACCTTGTCTTTGATGGCGGTCGCCTCAGGATGTCCAGAAACATTACGTTCGGGGGGTTGTAGGGTTCCCTCAATGTAGTCTTCCAATCAATCCCACATTGATGGAGAAACTGCGGCGAAACCATGTCTTTGTCAGGACCGACGTAAACTGCTCGTAAACCTGCTCACATTTGCTCTGGACCTGCGGCGAGCGCTTCTGGGTGCATTGGCCACACAGGAGCTACAGCACCGCTGAAAAACGTGTCGAACGCGATTTTGAAATTGAAAAGCCGCCGGTGATTCACAGGTTCATCACGATCGCACAGTGGCGAACATGCCTTAAAAGGCACTGAACACCACACGGTCTGCTCAGGGCGGATCATGAGACAGCCAATGCGGCGCAGCCCGAAATAAATACAGTACATGTTCTCATAATGCATGACCTCATGTTGCATAATTCTAATAGTGCATGGACTTTTGACTAGAACTGACTCCGTACAGGGGGAAAATTGCATAATGCATAATGCATGAAGGCTCGGGCCAAGTTATGCATTATCAGTAGGGTCGTTTTCATCTAATCCACACTACATATCTATGCGATCGTGTTCGAGAATATTCTAAAAAGCACCGCGCATCCAACAAAACCGCCGGGGGAACCCACCACCCACATTCTGTCTTCCCATGCCTGCAAACGTAACACAGACGAGCGCAAACGGAAAGTCCGAACCGAGCATGCCCCCTACAAACCGCGTAAGCCGCAGAAGGTCGTCCACCTCTTCCCCAACTCCAATCCGCAGAAGAAGACTTGATGAAAGTCGTTCAAGATTTGAAGGCACGAAGGAGGATCATTGGGGCTCCTCTCACGTTGGAGGAGATGCTGAACCCGGTTGGCGGTGACGAGATCGGAGAAAGGGAGTTTCATTTTGAGGATGATGATGAGATCGTGGCCAGGGTTCGTCATGAACAAGCTGTGGCTAGAGGAGAGGTCATTGAGCTGGATTCCGAAGATGAAGAGGATGACGATCACCCTCGACTGTCAACCCGCGAGATCATGGACCTTTGCACCCAGCTTGAGCGCGCATGCATCAGTGAGAACGATCCGGAGACCTCTCTTGACTTTCTCCATGGGCTTAGACGCTTCAGAATACATCTTAGGAGGCGGGAGGCAATGGGAGCGAAGCAGACGACACTGACCAACTGGTTCAAGCCGAACTGATGTCACGCGCACAGCCAAAGTCACAGTAGTCACATTAGTCACACATTGTCGTTCTGCATAAATCTAATAATGCATCACTTTTACCCCAGAACCGACGTTATGCAATATGAGAACATGTACTGTAGGCAGATATTCCAGGAAACTTCCAAAAGATGAGTAGAGGCGGGGTCTTGGAGGGTCCTGGTCAGACGATGCGGGCGCGGCGGAGAGGGCTTCCGAGACGCCGTCTCACCGAAGACCGTCTCGAGAAAGTATTTCCTCCCGTTTCGGCTATAATTTTCGTAATATCAGTTCGAGAAAAAAAAATTAAGGGAAATTAAAAATCCATGGAGACGAAATATTAGTCGAAAATCGAAGCGTCAGAAGGTTGCCATCCCCGCAAGCGCCGGGACGGAGACGCCCATCACACCCCTATCACTCTCCGTGACCACAATCGCCAACACCAACCTACACCAACACCTCCAAGGTACGTGCATCTCCTGCACCTATAAAACCTTCTCCTTCTCACTTCCACACCTCATACTTACCTTGATGGCATCGGCCCTTCTCGTTAACCCTAATCCTAATGAAATACTTGGACAATTGCAACTTGTAGAAATTCGCAAAAGATACGATGAAAGAATTCTGTTTCAATTCCACAAGAATATACAAACAAAAAGGTAAAGTTTCGAACAGCTTAAAGAGATGACCGAAATGACCTTAACTCGAATCATCATCCCCAAAGAAAGCATCTTCCTCCACACCCACCTCTTCCTCCGCCTGCTCACCCATCTTCCCCGCAGCACCCATCTTCTCCTTCCCTGTCGTCCATTGCTGTGCCGGTGCCTTCTCGCCGCGCAGCGATGACGTCGACTTCGTCTCAACCTCCGGTTCAGCCGGGAGGTTTCCCTCAGCCATCTGCTCCCTCACCCACCGCCTTACCTCCTCGCGCTCGGCGTTCGTCTTCGCTGCGTCTGCGGCGGGGGCTGTGGAGGTAGGTGCAGCTTCGGTTTCGTCACCTCGGCCTTTCCGGACTTCGGGTGGGAGGAGGGAGATGTATTTCTTCATTTTGGGGTAGTGCTAACGTTAAGAGGCGGTGAATGTCGTCAGCGGACTTGTCGAGGATTCGGGGTCGGGGAGGTCGGAGGAAAGGAAGAGAAGGGCAATGCTCACGAGGATGTAATTAAGGTCCACGCGCAGCTCGTGCAGCTCTGCCGTGATCTTCTCCTTATCAGACTTGCTCTCCTCGCTATCAAGACGTTTGAGAGTTTGCTTGATTTTACGCGTGATCTTTCGACGTTCTGCGATCCACTTTACGTCCCTGAGGGCTGCATGGAGGTAGGGAACGGGACGCACCGAAGAACTTAATTTTGTGATAGCGTACAGCGTACGCGCGCTCTTTCTTCGCAATCTCGGCCTGCTCTAGCTCGCCTTCAAGAGCTTTTAGTTTGCGCTCGGCCTCCACGCGTACATCCGCTGCGAGTTTGTCCTGGATGGCCAGTCAAGTTAGACACGTCAAAGTCAGGAGGCGACGTAGAAACACACCTTCGCCAGCAGCCACTTGGTCTGTCGTAGTGCAGCCTTGATTTTCTGTACGCCTGGCACTGCGTTAGGGTCCTCTTGAACTGACTTTTGCTTGCCATGCTTATGTTTCCGTTTTGGTCCCGATTGAGATTTTGTTTTTGATGATGAAGCTTCGGGGTTCTGTTCCTCGCGCGTTCGTACAGCAGGCATGGTGGGAGGTAGAAAAGAATAGTTGATTCGAGGGTATGTTGAAAAGAGCGGCAACCGCGCCAAGACCAACCTGCAGATCAAGTTATTTGGCACCACACGCGATCACAAACAACGCCTCTAATCTCGTTTTGCGAGTGAGCTCATTGGACCCTGCCATCAGCGCCTCTCCTCTCTAATCTTCCTCTGCTTTTCCTTCTTTGACGCTAATTATGCGAAACCTCACGCTTATCTCCTCATGGGAGGTTCACATTCCTGCTGGCGACCTCACCGCGACGACATACGATCTGGACGAAAATATCATCTATGTCTCAACTGAGTGCAGTAATCCGGATGGGGAGGTAGAGGTAGAACTGTGGAGGATAGAGCAGTCGGAGAACAGAAACGTGCTTCCAGTAAGCCAACCTGAAACCTGCGCTTTGCACTGATGTTGATGGTCCATTTTTCAACCTGGTAGACGAACCCACAAAAAGCTGCTTCGTTCAGAACGGTTGCTTCATCGAATGGACCGAGCGACGTGCAGACGATATCGCTGAGGGTTGTGGCAGAGACGAGGAAGATTGCTTCCATCATGCGTGGAGGAGATGTGATTACGGTCTCGATGGACGAAGAGGACGCGCCGGTATGTCTCTTTCTGACTCGGCATTTACTGATATTGATTTTCTTCTTTCAGTTTGAGGTTGAAGGAACTTTCGAAACGGGTATCCTTGCAGCATCGTGGAGTCCAGATGAATCTTCTGTGTCTATCGTAACAGGTCCGAACTCGCATCCTCAAATTTTCATTCTCTAATTTTCCCTTTCAACTAGGCGAACACAAACTTATCCTCCTAACTTCTATGTTCGACGTCCTCTCAGAGTGTCCTCTCTATGTCGACTCCTTCGGAGAAGGTACGCACCCAATATATACCCTCGCCATCTCGTAGGCCTACTTTAACGAACCACCACCACCAGACGCACCCATAAATGTCGGCTGGGGCTCCAAGCAAACCCAATTCCACGGTTCCCTAGGAAAAGCTGCCGCGCAAGCACCCACCACCGTCAAAGCAAGCATCAGCCCCGACGACGACCACCTCCCACGCATCAGCTGGCGCGGCGACGGCGCCTTCTTCGTCGTGTCCTCCCTCTCCCCTGAAGGCATCCCGGACTCGCAACCGCGTCGTACTCTAAGGGTGTACGATCGTCAGGGCGTCCTCCAGAGCACGTCAGAGGAAGTCGCGGGTCTTGAGCATACGCTTGTTTGGCGGCCTTCGGGAAACTTGATTGTGGGCACGCAGAGGTTTGGGTTCGAGGGTGGAAGTGCCGGGAGAGAGGGAAGGCATGATGTGGTTTTCTTTGAGAGGAATGGTCTGAGGCACGGGGAGTTTAGTTTGAAGGTTGATCAGTTAAGTGTGAAGGGGAAGGAGCCAAAAGTTGGATCGGAGAAGCGGTGGGGGTATAAGGTCCGCGAGATGGCTTGGAATGCGGACTCGAATGTTTTGGCGGTTTGGATTGAAGGTGACGATGGCGATGTAGGTATGCTGATACATTCCTTCACTGCAAACTGTTGGCCTAATAAATTTTTAGTTCAATTCTGGACAACAGGTAACTATCACTGGTACCTCAAGCACGAAATCGCCGCCCCGTCCTCCTCCGAACCCGGACGGTTTACTTCCCTGAACTGGCATCCTGAACTCGCTCTTCATCTCATCCTCACAACATCCAGTGCGTTATCGACTCGCACTGAACGTTCTTCGTCTAACTTTGCCTGAATCAGCGCATACCTTGCAACGTGTCTACTCATGGGACACTTTCGTCTCGCCTTCGATGCCACCCAATGATTCAGGAGCTGTCGCTGTGTTCGATGGATGTAGGTAACGAAGAAGTCGCTTCCTGCAACTCTATGCTGATCCGTGATTGTAGCCAGCATCCTCTTGACACCGTTCCGGTCGCAAAACGTCCCTCCGCCCATGTCCTCCTTCCAACTTTCCGTTTCTCCTGAACCTTCTTCGTCCTGGTTCTGTCCAACCTCAACAACGCCAATATATGCTGCATTTGCTGCGGAAGACGACACTCTAGGCATCCTATGGGAGCATGGATACGTCGAGCTCTGGTCGCTACGCATGAAACTCCTACCAGGGCCCGGAAAGATTATGGAGCCTTCCAAAACATGGGCCGGATCAATTGGGGCAGAGACAGATGTACGGTTCAGGCAGCTGGATGTGAAGGCTGTTGGTTCGACGTATGTCCTCACGGCCCTGGGTTTTAGACAGGAGAAGAGCCGCGACGTCCTCTCGACTGTCACCATTTCTGAAGGTTCTGTCTATCAGAGTAGCAGCATTGAACTTCCGTACCGAAACTCGAGGCTTCTGACACCATCAATTTTGAATACCTATCAAGCACCCAGCGGCGAAATTTACGACTGTGAGTACTTGGAAGCTCTAGACTCATCAGGAAAAACGGCCTTACACAGTTGGTGCAGACTCTGAAGAACAACAGATCGCCACTCCAACAGCTCGTTTTCCAGAGTTTTGCGTCCGCGTCCACAAGATCGAGGTGCCGACGCCCGACACCGAATCGACCACATCGCTGCCGCTTTACCTCGGCCTTGCGAAGTCAGGCAAGCTTTACGCCTCCCGCTCAGATGACGAGACTCGGACCGCATCGAACAACGCCACGTCCTTCGCCATCGCGTCTAGCTTCGTCATTTTCACGACGACGACACATGAGGCGACATTCGCGCCGATTGTCTCTCTTCCTAAGCTATTCGAGCAAGCTGAAGGGGCAACAAAGGAGGTCTCAGCCGACTGGCCGGTGCGGAAGGTCGAGAGAGGGTCGAGAATCGTTGTGGCCGTTCCGAGCTCAATGAGCTTGGTGCTGCAGATGCCCAGAGGGAACCTGGAGACGATCAACCCTCGTCCGTTGGTGATGGAGGTGGTCAAGCAGGATCTCGATGCGTGAGTAAAGTAGATACATTTGCTTCTCATCGTTACTGAAAGGGTGGGAGCAGGGGTAACTATCGGAAAGCCTTCTTCGCTTGCCGAAAGCACCGCATAGACCTCAACGTCATAGTCGATCACAACCCAGAGAAGTTTGTAGTCGACATCCCCTCGTTCGTCGACCAGATACCGGAGGTAGACCATCTGAATCTGATGTTGACGCTTATCGGGTACGTCGCTCTCTTCCTCTTTCTTCTCCCTAGTTCTCCCCTCCCTCCGTTGCTGATAGATGGCTCGCTTATTTTATCTAGCCGAGGCACTCACCCGCAAGAGTTCATTGCGAGCCTGTGCAACGCGTTCCGCGACGAGCTCGAGAAACGCGATCTTACGAAATACGTCAACTCGATCCTGACCGCGCACGTCGTCAAGACACCCCCTGACCACGAGGCGGGGCTGGCGCTTCTTCTCCGCTTGCGGGGTAAGCACGCTTCCCATTCATCCCGTCGCAAGGCGTTAATTAACGGATCACTGACCGCCAATCCCTCATCCTCTCCTTCCGTTGTATCCTTCAATTCCTTCTATGTCAATTGGACGGACCTGGCTTCTTTTCTCCTTTGGTCCGTTTGATACCCAGATTCCGACCCCGATGTCGTCGAGGAAGCGGTCAAGTACATCATCTTCCTTGTAGACGCGGATCGGCTGTTCGACACCGCGCTGGGGATGTACGACTTTTCGCTCGTGATCATGATTGCCCAGCATGCGCAGAAGGTGAGTGTGCACTCAGATCTTTTTATCCGGGGTCGTCGAGTAGCCTCGGGGCTTGTATTTTTCTTTCGGCCGTGCTGCGATGTGCACCCGGCGGGATGAGTGCCTGGGCTCGCTCGCGTGGGATGCTCTCACTTCTGTCATCGCCTAAGTTCGGAGGGATGGAAGGAGATGGAGATGACCTCGGAAATGAATATCGGATGATGGTCGTGTTCGTACAACAAGAAAAACATATTGACCATCAGCCTATTTATGTCCCTTTAGGATCCTCGGGAGTACCTGCCCTTCCTCCGCGACTTACGGGCTCTGGGCAAGTATTACCAACGGTTCCGGATAGACGACCACCTGAAACGCCACGAAAGTGCTCTAAGAAATCTGAGTCTTGCCGGCTCGTGTTCTTTCCTTGTATTTTGTTTTCTGTTTCAGCTGACATTTTTGGATAGGACATGAGCGTTTCGAAGAAGCTGTCGCGTACGTCGAACGCCATCGGTTATACGACGTTGCGTTGGGCATATGGAAAGGCAACGAGCAGTATGAGGTGTGTAACAGTCCTAAGCATCGTATGGACATCATGATGACACTATGTGTAGGAGGTACTGAACTCATACGGTGATTACCTCTACGAGAGGAGAGAGTTCAGACAGGCGGCATCAGGTCGGTCATCCAGACCGAGAGTACCATCACCGATGCTGATCCACCTCGTTCGCAGTTTTCATGGAGGCGAAGAGGATCAATAAGGCGATGATGGCACACGAGAAAGCACTCCAGTGGCAAGAGCTCTTTGATCTCGCCGTGCTGGACGACGATACGGATGAAGACGACATTGTCGCTATGGGATATCGTGTCGCAGGTGGGTGTTGGCTCTTTTGAGGGGCAAGCAAGTTTAATCTTTGATGGCAGAGGAGCTGGCATCGAAAAAGCGATACGGTGAAGCAGCTCGGGTTCTGTTGGATTACTCCAAGGACATCCGGGAAGCTGTCATCGCCCTGGTACAGGGCAACTTATTCTCAGAAGCTCGGAGGATAGTACGTTCGCTGGTTTTATTCCTTTTGGCTCTATCCCTGTCCTTCACCATCTTGCCTTTTGATATGGGGTGCTAACGAGTGGTACAGATCAGGTTGAACGTGATTCCAGAGCTGCTGGAGGAGGTGATACATCCTGCCTCGTTGGAAAGTCGTGCACAAATCGCAGAGGACATTGGCGAAATGGGAGAACAGATCCGGAAACAAGTTGGCCGGATACGCGAGCTCCGTGTTAAGAAGGTCGAAGAGCCAGGTAAGCACGACTCCCTTGACATCAGCAGCGTGAAATCGTAGTCCTTGTTTCGTGTTGACGCTGACTATCTCCTTACGTCCTCTCAGACGCCTTCTATGGGCTTGAGGACAATGCGGCCTTGCATAATGTCGACGTCATGACCGATGTATCTATGCCGGCGACGGCGTTTACTCGCTTCACTGTTGCGCCAACCACGGCGTCGCGATCATCACGGTGGGGGAGAAATGTTCTAGCTCATCAAGGGAAAGTGCTAATCACTTGTTTCTTTTCCGTCTTCTTGAAATAGACGTACCTCTCGATCGAAACGGAAGATGGAGAGGAAGGTGGGATCAGGGCGAAAAGGCACGGTAGACGAAGAGGAGTACCTCCTGCGGTCTGTCAGCAAGTTGGTCGACAGGTTTATCACCACGCAAGGTGCGCTTAACCTTTCTGCTGTTTCTGGTTGACCGATTGACTGACGGGTTTCGGCTCTCGTGCCTAGGCGAAGCGCGCAACCTGCTCCCACACCTGTTCCAATTTACGGAGAAGCACCGCGAGGAAGGGTTGGCTTTGCAACGAGAAGTGGGAGAGTTTGAGATCGAGTTGAAGGCTGCCGTCGAGGAGATCTGGGTACGCCCTGAAGAGGAGTCCGAGGCCGCCGTGCCGGAGGGTTGGGCAGCGCGAATAGCGGAGACTGAGAAAGCGAAGCTGGCGAATCCATTGGACAAGGTGCCCAAGCCTGACGCTGGGCAAGGAAAGGACTGGCGGATGAATCTGTACGATATGAAGTGAGGTGTAGTAGTACATTGTAAAGGAAAGAAAGAAAGAGATGATTGTCATCGCGACTTCACGTGATGACAATATTGGCGGCATGGGAGAAAATCGGCGCCGAGATCCCATCTGCCGTCCATAATCAAGACTTGCCTTATTTCTATACTCCGTCGACATCGTCCTCCATTCCTCCACACTCCCTCCCTCCGCCCACACGTTTGTCCTTGTCTTCGTACCACCACCACTCCTAGATGGCCGCACGCGCTGCGCCACAACACTCAGCTACCTCGCTCGCGCGCTATGCAGTCGCTCGCCAGCCTGATGTCGACTTGTTCAATGGAAGCACCTCAAGAGACTACTGCAATTCTTTCTGGGGCTTGAGCGATGCCGGGGCCAACATTATGTTCGCGCGCATGCGAGGGGCCTCTAAGACCACCGACGAGCTCAGAAACTTCTGGAATGAAAGGTACGCCCATCCTTGTCCATCGCACTTTGTAACAAGCACACGATCCGGTCTTCTTGCGACAGATGCTTAATTGAGGAGGAATACGCAGCTAAACTGGCAAAGCTTGCGAAAGCGCCTATCGGCGGCGATGAGATTGGGTGAGTGTGGACACTGTTGCTAGATCTTGCTCTCACTGACAACCGGCGTGACCAGCGAACTCCGCAACTGCCTTGACACTCTCCGAATAGAGACTGAGAAGCAAGCAGAGAGTCACTTGCACCTGGCTCAACAGGTTAGAGACGACCTTGAGGGACCCACAGCGCAGTTCCATCAGAAACAGATCAACCATCGGCGGACTGTGCAGGCGCCACTGGAGCGGAAATTCAAGGAAAAGCAGGTCCAGGAGTCTTACGTCAAGAAATCACGAGAAAAGTACGAAGGCGACTGTATGCGCATCAACTCCTACACCCAGCAAGCGACCTACATGCAAGGCACGGATTTAGCGAAGGTGCAGCAGAAGCTGCAGAGAACGAAACAGACGATGCAAGGGAACGAAAGGGATTTCGCCAAATTTACCAAGGAGCTTTTAGAGCTGCAACCGATTTGGGAAAGAGAATTCAAGGATTTCTGTGATTCGTGCCAGGATATGGAAGAGGAGAGACTAGATTTCATGAAGGACATCCTATGGGCATATGCTAATGCTGTCTCGACGATCTGCGTGGCTGATGATCAGGTGAGTTGTCCGTGCGTTATCATTCGTTTGCATCGTGTATTAAATGATTTCTGCCCAGTCCTGCGAACGTGTTCGTACCGCACTCGACCAACTCGAGCCAGAGAAGGACGTGGAGAACTTTGTGAATGAGTACGGCACAGGGAACGCGATTACCCAGCCCCCAGAATTCGTCCCAACAAATGGCTTGTCAGAACCCCAAATGCCTCCCTCCCCACTTCTCAAAACAGTACAGTTCCCCCGCGTCAGTAATCGTCCACAACAACCATTCCTCCTCGATGGCCAAACTTCAATAGAGCACGCAAACGCGCATCACGTAAACGGAGACGTGCACTCATACAACGACGTAGCATCCGTCATCGACAGCGTCGCCAACATGAGCTACACGAGCAGTCGTGGACAACAATCATCACCTCCTCAGACAAGCCCGCCGAATCATCCCCCTCCGCCCATACCAGAGCCTCAGGTTTCGCTGGCACCAGTCAACACCTCTGTGAACTCAACCTCACGGTCGGCCTCCCCTGCAATACGGAATAACCGAGTATCTCAACCCTTGCCAATGACGCCCGGCACTAATGGACCTGGTCGGTCGCAGACACCGCCGCCGCCGCTCCCCACTCAAACTAGCTCATCCAACGCGAGCACAAACCAAAACAGCGGAAACCGCATCTTGTTCTACGGTGCGTTTCGTATTTCTCCATCTTTCTACCACAAGATGCTAACCTTATCATGCTCGTGGTTTCTCTTTTTCTCTGTTGTGATCTTAGTCAAGGCGCTATATGATTACACCGCGACGATCCAGGAGGAGTTTGATTTCCAAGCAGGGGATGTGATTGCTGTCACTGCGACGCCAGATGATGGGTGGTGGAGCGGAGAACTGCTGGATGAGGCGAGGAGAGAGGAAGGAAGACATGTGTTCCCGAGCAATTTCGTGTGCCTCTTCTAGGCCCGCCCTTCTTTTTTCTTTTCCTTTTTTACTGATCAGGCTTGGGAACGGTGTGTCCTCCAAGTACAGTTAGAAAGATCTATGGTTGTTGTATCTGCTTCGATATACTTCCTTGTCGTTTGTATAACCCATCCACCTTTTTCTTCAGTTTTGTTTTTCTTTTCCTTTCAATTTTCCTAGGGAACCAATGGCACGTCCACTACAGCTGCTTTAATTTATACCGGACAGTTCACAACCTAGCTTTCCCCTCTTTTCCTTCTTCGCTCTTCTCTTTCCCTGAACTATTCAGCCAATGAGCAAGGCTTCCACAAACTCGCGCTAGTCGCCATGTCGATGTATGTGTTTTTCCGTACCACCAACCCCAACGTCATCTCACCTCACTTCAATCCACTCTACCTCCCCTACCACATGTAGCCCACCACATACCTAACCACATACGTAGACATCGGAATTAAAATTTCAACGCACCATGCAGGCGTCATGCGCGGACTTGGTTTTTATTTATTTATTGAAGCCTATGAGGCTAAACACGTAATGGGCGTTCCTCAACACGATGGTCCTCTGCCTCCACATGGAAAATCCGGGTTCTTTTCAGGCCCACCTACGCAATGGGTACGGTTGCCGAGCTGCGTCAGGCAGGATTGCGCGAGTACGACGCGCAGTGATGGATGGTGTCTTCTCCCCAGCTGCCTCAGCCAGACCACATGGACCCCCCGCGACCCTCTCGGGCCTCCCTTCGGTGGCATTGCTCCCCGGGCACGAGGCTTGGCAACGTCGTCTGCCATAAATAGCAAGTGTCGGCGCCGTGCCAAGCCCCCTGCTCATCGTCCGAGGCAGTGACTGGACAAATGAAGCGGAATTATATGTGTATTTTATCAATCGAGGCATAACTCTACCATAACTATAGTAGCTATGATAGCCATAGAATAAAATGTGAAATGAATAAGGAAAGCAGCATTAAAAAGGGACAGAATGAGCGGGACAAAAGACATAAAAATAAGGAATAGGGAATAATACAGGATAACAAGATGCAAAAAATACGGTATCAAGAGAACGGAAGTGGTGGCGCCCACGACGCGATGACGGTATTTAGCGCCGGTGCCGTAAGTGGAGCGGGCTCGCCGCTCGGGCGTGATTGCTGGCCACGTTCTGACGGTGACGGCGTGAATATCGCCTTCAACTCCGAGTCTGGATTTATGGAATTCTCATCGAATGGGTAATCCCACTGAATTAGAAGTATGATCAAGTCGTGTCAATACCTGAAAAATGTTGTATCCCAATTACTTTGCCAGCCCCTACGCGAAGTTCCGATTTAATTTTGGGCAGATTCAAATTCAAGGAAATACCCCCTTCAACATCTGTCTATTAGCGCGGTGATGGTAAGATGGCGGGCGGCGCATTCAGTCTAGTTGATCGTCTTTCCGCGCAGTTGACTGGCGACCCCCACAAAATTTCTGAGGGAGTTTACATTGATCCTCCTCCTCTCGTTTTGTTGGTCATGGACTCCGATGAAGTTTCGAATTCATCCTGTCCAACGATCTCTCCGACGGATCACGGGCTCCCACTTCTGAGCCTTTCGGAAAGGCACTTGCATAATTGTAAACTATTTCATGGAAAATTGACTACCCAAAAAGAAAAGAATAGAAGTATTTGGTGTATTTTCGACGCCAAGAAATTTTGAAATACCCTGGAGTGCCAACATACCCTGCTCGCTGCCTCGGACGATGAGCAGGGGGCTTGGCACGGCGCCGACACTTGCTATTTATGGCAGACGACGTTGCCAAGCCTCGTGCCCGGGGAGCAATGCCACCGAAGGGAGGCCCGAGAGGGTCGCGGGGGGTCCATGTGGTCTGGCTGAGGCAGCTGGGGAGAAGACACCATCCATCACTGCGCGTCGCACTTGTGAAATCCTGCCTGACGCAGCTCGGCAACCGTAGATGGGGCGTTAATTTCGCGCTGCTTTGCCAGAGGTGTTTCCCAAGTTCGTGAGTCTGGGCGCTGGTGCCATCTGCTTGGCCGGAGCGCCCATAGGGTCTCATCACGTGTGTCCCGGCGCCTCGCCCGCGGTCCCTTGGCGCTAAAAATACTTTGGCAAGGTCGGTCCAAGTTGAGTGGCCGAACGATGAATTCGAATAGCTGGTCCCCTCAGGATAAATACCCTGGGCAGTTTAAACTACTGCGGCGGTATTGTTCCCATTGCGGGCGATCGCAACTGATTGTGGCGAGGCACACTGGGTTGTCATTTTTGTGAGTATTTACTGATGAAGACGGCAGCACGGAGGTTAGCGATAAAGGGAAGAATACAATGATCAAAAAGGTCAGACATGACGCGTGTCGCTTGAAAGCTTGACCTGACGAGCCCTCAGCCAAATCGGAACAGAGAGGTGTGCTCCCAAAGACGAAAGATGCGAAAGATGCGACATGTCTACTGAGTCTAATATTCAATAGTGGGTGGCGTGTGTCATTCAATAATCTTATATAACTTTAAGCTAAGAAATGAATGTCCTTGCATGAAAAGAGATAAAGCCTTCAACTTCAAGGCAACTGAGGTCTGTTTCGAAGTTTGTGGTCCAGACACCGGCGTACCGGCCCGCTCCGTGAGAAGATGCCGGCTCCGAGGTACTTACCCAAATTTGAAATATCACTCTTCTTCCGGACCTACCATCCCCTTTTACAAGTTTGCTTCCTGACTCTTTCAAGTTTGCACGTCTTTGATGGGTTTTGGGCAGTCAATCTTAGCCAATGGCGGTTCGTCACACATGTATTATGCCTGAGAGTGCTGCCTCATATGATGCCGGGTTTAGGCGGGTTTCGCCCTTGCGAAGGGGCTCATCAGAGGGCTTAACCGCTGCCCTAACCCGACGTTGATAGCGTTCCGTTACCCAAGCTTAGGTTACAGAGGGGGAGTATGGACCGGGCCTGGAACGCATCCGCGGACCGCGATCTACCGGATCAGCTGAGTGCTGAGTTGCTCCCGGGACCCCGAACTGGTGGGTATTCGTGGGGGGAGGGGCCTGGAGCGTGTGGCGCCACCTGCCACTTTTGGTCGCTCCACGAGGACCGCCATCACCACGCCCGATGACGACGGCCGACCACGTGCACCCTCGCTAAAGCGAGCGCGACTTTGCACGGGACTATCTGTGCGGTCTGGGTCCCCTGGCTCGCTCAGTCGGCCGTCTCCGAAGATAGGGCCGAAAACAGCGTAAACCATGTCTGGGGATTGAACCCAGACTTCAGACTTACTTTAGCGCTACACCTTCGACTGGAAGAAGATCAAGACCTTTTTGTCCATAGACGACGACAAGGACAGTAGAATCGACGGCGTTATATACAGCGTACTTGAATTCCTCGACCGGGATATCAACCCAACCTGCATGGCAAGACGTTGCGATACCGGCGATACCGCGGTCGTTTAATGCTGAATGCGGATGTGATGGCCAAATCGGAAGGCGTTGGAGGAGGACTTGTCTCCCCCGCGTTATTTAGTACAATTGGCGGTGCCCTCCTGGCTGGACCCGATGTTTTTGAGTTTAGAACCTGGTGAATACGCGCCATCACCAGACCCGAGAAAGTTCGTGGACGATCATGTACCCTTGAAGAGTTCTACAGAGTTCTACGCCTCCTTTTTTCACACCTCAGGAAGACGGGAAGGGTGGAGATAAGCTGTCGATTTTCTATCTTCGTTAGCCTTCTGTGAGTCAGCTGTTCGCTGAAAGGGTAGACGATCTATTTTTGCCTTGAGCGCTCTGCCAGAGTTAGTCTTAACATGTCAGGGATGATGAGTTTGAAGGCAGAGAGATTATTTGCAGTGGATTAACTGATGACTGTCATTTAGAGATATCGCACTTTGAATCGGGAAGTGTCTCTACGATACCTCTGAGAGTCTTCGCAACGTTGTCCCATAAGATGAGTGACCGCCGGCCAATCCTCGATTGCACTGGCAATGACTATACGGGGATGACGTTTGCCCCCTTGATCTCTCCACTGACAGGACTCGGTTTGAGCTGTATAATTGCACCGCCCATATCTCTTCGATCATGGATCCATCATATCACGAACTCACCACGTACTGCCTTGAAGGTCACCAGTGTCAGATACACAGATAGTACTTAGTGGGCTCGCCGTCAGCAGTCGCCCAGTGGACGCCCACAACAGCCACCCTGATCATCCTCTCGCTTCCCCGCCCGGCGCACTGCCAGGTTGCTCTTTGCTTCGCTTACGACGAACAGAAATAACCGACCAACTTCTGACAGCACACACCACCACGTCCACTCTCTCCCGTATCTTCTGAATCTGCTATGCTTGATATTCCCAATATAACACCGAAGGCAGCAGGAGAGGCTTCGTCGCACAGCGTCAACCCCGAGACCCCCAGGACCAGCATATCTGCATCACGGTCAAATGCTTGTCGTGAAGCTTCGAATCATTGCCTCTTGAACGACGATGCCGACGACGAACTCCCTTCTTCACCTGCCACCTCGGACTTGGTCTCGGATTTAGACGCCCGTTCGTTCGTGATGGTAGCTCGGGGTTCGAGGAGAGACTTTAGTCAGCTATCAAGAACGCTGAAGGAGAGGATTAGGGTGCTGAAGCATCTGCAGGAGTTCTACAAGCTCAAGTGCGTTTCCGACTTTCGCCCAGCTTTGTCGGCGCTTGCTCATGAATCTTGCATAGGGCTACGTATGAAGAAAGCTTTGCTCGGAACATGAACAAACTGGCAAATGTACGGTTCGGGCATACGGAATCGGGGTTAGTTCATGAAGGTAGATATTTGTAATTCAGAACCACATACTGATATTTCAACTTCAGACAATTGGGTGTCTGTCTGGATACCCTCCTGCAAGAAACCTCGACGCAAGCGCAAAGCCATAGGCAACTGGGGAGGAAGATTCGATATGAGCTATTACCCGAAGTTGGCTCGATGATTCAGAGATGTCAGACTCTGCTTGACGAAGAGGTCATCCCAGCCGAGGTCGACGCCGACAGCGGAGAAGCTTGGAATTCCCTCAATGCGGACGATGATCAATGGGATGACCTTAACCAGGAAATGGCAGAGATGGAGTACAAACGCGGTGACTTCCTCAAGGACACCCTATGGCAGTATGCCAACCTGCTATCTACCGGTTGTGTTTCTGTCGATAAGGTATGAGGATGGTGGTATGCACCACAGCAATGAATCTGACAAGCTGTTTCACTCCAGTCCTGCGAGAGGATACGAGTAGCACTTGAACAGTTCGAACCGATCAAGGAAACCGACTTGAAACCTAGCGAGGAGAAAAATGTCGACATAAAAGCTCCGAGTTCATTCATCGACACTTCTCGTCCTATGCCTGAGCAGACCTCTTCAAATGCAACATCTCCGACAGCAGATGGGACGGAGCACCCCGATGGGAAGAGACCTTTGCTGTGCTCATGCTGTCTTCCTCCAATGCCGGTCCCTGGAGACTTTACTCCGACCATCGTTCCTCCACCTCGCGCCGTGCCTATTCCGCCTCCAAGCCAGATGTTCTACGGTGTGTCTGTTTCATTTGTACAGCTAGCCTACATATCTGACGCCATACCGAATTCGATAGTGAAGGCCCTATATGACTACGTCCCAACCAATGATGTAGAGCTCAGCTTCAAAGCAGGCGACGTTATTTCTGTCACCGCGACGACTGAAGATGGGTGGTGGGCGGGCGAGCACATTGACAAATCCAAGCGGGTGATCGGGAAGTTCCTCTTCCCCTGCAATTTCGTCTACAGGATTCCAGGCCTTATGGATGTTGTCCTGACGTCAACCAACCCAACGGCGTCGACGTCATCCACCGTCAGCGCCGTTAGCGCCGAGTCTAGGGATAGTTCGACTCTCACCCAGTGGCCTTTGTGCCCACGTCCCACAGCGGCCCAAGAATTAAATGGCTCGAAACCATCACGTCTCCTTCCGCAGGAGCGGAGCCGCGTAAAATTCTTTGGTCAGTCCTATCTTTCCTAGGTTTCATCTGAGCGTCTAACTGACCCTTTCTGACTGCAGTGAAGACCGATTTCCCATTTATGGGCGTCGACCCACTCGACCTCTCCTTTGATGCCGGAGACATCATCGCCGTCACTGCGACTCCAGATGACGGGTGGTGGCATGGCGAACCGGTGAATGAGAGCAAGCGGGTAGCTGGGAAGTATGTCTTCCCGAGCAACTTTGTGCACAGGCTGTAGGGAAGCTTCGATTAGATGGATAGATGGTCATCTTTGTGGGTTAGTGATATGGACAGCATTTTCATGATCGCCGTGTAATATGTATGGCACTAATAGGATCTTGTAACTTATCTTATGACCTTGCTATATTTTACGGGCGCTGGCAGCGAGAATAGCACATACTCTCAAGATCGAGTCCAGCGAAAGGACAGAGTGAGTCTTTGGCTGACAATCTCACGTCATCATATAGTATCGTAGTCATACCACGTTGAAACCTCCGAATATAAGTTATGACCGAAAAAACCTGTCAGATTTGTCAAGAAATTACGGAAATTAGGCTCAAAAACACGCAGATCATCAGCAAAGCTAATGACAGTTGCATATACAGCTGCAGTCCATCTCGAGAGTTCAATCGTGTTATGACAGAATCGCCGACGTCTCAGGAGATTTTCTCCCATGCACGGCGTTCGCCAAAGAAAAACAAGTTGACCCACAGTCTGACGAGCTTCCTGTTTCAAGTATTCTTGGAGACCGCAAAGCGGCCATATTACAGTGGGATATGAATGTGCGGGACCTGAAAATGACGTATAGAAATTTCTTCTCTGAATATCTACTGCCTCCTGCACAGAGTGCGCCACACAGTGTGGAGTAGATAGGGGGCTCGGGAGATGCCGGAGTATTTCAGGCGGCGACGCAGTGCCATCAGAGCACTGCCCAAGCTCCAGACCCAAATGACTCTTTCCCGTCTCATCCTGTAATCCTGATATTCAGATTTGATTATGATACTGTCTGAAGAATCTCCTTGATGGTGCCCCACCCACGGAAATCCGCCATAATTTCATCGCGTTTCATGGCAAAATCCTCGACCCAGGCTTCCCGAGTTCTCATCCACAACTTGTTTAACGCCGATGCTACAGGTCTGAAAAGCGGTGCTACGAATACTCTCTTTAAAAGCCCTGGATAGGGACAGAGACTGATTATTCATCATTCTCCCCCCTTACCTCCTACCATAACTGTCATCATCGTCGAAGCTGACCCGGGGTGTCCTGCACCACCATCTTCCTTCCAGCTCATGACCGCCTTCGCAATGGAGTCGACACCCGCCCCTCGTTCGGTGGAGTTTGTCCCCGCCAAGAACCCTGCTATTCGACGAAAATCCCGCCATCTGTACGAGCTCCTCAACCCAAAGAAGCCTGAGGAGACGCTTACTTTCGACACTGGTCAAGTGAAGCAGATCGTGCTCATGGACAAGCGTCTCCGAGAGGAAGGCATCGTACGATCTGTCCCCGCCGGTTACGCAGAGTTTGCTAGTCGGTTTAACCAGTACGCTACCAGACCTGAGCGCTTTGCGACATACAGCTTCGAGAATGGGCGTTATCGGATTTCCAAGGAAGGGAAGCCAATTAGATTGGAGCAATTCCTGATAGACGAGCCTGTGGCCGGGCCCTCGACAGAACGCAAACGCGGAGACTCCAGTTCGAACCCCTTTCGCTCAGACTCGGCGCCGTCTCCTGTTGCAGAGGAAACTGATGAAGACATACAGCTGAATGCACTGTCTACACACATGAACGGAGCATTGGAGACAATGGACGAGCTGACAAAATTCTGGACAAGACGGTGCGTGATCTAGCCTTTCCTCTATTGGTTTCGTTCTGACTTGAAAGTGCTTGCAGAGGTGTCATCGAACATGAATATGCATCTCGTTTAGCTCAGCTAGCCGAGACTCCCATTGGCAAGGACCAACCTAAGTAAGTCTTTGATAACGATTGTCCTGACTGTATCCATGTCTCAATGATATCATTGTCGTATCAGGGAACTGCTCGACGCCATCGACGCATTTCGAATTGAAGCTGCACGACAATCAATGTGTCATCACAAGCTGTCCCAACAACTTGCCATTGATATCGAATCTCGTTACCTCAACTTCCACATGAAACAGCAGAGCCACTGGCGCGACGTGTACGAACCAACAGCGAGATTTCTACGGGAGAAGCCATTAGAATCACCTTTGGAGGAGAGCGGTATTTCGAGACAATGGAGGAGAGAGTACAGGAATCTTCGCCATGATCTTGACGCGATGCGCCTGGACTCGGTCATGGAGAGCCATGGACTCAATCAAGAACCAAGTTCATCTCGAAGGTTCAGCGCCCCGCCCAATCCCCGCAACATGCCTGCGATACACGCCAAAAGCTGGAAAAATCTTCATGATTCATGCGAAAAATTAGAGACAGAACGATATCAGCTCCTCAAAACGACCCTCGGAGTATTTGCTGATGCAATGGCAACAGTCCGCGCTGCTGATGACGAGGTGCGTGGCAAATCGTTCGCGTTTGCTCCCTTGCTGATTTTTTTTACTATACCAGTCTTGTGAGCGCCTGCGCGCGTCGTTCGATCTCTACAACCCCACCGATTCTGTGGAGAGTTTCAGTCAGACATGTAAACTACCACCTGCAGCGATCGAAGAAGCTGTTCCAGAAATCCGCCCTCGACAACCATCGTCTATACCTCGCCCTGTTTCTGTCGCAGTTCCTTATTCGACTGCATCATCAACAGAGGAGGCGCTTCCGGATGGCCATCGACGACAACCGTCATCACTTCAACGATCATTTTCGACATCTATTGCGAAAGTCCTGAGGACGGCCTCTCGGCCTACGCCAGCTTCACCTTCATCGTCGCCACGTCGGTTACCTCTACCTACGCTCCCAATTGGCCCCCGGAAAGGGACCCCTCTCGTCGCTCCTTCAAAGCCCGTCTCTACTCCTCCTCCACCGACAATTTTAATTCGGACGCCTGAACCCCCTGTCCGTTCCGACCTGCAACCTGTCCGTCGACACCAGTCAACCCGGAATCCTAGCTTAGATTTAACGGCAGAGTTACCGATGCCTAAACCATCGCAGCCTTTATACGAGCAACGGCTGAGCAGGGCGTCATTCCGAGGTAGCCCTCTCGACTCTTCAATAATAACAGAAACGCGCTAAATGGGTGTCGATAAGCAGTCTCAAGCTACAGCACCATGCCGTTTATCCGGTTCTACAAATCTGAAGAGTGAAGATCGGCAGGGCTTATCTCTCTACCATGACGGCACCGATGGAATTTCGAGTTGCGTAACTCTTACGGGATTACTGCCACCTGCCTGTTTCGGTGGCGGTATTTTGTCGCGTGCATGTCGATGACACACATAACCTGCCCGAGTGCTTATCGATTGGCCCGAGAAGCTGGCTAATGTTGCGGTCACTGTGGATGGGATGGAATTCTGTGGACAGAAAACGCATGACTGACCTTTCGTGTTGGTGCCTTTCACTTGTATTCTATGTATTGACGCATCGGATCTTTATTATCAGTTCGAGAAGGACACATTGCGACCGTGTTTCGCGACGCGACTTGGATAGCTTGAACTCAACTATTCTCATGTTGTACTATTATCAGGCATTTACACGGTTTTTGTGTATCTATGGTTATGATTGAATGAACTCCGCTCTTGCTAGAACAAAAGGTCGACAAGCACTTCCCCACACGAGAACCCTCCCCATAAAATCGCGAACAGACCGGCCAATGATGTAAGAGGATGGATGAAGGTTTTGTCGGCGAAACTGCAAGCATGGCCGATGCAGCGTGTCTGGTCATGATCGGGGTTATTGAATGGCGCTTGAGCAGCCAGGTCATTTGGTCATGGATGGTTTAGGATGGGAAATCGATACAGTGGAAGGATAGATGAGTGTATGTCCTTGAATGATGCCAAAATAGAGTTGGTTCCTCGTTTATCGTTTGCCGAGACGTGGAATTGTAGGTGGGCCTGAGGTACTTATTGCGGCGGAAATCAATCTTTCCTCTCTTGTCTCCCTTCTTGGTATGCATGCTAGCTTGAACTATTCTTTTCCTTCACGACCCCTCTCGCACGAACTCTCATAACGCCGCCCACTCTGGATGTCAATAACCCAAAAGCTTGCACAATTAAACAGGCCGGACCTGAAAGAAAGGATGGCTGGTCGCCGCCGCCTACCCCGTCCTGACGCGCCGGCCACGCCCTCAACGCCTATCGCGCAACCACCACTCATCCTTACGTATTCTCAATTCCTTGGGCGGTTTGACGCCGATCCACCGTCGCAAAACGGCTCACACCACCCGTCTTTTGGCACAGCAGCCTTTGACTTCGCCTTCGACCCGTACGACTCCGGGCCCAGTCGCGTGCACTCCAGCGCACACCCCGCAGCGCGAGAGCGCGAGTTCGTCATCGAAAGCGGATGGATTAAGGACGTGTTCGGGCGCGACCAATACGTTGGGCACGGCAAGATCGAGGAGGTTGAAGATGACAATGACGCCAGAGTGGCGGCGAGCGTTAACCTCAGTGAGGACCAAGAAGATAATTTCGAGACTCCACGAGGAAAGTCAACCGCCGTCCCATCTTCTTTGCACGCTGGCGATTATGATTTGAATGGTTTTCGAGAAGAGGACATTCCATTAAATTCAACACCCCCTCCTGGGCCACGGCCGAAGAAACTCCCCAGTCTCAAGGCAACGACCACCTCGGAATATCACAGTTGGAAGGCAACCTCAACAACTGCGCCCACTATGGCTGCTCCTGGTCCTGCCAGCGTTTCAGGAGTCGGTCTCGACGAACCGACTGAAGTCGAAATGGTCAGAGAAAATCTAGAGCTGCTTAATTCATCCAAAGAGCATGTCAAATTCATGGGCACAGTACGCCTTTCTTATGTTTCGTATCATGAACCGATCTCACCTCTTTCTCAGTTCTTTCTGTCCAAACTTGCCGATCACCAGCTGAACCAACATATCGACCTTTGTTCGAAGATGGAGGAATCACTTGCATCATTACATGAGACGTTGACACAACGCATACGAATTGGCGCTGAAGAGTGGAATGTGCGGTCACCTTCGTGGCACCAGAAATACTGCAAGCGGTTGGTTTCTCTCCGAACGTGAGTCTCGTCACCCAGTTATCGACAGGGTGTCCCATTGACGGTGTTGATAGCACCCTACAACGACTATCACGCATGGCGCAAGTGATAGAAATCCACTCCCTTCGGCCTCGCCAAAGCAGCGCGATTCTCACTAAATTAGAGCAACACGAGGCAAAGTTGGCAGATTTGGCATCAAAATATAGTGTGCGTCAAACTTTCATCCTGCTATCCTCGTTCTCTATCTTGCCGCATGGATGACTATCTAATAAACGGAACTCTACATAGATTGCCTTCGACAGGCTTAGACTACGACACCTTCACTTCCTGCTCAGCCAGTCTCATAACGAGGCACGGCGGCAGAAGAATGACCAAAAATCACGACTCATGTCCCGGGCGTCGTTCGAACGGCGGTGGAAAGAAGGCAAAACCCTACGCCAGACGCTTCGTATCAACTTCCAGGACTTACGACAAGAGTTTTACAACAACCAACGATCACGACGCCCTACAGCACCATAACCTCTCCCGACCCACATCACTCTTTTCTTGGATAGTGAGCGCTGTACGAAGATGATGATATTTATGACCTCACGACCTTGAATACCCTCCCGTTCTCGAGCTTGGACTGTTTCTAGTGCTCTCACGTTTCCCCTGCCCATCTAATTGGATATCATTATTCCGTCGCTTGCTCTAGGCTGTTAATGCAGTTAGTTATTTGCTTTGGACAATGCACTGTATACCCTGTAGAATACCTCTCAGCACTCTCCACAATACAATCTGCCTGTGTGTGGTGTTTCGTTAGTTGGTGCTTCGATTCTCGAACTTTTGATTGGCCAAAGCCAAGAACCGCGTCCAATCACGTGGTGAGAATATATTTCCTAGACGGTTCCATTTGATGCCGTCGGACATTGCTCTTGGCAGCTCCAGCTTCCACCTCCACCTCTCCTTTCAATTTCTTCGTCCATCTCTATCCATTATGTCGACAGCACATAGGCCAACATGGGACCCGGCGCAGGCCAGGGATGTTAAAGGAGGCTTGCGCCAATTCTCTGTGCGGGACATGGCTGCCCACACGAAGCTGAAATTCCGGTTTGTTCAAAACACAAACGCACTCTTCTAGGAACTTATCACGTATCCGACTTTACCATTCAGGCAAGCTGGTCAGACATCCACGTCGGAAGTTCAGAAGCGCGACCTACGCGCTGAGCTGCTTGCTGCTGAACAAGAAGCCCGGAATAAGAAGCGCAAGGCTGAGGGCCTGCCCCCATTAGAAAACGATGTACCTGCTGCCCCTCTTGACGAGGAAGCGAACAAGCGAAGAAAGCTGCTACAAGAAGCGCTGGAGCTGGACAAGGACGACACAGACGGGGAAGATGAGAAGGAGAAGGACGAGGAGGAAAGGTATGTTTCTCCACTCTACATCTGCAGCAACTTGCTCTGAATCGGCACTGTCTTCCAGCGAGGAAGAATCGGACGACGAGGACGACACGGATGAGCTGCTTCGTGAATTGGAGAAAATTAAACGGGAACGAGCAGCAGAGCAAGAACGGTTAGAACGAGAGCAGTCTGCCGGCGCTGCGGCATCACGAGAGGCAGAAATTGCAACGTCAAACCCGCTCTTGAACCTTGCTGCAGCTCTAGGTCAGCAAACACCTGGACTCGCCACTACTGCGCCTGGTACCTTCCAAGTGAAGAAACGTTGGGACGATGGTTAGTTTAATGGTCTCGACTTGAAGATCTCAGTTACTAAAATACCATTCCCCTTTCCTCAGATTTGATATTCAAAAACCAAGCTATGGACAAGAAACCTGAAGGACAGGGCAACTTTGTGAACGACCTGCTACGGACGGAGTTCCACAAGTGCGCCACAATTGATTTCCTTTCTGGCCTCGATTTTGACTGTCTTCCGCAGGAAATTTATGGCGAAGTTTATCAAGGTAGGTTGCTCATCATCATTTGGTCTAGTCATAATCTCATCTTTGTCTTCGAACAGTAATATATTGTATTTTGGTATACCCAAACGATGTATGCCCGCATTATTCATTGCTCTATTGGGGATCATATATATCTATGTCTGGTCCCATGTCCATCCCTCTGCAGCCCACTCTGGCATATCTGTCGAGAACTCGCCAAGACTTGTCGTATATTTCAGCGCGTGTAGGAAGATGTACAGCATCTCGGGTTTGGGATCAGGGTGCAGTGGAAGATAGCATTCCGGGCAGAATATGTGGTCGGAGTCAGCAGGATCGATAACTTCTGGTGCAGGCTCTGCCAAAGAGACCTTTGCGACAGCTCCTTCCACAGAGAGCTGAGGGGGAGAGTTCATATTGGGATCGACTTGGAATGTCGTCGGAGGCGAGGGAGTCTCTGGTTCCGTGGACTGAGCCCTTGTAGCGTCCGAGGAACACGGTGTTGTGCTTGCTGCAGGAGATGGGCCGACATTGGGGGTGACGGGCATTACTTCCGCCTTCCCACCTCGTCTCCGTCTGTTCTGTGGTGGTGGAGGCTTGATGACGATACTGCTGGGCCTCAGAAGGCCCTTGGCCCGGAAGACGACGTCTCTCCATCTACTCCAATCCTCATCTTCATCCTATTTGCGATGCTTAGATGAAGTGCAAGATTAAACAGATGGCCTGACGCACCTTCATGTTCCTCAACCGTGTAATAACCCCCACAGCCTCTTTCGATAGCGGCACTGGCGACCCCATGCCGATATCCTCTCCTGTTTCTCGGGGTAGTTTCTTTGCAGTTGATCCACCACTTGCGTCTTCAGCCGTTGTTTTCAGTGTTTCGGGGCTGCCTGTTTCTGTCACCATCGCCTGCAGATGGGAAGGAGGGGCTGGGGCTTCTCGTTCATCGCTTGGGACGACGTCGATACCTCCCTTTCCGACATTGTCACCCTTCAGTAAGGTAGTGTCAGTAAAGTTTGGTATTAGTATCGTCAGGGTATCAACGCACCCAGATCTTCTTTTCTGAGTAGACAGGATCGTTTGCGATGGGATAACCAAGGAATTGTAGATGAACCCGAAGTTGATGCGACCGACCAGTGTATGGCTTGCCTGTACCACGCGTCAGCTTGGATCCATTCGTAATGTTAGTTGAGCATACATCTGACTACGCTGCTGTCGGTATTTTCGTCGTAACGGATGAGGTTGAAAACGGTTTTGGCGCTCTGGAACGACTTAGCTATTGCTTGAAGTATCACGGTGAGCTCCAACTGACCTTGCCTTCAGGATGAACGATGTTCAGCCCCATTTGACGATCTACTGTCAATAACGGCTCTTCGCATGTAATCTCTTCACTGAATGGTAGAGTAAACCAAATGTCCAGCGAATGTTGAGAAATGGGCGTACGAGGGGAACTGTCCTTGGACACGAGCAACGTATTCCTTCCGGACTGTGCCAGCCATGAATTCATTTGTTAACTGTCGAGCTCTCTTCGCAGACAATGGGATGATCATCAAGCCGGATGTCAGTCTATCCAGCCTATTCACGGCTATGAGCTGTCAATTTTAAAGCGGTACCAGAAACATGAAATGACGCACGATAGCACTTTTCGTATCCGAAGTCATCGACAAGGATTTCGATGAGCGAGTTGCGATAGTAGCGTCCGGATGCGTGCACGGGCTGAAAACAGAGTTAGTTGGAACCTATGGTCAAAGGCGTCGAGACGAACGAACGATGCTGCCAGGTTTGTTCACCACTATGAATTCGCGCTCGGCATCGTGAAGTAGAACCTTGACTGGCGTTGACGTTACTGGCGGTTCGTGGCGGTGAACAACATTCCTATGGAGTGCGGGTTTGAGAAACAGATATATCGTTGAGATGAACAGAAACTCACTCGACGCGATCTCCGTCTTTGAGTATGGTGTCTGGGCGAGCAATCTTCCCATTTACAGTTGTTACTCCTGACTCTAAAGCATATCTCTAAGAAACAAATCAGCGCTTGAACCGCCTGGGGCACAAATGGCACAACTTACGTAGTATTCCATAGACCGATCCCGGAACTCGGTAGAAACAACCTCTAGCAGCTCCCTTCCGATCCAACGCATTTTCGTCATCGTAGTATAGGGATACCAATACGGCGGTATCTTCTTCAGTCCTTTGACCTCCTTTGGCTTGAATTTGGGCTCTCTTTCTGCCATGATAGTTGACCGGAGGAGATTTGCGATGTTTTGTCGGAACTGCTCGTGAGCAGATACTGGAATGACCGGAAGATGAATTCTGGTTCTTCGTGTCAGATAGCTGAAGCGTCCGACAACGACCATGCAGCTCTACTTGTCTGAGTATTCTGGTTTGCCTGTGTTGGGGTCTTTCAATGAAATTCGACGTGCGTCTAAGCCCTGCAGATCATCGTAAATCAATGCACTACCGAGAGCTGGCTTCGGGATTCAGAACGTACCACCTGCGAGAAGGTGTTGCCAAATTCAATTACAGAATCGAGCTCGATTGGATGCCGCGTCGAGGGAGGGAATAGAGATCCAACCTTGGGCGTTGGTGGTAAAGGTTGACGGTGACTTCAATGTTGACAAAACTTGGCCAATGGCCGGACCGCCCAGGCCGGGACCATCTCTTCCAACTATTCTCGACTCTTGATCATCAAGGCTGGCATACTGTTACCTACTGCTGCCTGCTGAAGTCTCCGATTTCAGAAGAACGCAAGAGCCTCTCTTCTTTGCCCGATCCCATTTTACCTTGGCTGTACGGGTACTCCTTGTATGCGCACTAGGAGTAAGTCAGGAAAACTCGCTCGCAAACGCCTGTTGAAGACTTCTCACATACTGCACACTTAAGTGCACTTTGAATGGCGCTAGTTGGAGTAGTATTCGGTGACAAAGATATGCACAACAGCGGCGGTGGTGTGAGTGCCCATCACCCTTCCAATTCTCAAGCTTGACGCTCGTACTTTGCAGCTGCCAACCACTCACCAACATGCCCCCGGGACTGCAGACTGTGGGAGTTTTTGAAGGGTCCCGCAACGTTTCTCTCGCTAACAGCTCAGTCCATATCGAGGATCGTCTTGAAGCGATCCACCCAGGTGAGTTGAAATGCCTACAACATTCCAACGAGACTTACCGAACGGGTTCGACAGTTAGCTTCAGCATTTGGAAGAGTGTCATCGCACCTAGCGCCTTCCACAACTCAGACGAGAAGTACAACCCGCCGAGATGCCATCCTCGGACTCGTGAAGCCCTCCTCGGGAAAATCATGTCCTGGGTGCGGGGCGAAATTGACACTCAACCCTTGGTGTTTTGGTTGAACGGGCTCGTGGGTGTTGGCAAATCAGCAATGGGACAAACGATTGCGGAGATTTGTGAGCAGGAGGGCCTGCTCCCCGCAAGTTTCTTCTTCTCCCGCTCAAATCTCACGCGAAACAACAGAAATCTCTTCGTCACTACACTGGCCTACCAGATCGCATTGGCTGTCCCCCATGCCCGACGCTGCATTGAGCTGGCGTTCGAGCATGACCCCGTCATCAATACCCAGTCGCTGGAAACTCAGGTCAGGAAACGAGTCATCGAACCCCTCGACATCATCAATCAAGCCAGTGATTCCATTCGGGCATCAGGTGGCCGCCTCATTTTCCTCGTTACTAGCCGTTCTGAGCAAGAGATTGCACTCAAGCTCCACTCAGTTCCCATGGTCCATGGAGGATATCTCAATGTACACCCTCGACGTCTCTTGCGACTCAGACGCTGATATCCAACGCTTTCTCCTGGAAGGGTTTGCCGCCTTGAAGAAAAATCACCCTTTCAAAGCTTTCATACCTTCTTCTTGGCCAGACCCAGAAGATATCGACCTACTGGTGTGGAGAGCTTGTGGCCAGTTTCTATACGCCCACATTGTGCTCGATTACACTTGCAATGTCCAAGCAACCGCTTCACCGATATCCTTAGCTTGCGCATAGGACAGGATAACCCATTCGCGGACCTGGACTCGCTTTACACGTACATCTTTTCCACCATCGCAAATATTGACTCTGTCCTGAAGATACTCGGTTTACAGCTTTTCCCTTTCTTCAGCTCCCAATCTGAAGTGAGCGACATCGTGCGCGATAGGATGGGTCTCAATTTCGAGGACGTTATATTGCTTTTTGGCGACCTTGCGTGGAGGTTGCACACCCGAACACAGGAAGGACAGCATCTTGGAAGATTGCGTTGCAGCACGCTTCTCTCGCCGAGTTCCTGATGGATCAGCGTCGCTCAAGGGAATACTTTATTATCCCAGACCAGAGCCGTACGGAATGGGTGGTCTGGCTCCTACGGAACGACTGGGTGAATGACGAACCTGTTTTGGTCCAGCTACAATGGGCTCTTAGTTGACTGAAGTCTTCCACATCTCAAGAACTGCACGATGCGTTACGAGATTGTCATCTCGGCCTCCTGCTGTTAAAGCCTTATCTACCCTTCTGTAAGCGCATCGGCTCGATCATCTACGACACAATTGGCTTGATCAAAGATATGGTAAGTGCGCATGCTAGGTTATCCGGGCACTCGCTTATGATATTCCTCAACAAAATCTCTAGGCATTCGAAGACGCTGACATACTATATGAATATCAGCGATCTGTGTTCGAATATCAAGTCCGAGGGAGTTTAAGGACCCTTTACTACCCTACCAATATGTTGTTCGCACCGTCACCTTTAGGGAGAGGGTTCTAGGGGAGGGTTGGCCTTCGCATTAAATCTGTCATTTCCGTTTGCGCTGGATTACCAATGGTACCCCAGGACACTCCGAAATGCTTGCAGTGCATCTTGTCACTGAGTCGAGTTGTAGATTATTGTAAATGCTGTCAATTTTTCGTTCAGAAAGGATTGGACAAACACGAAGGAAAGCGCGACGGAATAGGAGCAGAGTACGGTACACATCAACGAGTGTTGCAGATGGAAGGAGGCGGGTGCTCGTCCAAGAAAGCGAAGCAAAGCAGCAGATAACAGCAACGTAGATCTAGAGGAGATGTAGCGGGAAAGTATAATACAGCTAATGGACCAAGAAAACCAACGAGGGATAATAAGGGGATGTGAAGGCTGCCGACGCATATAGGATGCTTGCCGGATTGGTCTACGTGGAGCCAGAGCACCAAGTAAACAGGTGGAAGCAGAGGACGTAGCTGGCAAAACCAGCTAATTTCTTCAAAATTGCAGCACAGGCCCGCTGTACATGTCATGTTAGATGAGATCGATCCTGGAAGAAGAAAGGCCTACGTACTCTGTAAAAGCCTTTTTCTTCCTGAACCTCCGACTCAACTATTGAAACGCTGAAAGTATCAAAATCGATCGTGCTAACAGTCTGGCTGAAGGTCAGACAGAATTCAAGGACTGAAAGACTGAAACTTGCTTCGACTTTGTCCGCGTTGTACACAAAGGAGATGTTAGGGCGAAAATCTTCTGTTTTCTGCGACAAAACGTTGTCAGCGCTGCAAAAAGTCAACAAGAAAGCGGATCTACCGAGTATTCCATGTAGCCCGAAGGTGAAGAGAGCGAGTCGATGGTTAAAACCTCCCCACAGTACCTTGCCATTTCAACGAAGAACGACGATCCTGGGCTGGCAGTTTTGGTAAACAACACGTCGATACTTATAGGCGACAACCAACACCCAGAGGGCCAACAAGGTACAGAGGAAGTGAAAAGCGACCGTGGCGGGCAGAGAAATAGGTGGTGTTGTGTTGAGGTGGAAGAAGGGGAGAAGCAAGGCCCTGAGCATCTTTTAAGGCCAGACTTCGAGTTTTCGGGAGGAAAGAGAATCCCCGTTCCTAAATCCAGCAACGCGCATCAGTACAATGACAGGAGATTGTCACCCAAACACTAACTTACCCCATCCTGCTTCTCCGTCCTGCATCGCCGTCCACTGCTCCTGGAAGTCCCTACATATCCTGACCCAGCTCATGAGACCACGAAAACACCAGTTCGACTTCGATTATTGTCGTACAGAACTGCTGAAGATGGCGAGAATCGTCTGGGAACGAATCGGTGTCATTGGCTTGGGTGATCGAAGGGCGCTCTGGGTTGGCTGATGGTATGTTGGTCTCAGTTTTCCTCTTCACCCTCGTTCAGAGACTTGAAGCCGTGGATCGTTCTTCACATCTTCACGAGATCACTTAGGGGTACTGTCAGGGACTCTGCGGAGAGTCCGAGTCCGAGACTTGCAACACTCCCTCGTGGCGACTTGGTTTCTTGTCCCGACAATGAACGATGGAAGGTCGGCGAATTATCCCTGCTGCAACACGTTAGCGATTTGGAAACCAGGACTCCCCTCTCCTCCGCACGTTCTGACGTCGCCAACGGGAACTGGTGCCGCGGGAGAGTGCACACAACACCCTTGCGTCCACCGGGTCCAACAATTGTCGAACCCTGGAAAATTTCCCCAGAGGCGTGGCCAAAGCCTTATCCTGACTGCTCATCCTCCTTTCAACTTCCAGAGGATGCCCTGAGACCTCAGCGCTGAGACTAGCACTGATCGTTTTCCTTGCTGGACCGGCTGCCTAGTCCAAATCCTGGCGCCAAAAATTGCGTGCACTTCCAAATTCCCGAGCATCCTGGGGGCTTCTGATGCTTTGCCTGCAATCCACCACTCCTAACCCCCATATTTCTCCCGATCCTATCCCTCTTGACAATGAGTCGCCTCGTCCTCTGAAGCGCAAGGGTGACGTCACTGTCACAAACGAGTCACGGAGAAAAGGCGGACACGACGCAGAGTGAGTCATCTTCAAGCCTTGTTCCCAACCATCATGTATAAAAATGCTCATGTCTGTTGAGCAGATTCTGTGTGCGTCGAACGTGTTCCCAGACCAGTGTGCTTCAAGAGAATCAAGGCCGCAAGATCGCGGAAAGGCGAAAGGAATCAAGCAGGCAAGACTGCCCCCTGGAGAGATATCAGCAACACTGCAACAACTCAAGATGCAGGAAGATAATCTCTTTGAAAAGAGGATGTCCTAGAGCCCGAATCCGGAACTCGTCCACTGGCTGAACCAACCCGGAGGCAAAGGGCCTGAAGAAAAGTGATCGAACAACTGTCGACTCACCTGAGGAACTCGAAATCCGCTGGCGACCCAACATTTAAAGGTCATGTCTTGAGTGATCCATACTTCTGGGCGATCGTCCGAAAAGGATGAGATTTTTTTGCGGTGATACCACGATGCAACTTCCAAGAGGCATAAACCGTCCTTGTGATGAGGCTGGAAGTCCTTGAGGACCAGAGAGGACTGAAAATGACTTCCAGGAAGGTTGTACTGGTCCCTAGCTGCTTGTCGAGCAAGTAGGAGCTGAATAGACGAGTCTCGTTGGGACGACAGCCATGATGATGATGGTGCACTGAAGATGTTGTCGCCCGCGGCCATTTTGAGTGGCACGGTTGAAAAATGTCCAGTGTGTGGCCAATGTGCCGTCGAAAATGCAAAGCGTCCATTGAAGATTGCGAAAGATTTTTGTTGGACTCCTATTGATTGCTCGAACCTGGCGTTGTCGAGGCCACAAAAAACCGGATGACCAGAAAAATGGGATCGAGAACTGGCTTGGGGTGACGTTGGCTCCGTATATGCGGCGAAGGTAGAAGAAAAGAGGACGTACTGTGCGCCAGTTTGCTCAAATTTTCTCCCCAAAACCAACCTCACTAAACGCTCTCGCAGAAACCACCCCCACAACCATGGCCCCCAGAGAACGCACGGACACCAGTATATTCAGTCTGTGGACTTCTCTGGTCGCCTTCACTGATGTTGCTTGACGTCGAATCGAAGAAGTGCGAGTCCAAGAGTACGACCGCTTTATTTCGGGACGTTCTCCAGCTGAAGGTTGATCCTAAGGTAGGTCTCAGGCGCATTGTCGCAGGAATAAATGTAGTAAGTGCATCTCCGTGATAGTATGCAGTGGAAGTGCTGAACGACCGTTGAAGAGTGTGGAAGCATGGGCGCAAAGGCCACAGACCCTGATCAAGTTGCAATTTCAACAACCGAAAACGAAAAAAGCGGAAGTAAATTGGGAAATTTGCCCCTAAATCATCCCAACCTCGAAACCTCAATTGTTACCGTTGCTTTTACTCGCAAGACTCGCTATTTCTTGAAAATGCTACTAGGATATCAGAAACTATCAGAAATCTGCGTATCTTCCCTCCACTGCCATCCGGCTCCGTCCTCCGACAAGAACGTCGAGCCACACGCTCCTATGTATCTCTCGCGGCTCCTATCTCTCGCGGCTCCGCAGACGACCTTTGAGCTGACAATGGTGCAGAACAACAGGTCAATTTTCATTCCTTCAAGACACCTCTGCCATGCGTTGTAGTACTCCTCCCCGCTTCTAGCCAGGTTCGACGGTCGTATCAAGGCAGATTTCGCAATTTTTGAGCAATTCTGGTAAGGAATGTCAACAGTCTATTCGACAATCCGCGGCCGACAGATCTACAGCTTTTCACCAGTTTCATTCTGACGAACATTCGTATTCATCCTCATTTCGGTCCTGCCTCGTCCTTGAAGTCTAAGCTGTTCGTGGCTGCAGACAGTCCTTCGAAGCAGGAAAGACAAATCATGAGTTTAGTACTACTGGGCTACTAGTACAGATAGAATAGTACATGTTATATATGCCAGGCTGGCCAGTGGGCGCACGACGGCAAATTACAGAGATTCCTAGAGAGTGTACCTATAACCACTCCATTTATCGCCTTTGCGTCGTTTCGCCTCCTCAATAGTCGCATAGCGGCCATTCTTCTCATTCTTTGCGTCGTGTGTCTCTGGTTGATTCTCAATAACTTCATCTCGCTCTCCTCGGTCGCGGACTGCATTCTCGCGCTTCAAAAAGAGGAGATACGAAGTCGAGGCGATAATCCCGATGCCAATGTACATCAAGACGAGACCTGTGTATCTGATAAGCGAAAACGAGCGGACAGGAAGGAGAAACGCAGATCCTACCATGTCCGAGAATGTACCAGGGCCTGTCGTTGGCACGATACTGAGACAAAAAGTCAGACTGAAGAAAGAATCAAATGAGGAGATCAAATCACTTACGACATTGGAGCTTACGGCACCGTTGATGTTTCCACTATTCGACAAACATACACAATCGTTTAGCAAGGAGGCGGTAAAACTCGGAAAAGTGCTGACAAGCTGATGACCATTGCCAACGAAACGCTACGCTTGTAAGACCCTTCGACGTTGTTCGACACCCACGAACTACGAAAGGGATGAATGAGCAGGTGTCTGATGCGCCAAGTGGAAGAGCGTACATCGTATTAGCTGAAGTTGGGTCCAGAGACCGAATCAATATCTTTCTGTGCCACACAAAAGGACTCCTATACTCACGAATGACTGGATATATTCCACTAGTGAAAAGCAAGTAAGCGACACTCTAAAACATGAAATCTCCGAAGGTCGTTACCAAGTGGCCATGTACACGGCGAAATATGAAAGGGCTGCGCTTCTCGACGAGATCAAGATAATGTAGCCAGCAGCGCCTAAATCGAGGGTCAGCGACAAATGGTGTTCATCTGGAGAAACTTTTACCAATGAATAAGAACCCGCTATGAAAAAGGGTATTGTCATTAAGTCCCATCCACTTTTGAAGTGAGCAGACAAGCACTCACATATTGAAGTATCCCCGGCGACCCAACCTATCTGCGATGAAGCCAACACCGCAAGTAATGATGCAAGCAAAGGTATAAACAGGAACGGTCAAAAGGTTCGCTGGCGTGGCCGTGTAACCTGATGAGTTCGGTAAGGAACAGCCAACAAGAAAACAGGAGATTTATTGTACCCAGCTGTTAAGAGATGTCAGTCCGCCGTGCCCTAGAGCGAAGAAAATAAGTGACATACCTCATTGATAATCGTCGGCAAGAAGAGGGAGAATGCATAGAGCGGCATATCGCAGCCTATGTAGATGCACACTAATCATCCAACATAATACTCAGCTCAAGGGGCCAAACATCAAAGAACGCAGACGGCTCACTTCCAATCCAGGTCTTCCAGTCCGTCAAGCTCTTCAAGATGTACTGGAATCTGAAATTCTCCCCAGCAGCGCTGAACTGGTCATCGCCTTGTAGTCGGCGAATGACGACGGTGCGCTCCGCCTCTGAAAGGAACTTGGCAGTATCCGGGAAGTCTTGAATGATCCAGAAGGATGCTACTCCGGCTACGACTGTAGCGAGGCCTTCGAGGACTATGCGAGTGCGTATTGAGCCTACGATTGGCTGGCGAGAGGACGTGAAGGGCTTACTGAAGATCCATGCCCATGCTGGTTTGCCCCCAACTCCTTCCATCTTTGAGATTGCGGCCTGACAGGTCAGCGTAAATGTTTTGAACAGGCGAATGATATGACTCCAGACGCTTACCGCAAGAAGTCCACCAAAGGCGCCTGATACTGTCGCGGCGGAGAAGAAGATCGCTGCGCGGAGTCCGAACTCGGAGCGTTTGTACCAACTCAAGAGCCATCTTAGAGGAGTGTCGCCTTGACATATGATGAACTTACCATGAGAGATAGTAGTTGACTCCTGGGAATAATCCTGCTTCGAACATCCCGAGCAGCCATCGCATAGCTTGAAAGAAGATATTGTAGGACCCCTGTAAGTATAGAATCATAGAACATACCCATAAGCTGCGGGAAGTTGCGAACGATACCTTGGAGTGTCTGCAAAGAGATAAAGCGAATCAGGTTTGTTTCTGTGATAAATGACGACGCGTACCATCATGACACCCCAGAACAGCATCAAGAAAGACAGCCAAAGGGATGGCCTAAGACGTTTCAGAAAGACATTGGACGGTACTTCGAAGATTGCGTAGCTGAAGAAGAAAATCTATTCAAATTCATTAGTGAATGGGATTGGCTTCATCAAGGATTTTCAACCGTGAGAGTCAATAGGTATTGCCTATCAGTCATGTTGAGGTCGCGTTCGAGGTGATACAACTGAGGGCGGGCGAATTATTTCCGCTGTTTGCGTCATGGACCGAACATTCCCCTCACCTTGGCGCTGTTCAATTGCAACAATCAACAAACGCCCACAGGTGCCATATCAAGAAAGTAGCTTACTTTCCGATGCTAGTACGATCGAGGAAACTGAGAAGGTATAGGAACGACAGCCATGGGATGAGAGCGTAGTCGATCTTCCGAATTAGCTTTTTCTCGTCGACTCCGCTAACATCCAAGCCAGCATTGTAGACTTGAACTTTCACATCGTCCTTCTCGTGGGCATCGACGGACTTTTCGGTGTCGGAGACGGTGGGAGACGGATTTCGCTTCTCCATAATTCAGTGTCGACGCCGAAACGAACGATGAAGTCCTCGCTGGCCCGTGGTGGGGAAGAGGAACCGTGGCTCCTAGGTCAACTGATGTTCGATGTCAGGCGGGGTATTTTAGAGTGTGCCGAAGTGACCAAGCATGGCGATATACGCCTTTGGTAAGCTTTTCAGGTAGAAGATGGAGCCGTATGGTCGCGAGAAGAGCATCAACCCGACTCCAAGAAGATCCATCGTACCCACGAGAAGGACAGTCCCCTTCGAACTACCCCAAGGCGAAAGATGACTTCAAGATTGGTGCAGGGGTCTGCGCTTTCGTCGTTCTGTCGAGCTCATAGTCTTCCTAAAATAAATTCGAATAGACACCATAACAACAGAGCAACGAACCGAAATCAGCAAATAATAGACGGCATTCTCGGAAAGCGAGGTGGGAATCCTTTACATCTTCTAAATGGCAGGAGCTATTTTTAGACTTTGCGATGTGTCCCTCATCACATGTCGTGGGGCCCCACACAGAGCCAAGGAGATGATTCAGATCTATGAGACTGACTCTTTGATTACCCAGGACTTGTCGACTAGTTAGGGAGGGAATGTTGCGAGAAGGTTTGAAGGAAGCGTGCAGATGGTAGACATTGACAAAATGGACAGCTGTGGGAAACTTCTGACTCATCACAGCATCACGTGCATCACTTCCTCGAATTGCCGGTCTGATTTCTCCGTCCAACCTGAGTTTGACATCTGCTATCCCCACCTTTCTTTTCGATATCTTGTACATAGGGCTCCTCAAACTTCATTTCAAGAAGCAAAATTAGTCGAAAACATTTTTCAGGCCCCTAGGCGGACGCCAATCGGAGCTGCTAGTGACACAAGTTGCTTACACTACCGTAAGTTGGCACTACATATATTGTTGACGCGTTTTTCATTCATCCGTCATGACGTTCCGAAGTTAACCTCGCAGGACCGAGGTGAACGCATTCAAAGCTCTCTGCTGTCTTCGCTTTAGTGACTCTTGCCAAGACCATTCTGGGATGGCGGCCCTCGGCCCCTTCCTTCGATCGAGACCACGAGACGCCATAGCGGGGAAACATACTCATGATGGATTGATTTGCATTCGGATTCTGTCTGCACTGCATGACATGCACAAAGTACGACGTCGACCAGCTCTATATTTTCACCTTTCGATCCCGCGAGTGGATGGCTCGTCAGCGTAATGAACACGAATCCGGAGATTGCCTTCCACGCGACGTTGTTCAAGCAGCAGCAGATGAACTGCAGCGCGGTACTTTTGACCGCCGTATGGCGCAGGTGTACTGAACATCGACCCCGTCACGGGTCAGCTTCGGTAATGACGACCTGCAAAACTCTACGCCGTCGTTCAGTTCGATGTTTTTCCATTTGCAGCTACCCCTTGTTCGCTGCATGCATCGGTACAAGTCCGGACGAAGGTCGGTGTACCTGTGGGTACTATTTAAGGTCGCAAGGAGCACATGAAGTGAGAGTCTCTCCTATTTTCTGTCGGCACCTCTTCACTTTCGTCGAAATGAAAGTATTGAACTCGCTCGTGGCTCTTGTGTTCTGTGCTATTGCCAACGCACAGCAGTCTGCGTGGGGTGCGTCCAAGCATTATTCTTCCAACCCACCTGGATTGAATTTGGGTGGCTAGGTCAATGTGGAGGGAATGGATGGACTGGTCCTACGACCTGCGTATCTGGATATGTGTGCACTGTTCAGAATGCCTGGTACTCCCAGGTGAGCTTTCTTCTCGTCTTCTTTAAACACGAGATGGCTGAAGTTGGTGTTTAACGCTACAGTGTATCCCCGGTTCCGCACCACCGCCAGCGACAACCGCGCCACCTACCACCACTTCTCAGCCTCCTCCTCCACCTCCCACAACCACGACAGCGGCACCGACATCGACCCCCACCAGCGGAGGAATCGAGATACCATACGGCACCCTTGTTACTCAATGTACGGTGCCAGGCACGATTGCTATTACTTTCGACGATGGTCCGTATACGTGGACGTCGTCTTTGATGTGAGAAGCGAAACACACCCTGTTGTCGCCTTCATTGGCTTAACCATTTTATTTAGTGATTCATTGAATGCGGCTGGAGTCAAGGCGACCTTCTTCATGTGCGGCAGGTTCTACGGCTGCATCTACGACTATGCCGATGTTGTCAAGAAGTAAGACCGTTGCATTCATATTGATTGGACACCGTAGCTTACATGTCTTCCTCTCTTTCAGAGCTTACAACAGCGGTCATCAAATCGCCTCTCATACCTGGTCTCATGCCGACCTCACAGGCCAAAGCGCCTCTGGCGTCCAGAACGAAGTTTCCAGACTCGAAACCGCCTTTCAGAAGATTCTCGGCATCAAGCCCAAGTGGCTGCGTCCCCCCTATGGGTCGCAGAACGCGAACATGCTCAACACGCTCAGAGGCCTCAATTACAAAATCGTTACCTGGAACTTTGACTCTCAGGATTGGAACGGTCAGGCTCTCGACAACATCTGGGTAACTTTCCAGCTAATTTAGATCGTTCTGCGACTAGGCGCTTCGGTAGCACAGTCCCAGGCAAGATTTAACGCTCTCGGTGCTGACCCCAGGATTATTCCCCTCGAGCACGACGCGCTTCAGAGCACAGCTCAACAGCTTGGACCTTGGATCGCCACCTGGGCGAAGAACAAGGGTCTCCAAGCTGTGACCCTCTCCGAGTGCCTGGGAGAGCCCATCCCAGGGGGACAGTACGAGTTGGTGGGCGGTGCTGGTCCTAAAGACTCTACTTGGGTCTGTTAGATGCAGCGACGGTGGTGACGAGATTTGATCACGCTGAAGGTGGGTCGCTACGGGACGGTGGCTGGCTGGCTGTAGACCCAAAGCGACATCTTTTAGTGGAGTCGAATCAGAAAGGGCCTGCGGTCAGAGTATTTTTGGGTGGCGCTGTTACGAGCCTAGGGTTATATTCGTAAGCACAATTGAGAATTGAGAATTTCAAGTCCATGCTCTCATTCAAGAATATTTCTTGAATATGGCCGGGCCTTGTTTGAATGATGTAACCTACGTGGATGCAAAGGACGACCTGAAAGATCCTGCCGAGAGGATTTCAGTCGTGGTCCCACCGGCACCAACAAGTCCAAACAAGCGCCCCATTTCCTCAACCACAGGCAAATTCAATTTGTGGTATGTAACCGACCTTCTTGGACAATTCTTTAGAAAAAGCAAGCCCGGAACTGGCGACTTGCAACTTAGAGTCACTTTGGTTGGCGTCTAGGTTTTTCTCTACCTAGACGTGTAAAACCTGAGAATATATTCCGCCTTCCAAGCGGCGTCTCAGAGAAAAGGTAATAGTTAGTTAAGGAAGGGCTATGAGTAATGCTCCAGCAGATAAGTTTCTAGGAATGGCTTGTTTTCTTATATCTCGTTCAATCGCATGAAATCCGGATCTCCCTCTTTGGTCTCTGAACCGTAAAGATTGGTTCCGTCTGCCTTCACTCCGCAGCGAGTGACATACATATACAATCATGGATCTGATAAACTTGGGTCCGACAAAACGGACTTTTCATTCGATCCTTTGATGTTCGGGTAGGAAAAAATCAAACTTCACCGGACCGTACGCGTGAACCATGAATGGAAGCATGAGATAAAACCTCGGATAGCCACAACGAAAAGCCATAGAACATTATCGTCATCTTTGATTCTCGGGCCCCGGACTGACAATTCATTCAAGTAACAAGTCTATCATTGATCTGGAGACTAAAGGAATTGGCATACCGGAACGAAAGAACCAAGAATCAGGAGTCCGAATTGATTTCGACTGCTAAATACTCCAACGATGGAAAAAGTAGCCAGCTGCGGAATAGGCTAGATCGTGTGGTACGTAACCCTTGGTCGGGACCGACTTGACAATGATACTTGCACTCCGCAGTTCTCAAGCTGCTACGATTGTCTATATTGAAAGGATGCACTGAAGTTCGCAGACCTCTGTCCGACGTCTCGCTGCTTCGATGGGGCTGATAGTGCGCGCTCCTAGGTCGCCGTTGTCATGATAATTTTTATTCAGATTGCTCCATCGTTAAAAGCGAAATTTACTTGAGGGCCATTAACGCTCGCTTTCGAGTCTTCAGCATTTGCGTACTTGGCCCCATAGAGCGCTAATCGAAATATTTACGTTGGGTCAATGTTAGCCAGCTGTCGGGCCGTGGGTAACCGGACTTGATTTTGTCGTGGTTGCCAAGAGCGTCTAATAGCGTCGCCTTGGCGCTCCAACGGTTCACCAACATATGTCAAGTTATCGACACCGCTAGACTCTCATCAGAGGATGAAGGGGTGGGCCATTTGTTTGGCGAGTCAACGAGAGCAAAAACTCACGATCATCGACTCCTCCAGGTCCTCGTCTCAGCATCCAAGGATCGACGAAGCAACACTGGGGGGCGATGTCATTTGACATTGCGAACTCGTGCTCACTGGCCACTTCTCAACACCCATGGCGACGAATGAAATTATCGCAGTCGGTATCTCCATCGTTGGACTCTAACGCTTGAGCCGATTCTGCTGATTTCGACCGTCAAAATGTCGCGCTCTCGGAGGCTCTCGGGAACATCAGGAGTCGCCATCGGACACGACACTTTAATATCTCCCATCGCATCCACAACTTTGGACAGAAACACCGGACTAGAACAGGACTGATAGTCGGGCCTACTGCGCCGGTTGATTCTTCAGGCCTCAGGGTTCACGCGTCACGGCCGAAGAGCGATAAATCGGTCGTCGGTATAGGCACAACCAAGTTCGTATAGCGCGACCTTTCTGGAGTATACCTTGGGTTTTAGCAGTGTGTACCACTTCACGACCAGTAAGTCGACATGCATGTATATGCTGTTGCATATGTTGACAAAGGTTAGCAACAGGATGGTAGTCGTTTAGACTTTACTGACGCTTTTCGACGTCCAGCCTTCAACTCCTTCAAGTTATATGTCGTTCTTGTCCATAGGGATTGAGTCTGTGCTAAGATGAAGTTTTACACGAATTTGGACAGCCTCAAGGACAAGAAATATGCCATCAAAGACTTCAATTCTCCACGCAATAGTCTACTCTAAACATTCAAGCATTAGTCTGATTGGGGTATCTACGGTACTGTACTCTGCATGTCCTAGGCGCTCGTCATTGCCATCTCAACGCAGCAAGCAGATTACGACGTACCGTTCATTCTTGGTGCTTAGTTACTAGTGGGAGTAGCAGACGCGCTGATGCTCGAGCCTTGACTAACGGGAAGGTGAGCTGTCTGATATATGCTGCGTCCAAGGAATATAGCTTACGTCCAGGTGAAAGTAGTCGTCCTTTCGACCAAGAAGGGAGACTGGCTAATGATTGTGTGGAAGACCTTCGTGCCAGTGAAGACCGGGGGTTTAGGTTCCTGCCTGAGGTCCAACTATGTCATGAAAATGGTGAGACGAATTACAACTTCCACAGAATGGAAACTTACTGCAACGACTGCCAGGACGTTGACGGCGGCGAAGGCGAGGGTCTTGAATTGCATGGTGATAAAAGATGGACTGGGGCGAAATTCGTAAAAAGTTGGGAAGTCGACGCTTCGCGAACTCAAGAGTTTAAATCACTAAATGCAGGGCTTGGGGTAGCTTGGGGTGCGTCATATCGCCCGGAAACATAGCCGTATCCGTCCACCAACCGTGCTTTGATAGGCTACCGTGATCTCGCGGGAATATTGCGAACGCAGCACTTTTGGCTCTTTTCCGCAGTTCCGTGATCGCGCGCTTCGTTGCGACGTTCCTGGCGCTCAAATGCCTCCCGAAAGGGAGATCATCGCCAACATAGATGAATTTCTGGCTTCCTCTGATTCTTTCTGTACCGGTTTTTGGAAGTCCCTGCATTCAAGGTGGGTTCGATCTCTCTCTCACGCCCGTGCTTCTCGAGATGCTCCAGATGGACACGACTGCGGGCGGTATCGCGAAGGTCGGGGCGTTCCTGGAACGGCAAACGAGGCTCATAGATTCCCGAACGAGAGAAACACCCATCCATCGCAAGGGTACCGAACTTATCATCGTGTAGAGACATCGAACCGAGATATAAAGGCTCTCTCTGCAAACCTGAACCCCAACATTTCCCCTTCGTCCATTCGTTCAAAGTCGAACCCGATGCGTTCTTTTTTAAGCTTCGTCTGTCTTTCCGTGATTGCCAGCGCCTACGGCGCGATTGGCCCCGTCGCAAATTTGCACATCGCCAACGCGGACGTTGCGCCTGACGGCTTTACACGATCGTGAGTCCTCGTGCTTGTTCCCTGTCTCTCAAAATCTAATCACCACCTATGCAGTGGCGTCCTGGCCGGTGCCGACGCTAGTTCACTTGTGTTCCCTGGCCCAGTTATCACTGCTAACAAGGTACGGGAAAGCAGCCTTACTGGAATTTACTGGCTATTAACTTCATGGACCATAGGGCGATACTTTCCAGTTGAACGTTATCGATGCATTAACCGATACGACCATGTTGACGAGCACCTCAATCGTATGTTATATTCCGTTCATCTCATTGCTGTCCTGACAATCTTTCATAGCACTGGCATGGATTCTTCCAAAGCGGAAGCAGCTGGGCTGATGGTCCCGCTGGGGTGACCCAATGCCCCATCTCCCCCGGAAACTCATTCCTCTACGAGTTCGCCGCTGGCGACCAAGCTGGCACGTTCTGGTACCATTCCCATGACTGTAAGCCGTTTTCCTGAATGTAGGGGCTGAATATAATGCGTTGGTCTCTAGCGACGCAATATTGTGATGGCTTGCGAGGTGTTATGGTTGTCTACGACCCTGACGACCCGCACAAGAGCCTGTAAGTTGACCACCTACATACGGGCAACACAGCTGGGTATTTACTTTTTTCAACAGCTACGATGTCGACGACGAGTCCACGATCATTACTCTCGCCGACTGGTACCACACCGTCGCTCCATCTGCGGGACTCGTCCCAACTCCGGATGCCACTCTCATCAACGGTGTCGGGCGTGCTGCTGGCGGTGACACTGTTGCCCTTGCCGTCATAACCGTAGAGTCCCAGAAGAGGTACAGGTTCCGCCTCGTGTCGACTTCGTGCGACCCCAACTACACGTTCTCGATTGACGGACATACCTTGGTAAGCGATCACGTTTGGATTCGACACAATTTCGAAAGCTCACGCTCCTTTGTCAGACCATCATCGAAGTCGATGCAGTCAACACCCAGCCCCTCGAGGTCGACTCGATCCAGATATTCGCCGGCCAGCGCTACTCCTTCATCCTCAACGCCAACCAAGCCGTCTCCAACTACTGGATCCGCGCGAACCCGAACGTCGGCACGACTGGGTTTGATGGCGGGATCAATTCTGCCATTTTGAGATATTCTGGCGCAGAGGCCGTTGATCCGGAGACGACGTCATCGACAAGCAACGCGCTGCTTGAGCAGAATCTCGTCCCGCTCTCTGGCGCTGCTGCTCCAGGCACTGCGGGTGTTGGCAATGCGGATGTCAACATCAACCTCGACATGGCATTCAGCTTCGCTGATCTCAAGTTCACTGTTAACGGTGCTACGTTCTTGCCCCCGACTGTGCCCGTCCTGCTTCAGATCATGAGTGGCGCGCTGACTGCTGCTGACTTGTTGCCCGCCGGTTCCCTCTATGTCTTGCCAGCCAACAGTGTCGTCGAGCTCTCGATGCCTGGAGGATCTGTTGGAAGCCCTCACCCCATCCATCTCCATGGCGTGAGTATCAGTTCTCCCCGGATCGACTACTTCGCGTCTTATGCTCAATCGTCGTTGTCTCTAGCACACCTTCGACGTCGTTCGCAGCGCCGGAAGCAGCACCTACAACTACGACAACCCCATCAAGCGCGACGTCGTCAGTATTGGCGAGACCGGTGACAATGTCACGATCCGCTTCACCACCGACAATGCTGGCCCATGGATCATGCATTGCCACATCGACTGGCATTTAGAGCTGTACGTAATTTACACTATATGCACCTTTTATCCTCTGACGTTTCCTTCGCTTCGCAGCGGCCTCTCTGTTGTCTTCGCTGAGGACGTTGAAACTGTAGCTACCACCACGCCTCCTGGTACGTACACAATATCCGTCATTTCTCCCCTTGCACTCACCTCTGCTCCTCTAGTTGCTTGGGATTCGCTCTGCCCTATCTATAACGAGGCCTTCGGAACCTCGACCGAGCGCCGCCGCAGGCGCGAAGTTAAATTCTAATTTATATTGACTGGATCTGGCCCTACTAAGCGCTCCACAACGGCGCATACACTCTCTTGGATCGACTAAGTGTGGTGATACCCTGCTAGTGGTCCCCGTATTCATTCTTGTTTCCAAAAATCACGGATTTTTATGTAGAGTAAGTAGCACAACAAATACCCTAATGTTCTGGGCAGTCGTGAAATCAAATTGCTATTTCGCTGGGATCACTTCGCTGAGATATGTCCTGACCAGGAATCCTACATTAGCCGATGAGGGGCAAATCTGAAGCGCAGTGCCTCTGGCTTATGGCGCCTGGCCGGACTTAACAGACTACAAGACAAGCACTACTTTTGACAGATCTGCAACGAAAGCATATTTGTTCGCCTGTTAATGCTACAGTCTTAAGCTTGGAAATGCTGCCTTACTTCTGTCTTGGCGCCTGACTTTGAGCGCTTAAATCCAATGCCAGAAGTTCGTCGGACATCTATTCCCAGTCTTCCTGTATAATTATGTTGTAGGCGTAGCTCTTTGACAGTCTAACCTGAACTCTCTAAACCTTTTCATGAAGGCACTCTACGAGTAGTCCTGCCCTTTTAGCAGGCATGATGGCTACCCAAATTGGTACCGTCATCGGCATGATGTGATGCCTTGACAGCATAGCCAAACATAAGACGTGGTGGACACCGTTGGCGGTATCGGCCCAGACTCAAACTTCGTACATAACTCTACGCCCACGACGTCGACAACGGAGCAGCGTGCTCCCGTACCATCTTTCAGCCCTTTAATACTGCTGGGTTCTATTGCCTCTAATTTGCTGTGCGAATTGGACATAGCATGCCTCCTCCAAATAAAGGCTCATCTGGTATGGGCTACGAGCGGAAGAAGAGGAATCTCACAGCGATTCCATTAACATCGCCAATAGCCACATCTAGCTCCTCAAATTACCGATTCACGAACAACCCCCACTCCGCTGGGCTCTATGGACCCCCACGCAACCCCTCACCCCCTGCATCTGCTTACTTCCCCCTCCTCTCAGCGGACACAAATGCCAGGCTGCAGCCAACACCAGACGCCGAATCCCACTTCGCCTACAGTACGACACTGAGACGACACCAGTCCGAAGGTGCCGCTGCACTCGCATCACCGGCTGCGTTCGCCGCGACAGTCAACGCTGAGGCGACGAGCCTCTGGACACGAGCAGTCAATGCTATCACCGGCCGACAGACGAACGAGTACCAGGCCATCGAGAATGGGAGGGAGTCACCGTCACCAGCGCCCCGCGAGGAGCCCAAGGATACGGCGTCTGGGAAGTTTGCCCATAGCTCGGTAGAGGTACGCTATTCTCGTTCTCTCGTTCTCGTGGCGTCGTTCTCATGTCTTACAGGCTACAATAAACTATTTCCGCACGTCCGGGACAAATGGGCTGCTGCTTTCCGATATCAACGTACTACGCGAGACTCACGGGTATAACGAATTTTCGGTTGCGTCGCCGGAACCCCTGCTTCTCAAGTTCGCGAAGACCATTTACGAGTCCCCACTCATCCTCCTCCTCTGCGGTAGCGCGACGGTCAGTGCGATCATGGGGAACGTGGATGATGCTGTGAGCATCACGGTGGCGGTGCTAATTGTCCTTACGGGTAAGTCTGAAACTGCTACTTGTTTGGGGCAAATTACCGAGATCCTGCAGTGGGCTTTGTGCAAGAACGACGGTCGGAAAAGAGTCTGGAAGCGTTGAATAAGCTGGTCCCTCATCATTGCCATGTTGTTCGGTAAGTGCGTCAAACATCCGCTCTTTTCGGTCTTCCTCAATTGTTGGTTCAGTGAAGGAGAAACGATACATGTTCTGGCCAACGAACTGGTACCTGGAGACCTTGTCAAGTTCCAAACAGGCGACCGCATACCCGCTGATGTTCGGCTGGTCACTGCTGTTGACTTGGAGGTAGACGAGAGCAGTTTGACTGGAGAGACGGAGGCTCGGAAGAAAGACCCAGAGATCTGCCAATACGAACACGGAGCAGCCAACGGTGAACCAGTCGCCCTCGCGGAACGGACGTGTATCGTCTATATGGGCACCTTAGTGCGAAATGGTTAGTGCTTACTCTCGCATCTGGCCAGATGCAGTCCGGAATTTTGGGGCTGACCAACAATCTACAGGCAGAGGTACAGGTGTCGTCATTGCAACTGGCGCTCAGACTGAGTTCGGTGTCATCTTCTCGATGATGCAGGATGTATGTTTTATCAAGTGCTCATGAGAGCCCATTGACCGAACGCAATGAATTTCAGGTGGAGGAGCGTCGGACACCGCTTCAACTTAACATGGACGAGCTGGCGAAGAAGCTATCCTTCATGTCGTTTGGTGTCATCGGAGTCATCTGCTTGATCGGCGTTCTACAACATCGCTCATGGTTGGACATGTTTACCATTGGTGGTACGTACCTACTGACGCCTTCTCTTCGTGTCAATGTGTTGAGGACTTTTGGCAGTCTCTCTTGCGGTCGCGGCTATTCCAGAAGGTCTTCCGATTGTTACCACTGTTACACTCGCACTTGGTGTATTGCGGATGGCTAAGAGGAAGGCAATTGTGAAGAAGCTGCATTCGGTTGAGTCGCTGGGGTCTGTATCGGTGATTTGCTCAGACAAGACGGGTATGTATAGTCAATCCCCTTCCTGCAGTTCATGTCTAATCGTGTACCTGTTCAGGAACCTTAACGAAGAACGAGCAAACCGTTACGGAGGCCTACGCTGTCGACGAGAACATCTGCCTCGACCCCAGTTCGACCATCCCGTACACGGGCACGGTGTCTCCGGCCATCAAGCGTGCTCTGGATATTGGTGCTTTGTGCAACAACGCCTCCCTGGTCCGCAACGAGGATGGAGTATACGTCGGCCAATCTACTGATGTTGCTCTGCTTAACGTCCTCCAACTCTTCGGTCTTCCTGATCGACGCGATGTAGGTATCCAACCGATGCGTCGAAGATACATGGGCTGACAAACATCTCGCAGACGTTCCGCCGCCTTGCCGAGGTCTCCTTCAGCTCAGACAAGAAGTACATGGCCGTCTCTGGCGTCCACGAAAATGGTCCCAGTTCGACTTCGCCACGGTTACAAGCGAACGGTGCTTCCAGGGAGATGTACTACATAAAAGGCTCGATTGAGGCCGTCCTCGAGCGGTGCAAGTTCTACTACGTTAATGAGGAGTCAACACCAGCACTCGACGTGAATACACGGAACGTCATCACCACACGAGCGAATGCGGCTGCGGCTAAAGGCCTCCGAATCTTGGCTATGGCGTACGGATATGGTTCGGCGAATTCTGCGAATGCACAGACACCCCAGACGTCGAGGGCGCCTTCACCAGACGGACACGTGAATGGCACTGGCGTCGGTGCAGGCGAGAAGACCAACCTTGTCTTCGTCGGCTTCCAAGCGATGCTCGACCCACCACGTAAAGGCGTCGCCGACTCCATCGGGCTGCTCCAAGCAGGCGGTGTGCGGGTCATCATGATCACTGGCGACGCCGAGGCTACTGCTCTATCGATAGCGCAGAAGCTCGGTATGCGCGTTGGGCGTGGTGGTGTTTTGTCGTCTCATTGTCTAACGGGCAAGGCGATCGATTCGATGACCAAGGTGCAGCTGAAGGAGCGAGTGGGGAACGTTAGTGTCTTCGCCCGGACGACGCCGAAGCATAAGATGGCGATTGTGGAGGCGTTCCAGGCGAGGGGACGGGTAGTGGCTATGACGGGTGATGGAGGTGCGTTTAAGGTTTCGTTTGGGGTTTGGCTTTCGGATGATGGACACGAACCCGAACGCTGACTATTGGTTGTTGATTGCAGTTAACGATGCTCCGGCGCTCAAGATGGCGGATATTGGTATCTCAATGGGGAAGAGCGGGACGGACGTGGCGAAGGAGGCTGCCGATATGATATTGGTGGACGATAACTTTAGCACGATCTTGCCCGCTGTTGAAGAGGGTGTGTATTCTCTCCGTCTATCCTATGCCCTCTTCCTCCTCACTATCCCGTCTCGACCTTTTTCTCCTTTTCGTCTCTTCTGCCGCCTTTGTAGTGTCTAAATGAGCTCAAAACTGACACCCTCATTCACTTACAGGCAAATCAATATTCCATAACATCCAGAACTTCCTTGCGTTCCAGCTGAGCACCGCCGCCGCTGCACTGACGCTCATTACGCTTAGCACAATGCTGGGCCTCTCCAACCCACTGAACGCGATGCAGATCTTGTTTATTAATATTCTCATGGATGGTGCGTGCCTCTTCCTCTTTCCTCTTTCCTCTTTCCTCTTTCCTCTCTCCTTCCTCCTCCTCCCTCCTCCCTCCTCCTTCCTAGCCCATTTCCACTTTCGTTCTTTCAATGACTGACACACCTGGTATCCAGGCCCTCCAAGTCAATCCCTCGGTGTCGACCCCGTAGACCCAGCCGTCATGCGTAGGCCTCCACGCAAGAAGAATGCACCGATTATCACCAAGCATCTCCTCCTGCGCGTGCTGTTCTCGGCGTCGATCATCGTGTGCGGGACGCTGTTCATTTATGTGTTTGCGTTGCAGGATAAGGATATGTCGAGGAGGGAACAAACCATGGTAAGTGTTGTTTATTTTCTCATGTTCTTCATGGCTTTGGGTAATTTTGAGTGTTCTCGCGGCTGGTTACGTGCGCCTTTTATCGGCGAGAGCCTTATTGTTTATGACTCTCTTGTTGTTTTCTTTCCATACGACTCTGTTCGGGTGTCATCTTGGGTTTGGGGCTTGTGTGGAGTAGAAAAAAAGGACTGGGATGCCCTCGAGGAAGAGTGGAGAGACGACTCCGACCTCGGATTTTCTCTGACCTCCCTCTCTATTGGTCAATTGCTGGTATGCTGCTTCGTGCACAGCACAATTCAGCCTTGGAGTGTATTGGAGGAGATTTGGCTTACATTTGCTGGCGGAGTATATCCATAGTTATTCCGGCGTCCTGGATGGGATGGCGGAGGCTATCGTCTCGTGGCATATCTCGCCTGCAGGGTCTGGCTTGGGGGTGTTTGGGCTTCCGCATCTCCGTGTACGGAACGTGGCGCGCTACCCCTATTTCCCCACATTTTGTGTATTGAGTTCGGTCTGGGGTTGATAATCTCTTCCTCGCTTATCGTCTCGCTTGCGGGATGCATATAATTGCTTGCTTCTTTTTTTATTAAAAAGCTTCCAACCTTTCAATCTTATTCTTCTTTCTTTCAATACTGACGCCCTTGCCCAGACATTCACCTGCTTCGTCATCCTCGACCTGGTCTCGGCCGTACAGAACCGCGGGCTCGGATGCGGTCTCTTCCAGAACAAGATGCTGCTCACGACCGTCTCCATCTCCTTCCTCTCGCAGCTCGGGCTCGTATACGTGCCCTTCATGCAGAAGATATTCCAGACGGCTGCTTTGAGCGGGCGGGATTTGGGTGTGATTCTGGGGCTGGCGGGCATAAGCTTTTGCTTGCATGAGGGGAGGAGGTGGTTTGAGAGGAGGAGGGACGCTGAGGAGACCTATGCCACTGTTATGGAGGAGCTGGCTTAGGTCTGGTGCGGGGGGGAGAATTGTTGGGTGCTAGAGAGAAGGAGAAAAGTATGATGATACCCGCTGGGGCTTAATGTCCGGCTGGACGATGTTGATGAGTGCATGGGATTTAATGATTGAGTGCAAGTATAGTGACCCTGAAACACATCTTATTCTGCTAACACACCTCATACTTCTATGGTCCACCTATTTTATTGGTTTTTCGAGTATTATTGTCTATGAACTTTGGTTAACCGTGAAGTGTAGAGTAGACCTTCGTGTACATGGGCACTTCGAATTCATATACACCACAAACTCTCGGGATCCTTTGCTGCGACTTTGGTCGTTCGTCTTCGTCATGATCCTGGAAAATAGGTTCAGGTCCTCCTCAGGCTGAACTTGTAGCTTATCAGATATCTGAATAAACGCTGATCAACGTGATAAAGGGCTGTAAAAGGGGTGTCGACGGCGCAAGTCATCGAGTCATCGTGGCTGGGTGCAATAAGGTGCAGTACATAGCGTTTCGAATTCTTTTCGCGGAGCTGATGTCAGGTGGGAGACGGGCCGGGGACATGTGGGTCGCCACAGTTCGGTTTTCCCCAGTGTCACGACCAGTGCTGGGGAGTTGGTTCGGTTTGCCGTGAGTGACAAGTGACATGACCGTCGGAGCTGATGGGTCCTCCGGCGTGTAAATGGGGTCTAGGAATACTTCGAAGAGGATAAGTTAGAGCTACATAGTTCAAGAGGGTAATATCTCTCATTGCTACAAGCTTAAAATTAATTCTTGGCAACATTGAGGTTATTTCAAGTTGTGCAATCATACTCTAACTCTTGTGGTGCTCAGAATTTTCAGGAAATTGCATTCATCGGGGTGAGCGTTGGTGGAGAAATGGCTTTCCTTGACCCGTTACTATCTTGTGACCAAAGATATGTTTCACTTGGACGGCAGAGTCGGGTAGGTCCAAGCAACTCTGGGGATGGGCGCTTAATTCAAGACCTTGGCGCTTCGCGTGGGGAAGAACAAATCTGTTAACAGGGAAAGGTCATACCGTGTCCTCTTTCTTTGTTACTCACCTGATAAAGAGGGTGTGGTGATTCTGTTGCGAGCGTATCGTTCGCAACAGCGATCTTGACTGGACGAGTGAGGGCTTGTATAGTATCGCGTAGAAATAGCTGGACTTTTTCGCAGTCATCCTTGAAAAAATCTTCCAAAAGCTGTCAAATCGAAACGATAGGCCTCTTCTGTCAGAAACGTAAACTGTTTACGCACTAGTAGATATCGATGTTTTCTGTACTTAGGAGTGTTCTGTCACGACCCAAACGAATCGGTCAACTACCGGTCACGCAATACCACAAACTCGAACCATGCCGATATCCCGCTGCTTGTAGTGACCACCTCGACGTGAATGGCGAAGGGCGATCGGGAGGTGATCAATTGGGGTTTTTGAAGAGCGGCGACTAAATGGAGAGAAAACATGTGGCTGGGGAGTCGCGTTGCAAGGTACGACCTGAGGACGGCCCCGAAAATTGTGGGGTTTTGGGGTTTTTGGCATCGGTCGGTGTAGTTTGCGAGTTGGAAATCTAAGCAAAAGGAAATGGCAGGGCTTGAAACTTGCGAAAGTTAGTCCCGGGGTAAATTTGGTGGAAATACGGGGGTAGTGGGCTGTATAATTCCGTGGGATGGGCTAAATTGAGTAGACGGACCGCTTTTACGGATGGAGAAGCGGGAAAACACATGAGGATTGCCGAGCGCGTGATCGATCTAGGCGGTCGTGCGTGCTGAGCTCGCCGCGACGCGATCTGGGGGCTTCCACCCAATCTCTTCTTCTCTCTTCACCGTGACCGACAGGAAAGACTGTGGGACGGGCTGATAATCAGGCTGAGGTGCGAGACTTCCAAGGAGACGGTCCTTGTTTCCAATTCAGCTCACCGGCTCTATTTCGACAGATGGAAAGCCCCGAATCCCAGAACACACCACCCACAGAGCCACCACCACCGACGTCGGAGGCAGCAGCAACGACGACCAGCGTCGACGCCAGCGCACAAAGCGAACCCGAGCCCCAGGGAGCCCTAGCTATCGCCACGCCTCGCACGCACCGCGTGCCCAGGCCTTCCCTCGGCATATTATCACCTCCACCACTCACATCTTCCGTCTCGTCCCCACCTATTCTCCCCGCACGGTCTCCTCTGCGCCCGCCAACACGTTCGTTGTCGCAGGCTTCTACACCGACACGCCCAACTCGACCCACGACATCGAGCAACACTTCGACAGTAACATTAGACTCGCCGCTGCTGCCGGAGACGCCGCAGGACGTCGACGCACCACCCAATTCTGCAAAGCTACCCCCAGATTCGTCTTTTAGGTTGCAAATGCGGGAGAGGCATAACAGCATACCATCGCTCGATGGGCTGATCGACCCGCTGCTAGCTGCCGCCATCGACGACGCCGCTGCCTCGGCACCCGTGCCACCAGCAGTCGTCGACCTCAAATCCTTGCCAGCTCGTCCCGACTCACCCCCACGACCCACTTTCGACGACTCGGAACAGAATCCCACCACTAACCCCGAGACACCACCCTTAACCACAACATCGTCTGCTGCGCCATCCGTGTCCAGTGCACCCACGTTGACCAAGAGGCAGCATGCTCTACACGAAATCCTTTCATCCGAGCGAGCGTACGCCTCAGATCTTGCTCTCATTCGGGACGTGCATATCCCTTTGGCACTAGGTGAGCTTCGTTCCTTCACATTATCCCGGCCTTCCTTTTTCTCTCTTCGAACTTCTACGGTGGAAGTGGGGCCCACCGGGTCCTGTTGTTTCTCGCAGAGCACATGCGTTTCCCAGCTGCTCTCGCAGTCTGCACGATGCGGCTTTCCAGAGTCTCTTGCGTCGTTCTCGCCCATTTCGGGCGGGTATGGCCCCCGGATCGGCCGAGGTTCACTATGTCGTTATTTCATTAATGAGCGAGCGAGAACCTTGGTCGCTTGATTAGATGGAATCTAACCGATATCCCGTATTTTCGTTCCTTCACACTTGTTTTCCCTACTTCGAGCTTCCACGGAGGAACCAAGTTCTGGCCTTGCGCAAGGATGTTCGTGCTTGTGCTCATTCTCACGAGAGACAGCTTTCAGGAGCGCTTTCGAGAGTTTTGGAGCTCATCACTCAAAGAACGCGAAATTGAACGTCTGGTCGACGTCCAGAATGCTATTCTGACCTTTGTTCGCTTCGTGAAGTCTTGATTAGCTGCAATGTAGCCATCTACGCTCTCGCGCACATCCCTCCATTCTTCTCTGCATCACTGTGCTAACTTAACCTCGGTTACAGGCCTCTCTGTCCCCCTAACGAACATCCCTAGCCCACCCAATTCTTCTTCGTCTGGCTCGTCATCAAGAACACTTTCGACTGCGTCTGATTCATCCACAGCCTCCCTTGGTCCGCCGATGACACAAGAGGACACGAAGATCATCTTTGGCAACGTCACCGAGCTGGCGCTATTCGCCGACATGTTCTCGGAAGAGCTGGAGCTGGCGCTAGGTGCGGTGGTGGAGGGCGGTCAGGGCGAGGATTCGGTTGGCTCGCTTTTCCTGCGAATCGTCAGTGATTCCTCTTTATTTAATCTTTATACTAATTAAACCGCAGATTCCGGAGCTGGAACGACCGTACAAGCACTACATCACGCGACATCCAACCGCACTGCAGCACCTGCAGTCCCTGCCGCAAACACCTGCCCTGACGGCGTACCTCACGCATACACAGACCATTGCCTCGGCGCTGTCGCATGCATGGGACCTTGCCTCACTGCTGATCAAGCCCGTGCAGCGGCTGCTCAAGTACCCGCTGCTGCTCGGTGCAATCATCGACGAGACGCCTGATTCCCATCCAGACAAGGAGAACCTCCGTCTGGCGCGTACGCGGATGGAAGAGGTTGCGCGGAACGTCAACGAGGGCCGGCGTCGGGCCGAAGTCGTCAAGGATGTGCTGTCTTCAAAGACACCGAAGAAGCCGAACGCGAACGTGACTTTGTCTGCCTCCGTAAATCTTTCGAAGATGAAGTCATTGAGACATGGAGGCGTGACAGCCGCGACGATGAGGGTGTCGCAACTAAGCGAGGGTGGGAGCAGCGAGGCGGCGCAGGTAGAGGGGTACCAGCTTGAGCTGAAGCGGATTGAGGTGTACGCGCAGCAGTTCGCGCGGGACGTGGTGGACTGGGGAAAGAGCATGGCGCGGGTGATGGGCGCTCTCCGTGTGTGGGCGCTCGCGTTTGGCAAAGTTATCGGCTTGTCGGCAGAGCAGGGCTCGGAGGCGTTCGACGCGTTCTTGGAGGTCATCACGAAGGGTCTCATGCCGTCTTCTGCAGACCTGGAACTGGTGTTGAACGAGAGGGTGCTACGGGACCTGGCGCATTTGTTGACGACGATGAATCAGCCGTTAAAGTTGCTCGCCTCGATGAACGAACAGGAGCCGTACCACTATCACTTGCTCACGATGCCCGTTTCGTCGAAGAACAGGCCGCCACCGTCGCTCCTCGCCGCTTCTACAAACTACCTTGCTCTGCGTGGCCAACTTGCCTCCGAGCTCCCCGCCTACCTTGCCCTTATGCACAGAGGCCTCGCTGTTTTGGTACGCCGACTTGCCGAAGTGCAAACACGGTGGTGGAGAGATGTTAGAGATAGGTGGGCGGACCTGTGGGAGATGCTTCGCGTAGAAGGCGAGTTAAACGTCGGCTGGGAAGAGACGAGCGCCGTGTGGTGTGCAAGGTGGACGGATGTGGATGAGGTGGTACGAGGGCTAGGCATCGTCGGCCAGAGTCCGACGATCCTTATCCAGCAGATCATGGCGGCACAAGCACTTAGGCGAGCGGGGACACAGCGGCAGGCAATCGCACTGGCGCAAGCGCAACTTCAGCCAGGTCAACCACAGCCACAAGGCCTGCAGTATAACATGGAAGAGTACTTTGCGTACCCCGAGTTCTTCGCACCTGCGTTGCCGCATATGCAGACGCCCGCTGCCCAGTATTCGCCACCACGCGAAAGAGAAAGAGAAAAGGAGAAGGAGAAAGAGAAAGACAAGAGCCGCGATCGCCACAACTCGCGCTCGTCTGGGTCGAGTGCGAACGCCGCCAAAGCAGCGGCCACGGTGCAGACTATGTTCGCTGCCCTTGAGCCTGCACATTCGCCCCGCAGCCCGAAAGCACAACCGCCTTCCAGTTACCAGTCAGGAGGGGGTGGGTCGTCGGTCTACCAAGCTGGAGGCCTGTTCGGGTCGTCAGTCTTTGGACTAGGAGGTGCAGGAACTGCAGCGGCCTCGACGTACTCTGTGTCAGCGCCAATGCCACTCGCAGCTGGCGCGATGTACGCCCATGGACATCGGGATCGAACTGACAGAGACAGGGACAGAGAGCGGGATAGGGATAGGGAAAGCGGACGCAGAGGAAGAGGACGAGGGCGGAGCGATGCCGGCCTGGCTGTGACCGTCGATGCAGACGTACGGACGACGGCGAGCGGGCTGACTGGCGCCTCTGGCACGTCAGGCTCCAGTGGGTGGAGTGGTAGCACGGGCGCCTATCCCGGTTCGACCTCGACCCCAAATGGGTACGGCCATGGTTATGCAAGTCCGACAGGGTTTGGAAGGAGGACGACCTCGCAGGATAGCTTACGCTCAAAACGGAGAGAAGAGAAGGAAAGGGAGCGGGAGCCCTTGAGGAGCCCTAGTAGTCCGAACGGGCCGGGCGGTGCGGGTGGAAATCTGGCACGGCGCAGGACGCATGGGCACACTGGCCTCGCGGATGAGTTTGCGGAGTACGTGCAGCACATGCCTGGTAGCTTCTCGCCACCTGCGTATGAGGGCAATGGGAATAACTCGCCGTCATCGCCGCGGTCTGGTATACCAAGGACGAAGTCGATGCCCCTCGGACGGATTGCCAGCACGTCGGAGAAGGAGCGCGGTATGGGTCTTGACAGGGATAAGGAGTCGACGAGGACAGCACGCCCGACGACCTCTTCAGCGCAGCCCACGAACAATGGAGGCAGTCACGTTGTCGATCCCGAACCCTTGTTCTATAAGCCACCGCCAACTGCACCAGCAGCTGTACCGGCATCACCGGTAGGTGTGGCAGTTGGTGGAGAGGAAAGTTGGAGTGCTCCAGTGCAGCGACAGGACTCGACCTCTGCGTCGACACGGACGAGAGGGAGAGAAAGTGGGTCGCGACCGTCTACCTCACGCGGAACAGCTCCGATGCCACCGCCTGCATCTCCACTTCCGCCGACACCCCAAGTCGCTGGTACGAGTGCGTCGAGAGCTGCAAGTCCCGGTTCTGGGAAGAGGAAGTCAAGAGAGCGCCCAACACATGAGCGGAAGCGCTCCGGCTCCGTCAAGTCCATAACATCTTTCTTCACTGGCTCCAACGCCAACTCGAACCGCGACAGCCCCCCACCCGACCCACAACCTCTCACAGCCTCGCAGCGCGACTCCTGGGCGTCAAAGCCTGCCAAGTACCTCTGCCAGGTGATTCACCCTTGCAAGCCACCCGCGGCTGTGTCCTACTACTCCTTCCCATTCTTCACGCTGCAGGTGGACGACCTGTACCAAGTACTCCAGGAGGCCGGCCACCCGAGCATACATCCCAAATTGCCGTTGTATGTGGATGACGGAGAGGACTGTTTGTTGCTTTGTCGAGATGGGAATGGGGTCGTTGGGTGGGCGCTGGCGAGCTTCTTGGAGCCACTGCCTACGCCGTCAGTGTTGTCGTAGACGCACGAAGGGCTTGTGCGCTGTTTCGTTGTGATGCTTTTCGTTTGTCTGCCTTTTTTTCTATTTTTCCTTTGCGCATCTCCTCGCTTTTATTTTCGTTTGCTTTCTGTGTTGTATGTTGTCTCACTCACACGGTTTTCTATTCCGCATACCCGCCACTGCCACGTCGTCTCGTTCATCACTAATATCCTCATGCTCATCTCTCATCTTCCGTTCTTTTCCTTTTTGCTTGCTTTATTTTCCCCCTATTTTTCCATCCATCTTCTGCTTCATCTAACTTGGTTTCTGGTTCATACTATGTACATGCACGTCTCGTCCTTCTCGTCTTTTTTTCTCTTTCTATCTCACCATATACCAGGGATAATTATTGTCACGAAAGCGATCGGTAGATATGTAGATGCGCTGCTTCGGGATATCTATCGTCTCTTGTCCATTCTATGTATCCAACCCATGTAAAAGCATCTGTACAAGATCATTTATGTAAAGCTCTTTCATGAAGCAAGTAGACGGATGGACACTCCTAGTTTCGACCAAAGGTAGATATGGCTCTTCCCTCTTGCAATGTTATTTACATAAACGAAGCTGGCCGGACTGTACGCGTCTTGCAGGTCAACAAAACTTTCTCCTTGAGGAGAAGGAACAGGGACGACAAAGAGACTTTAAATGGGCGCTGAAAATGGGCAGAGTCTGGGAGCTCTCTGAGCCCAACTACATGAAGCTGGCAAACAACACTTCAGAAGTAAATAAACAGCGATCTCAAAGAGAGGCAAGCACTATTACGTGCTGTAATCCCTTGACACAATCGTACGAGGGCTTTCTCGGTCAAATCCAATGCATTAGTGAATTATGTTGCTAAACTACAGGCAGGCTTAATGTTGAAGAAAAGACAGGTGCGTGCGAATGAGAGTATTTACAGACAGTACCATCTTCGAGGGATAGACATTCTCTACGTTATTTCAGAGCGATATTATGCGATGTAGATGGAGCTTCAATCAGAATGTAACTGCGCGTCTGCGGCGCTCAGACGAGGTGCCGAAGGCTGCGTCATATGTGGGGCAAAGTGAATCCCAAGCAGCTAAAGGCAGGCAGATGAGTACGAGGAGAAAGGAAGCCATATGATATACGTACTGGGAGGGGTGGTGGTGGCGACAGTCGGAACGTCCTCAGCGAAAACGACGGAGAGACCACTAGACAAAGGAAAGGCGATCAGTAAAGAAAAAATTACCAGCTCCATGATCGTGTTACTCACATCTCAAGATGCCAGTCGATGTGGCAATGCATGATCCATGGGCCGGCATTGTCGGTGGTGAAGCGGATCGTGACATTGTCACCGGTCTCGCCAATACTGACGACGTCGCGCTTGATGGGGTTGTCGTAGTTGTAGGTGCTGCTGCCGGCACTGCGAACGACGTCGAATGTATGCTAGCCACAACCGTGTTTCAGTACGAGACACAAAATAGTCGAAGGGCTGTTACTCACGCCGTGAAGATGGATGGGATGTGGGCTTCCGACAGATCCTCCCGGCATCGAGAGCTCGACGACACTGTTGGCTGGCAAGACATAGAGGGAACCGGCGGGCAACAAGTCAGCAGCAGTCAGCGCGCCACTCATGATCTGAAGTAGAACCGGAACAGTCGGGGGCGTGAAGGTGGCACCGTTGATAGTGAACTTGAGGTCAGTGAAGCTGAAGGCCATGTCGAGGTTGATGTTGACATCCGCATTGCCAACACCCGCAGTGCCTGGAGCAGCAGCGCCAGAGAGCGGGACGAGATTCTGCTCAAGCAGCGCGTTGCTTGTCGATGACGTCGTCTCCGGATCAACAGCCTCTGCGCCAGAATATCTCAAAATGGCAGAATTGATCCCGCCATCAAACCCAGTCGTGCCGACATTTGGCTCCGAGCGGATCCAGTAGTTGGAGACAGCTTGGTTGGCGTTGAGGATGAAGGAGTAGCGCTGACCGGCGAAGATCTGTATCGAGTCGACCTCGAGGGGCTGGGTGTTGACTGCGTCGACTTCGATAATGGTCTGACAAAGGAGAGTGAGCAGTAATTTCGCCGAGACTTAGAAACAACTGACCATGGTGTGGCCGTCGATAGAGAACGTGTAGTTGGGGTCGCAAGACATCGAGACAAGGCGGAACCTATATCTCTTCTGGGACTCGACAGTTATGACGGCAAGGGGAACGGTGTCACCAGCAGCAGCACGGCCGACACCGTTGATAAGGGTGGCATCGGGTGTTGGGACAAGACCAGCAGACGGAGCGACGGTGTGGTACCAGTCGGAGAGTGTTATGATCGTGGACTCGTCGTCGACATCGTAGCTGAAAAAGCAAGTCAATGTTGAATATGACGTCGAAAGAGTGAACACTTACAGGCTCTTGTGCGGGTCATCTGTGTCGTAAACAACCATAACACCTCTCAGACCGTCACAGTATTGGGTCGCTAAAGGTAAAACGTTAGGCTCAGCTACTTAATTCGAGAGACTGACTTACAGTCATGGGAGTGGTACCAGAACGTGCCAGCTTGGTCGCCAGCGGCGAACTCGTAGAGGAATGAATTTCCAGGCGTGATTGGGCATTGGGTCACTCCAGCGGGACCATCGGCCCAGCTACTTCCCTTTTGGAAGAAACCGTGCCAATGCTATCACAGCACTGTCAGCAAGCGAAAAGATAGATAACAAACCGACGTACGATGGAGGTACTCGTCAACATGGTCGTGTCGGTCAATGCATCGATGACGTTTAATTGGAACGTATCACCCTGTAATCGAGCAACTTGGCTCAGCGGCAGTAACTTCAAATCCAAGAGTTGTTCGGCATACCTTGTTGGCGGTGATGACAGGGCCCGGGAATGCGAGGGAGTTAGCGTCGGACCCAGCGAGGACACCCCTAAAATAGATGATATTGGTTAAGACAAGAGTACGAACGCCTTGAACGAAAAGGACTCACGCTCGGGTAAAGCCATCAGGCGCAACGTTAGCATTGCCAATGTGCAAGTCTGCGACCGGGCCAATGGCGGCATAGGTGCTGGCAACCACGGAAAGAACAACGAAGCTCAGGAAAGATCGCATCTAGAGAGTAAGTGTCGAAAGAGAACGAAACAATTAAGGAATAAAAAAGAAGGGGGTGAATTCTAGTTTTTCCTATTGTTAGCTCGAGGCCTTTATATCTCGCTCAACCCCGCCGAACTCAGAGGCATTTGTTTCGCGCTCCGTATGGCCGACGTTTCTCTGATCTCCACTCAACGACCTGATCTCCACTAGCATCGTTCCAGGAACTGCGAAGCGTCGCACGACGCGAATCGTGCGCAGTTCTGCCCGCATCCGGAGAACGGTGTCAAGTCGTCGATCGAAAACGATCGAGATTCTGGCTTCACGCAGAGAGGACTTTGGGGATTCTTGCAGACGAAAACCGGGAGAAGCCCATAGGTTGGGAGCCGGCGATGATCGCCCTTTCAGGAAGCCAGTGAGCGCTTGTGTCGTGGAAACGTCCGTGTCGCAAAGGGCGATACGATCACGGAGCTGCGGAATAGAGACAAAAACTACTGCGCTAGCAAGATTCCCGCGACGGCGCGCTTTCCTATCAAAGGAGATTCAGGATACGAAGTCCGGACGTGGTTGTGCTTCCTAGGCGACACTACGCACCTTAAGCGCTCCAACACCACGGATATAAACCCTGTATAGGCGAAGCAAGACGCCTAACTTCCGACTTCTCTAGAAAACCCACCAAATCCCGCATACAACTTAGACCGACTCTTCACCATTACCACCATCATTCATGCAATTCAAGTCCCTCGTTTTTGTCGCCCTCAACGTCCTCGCTGTGGTTGCGGTAAGCCATCGTCGAATTCAAGATATTTCAGAGGCTGACTCTGTCTGCCAGCTTGATCTCCGCGCCCGCCAGGAGGAGCCAGCGGCCGAGCCCCCGGTGTTCACTGGCAAGAGGGTCTTCCACACGATCATTGACAAGTCCCCCTTCTTGATTGAGAGTACGACCACCTTCACTTGGACGTGAGTGCTGGCGGCCACATGCAATGCGCTTCCACTAACCAAAGACTTCGACAGCCAAAGCGCCAGCATTACCGCTACGGAGTCTATTGTCACTCCCACTCCCACCGCCGCTTGAAGACCCACGAGCCCACGTCCTTTACTAAAGTTCGGATGTCAGTAGCAGCGAATCAACCCTACAGCGCAACGTACCATAGATTTACCAGACCCAACCTAATTATAATTTGATGTAGTCGGTTGTATGAAATTCACAGTCACTCTTTCACTTTTTGCGTTCGAAGCTTTTGGATAAGAGTCCGCACTATTCGATCGATATGAGACTGATATCATCAAGAAACGTACGAAAACTTTACCAGCGTGCAATGCTTCGCAGTGTGCAATCGCGTCTCACTGTTGAACTTGAATGTTCAAGGGATGGCAGAAAGATGTGCTCGTCACTGAACGTTCGAGCGAAATGAAAAAAATTCTAGACCTCTCGACTCGTCCGCAGGGAGCGAACAATTGAATTGAATCAGGGTATGAAGACCGACTTGATTGGCGTGTGCATTCGTGAAGATCGGTGTCATACTGTACGTAGGCTTCGCGGGTCGCATGTTCTTGAAGAACAGCTACGGCAACGACAACCGCTAAGAGCAGTGCGACCTTCTTCAAGGCCGATACTTCAAAAAAAACCGCCATTCAGAGCTACGCAGCAGAAGACGGATGGCCGCGTTTGAACAATGCGATTACACTTGACACTGGATGGTGCTGACCTGTTGAATAAGACTCAAACACAACCCAGAGTACAGGTCCAACTTTCATTTGTCGTGAAGGGCTTCATGCAATGCCGGGCATGAGGCCCGAATGTCCAGAAGCCGAACTCCTCACAATGCGCAGTGAATTGGTCGTAACGGTGATCGTTTGAGCGGTACGGGCCCCGTAAAACTTGCAAACGCTGGCCAATTTGTTGCCTTCCAAGCCATCTGAAGTTTTGGATACGTTGAGAACTCTCGCATATAGATGGAGGAAACAGTGTCAGCAGTCATCGTTCATGGGGTAACCGAAGGGTGAATGGAGGTCTATGGAGGTTCGGTAGTTGTGCAGAGCAACGGGATCATCTGAAGCCCTTGCCAAACAAGGCCATTCTCACGACTCTGCGTCGCGGTTAGTCCACTGGCAACTTATCACCTCAAACTTGTTAAACCCTTCCTGTCTCCTACCATATTCATCGGCGTGTATGGTGCAACGACGGAGACCTCAGATGTATTTAATTAAGCCAGGACCTTGCACAAAGCGGTTTCTGACGATTTTCGCCAAACGCAAACGCGAGTCGTGACGACGAGCCAGTGCCTCACGTTCTGAAGGATTCTAAAAGCTTTCAATACGTCCTTCGGTAAGCACGACCCAGAGCAAAGTGTCTTGGTCATTATTCCTGACGCGAAAACTCGTTGGAACCTGTCAGTGCCAACTGCGGAACACAATGAACCGTCATGTCTTCGAGTGGGCACTCGAGTCTATATTTCCTCCCGCTACACCGCATTCTGGTCCGCAGCCACCTGATCGTCTCAAGATCGTCTCGTTTCGAGTAATTAAATACCTGGAGTAAAACGTCGGCCCCTTGGGCATAATTTCCTTGTACCTGTGGTGGGACATAGGCTCCGATGATCCACTCAGCTTCTCGAAGCCCACCGTTCGCGATCAGCTTTCATGGGACGCAGAAGTCATCTCTGTCTTCTTTTTTTGCTTATTATCTCGACCATATGCTCTCGCTTTTTTGTATCTGGGTCAGTCGAAACTGAGCGCCATTCCTTGCGCGACGTCGCTGCGACTTGCCGCGACGTGAGCGACTGACTTGGCACAACCGTCTCTGCTGATTCGTCATCGCGCCTCCGAAACGCGGTTCGATTTTTTATCCGGATAAGACCTCCGTATATCATGTCATAGTCGAGCATAATCGCTTCTTGAAGCTACTGTTCGCAACAACTGGAAATTGCTTTCTGCCTCTCAAATGCCCTCAGACTTGCGTCTGGTCCAAAGTACGTACGATTCACTTGCCAACGTTCTTCATTCCGTAACCTGACAGACATTTGTAACTTGGCGTGTTTCGACAGAGAAGTTCAACCTCGTCAAGGCTATGAACGTTCACATTGGTAGAACTTGGTAACGATGAATTTCTACCATGATCGTGAGTAAACGCAACCTCGCGTCTGTTCCCTGCCATACGACGTCCGGCCTTCCATGGAGGTATCAAATCATTGATTTGGGACCACCAACTTATCTTTTTCCTCTCCCTACGAATTGGAACTAAAATCCGAAGAAACGCCGTCCTAGTATTTGCGTCTATTGGGGTTGGTGGGACCCATTCCGGGACCTCAAAAGCCGGTACCCGGACGTTCACTTGCCCTTAACGGCGTGCCGGACAACTTGGCAACCAGATTCCAAGGATAATAAATTGTAATTTAGGCGCTCAGCGTTCAAGAGACACTTTTGGGGGAGTATTTCGTAATTTCAAAATCTTGTAGACTATGGACGTACTCTGAGCAGCGACGAGAGACGACTCTGTCAACAATTCCTTTCGCCCAGGTAATTTAGGCAGGTTCGCAGCATCCCCAGCATCCTGGCGCTCCCCTTGGCTTCTCGCCCGGGGGACAGACCGGCTCTTCTTCAAGGCAGACAGTGAGACACATCCTATCATCAGATTCGGTCGTGTTCGACGTGACCTCCTTCAACGCGACTGGAGCAATCGGTTCGCAGCATCCCCAGCATCCCTCGGACCCGGTAGGTGCCTCACCAGCATCGCAGACCGGCTTTTCGGGGCGGCAGACGGTGGTACACGCGTCCTGTCGAGCTGGGAGGGTATTCACGGGCTGGCAGCATCCCCAACAGCCTGGTCCTCCCGTAGCTTTCTCGCCGGCAGGGCAGACGGGCTCCTCTTCGCGGCAGACGGCAGCACAGATGGTCGGGTCGTCGGTCGTCTTCGGTTTGATGGGAAGAGCTGGACTGGGAACACAGCAACCCCAACAGCCCTCGGAGCCGGTGGGGGCCTGTCCGGCAGGGCAGACGGGTTTGACAGGGCGGCAGACAGCCGTGCAGAATGTCCCGCCTTGAGGGCTGGGAATGGCATTGGTGCCCACAATGGTGACGGCGGCAACGATGGCAGAGAATAAGAATTTCATGTTGACAACTGAAATTCCGCAATCAATTAGTTGTCCATGGATACTTGAACGCGCCAGAATTCCTACCTTGTGGAGAGTAAGAGGAAGCTAGTGGACTGGTAAAATTCGACGTCGTACAACTGGATGACAGGATGAAAGGATATCAGATTAAAACCTTTCAAAGGATATACAGATATGGCGCTCACCTGAGCTCAAGGGGAGCTGTGTTGGTGGTCCAGAGTGAGGTGGTCCGTCGTTTTATAGCTTTGGGGTTTGGAGTTACGGCACCCATGAAACTCGCCAAGCCATCTCACATCTATTCGAAGTTACGTCCCTGCTGAATATAATATAATTAGCCACCAAGAATGCAGCATTGAGCATTCATCGGATGCTGGCAAATCCCAAAGGACCGCACACGTTCGCGATTTCGAACGGGTCCTCATTTCACAGGCTATCAAGTGCCTTCTCTCCATCCCTAGATTTTTGTCGGGCGGAGGCCGCTTTCCAAGATTTTCCGACTCCAGTCTAGCTTAACGGTTCTATTCTTCGGCTCGTTCTTGAGACTGGGTATATTGATGACTCGACGACTAAACAGAGCTGCATCGCTTTCTTGGCCGATGCGTACGCGTTCTGTGCACGGGGGTTTGACCGCCGCGTTTTGATCTGGATTCCCGGTTGTCTAGAGCGCCCAAAAGCTTGTGGAGCACATGCAATGGATATGAGGCACGAGATGCTAGTCATTACGAGAAATCCGCACCTTGGGTCCATTATTCAGGTCTTAAGAGTAATGTTCTGGGGATGATCAAAATCAAGCGCAGTAGCCGGCGCTATAGACAAATTCGGAGCCGGGAGATGTTTTCTTCCTCCTGGAAAGGCGGGAAGTCTTTAATCAAATTCCATTCGCCGCGATGAGTGGGATCATCCTAAGAACTGAATCCGCTCCATGCTTGAACCCCATGCTCCAGGTTTGGAGCAGATGCGAGCGGATGCTCAAAGGATAGGCGCAAAGCGAGGAATTTAGAAACAAAAGGCTAAGAATCTAACTCTTTCAGTTAGAGTAGCTTAGCAATAGGCCACCGAAGACCTGCCCGCTGTATTACCCTGGTATTACCCGACACAGGTGCACTGTAATGACCGACGCATCATAAGAGCTAGGCGATGCAAGGAGGGACAGGTTTTGAACTCTTTGGTGCAGAAAGGCTTCGAGACGACGGAATGAAGACAGTGGGCCCATCTGTGGTCATCTGTGGTGTAGTGACTTGCTGCCGTCACTCGGAATCTTCAATCCAAAGACCTTTCCACTAGTAACGCGGGTTTCAAGGTGAATTGGAGTATTCTACCCGGTCGGGCTACGACGTGATATGGATCGGAAGATTAAGAGCCAATGAAGTCAAAATGAAGTCGTTTCCAGAGAGCCGAGAGATGCGAAATGCAGTTTAGTGGCTCCTCGAAAGGCGGACAACGGAGGACGGCGAGTTCCGCGTAGGACCGTGTGAATATCTTAACGGCAGATTCCAAGTCTGCTGAGTGCAGTGCCAAGCTCCAGAAGTCTTTCACTAACTTTCTCTTGACCAAGTATTTTCCCCGACTCGCCTTTCCACGTTCGTCCAAGCACCCTGGTGGGCATTCTTCTGATGACATGCCTCGTCATCTGGTCTAAATCTTCAATGGTAGATTTCTGGATACATCGGATTTTTTTATGAGTCGATCGACTACTACTACAACACTGCCCCAGGCTATCGGGCTTTTTTGCTTTCGTGTCGGAATTAAATCTCTACGCAACACGTCCAACACCCCTCACTCCCACCAAGTATCCTGTCGGGACCGCAATCCGGCTTTTGGAGTAGACAAACTGGGGGGCATGCGAGGGTCGGCTGTGGAATTGGCGTCGCTGTTGGCGTCGGCGTCGGAGTGAGTGTAATAAACTCGGCGCAACAACCCCAGCAACCCTCCGCCCCAGTGGCAAACTGCCCACTTGGACAGAGTGGCTTCTCGGTGAGACAGACTGTTGGACAAAGTGCAACGCGGACGGGCTGGCAGCAACCCCAGCAGCCCTCTGCACCAGTGGCCATTTCTCCAGCTGGACATATGGGCTGCTCGACGCGGCACATGGTGTCACAGGGCCCTGGTGGTAGCACTTGAGGTTTCGGGAACGCGCTGGCCCCCATGATCGAGGCTAGTACAGCGGTTATGAAGCTGATCCTCATTTCTGAAGAGTAGGATGAGGTGAGTATCCTGGATTATTGCATTGTGTGGCATTCACCTACTTTTCGTGCAGATAATTTGACGCTGTAACGTGTTGTCCCAACGCGTATTGGGTATGGCGATATCTGAGTGGGTCTGTGGGGGTTGAGATGTAGGTTCTGCTCAATTTATAAGGTACCGTGTGTCCTGCTTCCTTACCTTAACAAAGCTAGAGCGCCAAGCAGGTTTCGGCATTGTTCAACGGCGTATTTCTGTGGCATTGAGGGCTTCTCATGACCTCACTTGTCCATGGGGATTGAATGAAAGATTAATGAGGGCAGTCCCATTTAGCGACACTTTGTCCGCTTGGAGTTCGAGTGGGCTCCTTCTTACCTTTCGGCCTCTCCGATGCAGGCATATGGAGTATTCATTGACAAGACGTTCTCAAGAACATAATCCTCCTTCTACGAGGCTTTCTTCCATACGAGACAACCGAATTAATTCATCTGTCCTTGGAAGTATCATATGAGCTCCGTGGCCTCGAATGAACTAGAAGCACGGACAATAGGAATAGTATATTCGGTCGAAATCTCTATCAGAAGTCTGTTTTCCTTCCGCAGACACGTCGCTGCCCACGTTGAATGGTCAACACGAAGTATTAACGAAATGTTGCCGCAGAAAGATGCATCAGGAGGAACCTCGGATTGGAGATTAAGTCATCGGGAGGCCTAAAGATTCAGTTGCGTTACCTCCTCTTTTAGCACTGAAGATGGAGACGATGACATCTCCGAGTACCCAAGCACGATTTTGAAGTTCGCCTTCAAGTTCTGGGGCAATGTGTGTAGGGCGGCCCGTACTTCCCGCTTCACGTGGTATAACTCCGTTTAGCGGAATCGACGTGGACAGTAAGCACCCGCGTTGACGCCGCTCTCCACATATCCCACATCCCCCCATCCTCTGTTGCTTGTCTTTGAGCGAGAACAGAGGAATTCGCATTCAATATGCGCACCTTGCATTTCCTAGGAGTTGTTGCCCTTCTCTTGGTCGACCAGTCTTCGGCTTTCAAGGCGCACGACTTCAAGACATGCTCTCAGTCCGGTTTCTGTAGACGGGGACGCGCCCTTTCTGCTCGCGCCAAAGAAGCAAAATCCTCTTGGGTGTCTCCTTACTCGGTGGATTCTTCGAGTGTCCATATTTCACCAGATCACGCCGTCTTCACCGCGACGGTCAAGTCATCTCTCTACCCTGAAATCAACTTCGGCTTGGAAGTTCGCATTCAGGACAATGGGGTCGCCAGAGTGCGTATGGACGAAGTTGGAGGATTGAGGAAACGTTACGACGAAGCAGCATCCTGGGCCTTGATTGCGGAGCCCGTCCTAAGCAAGACCATCAAGTGGACAGCAGGAAAGAAGGATATACGCGCCATTTATGGCGACAAGAAGGACATCGAAGTCGTAGTCGCCTATGAACCTTTGCGAGTTACTCTTCTCCGAAATGGCAAAGAGCAAATTGTCCTTAACGGACGTGGCCTCTTGCACATGGAACATTTCCGCAATAAGATTGAACCTCCAACTGCAATTGAAGAACCTGAGCCGGTCGAGGGTGAAGGAGCTGAGGGTGAAAAGGTCGAAGGGGAAGTTGAAGGTCAAGCTGTGCTCAAGGCAGAGCCTGAAAACCCCGGCGCCTGGTTTGAGGGCAAGGAGGAAGACGCGCTCTGGGAAGAAACCTTCCTCCAATGGACGGACTCCAAGCCGAAAGGTATGATGTCTCTTCATTCAAACACGGCCTTGGTTCTAATTGTATTCTTCAAGGACCCGAGTCTCTTTCCCTTGACATTACCTTCCCGAACCATGGTTCAGTATACGGCATTCCTCAACATGCTACCCGACTTGCCTTACCCTCGACCGAAGGCGAGAACCCAACATTCACGGACCCTTATCGACTCTATAATGCCGACGTCTTCGAATACCTCGCGTCTTCACCCGTATCGCTATACGGATCCATCCCTCTCATGCACGCCCATTCAGCTGATTCGACTGTCGCCGTCTTCCACGTCGTGGGCTCCGAAACCTGGATCGACGTCTCTCATCCATCCGACAAATCTACGGAGACCCATTGGATTTCGGAATCTGGTATCCTCGATACTTTCCTTTTCCCAGGACCCACCGCAGAGGAAGTCTTCAAGCAGTACGCTCGTCTCACCGGCACGCCAGTTCTTCCGGCCCAGTGGAGCTTGGGATACCATCAGTGCCGTTGGAACTACATTAGCTCGGAAGACATCAGGACCGTTCAGAAACGCTTCGACGAAGAGGATATACCCGTCGACGTCTTCTGGCTTGATATTGAATATTCAGTGGATCACAAGTACTTCATGTGGAACGAGAAATCTTTCCCTGACCCGGTCGAAATGACTAACGACGTTGCTGCTAATGGCCGCAAGGTTTGTTTTGTAATGAAGCATCTATCCTTCTACAGGCTAAATGCTCCTTAGATGGTCGTTATCGTAGACCCACATCTCAAACGTGTCTCGGACTACCCTGCCTACAAGAGCGCGTCTGACCTCGGTATCCTCGTCAAGCCGAAGAGTGGCGAGGGTGAGTACGAGGGATGGTGCTGGCCCGGAAGCAGCTCCTGGACCGACTTCTTCAACCCTGCCGCTTGGGACTGGTGGAAGTCTATGTTCAAGACACAGCCCGGCGACAAGTGGTCCTGGACAAAGAGCACGACTGATATCCACATCTGGAACGACATGAACGAGCCGTCTGTTTTCAACGGGCCTGAAATCACCATGCCGAAGGATAACATTCATTATGGAGGTTGGGAGCACAGAGATATTCATAACATCAATGGAATGCTCTTTGTGACGTGTCCTTTTTTCTATGCTCAATTGCGTATATTGACGATTATCTTTTTTTAGTCGAACCTCACATACCAAGCCGTCGCTGAGCGTACAGATCCGCCGACACGTCCTTTTGTGCTTACTCGTGCATTCTATGCCGGTTCTCAACGTTTCGGTGCTATGTGGACGGGCGACAACCTCGGCACCTGGGAACATATGGCTGTCGGTGTCAAGATGGTTCTAGCCAATGGTCTCGGTGGGTTGAGCTTTGCAGGATGTAGGCCATTTCTGCGCTCTGGCAGAGTTCTTCTATTTACGACCGATTTTTTAGCTGACGTCGGTGGCTTCTTCAGCAATCCCGAGCCAGAGATGCTGGTGAGGTGGTATCAAGTCGGTGCTTTCGCGCCGTTCTTCAGGGCGCATGCCCACATCGACACCAAGCGCCGCGAACCCTTCCTTCTTGAAGACCCGTACAAGGGCATCGTAAAGGATGTTCTGAAGCTGAGGTACACCATGCTGCCCATCTGGTACACCGCCTTCAGAGAGACTACCGTTACTGGCATGCCGATCTTGAGGTAAGTATTTAGTTGACTACAAGCGTTGCCCCTGCTGACACGTTTATCAAGGCCCCAGTTCATTATGTTCCCTAAAGACAAGGCCGGCTTCGACATGGACGACCAGTACTACATCGGTTCCACTGGTCTCCTCGTCAAGCCCATCACGGAGAAGGGCACAACCGAGACGACAGTTCATCTCGCCGAGGATCAGGTCTACTACGACTACTTCAACAACTACGCCTACCGCGGCGCTTCTAAAGGCAAGGACATCACTGTAGCAGCTGCTCTCAACCAAATCCCTCTTTTCGTTCGTGGCGGCTCGATCTTGGCAACCCGCGAGCGTCCCCGCCGTGCATCCTCGCTCATGAAGCACGACCCCTTCACCCTACGTGTCGCCCTCAACAAAGCAGGCTTCGCCCGCGGCGAGCTCTACCTCGACGACGGCGTCACCTACGACCACACAAAGGGTGACCTCATCTGGCGTGAGTTCGTCGCCGAGAAGGCCGGAAAGAAGGGTCTAAGAATCAGGAGTCAGGACCTGGGCAAGGCCAAACCCACAGAGGCGGTCGATGGCGTGGCTCTGGCGAGCTACAACCCTGCCAACTCCTTCGCGAAGAGCGTTGAGCATGTGCGGGTGGAGAAGATCATTGTGGTCGGCCTAGCAAGCAAGCCCACGAGCGTCAAGGTTGAGGGTGGGAAGGAGCTAGTATGGGAGTATACCTCTGGTCTAGCTGCTGGTGATAAGAAAGAGGGCACCGCAAGCGTGTTGGCAATCAAGGATCCTAAGGCCCTCATTGCGAAGGATTGGGCTATTGTCATTCAGTAGAACGCTTTTCTGGTATGCAGTGCCGAAAATAAAACGATTTCTAGACTCTGGGAGCAGGCTCGATGGCTGGGTGGATTTGACATGTATTGATTGCAGCCTAATAAAAATAAAACTACTTAAGAGCAAGATGGTCTGACAGTGGATGTCGCGATGGGCATGTCCATACGGCTTGCGAAACAATCGCAACGCGATGGCTGAGGGGTCATGAAATAATGCAACAAACGAGCAAGCGTCGAGTACAAGACAAACAAGAAAGACAAGGGGTTTCAGAGGAAACTGCTACGTACTAATGAATAAGTTGGCGAGGATAATGCATCCCATCTTGGTGGGGCCTCGCGTTGAAATAAGGTCCAAAAGGCCCAAGACAACATAGAAAGAAGAGCAATAATGAGGTTAGCGCAATAGAGGGGAAACCAACAATATATAAAGAGGTTGGGAAACAGGAAAAATATGAGGTGGTTGGTCATGTGCGTTGTAATGGATGGTCGATGATGTGTGTTCAGTATAGCATGCAGCAAAATTTGATGTACACTTTGTTTTTGTTTCGTTTCATTCATTTCTTGTGGTGTTTTGGCTACCACAGTGGTGGTGCCACCGCGGAAGAGGAGGAAGTTTGGTGATGATGGTGCTGGTGCTTAGTGGTCGTTCGGCCGCTGTGATACCCTGGGGCAGCGGGTAGCAACATGCCATTCACCGTTGCGTGAGGCTTCGTACCCGGCCTGCTCGGTACGACGTTTATAGGAACGAACGACGTCGGTACCGGTGTGGGCATGTACTGCACAGCATTGGCCACGCTGACAGGTGCCATGCCGAGCGGGTAGTTGGCTGGAATTTGCATGAACGTCGCCGGGTACGGCATAGGCATCGTCACCGCAGGTGGGTAAGGAGAGAAGAAGTACGGCATCCCTGGCCCAGCAGCTTGGCTGCCCACCGCGAGCTTAACTGGAGAGCCGTGTGAGTGGTGATACTGGTGAGAAGTAAAGGGTGTCGCTGATGCTGGTAGATGGTTTGGAGGGTGGTGTGGTACGGACGCTGATGCAGACGACACCGATGTTCGAGAGGAGTGGGTGTGGTTGTGACCGTGGTTGTTGTGAGTGCTGGACTTCTTGCGATGGTGTCCTTCCTTGCTGTTCGTCTGCCCCTTGGCCTTCTTGCCGTGGGCGTGAGGCTGAGACTTTGGGTGGTCAGTGTTGGTTTCGATCCAACCATCAGTTGACACTGCCGGTCCAGGAGGTGGCGTACGAGATGAAGGTGAAGGTGAGCTTGATACCGTCAGAGATGGTCGCCTGCCGTCGTTGCCCACTGCGTTCATCAACTCTTTGAGGTTCTCGTCAGTCAACGAGTCCGTCCTTCTCCGTGTCAACGCTCGGAACAGCTCGCGAGTCCTCTTCGCCTTCTGACTCGGTGACGAGGTCGTATTCGCAATGTCAATCCAGCCGTCGTCGTCCTCGGGAGTTGATAACCCAGAGGGCCGTTCACCTCCGTCTTCGGATACACTTCGGCGGGGCGGCATGGCGGGCGCGTCCTCTAGCATCGGGCTCGGGCTGTGGCTGGCATACTTGGGCGAAACACCGTTGACGTACAGCTTCGTGTCCTGCTCGTCTGCTTCGGCTCGCAAGCGGTCGACTATTTGCCGAGTACGTGATTTGCGTGTGCGAGTACGTTGAGAAGGCTCCTGCAGGAAAGCAGGCAATAAATTACCCGCCTTCTCGATCTGAACTTCAGTAAAAAAGCCTTGATCATCTTTCTGTATCTTGACCGAGGGAACGTTCAACGTTGGGAATGTGAAATCGGAGAAGGATGGAGGGGGCACATCTCGCAGAGATGCAAAGCTCGAGGGTTCCTCGTTGAGTTGAGGGCAGAAATTGGGGACGAATGATGTGGCGGATGCGTTGAGAGATCTACCCGGGGAAATGGGGTTGAAAATTCCACTGCCGCTGAGACTGGCACTGGGCGAGAGGTCTTTGATCTCGATGTCGTTGAAAGAGGATTTCGCCTTGGGTGTGGAAGGCATGCCGATGGAATCAATGGAACCCTCAGAAGACGTGAAGTCGATGCTTGAAAGAGTCGAAGGGCAGCGCAGAAAATCCTCGAGCGACGACCTAGAGTCCATCAAAGAACTCGAGAGGGACTCGTCGCTGTCGTTCATGCTCCCGGATAAATGTCCATGCATCAGACCCTCGAGCTGCTCATCCCATCTCTCCTTCCACACCTTCGAGCCTTCTTCTCGCGACAAAAGACTTCCCAGGGCGGATGGGTCTAATTCATGCGGCTCAATCGTTGGGGATGCCAGATAGTCGAACCCGACGGCGCACTCGTACGCCGTCACTGCGTCCATCGCTGCTTTGACTCCCACCAGGTCTGGATTGAGCACTGTATCCGCATCCCCTCTCCTGCCTCCCCTGCTCTTCGGCAAAGACGACGAAGTTCCACCGGTTTTGCCGTAGAATACAGAACCGCGGAACGTCCGCTTCTTGTCACCCGGATCTTGCTGGACGTTGTAGGACCAGGGAACGGCGCTGTATGAGGTGTGCCACCAGTCTGCCGTAACGATCTCCCAATCATCCTCCTCCTCTACGGCAAGACTCTGGGACGATAGATTCATGAACTCGCTGCTGCTTGCTTCCAGTCGTATCTTGAGAAACACCTGGTGTTAGGCTGTAGACACGGAAGATAAATTTGAGGTACTGACGAAGTGGGCCACCAACTTCCGTGAGCGCCAACGCCTTCACAGAGGACAATGCGAGTACGACGTGGACGAAGACAAGCGATTTGTTGATCTACAACATGTGTTCGGCGTCGTGTAGAAGAAAGGGCGGAATGTGGGCACGTTTCTGAGTCACGATGAGTAGAGTCACAAATCTCTCAGACTCGTTTTGTTCACAACTTTCACAAGTACCACCATGAACATTACGACGTCTGCGGAGATTACACTCAAGATGACACGCTATCATACGCGAAGAACCGGATGCAGGATTCCTAGGTCAGCTGGCTGTATCGCGAACATGTTCCCAGATGGTGGAGCACCTTTCCCTGAGCGCTATTATCAACATCCCATCGTGGTATAGGAGGTCGTCGCGGAAGCTTGGCACTACCACGCAAAGGAGCTTGTTTGTGCTTTGGAATGGGAATGGGTCCTGACGCCGCGTTTTCGTCTTTTTCAACTGCAGTTTCTGACGCCTCTGCTTTCTTGGGTCGGCTGCCATTCTCAATATCGGCACCGTCCGAGCCGAGGGCGGATAACACTGCCTCTCGTCCGAGGTTCTTCATGTCGATAAGTCGCCTCGGTTGTGGGCAAACGACCTCGGGCCCTGGCGCCAATTTCGAAGATGACGTTTCAGTCGCAGTTGGACTTGAGTTCTGGATCGCTCGGAATCGCCTTGACTTCAAGTCCATTACCATATCCTCGAAGGACAGCTCCGGCCTCGCAATGCTCGCCTTTGACGGTGACGGTGGCAACACTCGCCTTATGACGTGTGGGACAGGGTACTACACAGGGGCGTTGAGTGGCAAAAGCACGAAACAAGGGCCAGACACACCTTCGACGGAGACTGATGTTTCGCTTTCTTCCGCTTGGAATCGGGCGTAGGAGAAAGGACACCGTTGGGACCAGGAACGAAGTCGATGTTCGAAAGCGATATGTCGCCGAACGCGGTCAAGATGTACCCTTCGTCGTCTTCAAGTTGAGGAGTGGGGACTACTGGATTTTGTTTCTCTTCGATATTCTCAGGTTGATTCGGGTGACGAGAAGCTGCCCGTTTGGTTCGTTCGAGAATATCGAGAATAGCTTGACCATCGGGGAAAATGGACGCGTCCGGTTCACTCTCTGTCTTGCCTGTAGTACGTTCCTATAAGCATCGAGGATCAACGAGAGGACGCGAAGCTAACTTTCAAATCTTACAGATTTCATGTTGCGTCAGGGTGTTGGCAAGCTGGTGAAGATGGTTTTCGATGGAATCATTTGTGGACGCGCTATTATTTATACCAATGCCCAGTGGCACTGTGGCCCGAGTGGAGAATGACAGGACAAAGCGACGCAAATTTGAGTCACTGGCACTCGCCTTTTCCAACGCAAGGCCGCATCTTTGTGACCCGTCCGATAAGTGGCACTTGTCCCCAATTGCCGTTTCAAGCAAGTTTCACATCGTATAAAGGCGCTTTGGCTTCTTCTCAGGCCGCGTCTCCCGCTACATCGCGTTTTCCAACCATTCTCTGCCAGGATTCACTTTTCACGCTCCAAGGATGTCCCATTGATGTCACTATCGATGAAGACCTGCATTTCGTGTTCTGTCGAACGATGAATAGTATGTCCCGTGCCTTCAAGATTGGTGAATCAGTTGGAATTCTTTTTGTGCCATGACGCCTATACTTGGAACTGCGCATAAAATCCGACTTTCAAACCCAAGCTTTCGTCACTACAAATCAAACACCGTAAATTTCTCAAGACCCTCTACATCACTACGTCTATACCAACTCGAACACATCCACTAGCATTCTACTCGAAATCCGTTGACCAAATCTTGCCTGTTTGCGCGCAATCCTCCACCTTCGGTCTCAGAGATTGAGGTTGATCGGGATGCAGCCGAGAGAGATGAGGCCGTTCTACGCATCGAAGAGGTTAGCGACTGCCACAGAATCTCTGCGTGTCTAAACTCACGAATTGGTTGTTAGAGCAGCAGACGGGCTGAGCAGAGCAGGAGTTTCCGCCAAGACCAATGATGCTCAAAGGGGAGCAGTTCACTGGAACAAGATATCAAGCTTGTCAAAGTGCGTTCTACCAGAGCGAAGCGACATCCACTTACACCCAACCAGGCCGCTGATAGCAGGCAAGACGAGGCCGAGCAAACCGCTGAGCAAGCCGAGGCTGGTGGTGCTCGACTAGCGTATGAATAGTGATCAGTAACCTGAATATATGCGTTCGACTGGTCTCCTACCTGCATGGTAGAGTTGCAGCACTGAATGTCTCCAGTGTTGCAGTCACCCGCGCGGATCTGGAGGACGCTGGCGGCCGCAAGGAGGGGAAGGGCGAACAGTGTAGCGAAGACAAGGACGATGGCGTGGTTGAACATCTTGCTTGGTTGTGAGTGGGGTAGTTGAATGTGTTATTCAACTGAGGACTCATCGACAATACTAACCCCTTTTTATACCTTGTCAGGAGTCTTCTTTTACGATGAAGAGGCAGTGTCCGTGTATCGGAAAATTTGTCTACGCATGTGCTGCTCAACCTCTGTCTGAGCCCACTGTCGACAGTCGTGGAATGCAATTTTGTCCTCTTTTGGCCTCTCCAATGGAAGTCTGCCTCTACCGGATTGCGCGTCAACGTCGGATACTATCAACTCGCCGTCTCAGAGAGATCTGCGCCAGTATGAGGTGTAGCAACAATTCGACAATCAAATCCAGGTCCCGAAAAGCTCTCACTTCACGTGTAAATTAGGACCTACTATTCGCACACACCGCCAGTTCGTACGGAAAGTTGCTTCTCAGGTTCTTGGTCCGCCATGCGGGCCCTCAAACTCTTACGGAATGTGCTCTCCTCCTTGCTGGCATTAGCAAAACACTTATGAAACTGGAACTTTTGCTCATGTCCAGTAAATGATGCTCAGAACCTTCTTATAATTTCTAGAAAACCCCTCTTGTTATTGAAGCTTCGGTTTTCTTGATTGTTCTCTTTCCGGACAGTGCTCTAGTCGACGCCGACTGTTTGAACTCACAAGGAGACGACGATGCTTCCTTCCACCTATAATCTATCGGCCGATACATCTTTTAATACCTGTTATCTGGAAAACCCGCCTTGAGGTCTTGGCATGATCATCGTCTTAGAGGTCATCCAAATCGAACGACACCTTGGAAAGTTCGACTGTCCACGACCTTGCCGTACTTCCTCGGACCCTTTACAATGTTCTCACACGATATACCACAACCAATGGGCCTTCAAGGCGATACAGTCGAGGTCGATTAATCCGATGCACTTGCCGAAATGAGGTTTAGGTGGGCAGTCTAATTAGATGACCGGTTGATCCGCAGACTAGTCATGGATTTGCCAAACTCTTTTTCATGGGTCCACCATTTATTTCCTCAACATTAACTGCTCGACGAAAGCGAAAGTGATGACCGACTGCAGGAATTCGTCGATGCATCCGACTCCATTGTGTTCAAACGTAAGAAGACCTTGCAGCCATCTTCTTCAAACAGGAAGATCGATTCTACCCACTGCATCGGCTGTTCGAGCGACCGTTGTTGAATCGACGTCACTGAGTATCAGCTTCTTGCTGGCCATTCAGGGTCGTTTGTTGAGTCTTCTACAATAAGTACAAAGCCGACACGGATGACGATTGCATCAATAAAAATTCCGGGCACTTCTTTCTCTGTCTATTAGACGGGCTCACGAGGCTTGAATAATGGAAGAGATGCGTCACTTCGGTATCAGTCGGTGACTCGTGTTGGTCGCGGGAGTCTCGGTCGCTGCAGCATCCACAATCCGAGCCATTAATTGCCCTCCATCAAAGTGAACAAACCTCAACGAAGAAACTTGTGCCCGACGGTTCGTACCCTCGCCGACTGTCAGATTTCTACATTTTTTCCAACATCAAGAACGTACGGTGACGTTGGCTGCTCTGAGAGTGTCAGAATTCCCTTCTCAGAGGAGCCTGTGGTGGATTACTATCATTCACTGGGACCCGCAAGGTGTGTGGTTCTGATTTTCTGTGGGCGAGCATTTCAATCGTCGAAGCTGAGAGTCTGGCAGTGCCTCCAAGAGTCCGCCTGATGAATCGAGGTGACCAACCGGATTGTGTGTCGGATATGAACGTTTGAGGGGAACTAAATGACTCGTCGCCGCTCAGCCGCAATAGTATTGATGGGCATCTTTATTATCCTCTCAAAGTACAAGGCATCAATCCAATTATTACGTCTTGAGGGCATTCGGGGCTCTTCTCAACCTTGTTGTAGCGCCGTATGTAAATTCGTGTCAATTAACGGAAGTGGTCCACAAACAACTCCGCCGTTACGAAGCCCTTCCTGCCAAGTCCTTTACTAACGTGGCTCGTGAGGCACCGCGCTGAAGCCTAAAATCACTTCCAGTTATGGTCGTGGAAGGATCATCGGAGGTGAGTACATCATTACTCGTGCTTCGGATAGGAGACATGGGTTTTCTTTCCCCGACGGACCAGCAGGTGAACGTAAAGAACACGCTTGGTGGTCCGCTGCATGCATCTCTGTTCCCACTATCGGGATTTCTTTGTCGCGGTCTTGAATGAATTGATAGGTGCAGTGAATTTTTGAAATTTTCGTCGATTTCGAGGGACAGCGCTCGAGAACGCGGAGTATTACCAAAAGAAGGCCTGTGGAGCGAGACTAGCGCCACACAAAAGCGAGCTATTCCATATCGGGACATAAACTACTCCAACACGTGAACTCAACGAGAAGCGCCTTGTACTCCTTGGTATGCGCAGATATCAGTAAGTACATACGCATGCTCTGTGCAATCTTCGTGCCGGAATCAACAGTAACCCGGCCTTGCGGGTTTTGGAAGTGTCGGACTAAATTAAGATCCTCGGCGTTATCCGAGGGGCCTACTCTGGAAAAGCATGTTTTTCCACCATACTGCCTAGGCCATTCATAAGAATTATCTCGGTATATAGATGCCTCACGACTGTCATTGGACAGAAATATGCTATTGGGTGCCAGATGGAAGGTTGCCATAACGGTTTTGAGACGCCTGTTGGTTGGTGGAAAAAATTAGACGGGGGTAAACCCCGTCGAGGAGGTCAAATTTCATTCACAGTTACATTCGCTCGTACCAGGTTCCTGGCCTATCTCGGAGTTGGGAGAGGGTCTGTCCTGTAAGTTCTGGCCCAAGATGGCAATGCAATAACGCAAGCACAGACTGCCCCGGCGGTCAAGTCGATAAGCGAGTGTATTATCCCGAAAACTATATTCACCGCCCATTTTATGGAGGGTATAAATGGTCCCTCGAGCGGCGGAAAACCTCAGTCGAACAGCCCCAGTTCAACTACCCGCAAAGTTACTCCAAGTTCACAATGCGCTTCTCCACTGCCTTTGCTCTCGCTCTCCCCCTCCTTGCTGCCGCCACCGCGATACCGCGTGCCGATGGTAGCTGCAACACTGGATCCACTTTGTGCTGCAACTCCGTCCAGAACGTGAGCGAACATTCAGCTCATCAGCGTCATGAATTCGCGGTCGTACTAATAAAGAAACCCGTCTTCTTTAGTCCAGCGTCACTGGTCTCGCTCAGCTTGGAGGCTTGCTCGGCATTGACCTTGGCAGCATCACTGGACTTATCGCATGTACGTCCCTGACTTCTACACTAAGTTTAGGACTCGAGATTGAGGGGCTGACTTGCACCAACACAGTGACCTGCAGCCCTCTTTCGCTCATTGGGCTTGGAGGCAACTCTTGTTCGGCTCAACCCGTCTGCTGCACTAACAACTCCTTCGTAAGTACTCAATAGCCCACTGGGATGCTCACAGCTGCTTGACTTCTAATCACGATTCATTTAGGGTGGTCTCCTCGCTTTCGGCTGCTCCCCGCTCAATATCAACCTCTGAGCATGCTAAGCCTTCGAGGTCCCTCGTACTCCATGCACATGGTAATCTCATGTTTGAATCTCTCGAGGCAGGGTTGGAATTGTCGTTGTTTTATGTAGTCTTGGTCGAGCCTTTCGTCTCCTAGGATTTGTAGAAGAATAAACTCCACCTGTTCTCGTTAAAGTCCCGTAGCGTGAATGAGGAAAGTAATGGCAAGGCAGTCACAGACAATTCAGCAGTGGTGGAGACACGATTTGGAGTCCGGTTTGCCAAGATGCTTCAGACCAGCCTCCAAACTCTAATCGTGTCAGTAAATTCCGTCCGGTCCGGGTTGAGTTCGTCCTTCTAGCCGAATCTTTATTTGAAATGGAATTTACCGGAATTTAGACCAGATTCAGACATGAGATAACCCGCTGAATCATTTCTAAAATTTCCCTCAATCCCTGAAGCTGCCACAGCTTTTTCTGACGCTCCATGACCCGGTCAAATTGAGTGTGGCGCATAAATTAATGCTCCAACAAAGTTATTTACCGCCAGTCAGTCAAAACCAAAAACTCGACATCGTTCAGAGTATCGTAACTACTGTAAAATCACATATCATACGCGTCTACATCACTTCCATTGCCATTTAATTTCCTCGAGGTCGACTGTGGAAGGTCAACATCATCTCATGTAGTGTATGTGTGCATGATGGTATCCATACACGGCCAGCCCGAAGGGAGTAATCGAATGTTCATGCCGGAAGCTC